GAGCTTACGCTTCATGGCGCTTTAGTCAGATTATAGTCACGTAGACGCGAAGGGAAGGAAGCAACAATACCATCAGATCCGGAGAATGTGCACAGGGTCGCGACGCAAGGGGGTTCGAAGGTAAATTCGAGACCTCGTTATTGAAGGGAGCTGCAGGTCTGACACTGGAATGCAGGACTTAATTGGGTCTGGAAGTGCTTGAAGGAATTAAATTGGAGCGGATGGGTTTCTCCGACTCCGCGTCTCCAGGTTGGAGGTATAACGGCGACTATCGACTGCACTGTCTTGGATTCAACACAATTCGTGAGATCTCACCTTTTATCCTGATCTGTGTCATACGCGGTCGGTCTCTCTACTTTGTATTGCTATAAAAATTTAATTCAATTTTACATTGGACTAAAAAAGTCGCGCAAGTCATGTGAGCAAATTTACTGATCAGACAAAATTCCAATTTCTTATATTTAAACCTTGGAAGTACTCAAAGTATTCAGCAAGCAGAGGCCAAATAATCAAATCACTCAACATATCCCCAGACACCTCAATTGCAGTGGGCTCATACCGCGCAATCAGTTGCCGAGTGCGGAGCTCCCGAGATCGGCTACTTTTTTCCCTTGACTCACGGGGCTTGACTCACAAGAGCAGCATCTTCCCTTATAAACCCCGGGTGTGTGTCTACCAATTCCACTATACAAGACACACATGGTTCCAACTACCCAATCCGCCAGCATGGCGACCTCCCCTCGCCCGCATGCTCAAGGGCCAGGTCCGATGCTACTCCGCACCGCTGGACATGGCCATTCCGGCCTCCAAACAGCGCTACATCCCCACGACCGGCACCTACCCCCAGGGCTTCCAGGTATCTGGTACGCATGTGGGCGTCAAGGCCTCCAACACCCGCTTCCCCGATCTGGCACTGATCGCCTCCGATACCCCATGCTCAGCCGCGGCAGTGTTCACAACCAACAAGTTCCAGGCTGCGCCAGTGCAAGTGAGCAGGAAGACCCTGCAAAGCCGTAAAGGCGATGGTATCCGCGCTGTCGTGATCAACTCAGGCTGCGCCAACGCCGTTACTGGCAAGGGCGGCCTAGAGGACGCCGTGCAGATGGGAAGAAAAGTAGACGAGTGCAGCGGTGTCGAGAACGACAGCTCTCTAGTAATGAGCACCGGTGTCATCGGACAACGGTAAATGCACCACCCTATCTCAATTGCTTCATAACTCACCCCAAGAATCCCCCAATAACTAACCAACAACCCACCCACCAGCCTCCCGATCTCCAAGATCCTCGACCGCATTCCAACAGCGCACTCAACCCTCGCCTCAACACACGAAGCCTGGCTCAACACAGCCCGCGCAATCTGCACAACAGACACCTTCCCCAAGCTCCTCTCGCGCACCTTCACCCTCCCCTCGTCACCAGACCGCACCTACAGCCTCGCAGGCATGACAAAGGGCGCTGGCATGATCCACCCGAACATGGCCACCCTGCTCGGCGTACTCTGCACAGACGCAGCGGTTGAACCCGCAGCCCTGCAATCCATCCTGAAACACGCCGTGTCGCGCTCTTTCAACTCGATCTCCATTGACGGCGACACGAGCACGAACGACACGATCGCGGTGCTGGCGAACGGCGCTGCAGGCGGCGAGACCGTGCGTGCGCCGGGCGCGTCTGCCAGCGCGGACTACACGGCGCTGCAGGGCGTTGTGACTGATTTCGCGCAGGAGCTGTCGCAGCTGGTTGTGCGGGACGGCGAGGGCGCTACTAAGTTTGTTACTGTGCGTGTGCGCAACTCGCCGGATTATGAATCTGGGCGCATGATTGCTTCGACGATTGCGCGCTCGCCGCTGGTTAAGACGGCTCTTTATGGTAAGGATGCTAACTGGGGCCGGATTCTCTGTGCGGTGGGTTATACGCAGGGTGTGGCTGAGGGGACTGTTGTTCCTGAGCGGACCTCTGTTAGCTTCCGTCCAGTTGATGGCAGTGAGGTTTTGAAGTTGTTGGTTAATGGTGAGCCTGAGACTGTTGATGAGCAGCGGGCCAGTGTTATTCTGCAGAATGAGGATCTTGAGATCGAGGTTGATCTTGGTGGTGGTGAACAGGGCGCTGCTGGATGTGGTGGTGAGGATGCTGTTTACTGGTTCTGTGATTTCAGTCACGAGTATGTGACTATCAACGGTGATTACCGCACTTAAAAAATAGATGTATTTCAGCATTTGCAGTGGACACATTATCGAATCGATGGAGGTTTCGGGATTAAAGGCCTTTGGGAGCGAGAATGCCTATAGTTACGAAGAGCCGTTGAAATGAGCATAAATATGAACGATGTTGAGGATCACGGCAAGTTGAATATATGATTTTGGTTTTTTCTAGACACATATGGTTACAAGGCCCTAAACAGGGCACTTTTAATCGCTGAGCACCGTCTATCGAGTGAGATTAGACCCATATGATTTTACACATGGACGACATAAGACGTTGACACACTTGTGTCGACGTGCAGAGACTCCTAGATAGGAGACCTCGGGACGTTCATCGGCAGGTTGATCAACCCGCACGACTGAATATCAATCAGTATAGTTCCAATTCAGCCAAACAGACGGCGCTGATCCATTCACCCAAAAAGTATAACGTAGAGCGGACAGGGAAAAAAAGACAGAAAAGTAAACAGAGAGGTTGCAAAGGACCGGTGCGATCCTATGTCATGCTGCTCGTGAAATTACGGACAGTCTCGTTTAGCTGCCGGGGACGAGGCCCTTGAGGCCAGCGCCAATGTCACCCTCACGGGCGGCAATTTCAAAGTAGCCGTAGATGATGCTGTATTAAGCTGTTAGCTGAGATGAACATGTTTGAGATATCAACGGAGTAACTTACGTAACGGCAAGAAGAATACCAGTACCGCTGCCGAGAGCACCCATAAGGTCGGAGGCGACGGACAGGCCACCAATGCAGGCACCACCGAAAGCAGCGGCAGTAGGGATAACGCGCTTCAGCTCCTTGTACATGCTCTGCTCACGGTGACCAGACATGACGAGACCCTGGTCCTTGAGCTGCTTAGCAACGTCACGGGGAGCGGAGCCGGAAACCTCAATCCAGGTCTTGGAGAAGAGAGCGCAGGCAACAAGCATGAAGGTAATGTAGACAGCGGTGTGGATGGGGTCGAGAAGAGCCTCCTTGAAGTTGAGAGGAGGCGACATGTAGTAAGCAATACCAGAGGCGGCGTAAAGCTGAGCAGATCCCTCACGGGGCTCCCAAACTCCAAGGAGCTGGACAAGGATGTTCTCAGAGAAGCGAGAGTACAGCATCTGACTGATGAGGAAGATGTTGGAGCACAGAGCGGACTGGAGCATGATGGGCATGTTGGAGGTGTAGAAGAGGCGGACGGGGTACGAGCCGCGCATGCCACGCTGGCGGGAGGACTTGACGGGGATCTCAACACGGAAGCCCTGCAGGTAGATGACAGCGGCGAAGACCAGAAGAGTAGCCAGGAGGTTCATGACGTTGGGCAGGTTCTGGCGGTAGAACGCCTCGTACAGGGCGCGCTGCTTATCGGGCCAGGTCAGGAGAAGGTGGAACAGAGCGATGATGGCACCCTCGAACTCGGGGCCACGGCCGGTGTTGATGGTGGTGGGGGAGAAGGCCTTCCAGACAATCGACTCGCAAATGTTGGTGGCAATGAACAGGGAGATACCGCTGCCCAGACCGTAGCCCTTCTGGAGGAGCTCGTCAAGCAGAATGACGACAAGACCGGCCACAACCAGCTGGACAATCAGGAGAACACAGATACCAGCACCGAGGTCACTGGGCTGGCCGTAGAGACCAGTCAGGACGTAAACACAGGCCTGGCCGAAGGAGAGAATGATAGCGAAGAGCTTCTGGGCGGTCTGGTAGAGCTCGCGGTCGGTCTTCAAGTCGAGGTTGACATCAATGAGGTGGGTACCGGCAAGAAGCTGGAGAACAAGTTGTGTCAGTATAATTATCGCAAATTATGATAGGAGAGTGTTGTGGGTCGCATACCTGGAAGACCATGCCGGAGGAGATAATAGGGGTGATACCCAGCTCCATCAGAGTACCCCGGTTACTGGCCAGCATCATACGGAGCCAGTACAGGGGGTCCGAAGTGTCGGAGGAGACAATACCGTAAAGAGGCATCTGACTCATGACCAGGAAGATCATCAAAGTCAACTGCAATATATATCAATTAGGATTCAAGCCGACTTCGTGCGGAGACAGCGGATTCAGGGCGACATACACCAGTCCACATCAACTTCTGGTTGAAGGGCACCTTGGTCTCAGGAGCTGCCACCTCCGGGAGGAGGGGCGTAAAGGGCTTGATCAAGTCAAGGAAGCGTACTATAGTCCTCCATCAGCATTTGACCATCAATTGAGGGCGATTCAACACGGATTGTTGCGATTGCGTGCGCGACGAGGATTCGGGGAACTCACGGCCGCTCATGGTGGCTATCTTCCTCCCAGTCCGTTAAAGAATTAAAGAAAGCTGGAGTCGAAAACCAGCTAAAGGAATGGAAAATATTAAGAGAAATAAAACAAAAGGAGAAGGAAGTGAAGTTGTCGAGAAGATGGGGGAGGAGGGAAGAAGAAGACAGAAGAGGTTCGCTGGCCACTTTTCGCTTCCGCGCTAATTAAGGCCACTTGGTCTTCGCCGCAACAACCAACTTGGTGACTCAACCAACACAGGAACGGCATATTTGGAGATAATTGCACTGGTATGAGCTCTAATATGAGCTTCAATTCAATTCTCCAGACTTTTTTTTTTCTGCTAGTCTTTCAAGTCCGATGTGTGCACACCAAAAAGCAGGGCTCCAAGCTATCCCCACACTCCAGAGGCCACGGTACTAACAACGCGATCGGGGGGTCTACAGCATATGGGGTAATTATTAGGAATAATATTGGCATCCATGCCCAAATAAATATTCCTACTTTGGTCCTATAAATATATACCAGCATTCTATAAAGAGTATAATATGGCCAAAAGAAAATCTTTCAAGGTCCAACGAGACCCAGGCAATCATCAATGACCACCTCAAGCTCTCCCAATCGTGTCTTCAGGCCCCGATTCTCGTCTTGCAGGACACCCATGACACTCCAGGCCTCGGAAGCCGGCACGCCGTAGCAGTTGCTGCAATTAGACGCATTGCCGTTACCACCAGTGAAAGAGCTACCTAAACGCGTTGAAGCAAGGCCCTTCAACACCCGATCATATGCCGATGAGCGTGCAGGCGGTGCTGCACTTGTGACGGCAACCAGGTTTTTCTGGATTGTAGGTGTTGGTATCGGGCCCGTCGGCGTAGATAGGGCGATCTGCGACATGTTGGGAGACGGCGCTGTCAGCGTGGACGTGGGAGACTCGACGCCTTCACGCTGCGAGAAGACGCTATCGGCAACGCTCTCGTCGCCGGATTCGAAGCCCGAGTCGCTGGTGAAGGTGCTATGGCTAGCACGTTTTCCTCCGCGCCGAGGAGTTTGGAGGGCCATGGAAGGCACGTCGTCATCTGGGTGCACGGTACGAATTGCACAACTGCGACTGCGGGATTCTTCGGCCTTTCGCATCTGTCTCTCTTGCTCCAATTCCTCGGCCATGGCCTGCATGGCTTTCTCTTGATCAAGCACCTTGGCGGCCATGCCGTCCAGCTGCGTCTTGAGGTGGTCGACTCTGGCGCGAGTCTCTTCGAGCTCCTCCTGCTTTTCGTTCTTCTCTGCCAAGGCCTGGTGCATGGCGAAGGTCCGCTGCTTATAGGCATCCTGCATGCGTCGTAGCACCTTGTCGGCGTGATCTCGTAGGGCATCCAGCGCCTCATCGTTGGTATCGTCCGACTCGGGTAGTGAAAGAGCGGCAGTGATGTCCAGGTTCAGGAACTCATCATCTGCTGGTTCTGGGAAGTTGGGCCTGCTCGGTTGTCGCCGCAGGCCGAAGAATGAAAACCGATTCGTTGGGGTTGAGTTCTGCCTCGTATGTGACATGGATGTTGGAGCTGGACGGGAATCTAATCCGGTCCCATCTGAAGCACTGTTAGGCCCCATTTTCAGCCCCAACTCGACTGGATCTGATTTCCCCTGAAACCAATCTGACAAGATCCTGGCTCTTGCTTCAAGCTTCTTCTTCGGGAAGGTTTCCGTCCAGGGGGTATTCTTTGGGCCTGATATCGTGTCGTCGATGCCCTGTTCAAATAGTGGGGGTCTTGCAATATATTCTGTGTTTGCCCGACGATGTGAAGGCGGATTATTAAAGTGATTTGAGGTTAGACGGATCGACGATCCTGGGGGCGTCAAGGCAACGGTCTCGTGAGGTTGCGTGCCATCGGAATGCAGGGTGACAGGTGCATGGGAGAGATCGGGAGACATGTTCTGAGGGGTTATTTCGACAGAACAAGCAGGCAGGATAGAAATGCCACGTCGATTCAGGCCCAATGTGGCGTGTGCAACCTGGGGTATCTGTAGGGGAGAGGTATGAAGGCTAATCAAGGACGATAACAGACCCCTGGTGGTATTCAAGGTCAAATGAAAAAGGGTATAGGTAGTTTCAGTGAAGTATTTCGTGTTTCACAGTGTTGAGTCTTTGAATTTTCCCTTTTGAAACCAAAACGAAAAATAATTTGACAGGAAAACAAGAGGCTGGGGTGATGGAAATAGCGGTGGCTGAACAGGAGCTCTCTCCACCTCCAATGATCCACCACATCTTCCTTTTCCAATCTGATTAATTACACGCCCAAATTAGTGCCTCTACAATATAGGCTTCTTTCGAGTTTGATCCCGTCAATTTTCCCGTTCCCGCTGTGCATGGTTTCAGCTGCACGAGGATCTGCGTCATTGCACGTTTTCTGCAAACTCCCAGCGTCATGGCTCCCAACGGTCTGAAGCATTTATCCAATGCCCTGGCAACGCCAGACCAACTGTCCAACTCTTCATCCTCAATCGACAATGTCCCATCCGATCTCGAAACCTCCATTCGTTGTGCGGGCGCACAGCTCACTCAAGCTGCCGGAATTCTACTACACCTGTCACAGGACGTAATTGCCCAAGCGATCGTGATCTTCACGCGTTTTTGGCTTGGCGCTGATGGGGGTAGCTTGCGAATCTACTCGGTCAAGGTAAGGCCAACTCCAGGAATTCTCAATCTGCCTTCTGATCCACTAACCAGAGCAGGATGTATCTGCTGCAGCCTTGTACCTGACGGCTAAGCTTTCCTTTCAACCAACCTCCCCACGCTCTGTCCTGAATGTCTACACATTCCTCCTATCGCAAGATGCATCGCCATTGTGGTTTGTGAGGCACAGCGGGGCTCCCGAAACCCCTCCATCGCCCGAATCCTATATCCTGTCCGAGGGAGGCTACCAGTCCGCCCGGCTAGTGCTCCTCCGCACCGAAACGGTTATCCTCCGTATTCTCGGCTTTGATACACATGTCGCTCTACCGCACACGATCGCTTTGACATATCTTCAAACTTTGGGTGTGACAAAGCCCGCTGTGGCTCAACGGGTCATCCAGCACCTCAATGCGGCGCTGCTCTCACCCCAGCTCCTTTATGTCACTCACCAGCCAAATGCCCTGGCTGTGGCTGCCATCTACCTCGCTTCACGCGAGGAGGAGGTCAAGCTTGTGGATGGCGAGTGGTGGGAAGTCTTTGATGTTGATCGCGAAGAGCTCGGCTTTTTGGTCGTCGGCATGAAAAGCACAGAAGGCTTTATGCGGGCGGAGGTCAGTCGGTGGAAGAACAGAGCTATTCCAATGGTAGTAGATGATGTGGATGCCGAAATTGAGCGACGGCGAATGATGGAGGAGGGCGAATGAACATTCTTTGACTTTTGCTGAGAACATCAGATTTCGAGATCAAAAGCCTACTGGGAAGGATGTTCTGGTAGAAGCTACCAAGCTATCTACCAAATAATATACCGCAGGATGGCAGGAACGTCCTGGCAACAGAAGGCCTCACGGCTGAAGACTTGCGAGATCCTGGTCTGCACCCAGAAGGAATTCTGGCAACACCCGACCGACAACAGACGGCCTCGTCTCTGCAGGTGTGGCCCAATATGCTGTCAGGGGCATTGACTGTTCCACAGCTTCGGCCAATCGCAGTGAATTCTGCAGCCTGTCCAGCTGAACCTATTGTTACATACCATAGCCTCTCTCATGGCCGTAACATCAAAATAGATGTATGAATGCTATTTAGAACTCAATTGCAAGATAGCTAGGTAAAATTCTGATGATAAATGAACGGCATAGATGCTTCCATCCTACTCCATATGCTCCGCTCGAGAAACACCCTCAACAGGCTGGTGATTTTGTCCTCCAATACGCGCACCACATTCAGGACATTTCGCTAGCTCCGTCGGCATCCCACATTCGCCAATGGCAAACTGAAGAAAGAACAGAAAAGGTTAGCTTTGTATGTCTCTAAGAAGAAGATCTCGAATATTCCGCAAATTCAACTCACAGGATGTCCGTTGATACAATTGTACCAATGCCCAGAGTTAGTCGCTATGCCTCCTCGCCCGCCAACCATGGCAATCTTGATAGACGCAAGTTCCTCTGGCGTGATCTCTTCATATCGAGTCTCTTCATAGAGACGATTCATTTCCTGAACTTTCTCTCGAAGTTCCTCACAATTGCCCAATTCCTCGCATAAATGCAAGGCATCGGCAAGGAACTCACGCGCCGTATTCCTGCGGTTATCACGCGATTCTAACCCCGTGCTCTTCCGTCTTTTCATATCAGTCTCATCCTTTCCGTGTACTGGACGTGTGCGATGGTACCATCCGAACAGTTCGGATATTTTGGCAAATGCGAGGGTTGCCGTGATGACAATACGGGAGAGGCTCCCACCCTTGGCTTGGATGATCAAGTCCTGGCAGTCCTCCAGGAACGGTATCGTGAGCTGATTAAGCTGAACAATGAGGATTGACTCCTCGATCTTTGCATTTGAATGCAAGAGTCTGAACTTATCATGAAGAACGAATTCGCGGGCCTTGATAGAGATCAATAGTGCCCCAAGAGTTATCTGGTTGTCGGGTCTCGGCGTGGATATTGTCAGTCTTTCAAGTTGGCTGGAGACGGTGATAGCTTCATCATCTGATGGTTTTTGACGGAAGGCAATGGCGTCCTTGAGCCGCTTCGCCGGTTGGTGCCCTGTATCCATCGTTTTACTGAGGACTGCAGCTTCCTTCGCAAGCTGGACAAAGGCCCCATATCTTGTGTTGATCTGCGCTTTGGTAAGGCTGATTGGCCTCGCCGTTGTGTCTTTGGAAACAAGCGCATCTGCGAGGGTATTCAGACGGGAATCAAGGGCTTCAAGGTCGATGCGTCCTTTGGTTAAGAATCGCTTGCATGTTTCGTCCATAACAGCTCGATTGATGACACGATTGTATCGCTTTGTTACGAACTGACGAATGGGCTGCTTGCAATCAGGGCACGATGGTATGGCACTAGCAAGAGAAGCAGAGACATCCCTAAGGCCGTCAAACTTGCCAGATCTGTCTCTTGTGTACACTTCATCTAGGCCGACAAGACCATCGACCGACTCACTGGTAAAGAAATGGCCGCAGCCGAGCACGACAATTGGACTCTCGTCGAGGTTGATTTCAGAATAACATTTCCATTCAAGGAAGTCGACACGAGCGTCTGGCTTGTCACCGCATTCTTGACACAGACCACTAGGACAGTCTTCTCCGCAAAGACTTGGGCACTGATGACCGCAATCGAGGATTTTGGCGCATCGCTCATCGCACGGAAGTCGATCACACGGTGCTGCGCAAGGCATTGAGCAGGAGCCTTGATGAGGACAAACCCAATTGCATTTCTCGATACATGGTGCACATGCCTTTCCGCAGGTGGAGGCACAGGCTGAGTGTGAGCATCGAACCTTTTTAGTGTTAGTATGATACAAGAATAACCAGGGATGTAAGCAAGAGAAATGGAGAAATCAAGCTCACCTCGCATTTGGCTTCACAATTCCCACAGCCTTCGCCATCATGGCATACCTTGAGGCACCTGTGATTACAGACGCCAAGTGGACGATCACATTTCTTTGTGCATGCCGGATGCCCAAACGACACTACACCATTTTCACCTTTCTTCAAGCACTTCCCACAGACACCTCCACAGTTGTGACCACATCCGAGAATTTCGGTGCATGGCTCAGTGCAACTAAAGATCTCAGACGTAACATCAATAAAGCAGGCAAGTCGGAGAACATGGCCACACTTGGTAACGACCTTATCCACTTTGACGTCGCACTTAATGGATGCCAGGTTACGCATCTGATGGCACATGAGCTTCTTTTTAACATGGCCACAAGGAAGCATCACGTCGCGGATTTCAACCATGCAAAGACCACACTCTTCACCACAGAGCTTAGGACATGCATGGTCACAGGTCTTCCGAATTCGAGGACAAGGCTTGCAGCATGCAAAGCCATGGTGCATGAACGATGAATGACATTTTGCCTGGCACCGGTGGCCACATGGCTCGAGACGACGGGTGCATGGGAGATTACATCCACCTTCGGGGCTCTTCGTCTCAAACCCATGAGGCTCAGAGCAGAGGATAGGCACTTCGGGGTGGCGGGGACAGCATAGGGCCAGTTCTGTACCGACTGCGTTCGTTCGTGTGAGCTGAGCGTGAACATCAGCCCACATTGGGACATTGAGGTAGGTCTCGGAATTCCCGATCAGGTACATCCCGTGCTGTGCTCGACTGAGAAGTACATTGATACGGTTCTCAGTGCGAAGAAAGCCAACTTTTTGTTTCAAGTTGCTCCGAACTAGGGAGACGATGATCACCTTCGCCTCTTCGCCCTGGAAATTATCAACGGTAGTAAGGCGCAGCGTCTGAAGGAGCGTTTTCCTCTCAATTATTTTGCGAGGTCCTGCTTCAGGAGTCTCATCTGTGTCCACCCCGAGCCCCTCGGCTGCTAAGGTCTCCAAGTCCCGCTCGCTGAGACATATTTCGAAATCTTTGCTCAGCGATGCTCTAAGCTTCCGCAGTTGACCGGTATAGGGAGTCAGAAGAGCAATGTCATTGCTGTTGTACTCTCCCTGTCGGACAAGATGCCGCACAAGAGCGGTCGCCATGTCAACCTCCCATTTATTACTATGCGACTTCACACGAATGTCATCTTCGCTCTTGTCTTCATCGCGTCGATGGTCCAGCCAGAAGACGTTCTCTCGCATTCCGACGACGTTAGGAAGGTTCATGACGCTTTCATGATCTTCAAGCTTTGGATAGACACTTCGAATGAGTTGCGAAATCTCGGGCCTCATTCTTCGCTGCACATAGAGTTGTGCAACAGGGGCAGGATTGAGGCCCGGCTCTCCAACAGCACGCCTCTCAAATTGGCTCCGATCTAGCTGCCAGGCTTTCCCAGATGAAGACTCAAGGCTAAGCGAGTAATTTTGAATTTGCGGCCGTAGCTGTCTGTGATCGCCAATCTGGATGAAGTGCTCCACGCCCGGCATAAGAGATGAGATGACATGTGCCTCCATCACCTCGGCTGCCTCTTCACATATGATGACCTTTGCTCCTATGCGGCGTAATGTCTCAATATTTCGCGCAAGGGATGTTGTCGTGATGCCCACAACGTCAGCTTGAATCAGAGCCCGTCGGTTTATTTCTTCGTGGACGGCGTGTATGTTTTCACGCGAACGCTCGGCGCTATTGATAGCCTCAAACATTGAGGCACTCTCATCTTTGCACCATTGCTTAAACCAGCTCTTTGCAAGAGTTTGACGCTCTGGCCTCGAGGGGCGATAGATGTTTCGCTCGGCAGTGCGTATCAGGCTTCCCAAGCGCTCATCATCGGGCTCATCCACATCCTCAGTTTTCGAGCAATTGAACGATTTGACTCCCAGCCAGTTTAACAGAGGATCGTCAGTGACAATTTTGAATCCCTCGGCATCCATCAAATCCAATTGTCTGTGTATGGCGGGCCACTTCCGGCGCAAAAAGTGCTGCATCCCTTTCCAGGTCGGGCCCTTTCGAGACTGGTGCAGAGGCTTCATGGAATACCCGGCTATTTTCATGCATTCTTCAAGGTCGCTGTAGGTTTGTCCGAGTGTTTGAGACTCTACTCTTGTCTTGCTGACGCCACCGCTAACAACGCGAAGGTTCTTGCCTTCCAGCTCAGTGGCCTGACTGCGGCCGCCAATTCGTATGATCTTCTGGATACCAATTGCAAGAAGGTGCTTCAAGAATTGGTCCAAGGCATGGTTAGTGTAACACCTATCGTCGAGGTTAGCCATATGATCAACGGTTATACATAGAAAAGCCGCTTTCCCAAATAAGCTTTTTGGCCCTTTTCTGCTGTTTACCCAACAAACTGACCAGACCAACGGACTACGGCCGGCGGCCGGTTGTTTAGGTCTTTAAAGATGTGTAGAATAAGAAATACTTACATCACGATGATTGGCCCCAAATTCGCGCTTGCTTTGACGGCGAGGAGAACCTGAACCAGCTTGACGCCAACATGAGACTTTCCCGTTCCCGGTGGCCCTTGAATCATGGCATATTCCCGGGTGAGAGCAGCAACAAGTCCCTGACACTGGCCAAGGTCGAGACCAGTCAAACCTTCTAGCTCCTTGATGTCAAGAGACTCCGGGAAATTGGGATCCAACTTAATGTCTCGGGTTTGACCTTTCATGATCGAAAGGAAGGGATAGGCAAATCCTAGCTTTCGGGCGTATGCTGGTGGAGGTATATTGGTAGTCCCCTTATCCCCGTTCTGGCCTGGCAAAATCCATTTCTGGAATGTCAACTCCCCTTCACGCTGAACACGCTGTAGGTTCCTTAGAATCGGGACAAATGTAGCAGGAATGAGGCCATGGAAGTCAACCAGTGTACCTGGGATTTTCTCGCTGTAAATTTGGCCGAGGAGATCCAGTTCTTGCTGTGAACATGTCGCGAGCTTCACTGTAATGCTGGGCAGATGCCGATTGGAGACAAGGGTGCTCTCTTCTTTCTTTGCTTGCTCTTGTGAGGAACACTTTGCTGTGACTTCGAGAAAAAGCAGCCTTTTTTGGTGTGCCTTCGGAAGTCAGGAAGCACACCAGGGTCCCTACCTCTAGTCGGTTAGAGTCTTTCCACCATCTGCACTGCTCGGCAAGAGGCTTTTTGCGTAGTTGTGGCGGTACAGAGAAGGATACTGTTGCTTCAAGCTCATTTCTCCCATTAACGAAGACACGCTGGACATGTGATGTCATGTAGATATGCGCCCTGGTATCCTTGTTCGATAGCTTGGGATTTGGGCCACATTGCTGCAGTAGATCTCGGAGTACATCCTTAACAGAGCCGAAGATGTCATGGCGCAGAAGCCGGAACGTGGAGTCAATGTATCTCAACATAGGGTCTGCGATGAAGTGCGGCTGAGAAAAGTTGGTGGATGGTAGATATTCCGAATTGTCACTGACAATTTCTCCCTGTGTCGGAAGAATCTGAATCTCTGAGATTTCTGCAAGGTCGTTGTCGTGTCTGCCACCAGGGATTTCTGTGTCCATTGGAAATGTCGATTGAGCTAGTCTAGTGCTAATCCTTGGAACGCTTTCTTCGGGTACTGTGGGTGGAACAAGACCGCGGAGTGCGCTTGCAACCACATTTCGCATGATCTCTATCCTGTTGTCAAGCGCCTCGAGGTCGGCCTTGGAGTAGACTTTGATCATTTTGTGGACCAACTCGTACAATGAGCCGAGAAGTGAAGCAAGGTCATCATGGAAGCGTGCCCGTCGGACCCTGTACAGAAGCTGATACAGGGCACTCAACAACAACTTCACCATGTCTGGAGTGACTAGAGTCCGGTTGTTGCTGTTTTTTTCACAGCTGTTTATCATGCAGCGACAAACGCTTTCCAAAAACCCGATTGCTCGATCTCCATTCGGGCCACCAAATGTTGCGTACATAGAGCCAACAAATGAATCAACAGAGAGACAATCTAAGAGGGAAGAATGGGTAATAACTTTCAGAAATGGCTCAACATAGACAGGAATATGGTGAGTTGAGTCCTGGCCGGTTGTATCGATAGTTGCCAGTATGAACCCGTGCCCATCAAGATCGTCATCCACGAGGTCTCTAACAAGGAACTGTTGGTCCCCCTGTATTTTCACTATCAAGTATTTCAATCGCTCCTGCCCATAGTTGAAGGATCTCTTCTGGTCCTCTCTGAGATCTGACACCGAGGAAATTCCTTCTTAGAATCTTCTTCCAGTCCAAGTATTGTTTCCGGGCCGAACCATCAGCTGTAGGATTAGGCTCAGGTACGCTAGCTCTTGCCGGGTCGTGCGAGAACTTGCAAGTCGAGCCATAGGTACAATTTCCACGCTGAAATTGCCTGCAGATTTTGTCGCTTTGGTTACGGGTTCCGAGGTTGTTCGATCTGTCTGGATTGCTGGTATGGCCTTGGCCGCGCAATCGCCGGTTTCCACGGCCAGCCATGATTGTAAAGGGACAAATAAACCTTCAGCTAGTGTATCTGGTTACGATATGCTTCGCAGTGTCAGCATAGCTCCAGCAAATGAAGAAAATATCTTTCTAAGAGAAGTGGTTGGCTGACCGGATGATCGCAAAGTAGGTGATTTGAGCGAGTAGGGAAAAGGAAGACAGTTGACTTCCTAGGAAAGCAAGTGGCTGGCAATGTAATTATAGGCTATGTGATCCATGGCAAACAAGACGCAGTTGCAAATAGCAAACACGATATGCACCGTGCCTAGAATACTCAAATTATCTGCTTAGCGACGGTGAAGACTGACAATCAAACTCATTCCCAGCCTCAACTTCATGTATGCATACAAGGTAGGCTAAGGTACCGAGAACTAAAGGCTAAGGATGCTATAGAATACCAAAGCCCTATAAGCGGACGTATAGTACATAGAGAAGTTCATCTGTGAGAAGAGCCAGAAATTTATACAGACTAGAAGTACAGGAATCCTCACGTATCTTATTTATATATAGTAGGTTACTATATGGATCTCAAACAATAATCTTGCTTCAAGAAGTTGAGATATGATACTTTGAACAACTTTTCCTAATCAAAAAGGATCATTGTCTTGGTATAGGAATTGGTCAGATATGGAGACGGCGTTTGCTCTCCTATTATGGCAGATCCACTAGCCCTTCGTACTTGATACAGACCCTTTTATATGCCCAAGCCCAACTTCTGGCAAGAATAAATAGATATCTCTTTGAAAATGAAAGGATGTCGAGCTAGGATAGTCCACTAGATGAAGTCAGTCAAAATTCCAACCTTAGAAGGCTCCAGGGCTGCCCATCACCTGGGCATGGAAAATAACATTCTTATATAAGCAGGTACCATCACGTGGATATCAGTTCAAAATGACGCTCACCCGTGGACGCGGGGCGGATCATGTGCTCCACCGCTTATCATTTACCCCCGCCGCTTCTTCCGTATCTCTCTCTTCACTCTCACCTGTGAAACACTATGAATATCCTACACTCTACACTGTCAACCTGGCGGGACCGCCTGGCCCCGGTATCACGCACGTCCACCTTCCGCAACACCGGCCAAATCACCCCAGAGGAGTTTGTTCTCGCCGGAGATTATCTAGTCTACAAGTTCCCCACATGGTCATGGGCCGACGCATCAAGTCCGGCAAAACGTGTATCCTACCTTCCAGACGGCAAGCAGTTCTTGGTCACCCGCGGAGTACCATGTCATCGGAGGCTGAATGACAACTTTGCCGGGGATGCAGGGCTCGAGGATGAGATCGTGAGGGATTTCCTCTCGGGCGGCGACGGCGGTGAAGGCACAGCGGCCGACGATGGGGAGGATGGATGGTTGCGGACTGGTGGTGGCCGCGACGCTGCGGCAGACCATGATAAACAAGAAGCTCGGATTCGTGACGTGCGAACCGTCGATGAATCCGGAAATCTGGGCGAGCAGGAGGAGGATGATGACATCCCCGATATGGAGGATGAAGACGATGATGAGGAAGCCATCATCCGAGAGACAGATGATCAGTCAGGGACACCGTGAGTACCATTTTCCTGTCTTCAAACTTCACCTTGCCCTCTTTTCTAACCCGTGACTTGCTATCGCTCCAGATCTCTCCGCACTTATACCCTTTACATTACCTACTCAAACTTCTACCGCACGCCCCGCCTCTACCTGTCCGGCTATTTGTCGCCATCCGAACCGCTTCCACCACATCTGATGATGGAGGATATCGTCGGCGACTACAAAGACAAGACCGTGACGTTAGAGGACTTCCCATGGTTCGAGGGCAGCGTCAAGATGGCCAGCGTACACCCATGCCGCCACGCCTCTGTGATGAAGACACTTTTGGATCGTGCCGATGCCGCACTCAAGCTCCGCCGCGACAAGCTCAAGCACACGCAGTCACGCGAGGAAGCGGACCGCGTTCTTCGGGCAGGCGGCGGATTGGAAGGCCTGGTGGATGAGACGAAGAATATGTCGCTCGGGGACTCCCACCACGCACAGCCTGGCGGAGACGAGTGGGAAATGCTGCAACGCGATGAGGAAGAACAGGTTGCCATCCGGGTAGACCAGTACCTAGTTGTGTTCCTCAAGTTCATTGCCAGTGTGACGCCGGGCATCGAGCATGACTTTACGATGGGGGTATAATTTGTTTTAATGGGATACAGACTCGTCCTATCTTATCCTTACTTTCCAGGCAGCTATATTTTTTTCGGAGAAATTGGACTGGAGAGTAGGATCTGGCGTGCTGCTCCCTTGTTCTTGATTTTCGAAATGTGATATGCATGACATGATATGAGTTGGGCGTTAATCTGCTTTGGGGAGCACGGATAATCTCCTTTCCCCCTTTCTGGGTTGCTTTTGCTGTGTATTATCTTCGTTAGCTTTGGGAATTTTTCCATGGCAATTCTACTACGATCTTTGAAGATTCCAGAGTAGGCATCTTGCATAAAGCGAGATCATAACAGAGCCCCGGGTATCCTCGAAGTAAGCCCAGGAGGTTGAAACTTGAGCTAATAAGGATAGGGAAGAGAAAGTCGATCTATCAAATAGATACATGTATGTATTTAGATTAAGATGATGGCGGCTTTTTTCGTATCTGATCATTCTGAGTATTCAAGCTTAATATAACGTCAAAGAACATTCCATTTCGCAAATTAAGCCTCCTGCCGCCTTTTTCTGCATACCAGATACCTAAATAGACCAACTGAGGCTACCCAAAAAGACATAGAAAAGGACACATAAAAAGACTATCGGGGAAGAGTACGTGGGTAGGCCACCAAGACTACGGCCATACAAGCGGCCGACTATATAGTCTTAAAGCGGAAGGTGTATGGGCGGTTTCCTATTAAGGAAGGTGCGTGGTACCCATGGACTATAAAGGCACTTCTCCCCACTAGAACTACTGAATGTAACTTAATAGAACATAATAGAACTTGAAAATCGATAGCATATCAAAATAATATATTCCAATTGAGAGTAACATCAAAAACCACAAGTAACAGGAAACCACATAAGAACTCCGAACAGTGCAAAGCACGCGCGGACGCCCAAAGGAAAATTGGACACCATCCGCAGTAGCTGGACAAGAGCCAAAAAGCATGATAAGTAAAAAGATCGGCCCTCACTGAGCACAGAAGATACAAGTAACCTGGGGTGAGTACACCAGCCGACGAAGACAAATTATAAAAAGAAAAGTAAACAAGAATACAGATGTAAAGAGGCAAGAAATACACAGATCTAATCAATCATTAGATAGACCATGTCGCTGACGATGGTCTATCCGGGTCATTTTCGCCATTTTTTATCGTGTTCGGTAAATGTCAAAGCAGCTTTAGTTGAAGAAAGCCAAGATAACGGGAAGAGCCACTGCGAAAACAGATCCAGGGAGCAGGGCAGAGCCGGCGTTGAAGACGGGCTGGACAGGCGCGGAAGGCACGGCGGAAGGCGAGGCCGATGCAGTGGGCGCGGGACGGTGGATCAGAGGGGTGGAAGAGGGTGCCCAGGCGGGCGGGGCGGTGGTGAGAGGGACGGAGATGGGGGTGGTGAAGGTGGGAGGAGGGAGGATAGTAGGGACGGTCCAGGTAGGAGGGTGGGCAGTCTCAACGGGGGGGGATAACAGTCTCAACGGGGGGGAGTGACAGTCTCCGGAGGAGGGATGACAGTGGTGGTAGTGGGCACGACAACGGGAGGCTCGGGGCAAGGATAGCCGTCCTCGTGGTGGTGCATGCCATTGCCGACGTTGACGCTGGGACCGCCGGGGATACCGACGTTGACGCCGGCGCCGGCGGCTTGGTCAGAGCCTGAGGCTGGGCCGCAGGGGCCGCGGTGGGATTCGTGGAATCCGGCGCCGGCGTTCACGAAGGGACCGCCTGGGATGCCGACGTTGACGCCGCTGCCGGCGGAGGTCTCGCTGTTGCCTGGGCCGTGGTTGGTGGTCTCGGGGGCCTGGTTCATCATTTCCGGGAATGGGAGAGCGGGCAGCTGGGGAGCGGAGAGCACGTTGGCAGGGCCGAGAGCAAGGACAAGGCACATGAGGCCGGAGAAGTTGATAGTAGTGGAGACCATTGTTGCGGTAGTTTGGTTTGGTTTGTTGGTTTGGAAGTAGGAAGATGGAGGTTGATTAAATAAATCCGAAGATTGAAAATGTCAAGTCGATAAAGTGATTGAAAGAGAGTTGAGAAAGAGAGAGAAAGCGAATGACTGTTTAGAGACTGTGATGCTTGATGAAGAACGGAAGAGTAGGCGTGAGCAGGGACCCTTATGTACTTTTTGGCCTCCAAGCAGAGTATACACTTGAAAAGTATGGGGATAGAGAGCTAAGGGCTCTATCCAGGACCAGATAGGACCGGATAGGGAGATTTCTGCAAGGCACGAACTAATGCTTGGTGGCACTCGACTAAAAAAGCCACAAGGGCAGTGATCTGCAAGGTACAAAGTCAACGGCTGCCGAGAAAGGAAATCATGAGAGACATCAGGTCTTAGGGGGTCTGGAACCAAGTCATTGGAAATTAGCAAGCAGCATGGTTCGATAGTCAGGACCTGCAGCGCTGTCGAGAGACCCGATGTGCCCTGAGCGAGCAGCGTATGCTGTAAAGTTTATGCACGAGCTCTACCCCGAGCTTCTGAGCTGTAGGAGCTCATGTAGGACAGGATTGGCGCTCTCCATGTCTCCATTGGGATACAGATGGAGTTTGGAGAATACGAAAACACGTGCATGGGGAAGAAAGGTACCTAATAGGTATAGATGCAAGGGATAAGCCAATAAGGCACAGAAACATTAACTGCAGGAGACTTGCCAAGGAACCAATCAGGGTATGGGATTAAAATTGAATGCATATACATCACACGCAAGGAACTCCCAGGTGAGTCCCAATGCAACTTGCGACTGTTGTCAAGTCAAGACCCAAAAACACAGACTGGAAAGGAATATGAAACAATTGGAATAAATGAGGTTGTATTGCACATATCGCCATAGATCATAATCTCGTGAGGTATTTCGCCAAAAGGAGGAAAGAAGATGAAAAAAAAAAGTTACAGCACCAAAAGCATATACTCCATGGAAAGAAGAGGAAACATCAAGAGATCCAAATAGACATGGGATCTATCACACACATCACAAATATCCAAGCGTACAACATAGATGTGAAATATGTGCTTCGTTAGACATGACTCGAGTTCGATATTCCAAATGCAGTGCCAAAATTAGTAGATTTCTTGAATTTGATTTCCGGTTCTTCCTCTTCGCGAGGGAACTCAGACTCAGGATCAGCCTCATTAGGATCAGCCGATTCAACCGAGCTACCCAGAATATTTTTCGCTTGATCAAGGAGTTTCTGATCGAGTTGATTCAAAAAATTGGAGTCGTGCTCCTCATCGTTAATCAGACCGAGAGGCCCCTGGAGAGCGGGATCCTCTGGCACATCCGGAAAGTAGGAGATCTCATTTTCGGAAGGTTGATGAACGTTCGTCGCCACGGGCGCATATGGAGCCTCCTCAACCTGGGAGGCAACCTCGAGGGGAGTCCCCTCCTGCGTGGACCGTCGACTATCATCAACGTCGATGATCGCCATCGGGGTGTGACCTGCATGGCGAAGCAAGTTCTCATTGGGCGGGCCGAGCTCTGACAGCTTCAATTTGAGACTGTTTCGGTGTTCGATGGGCGGCCTTGCAGCGGTTGAAGGGGCAGTGTCAGGGGGGAGTTACCAGGGGCGACGGGGAGGGCGGAGTGATCACACGAGCTACCACGGCCGGTGGCAGCGCCGTGGACTTGAGCGTGATGCCGTCCAGCGTGCTGTCGAGCTTTTCGATCGGCACCGGCTGACTCGGCGCTGCAGAACGGTCTACTTGTCGCGATTGGGGTGAAAGGGCCCGATCAAGGGATGGCAGGTTTCCATTTTCAGAGATCGGCGATAGATAGCTTTGGTCTGGAGATTCATGGTCGGAGAATACTCTTGTTGGTCGACTGCCTGGACTTGTCCCCTCCCACACCTGAGCTGCGAAGCGATTTGTGTTATACTGCGATATTCCACCTGCGAGCACAAGCTTGGCCGCTTCAGATCCCAATTGGTTTGTTCTGCTCCCTTGACCCCTCACTAACTCCTCCAGCTCGGCAATTTTCGATCGCAATAGTGCCCGCTCTTTCTCCCACAACCGTCGCTCCTGCGCGAACAATTCCCTCTCCGTCTCAAAACTCAGCCGTTGGCTCTGGAGAAGCGCCTGCGATTGGTCGATATAGGAAGTATCCATGGCGAACGAATTCACCCGCGCCGAGTCTTGGAATGCGGTTCGGCCGTAGCCTGATATAACAGGAGGGAATGTGGCTGAAACGGATTTTGTGCGACGGATAGGGGTTTCGGTCGGAGAGAAGCGTACTTCTTTGTAAAGACTTCCGTGGCCGTCCAGTAATTTGGTAGTCTTCATTGTGTCCGAAGTGTGTTTTTCTCACGATGAGCGCAAATCGGCAGATAAGGATCTATTAGGGATAGACTTGGACATGCACGATAGTAGCGTGGACGATAGTAACACGATAATCACAATCGTGCCCAACCTGCAAAGCCTTTCCCACGTTGACCAGTGGAGTTCCTAGAAGCGGTCAATGATCAGAGCACTCCGACGAATTTCATGCGAGGTTCCCAATATGGCACATGTCAGGCCTTGGGTTACGTCCGTAGATAAAATGGTTTGGGCAGATTTAGGATTTGGGTAGCTTTCAGGTACGAAATTCCCAGAGATAAGTAAGAAAGAATGGAGGAATATCGGACTGAATCATGAACCCCACAGATTCCGGGGAAATGGAGGTTACAATAGAGAAAGAAGGCAACCAACGAAGATAGTCAACGGATCCGACCACAACTTATGACGTCAAATGGACTCTAATAGGAAATGTCATTAATAAGATGGAAGATCTACCTATGTTGTAGTTTATATATATTGTTAAAAGGATCAAATAGGGAAGTGAGAGTGAAGTGAACATTTCACTCCAAATGTCAGATATGTCAGATATGTCAGATATGTCAGATATATATATATTGTAGAGCAAATACAGTATGAGGATGGGCCATCCTACTTATGTACTTATAAGATCAGCAACAAAGAAAATTCAAGGTCTGATCCTAATAGTTTGAAATGAGAGTAAAAGTGATTTGTATTAACTCGAGGCCATCTATGTGTGTAAGTATATATCAACAAGCGCAGTATATCCGTAAATGTATGCCCAGAATTCGCCCCTGCGCTGAATTAGTAAAATAAACATGGAAGAATGGAGAAATTGGAAAACGCCATTTGCGCCATGAGCCACATTCGACCTTTAGCATGCAGTTGACCAGTATAATCCGCGCTCAGACGTCATGGCGCAGGACTAGCAGGGCTAGCGGAGCCACAAAGTCAAGAATCGAGGTGAATGCTAAAAGCTGTCAAATCAAAAACCAAATAACAAAAGGATATATAAAAAAGAAAGGGGAAAAAAAGAAAAAAATATCAGCGGACAGACGAGGATCGGAGTCGGCTTGGAACCAATTTCTTCTTGAAATCCAAAGACCAAGCCGAACACCCCTTAATAGACCGACCATCCTGTCTCATCGGCGACCGACTCCGCCAAACAAACTGCTGCGCCTCATCAAGCAAATGCTGATCCCCATTCGGCAACGGATAGAAACTAACATCCTTACACAACGCGCCGAAGCGCGTAGCAAGATCAAACACACCCCGAGCCGTAAGATCCCTCCCACCCACATTCGCCGACGGATAATAGTACCGCGGATCGAGGTAAAGCAGCACACTATTCCAGCGGGGAAGTTTCTCCGACAGAAGCCGCGCCGCGGTTTCGTATTGTTTGAGCGTGCGCTTCGGCACGCCGGTCTGCGTGTGCACGAAGAAGAAGATCTCGAAGCCGACGCTGCGGATGCGGGCGCGGGCGGTTGCGCTGAGCGTGTCGAGGAAGTCGGCTAGTCGGTCGAGATTGAAGGAGTTGCGGAGGAAGAGCGTGTGCGTCGAGTAGAGATAGTCTTCGGCTTCGTCGTGGAGTTGTCGGTTCACCGCTAGTAACTTGCGTGCGGTGCCGTCTTCGCCGACCCAGTGTGGACTCATTGATAAGGCGCGGTATTGGCCGCGGGATGTGAAGGTGTTGCCGTGATCGCCTAGTACGATCATTGGTTTGCTGACTAGATACTCGTTTGGGACGTCGAGTGCATATTCGTAGATCTTGAGACGGAGTTCGGCTGGGAGTTGGAGAAGCCGGGATGGTATTGACGGAGTGAGGTTCGTCATGTCTGCTTAGAACCTTAGAAGAATGAGCAATAGATGAATTCGAGCGAAATGCGGCTGTTAATCCCGATTTAAATGGTGGTACCACTCGGGTGTATACGCTATAGATGTGTTGCCACCGTCAGAAAATTTTTTTTTTCCTGAAAAAGTCAAACAAAAAAGTAGAGATCTGTACACCGTACTTTAGATGATAAAATGCATCGGACCATGACCCCTTATATGAAATGCCGAGAGTATCTCGGCATTCTCCAGGCCGATATACTTCGCCGGGTGTTAAAGTTCGGCGAATGTTCAAAGTCGTTTAATTAGGTCTCTACATGTAGTTACCTAGTTATATACCTGTGTACATACAAAGCTGTTCCTGGATTCCTGAACCATGGATACATTTGCAAAGTTTTTATATCTTTAAATGGGCTGATCCTTGGCCCTGTTGACCCACGTATTAGTGGAGCCGATGAGTTTTTACTTCAGAACTATGTACTCCATATTGGAGGAGAATTCTTAACGCCAAGTACCGTCCAAAACTTTGCAAATGTACACGTGCAATCTATTGGGTCTCAAGTACTCCGTACGTTCTTGAGCAACATGCCATGGGCGCATCTGTCAGATGCAGAATGTTGAGTATACGGAGTGATGCAAACGTGGCATTTTAACATTCTACACTAAAAGTCGTTATATTCATTTTAGTCGACTAAGATATACACCTTTGGTCCAATAATACATACATATGTAGAGGCTAAGCTCTTTCGAGCAGGAAAAATGCACACCTATCAACCCAGAACTATATCGGAAATCCATTGAATCATCCACTACGGTCAAGTCAAAAAAGGCGAGTCTCCAAAAAACAAGATGCAATATATTCGCTATAGGAAACTGTTCGAAAATATCGGGAATAATCAAGTTCCAAACCTGATCATCGCTGTCTATACACACCCAACGACCAAGCTGCCCGCAGAACAGCCAGACCCCAAGCCATGCCAATACTGTCTCGCAAGACATTCAACTTGCTACCCTTAACCTCCCTCCATCCCACAGGCACCTCAGCCACAGGGATCCGCGCGAATTCAGCCAGCATGAGCATCTCAACGTCGAAGATCCAGCCCTCGGAATGCATGTACGGCACTATATAAGGTAACGCACTGCGGGAGAACAGCTTGAACCCGCACTGAGTATCCTTGACAGTAGCCGTTTTAGGGGGCGTCATGAGCCACAGGATCAAATGGAACGAGTGCATCAAGAAGTTCCGAAACTTGGATCGCTATCGAGCAAGTCAGTAATCCACGCAAACATCCCACTCAGACATCAAATATCATACCTTAACCACAGCCTCACTCCCAACCATATGCGCCCGCGATCCAACAGCAACCGCCCTCCCCCTTCGCATCCTCCACATCCCGACAAGCCCCAACAAGCTTCCCCAGATCCTCGAACTTGCTCGCTCCGTCCGCATCCGCAAAGACAACATACTGCCCACGGACATGGCGCATACCATGCGTGACCGCGCCGCCCTTGCCGCGGTTATGAGTCAAGTTCACGACGCGGATCGTGCCAGGCGGGATATGGACGCCCTCCGCAGCCTGTGGTGTCCACGGACCCGCGTGTCCCTTGGGATGCAGAGAGAGCTGGTGGTCGCGCGCGAACCGGAATGCGACTTCTTCCGTGCGGTCTGTCGACCCGTCCGAGACGAGGATGATCTCCCAGCCGCGGTCTGAGGCCGAGACTGCGGGATCGCTGGTGGTATCTCCGTTCGGCTTGCGTTTGCGCATTGAGCGCGTCTCCCTTGTTCCTGCGCTGGAGTTGGCGATCGCGCTGGCTGTATCCCCGTACATGTGCTCCAGGTAGTTGACGGCTTCTTCCAGCATGCCGGTTAACCGGTCTTCCTCGTTGTAGGCTGGTACGACGACGGACATGAATAGCTCGGCTGGTGCGATTGTGTCGGTTGCGGTGGGTTTTTCGCCCTTTTTGGTGTCTAGGCTTTCGAGCCAGCAGGGTAGGGGTTCGGGATCTGTGACGGAGCCATCTTTGGCGAGGGTTCTATACTTCTTTTCTTCTGGTAGGGGTTCTCGTGGGACCGGCGCAACGAAGAATATGAATAATGAGAACTATGAAATAGAACGAAGGATTGACGATCAGTAACTTGCAATTGGAGCTGTAGGTGTCTGGAGTGGCACCGCGCGATCTGACTGGTACAAGCGGAGTGGGGGAAACGTGGACTCACCAGGACAAACAGTCCCAGCAAACTGGCTATGGAAGCAATGAGTAAGATCTGGACTGGGATTTCCACCGCAGAATTGAAGCATTGGCGACAGACCTCGCCCCAAGCTGCCGCCATTGTGGAGTGACGAGCTGGACGTCAGATGCGGAGACGGAACAGATGCGGAATGGGGAGTGAGTGATGCCGGAGGGAGGCAAGCACTTAGGTCCGAGAGAGAAAGGGATCATTCATAGAGGTAAGGAAGAATGATCCTCGCCATTTGAACATTTGGAGAGAGAGAGGGCAGAAGAGAGGGGGAGGAATGTTGCTAGTTGGTAATCGCCAGCTTGGCCTTTTATCGGCAACACGCAAGCCGATATGGAAAAGATCCACATTTGGGAGCCACGGTTCGTAGACACTAATTAAACTATATTGGAAGGTATATTAGAAGGTATATTACCTAGGCAGGAGGTATATTAATCTATTTGTTCTGTTCTATTACAATTAATGTTTATTGTCCTCGGGTAGATCATTTGGAAAAGACATTGTCGCATACAAGACCTGATTCTTGCTCTATCGAATGGCGCAGTTCCTCGTAAATATACCCTCTCCAAAATGAGCTTCAATGGGCAAAGTTAGAATGGCGCCTCTAGCAAGATATAGCAACCTTAAAGAAATTAGCTTAGGGAGAACAGGACTATGATGCCTGAACTCTCTGAGCATGCTGCAATCCATAAGCCACTAAAAGGGCCATTGAAAAGTAAGTAATGGATATGGGGTTAAAGAAGAAGAAAGTCTCGGGAGTTGGGGAGAAGGACAAGGGGGGTGTATATACTATATGCGAACACTTCCCAAATAGGAAAGGGGACTGACACTAAAAGCTTCCATATTTCCAGGTTTCATTCAAATACTTTCCTTCTCTTATCGTCTCATTTCTCTTCTCAACCGTTTTGCTTCCCCTGTCTCGTGTCTGTTATTCTCTCCACACTCATTCGTCCAACTAGCAATTTTCAAAACAACGCATTGGGAAGCCAAGGCTTCTTTGTAATAGCTCTGAATGTGCCCCTTCTGGATAGAAGGAGCACGCAACAATCCAAGTCCAGGAAGCGATTGAAGCTGGAGTCTTGTTTCCCAACAAGACAGATCCAATCACATTTGAATGTCGCCCATGTCTGGAAACTGATGAAAAGGCCTGCGAAAGCTCCCGATCATTATAGAACTGGACGGACAGATACGTGGCATCTCGGGACAGGCTATGTTCCCAATCATAGTGAAACCGGATGGACAGAAGCAGGAGCATCCCGGGACAGGCTAAGTTCCCATGAATCCATGGCAATCGATGCAATAATCCGGAGACTCCAAACGGTCCAGTCCTTGGATAGTGGTGTCCAGGCAGAGGCATGCCTTCCAGGGTTGGTCCAGAAAGTAATCTGATAGCTGATATCTGTCGTGTAGTCGAGGGCGACTCATGAATTTCCTGTCTGGTATTAACGAAAGAAAAGGATCCACTCTCTGGCTTCGTGTACGGAAAGGGCCCAAAGGATTTGCTCAAGAAGGCCTGAGCACTTGTTCGAACAAGGAAAAAAGAAACCCTTAGGATCCCACCAGCCCCAAACTGATCCGCCAAGACGCACAGCCTACGCCATAACGGAACCCACAGAGCCAGCAGTCACCCAACCGTGTTTTCAAACCTCCTGCATCTCCTGATCGGAGGAGGGTGATGTCTCAGTGCCTAGTGAGTAAGGATTGCCATAGAGGTAAGCGGGAGATTCAGCCATTGGCGCAAATTCATCTGCTAATCGGGTGGGTGTGAACCGTCGCGTCTGATCGTATGTCATCCAGCGGGTGTACTAGTATGAGATAGATGGTCAGCTTTCAATATGCTAATAGGGGCAGGGCAACAGGTCAGCGCAGACAGGACAGGGAAAACGGACAGTTGCGATTCTCACTCCAAGCCAAAGACATCGATGTCTTCTAGGAATCACTGTCGAATGTTCTTCTATTGGTGGTCTGTCGTCTTCTGTAGGAGCCCCCTCGAAGAATCCTTCTGGGTAGTAAACCCGGCTCCACGCCTGTCCTCTAATCAAAAAGTCCTCCGGTAGCTGTTGTATAGTTGAGTCGTCAAGAAGAGGGAATGATTCATCCTCGATCTTCGAAATGATTGTGTCGGGACGAAACAAGGTGTTTAGATAACTCGCAAGTAACGACCACGGAATCAGCGGTTCTAGTCGTTGTATAGCAGCCGGGTTGAGCGTCAGACACCAGACAAATGCCATAGAGATGTGCACACTCGGGTACATGTTTGGATCCCCAATTTGGCCGAGCATAACGATCAACGTGTGAAACGTGAGAGAGCTCGCCCGGAATGCGAGCTGGGACGAAAGATCGTTGCATATGGCGTGCATAGGTGTTTTTGTCGTGGCTGTACTCGATTCCCACTTCATTGCGGCTGTAGTCGATGCCCACTTCATTGCCGCTAGGCGATCCTCTGCCGTGGGATTGCGCGACCTCAATTTAAAATCTGTTTCCATCATCCCTTTCCCCCCATACTGGAATATCGCACAGATATTGCAAGAGGTGAATTGAACACCTTCCTGCCCCTGTCGCCCTACCCGGCTAATTTCTTTACGGAGAGTAGCAAGAAACACACTCGCTCGAGAGACAAATTCCTCAACCGGAGCTTGCATAAAAAGCGCACCGTGAGTTGTCACGAATAAAGTACTCAAATTTCCCTTCTGCATATTCATCAGAGGAGCGACAAGCTGGGTCATGCTATCGAAAGCATTTGGGAATGCGCGCACACTGATCAATGCTTTCGTGTAGTGAAAAAACTGCTGAAGAACGTCCGGGCGAGCTAAAACAGCAAGATGATGCTGAATGCGGCCATTTTCTTGGTTTCGGTCCTGGTTATACCAATACCTCGATACACCTGCCCAGAGGTCACGGTCCTTCTTATCGAATTCCTCCACGGCCATCCGGTACCGTGCTAAGTCACCTAGACACTCAATCCAAGTCTCTCTGAAATCCGGCACGCTTTCCAGTAGTAGTGTTATCATCGAGTACGAGAGGTAGATGAAATCGAGCATATACTCCATCGAGCCGGGGAGTTTCTGGCGTAACAACTCTAAGAAGGAGTGCACCCCATACCGCCACATGCGCGCCGGCATAGCGTACTTATCGGCTAAGTCTTTGAGAACAGGACCAGCTGACGGGTGTTGGGAGGCGAGGAAAAAGTCATGGTGTTCGTAAAGTAATGTTCGGTGTAGCGAGACGAGCGTTTGCCACTGAGGTTGTGATAATTCGGTCTTTGATTGCGCTTGTTGTCTGTCGATCTCAATGCACTTCTTTTCCACCATGACAAGTCCGGTATAAATTCCGCGCACTTCGTTGATCAGTTGCTCCTCGGTGATGGTATGGGTCTCCGGTTGCCTAAACATTTCATGAGGCTTTGGTTCCTGAGTGACTGCCTCTCCACCCACCATCTCCACATTTTGATTTGATATTTGATCATTTTCCGTGTGCCGTGTCTCTTGCACTTGCGCTTGCATTTGGGTAGTGTGGGAAGCATTCTGAAACCCAACATCATTTTGACTGTGCACAGCAATGGGTGTTGACTGTGATCTTTGTAATTCAGGACGTGTCGCAAGGGCTTGAGGTAGCTTCGGTTCCTCTTCCTGCCTGGGAGCACTGATCTCAATTTTTGGATCTGCGGGGTGTTTATTGATACATTGAGGCACGCTGGACTTCAAGTGTTGAGAAGCCGAAGCCGACAGCCGCCGAGGATCTCTGGAGACCCGGCGACGAGATTTGCCCACATGGCCTACACTGGTGCAAGCGGGACTTCTCAGAGCTCGCATGCCATGACTACTGAGCGTTTCCATAGTGCAATCGTCTGCTAGGACGCCCGTGGACTTTGGCCGAGGACTGGATATCGGCGTGGTGATGGAGCAGCAGCCGTGGGTACTCATTGATTCAGAGATAAGTTCTTCTGACAATAGTCTTTTCAAAGTTCGCCTGGATGAACAGTCAAAAGATAAGCAACAACAGCCCGGTGGGCGCAACATACCTAGGTGACACGTTACGGACAATTCTGCCTGGGAGGTTTGTCTTGGCATCCAACAGACTGTAAAAATTGCGCCGAGTCGGTCCTGCCTCCTTACGGCACAGTGGCTCGGCCATTTCAACCATCTAGGGAGAATTAGGTTATCGGTTGCACCTTGGAAGTGGCGAACGCACGAAAAAAGAGAGATGTTCAAATTTCACATGTTGTCATGAAGGAACAGAGATATGGAATAACGTTATTTATATTAAAATGTACGTAGAAGCGTAGAACATCAAAATCCAGAAGGCAACCTGGGAACTGCCTGGGTGTCCTGTCTGATCCCGGGAGGATGCCGATCTGCACATGTGCGCCTAGCCCCAGTACGGAGTGGCTGGGTATTATATTTTACCATACGAACTACTGGTTGCCTTGAGCTATTTTTTATTATTTCTATTGCTACTCCATGCCTCTTTTTCCGATTCTCATGCAACTGTGTCATTGGAACATTCGAACCTCTTCTTGAATGGTTCCATGGCCCCCTGATGCAAAGCTTAGCCGCGCCTGTTAAGAGAGGCAGACAGGCAATAGCCGCCCTGCGCACCCCAGGTCCATATCTTCTGCCTCACCTTTTTTCATATGCATGACTCGCCGAACTATTATCAAGATCTGCAAGAGATTGAAGAAATAGGTCTTATTTGAAACAGCTGATCCCTCGGTTATCTGACAGCCTCACCAAACGGTCGTAGGGTTCCAGTCTACCCCGGTCATCGCCCTACAGCCAGCCTCCAGATCATCTTCCAATACCATTTAGATGTGACAGTCGCCGTCTCATGATTTGGGGAAGCCGCCGGGTCGAGGAGCGAACCCGGTTGCCCTTGCAGCGCTAGCCCTAGGGCATTGTTTGCTCCGTCACCGCTATTTGGCTACTATCGCCGAAATCGACCACACCGGTTCTTTTGACCAAGCTTCAGCTTGGGCCATGGCGTTTTCGGCCAAAGAGCCTTTGTTTCGGTTTCCGTTGGCCCGCCTAGGCACTGGGATGGACCTTGTGGGCTTAGCGATTTCGCTCTCGCATTGAGCATTGACGGCTTATGTACGAAGTGAAGATTACCGCTTTTCCTCTTCGGTTCGCCCCAGAATGAGGCAATTCTTGGTCAATAAGTCGTCTGCACTACAGCATATATTGGGGACACACCATCACTCGCCGCCTTGTTGAATCACCAGTGGATAGGGTTCCTTGTATGTCCGGTGACAGGCAATCATGCAACAGACTCACAAATGGGCTGATGCACAGCTGCTAACGAGTTATCCACCAGTATTCGACCACATGGCTTTATTAGATTGCCAAAATGCCCAGGTGATGACTCGACTTGGACGGGATCCGAGCTATGGCCGGTTATACTGCTACCTAATATTTCCTATCTCTATCTATACCTGAGTCAAGATACAGTAATACATAGTTCTAAACTTGGAAATAGCTTTAACACTCATATCCAACACAAGTTACTATGTGGTGGGCCTAACACGAACGTGGGCTACAATTGGAATACTCAACATCAGCCACCTCGTACAGAATCTCTCCAAGCCTGGACTTTGAATCCATCGGAAACTAAAACAAGTGGCTTGGCACGATGACGTTAGTTAATCCACTTCCTGTCAGAAATCTTGGGCAGGGCTCCAGGGCTGCCTAAGCCTATCACCTAAGCGCCCGTAATAAGAGTGCGTTTTAAGGGGCCCAGTCTAAAAACAACAGCGTGTACTCCATACTCCATACTCGTAGGATGTAGTCAGTTTCAGTTCTATTGAATATCCAATTAGACATATACAATCCAATATAGTAAAACAACCTGTGCCACCCAATCCATACGTACCCACCTGGGTCGCAATTTACAAGGCAACTTACGCGCTCCACTTCCCCCCCGAACAAAGGGGATCTAGCCCGTTAATTTCGACCTTCGCGGGAATCAACTTAAAATGGAGCTGCAAGGGAGCGATGATGTGATATTGCAAGCCACACGGGAGGAAGCAGGAAAGATATTGGTGGGCGCACGACTTATCCATCACCCGGGTGAAGGTCTGTTTGTCCCAGGGGAAATCCCCTATGGAGTACAGATTATGCGACAATGGATGGACTTGGATTTTCTGATATTTAATTAGTGTAATTAGTGTAATAAGCTTGCATGGAACCATGCGTTGAGCTCTAGCGTCTTGCTGAAGCGGGGAAGATTGGCTGCAGATTTCGCCCGGGTGAAATCCACACGGGTGAAATTCTACGTGACTTCTAGAGTTCAGGGATCTAGGATCTTCTTATTTGCATGGAAAAGGGGTGTGTGCTCAGCTACCTTGGAAGGTATGATGCGATTGGTGAATCTTTAATGCATCTGTTTGGGGTTTACTTGGTCTTGTTTACCCTCATATGATCTTGGAGGTTGCTTTTGCTTTGTTTTGAGAATGGTGGATGCGACCTTTGGAGTATGAGGCAAATCCATGTAACCATTGACGGGATTTATTGAAAGACTCTGACATCTGGTCCCTTTGTTTTCCTAAATATGAGCAATTGAAGGTAGATGCCATACTAATACATAGTCCCATACTAATACATAGTCTATTTTGAGATTGAGGAACTAGCTAAGAACATAAATGGTTCTATGACTAGCGGATTCACTTCAGACAGATACAGTTGTAGACACTGTTGACCGCTATTGTAGTACTCGGCTGAAATCTTTTCCCACTTGCATCTCTTTAGAGCCCAACGGAGCTTGTGTGACATGCATGTCCTCTGAACCCGCGATATCGGTGCGCATACAAGAATATGAACACCCACAGAATGAAAGATTGGTATAGCATATAGGCTTAATATGGCTCTGCAAATATAAGTCTAGTCGCCATCAAGACACATCGTAAATCTTTGTTATGTAGGAAGTCTGGGAGACTGTCGGGCCTCATCGACATTGAGATGCAGCTGCAGCTGCAATCTTGGGAAAGTTTATTTTGATGACCAATCTACTGTATTGACCAATAAAATTGTTGATTCGATGGATTCTTTCTTAAAAGGGATAAAAGCTTGAGATTACAGTGGTAGGAATGTCAAGTTCAAGTGCGGCTCGACGAGTGCTAGACATATAAAAGATGAGATATCAAAATAGCAGCGCAGAAGGCATCCTGGTAGAGTTGACCCCTGAATACCAGCTATGCGCTAGTCGCTGTCTCTAATAAAAGGTGGAACTATATGAATTCCAGGACTGATAGCTCCAAAATTGCGAACGGGCTTAAGAATGAATCCATAACACATTTGAGACAGCCGTTTGACAATAGCAGAATTAATGAATTAATCACATATTCAAAGGGAGTCCTATAATTATACAATGTCTACATATGTAAAATGTCCATTTAGGATGTGCATGTATGGAAAGGGGTACCAGCCTTCAACGACGTCATAGAAGCAACATTGACAACAATGAACATCCACACGTACGCGCTGTGTCCAAAACACCCACAAACCAATCCAATCCCATCGTAAAACACCCCAAGGCCAGAGATCTCACGAATTAATGAACTCCCTCCGCCTTGCCGCGCGACACCTAAAACCAACACAGCCCACCCCCGCACACAGACCAACCATCAGCATCAAAGCCAAGACAAAAATCATGTCAACATTCACAATCCCCAACTCAAGCCTCAACGTGAATAGCATCCCAGACCTAAGCCAGGATGATCTACTCTCATTCCCAGCCTTTAAAATCTGGATAACAACCCTCCAGCAATCCCTCGCGCGACAAGAACACCCCTCACACGAGTTCCACAGTGATCCATATGTCCTACGCAAAATCGATATCCAGTCCGTCGACCGCTTCGGTGGCGGGCGACTAGGCTTCATCAAATTGAAAGCAGAGGTATCCAATGGCCAGGGCGAGACTTTGCCCGGTAGCGTATTTCTGCGGGGTGGCAGTGTCGGCATGTTGGTGAGTTGTCCCCCAACCACCAAACTTGAACCATTTATACTCGATAAGAGGGGCTTTCCCTTTATGCTCTACGTATGTAGACATGTAGGCGAAAAAGAAATATTACGCCCCAGCCCCACCATCGAAAACATAAACCTGTTTCATTCTTTTCTAATTCTATGAATAGCTCATCCTCCAACCGGATGATATACCCTCCCCGAATGAAAATGACAAGCGCGCTATCCTGACCATCCAGCCCCGTATTCCAGCGGGCTCGCTGTCGTTCCCGGAGATCCCGGCTGGGATGCTCGATGACAGCGGGACGTTTGCTGGCGGTGCGGCGAAAGAGATACAAGAAGAGACGGGGCTGCGGGTTGAGCAGGGCGATTTAATTGATATGACCTCGCTGGCGCTGCAGGCTGCACAGGAACCTGGTTACGGTGAGCGCCTGCAGAGTGCTGTTTACCCGTCTCCTGGCGGGAGTGATGAGTTTATTCCGTTGTTTTTGTGTCAGAAGGCTATGCCTCGCAAGGAGATTGAGGAGTTGCAGGGGAAATTGACGGGATTGCGAGAGTCCGGGGAGAAGATTACGCTTAAGGTTGTTCCTTTGGCGGATTTGTGGAAGGAGGGGCTTAGGGATGGGAAGACGTTGGCTGCTTGGGCTTTGTATCAGGGGTTGAAGCAGGAGGGGTTGCTTTGAGTGGGAATAGTAGATTTGTGTCAATAGAGGGTTGTTTGTATCACTTATTGTTCTACTGCAAGCTAGTGAGATATGCTACAATTGCTAGCTCACAACTTCCATTTCTTTGCCAGTTCGATTCCTTCAGCCAGTGTTCCAACCCTGGCATCAATAGCATAACCCTTTTTTTCAAGCTTCTTCATCTCGTCAAACAACGTGTCCAAAGGAACAGTAAAGCATTCAATAAACTCATTATCCTCAAGCTCAGGCTTTGGGTTCTTGTTCTCAGCAAGAGACATATCGACACGGACATGGACCATATGCAGGTTGGTATTGCAAAGTCCAGGGTCTGATCAAGTTACATATATTCGTCAGCTTTCAGCGCCCGAAAAGGTCAAACAACGCAGGCAAAAGAAAACAAAGCCGACAGCCATCGCTCACATACCGTTATACATCACTGGACTAGTCTGCTCCGCCACACCAACGTAACCAGTCTCCTCTTTAAGTTCTCGAACAGCACACTGCTCAGGCGTCTCACCCGCATCAATGAGCCCCGCAGGAACCTCAATAACAATCGCATCAATTGGCGGCCGGTATTGCTTCTGGAGAAGCAGCTCCGAGCCGGTATCTTTGTTCAGAATAGCGACGATCCCAACGCCATCGAGCTCGAGACCAGCAGGACGAGTCTGGAAAATGCGGTTAGCATCAAATGCGAAATACAAATTTCAAAAACATAGGCTCTAAAGGTTGCTTGAACTGGCTGGTAATGGGATCGACCAATGCATCCAATACAGATTACATTGCAAGGCAACCAATGGTCATGTGGTTTCGGTTGGTACGTCGGGCAACGCCCGGGTTTATGCCACCTGGAGCACAGGTTCCCGAGGATGGGGAGCCCCACTAGCGCTAACCACATTTCCTGATTCAGACGAGGCTGGAGCTTAGTCTGTCACGTAGGTGGCCCTCGTGTCATCTCGATACCTGCACCGGGTGTCATGCATATACCCCGGACATCGACCAACGCGCAGAATACGGATAAGCAGAAAACAAAACGGGATAGGTCTTACCGTGCGCTCAGCTGATTCCCATGTTCGCTCGACACCCAGGGGGTCAGTGTATGTTGTCTTCACCATGCGAGCCCAGCGGGCTTCGTTGGGGTCCTGTTTGGTAAAACTTGTCAGTCATGGCCTAGCGCTGTACTACTGGTGATACCACCCCAAATCTATTTTATACATAGCAGATTGGGACTTAATTGCTGGGGGACTTCTCGGGGAAATTGGAGTAAACATACCAACGGACCCCGCGAGACGAGTTTCGACTTGGCCTGCGCGCGAGCTGACATTGTAATGGGTTGGCAGTGGTTTAGATTGAAAGAGTGGGAACAAGTGGCGGAGATTCGATGGCGTATGATTTATCCGTCCAATGGAGTCCTAGACTGACGTTGCGAGATCTGCGACCAATCCCAACCGGAGTGACCTCGGGAGGGGTGATGGCGGGATGGCGGGGGAAGCGGGGTTAGCCCTTATCTTATCAGTCTGATATTGATGCCTTCGATGTTTCTTGAGTGTATTCAATCTTAGGATGGAAAAGATTGCTATATATTACGGGGCATAAAGTAAAGACTCGAACCGACTAATGAAAAGGTATAGTTAAATGGTATCTCATTGCGCATCAAAACCTGTCTATGCAAAGACGGAAGATACTGAATAAAAGTGCACCAGGCAAAGAAGAATGTAGCAATGACTGGACACAGTCCAATCCCAAACAAGTCTTGCCACTCTTGTGTCAAAGCAATCCAAAAGCTCTTGAGAACGGAAAGCGTCAAGAGAAATCAAGTGTCCATGATACATAGAGTGGCGCAAAAAGCAGCAAATAAAAGAAGAAAGAGCTCCATAACGACCATACGCTCGCTATCATGACATCGTGGACGTGCAAGCGTCACCAGCGACAGTGCGTTTAAAGGCTCGACTGGACATCAACGGAGACATCATTCTCGATATCCTTCAGACGATCCTCAAACTCAGACCAATGGTACATGACAGTCTTTGCGCCAAGGTCAGTCAGGGCCTTCGCCATCGCATTCTGGGTGTCTTCGCCATTGTAGCTGCCAACGTAGGCGATGACGGGGATACCAGCACGAATCGCGGAAAGAGCGCCAGACTTGCTGTCCTCGATGGCAACAGTCTCGGCAGCAGTCTTGCCGACCTGCTCAAGAGCATACAGGTAGATAGCGGGGTCGGGCTTCGAAGTAGGCTTCGGCAGAGAGCTGGCGGCGCTGAAGACCTTGTCCTCGTCAAAGAACTTGTCCTGACCGACCTTCTTGATGGAAGCGAGGACGCGGCGCAAAGCGGAAGAGGATACGACCGCCAGACCGTACTTCTGCGCCGCGAAAATCTTCTCCAGCTCCTCGTTGGCACCGATACAGGGCTTAGCCTTAGCATTCAACTTGGCGATGACTTTGTCCTCTTCCTTCGTGACGTATTCTTCCAGCTTCTCTGCATCGATCTCGAAGTCGTACTTCTTCTGGAGGGAGACGATCATGCCACGGAAGTTCTGGCCAACAAAGTCCTTGATGAGCTCCTCGCCGGTGTAACGGTCGGGGAGGTTATTGGCCTCCAAAATCTCATTGGCCAGGTCGGCACAGGCCTCGAAGGCCAGCTCCTCTGAGAGGACCAGAGTGTTGTCGCAATCGAAGAAGATTTCTGTGATCTGCAGTACCGGTTAGCACCAGTGGGTCTCTCTCTTGGGAGATACCGCAATCCTCGCACCTTAGTCATGATGAAAGTACGGAGAGTAGATCCGGGATGTTTGTTTATTGAGATGGGAATGCGAGAAGAAGTGGAATCTGTCTAGTATGATCTAGGAGAGTGGTGGATGCAGGTCAAATGAAGAGAAGAGGAATGCCGTTGAGGAAATAGGCGACTGGAGTATTTAAGTCAAGGCAAGAGCTGACCCCGAAAAGCAATGACGCCGCGCTCACAATCTCCAAGGGGAAATCGGGCCAGAGCGGGAGGGGCTGGTCACTGACGTGGGGCTAGAAGTACCAGATACCTGAGATTGGCCCAGTTTGTTCGTACAAAAACAGGTATCTCATACCTCGAACCTGGGGAGACGGCCAGACATTCAGCCAATAAAAAAGCACAGACCTATAATGGACTAGTCTGTTTATGGACTAGCGTCTTTTTTCTACGCCGAGCAGGTGCGAATGGTTTCACCTCGCAGTTTCTCGTAGTTTCTCACATTTCTTTTCTCTCACCGATTCCCTTCAATGTTTTCCGAGTTTGAAACTTGCCTTGATATACAATCCCGTTATCTCATTCTTCTATGAGTGCTCTGGTCAAGTGACTTTTAATATGCAAGTAACCTTCTCACCTGATGTCTAGATCGTACAGGACTCTATATTGCAAATGGGCCGTTTGATTGGACATCGCCCCAGGGCTGGATACGACTATACATCAGCCTACTAGGCCCAAACTCATGCACGGCCATGCTCCCGTCTTTTCACTGTTCTTTCACTGTCCTCCGAGGGGAGGCGGAACTCCAATTCGGAAAAAGCAGCCGGGGTACGGAATGATTGAGAATCATACACAAGCATGCAGGCCCGAAGCTCCGCCCGTTGGTCCATTTTTCCGTGTCGTCTCAAATAACTGGCGCGCTCAGATGATATCGAGCAAGGAGTATGCACTTGGACGTTCGGAGCATGCTTGGCGGGGATTTAAGAGAAAAACCCGACATTAACATTACCTCGGTAGTGAGTACATACAGTACTATTCCAGTTCCGGTGAACGATGAGCCATTTGACTGCCTTATACCTCATTCTATTATCGACATGGTCAAAGTGTTAATCTATTATCATCTCCGTGCCAGGGGGAGTTGTGCCCAACCATGGAAGTGTACTTCGTACTATCATTTCCGGAGCATGACACTCCGGAACCTGGCGTAGGCTTGCTAGAACCTTACTCATTATTTCATTATTCTATCCCAATAGAGACAGATTTACACAACCAGGAACCATGTAGCACAGCGTGTCGTATACATACATTGCACAAAGCCGGGTCCACCTCATACAACCATCCTGATTGGCTAGACTCAAATCCCAAAAGATAATTCCACAACGGCCTCTCACATTTGGCCCGAAGACCAAAAAGAAAAAACACCGCAACATAACCCTTCATCAAATCAAAACCAATTAATCAGCACGATTCAACGGGTCTCGGGCTAAATCGCCATTTTGCACAGCCGAACCCGAAACGGCCCCTAGTACAACCCCGGAGTACGACCCGATACCAATATTTGAATTCCAAATATACTTGGCAACAGCTCTAGCCAGAGAAAGAAAACATGGGGTCCTCCGATACTTTCCCGACACTAGAGTCCCTTCATTTCCCGTCGGCGCAGCTGTCAATCTCCCAGACGCTTTCGTCTCTGCGTCAATCAGCGCTGTCCGTCGCCAACCGGCTCCAGTCTATTGAGACCGATGCCGCTTTTGCGCAGGAGGTCGCTGACCACTATGGTTTACCTCTGGTCGCTAATGAGCGCTGTGGAAGCTGGTATATCCCGCCTACGGCCAAGGCTGGCAGTGCTTATTTCAAAAGCACCGATGGTCATACCGGTCAGTGGGATTTTAGCTTTCGTAGGCTGAACTTGCAGTTGCTCCCGCTAGCTAGGGAGCATGGGGGGGTTAGTATAATTCCCCTTCTTACTGTCTTCTTTGCTTGTGGAGTGACGTCTGTGTTAGAGTGCCTTTGGCTGGCCTTCATTGAGCCAAATATGGGCCATGGCAAATCCATCACTGCATAATCCTCACAAGAGCCCGTAAAGGAAACGCAAAAAGCTGACTATATTTTCTTTGATTCTGCAGCTGTGTAATTGTGGACTCAACCCGCCGAGGAAAACGTATGTACCCCTACCTGCACCATCCCAATTAGAGGATCATCCCGCTCCCCTTTCCCAAATGGTCACTATGCCTAAGCCTTGAGCTATTTATTAACCCGTCCCTAGTGATGCCCGACGCATTATCAAAAACCGTCCCAATCTGGAGCGCCGTCCTCAACAGAGCCCTGTTCCCATCCGCAACTGCATATCACCCAGTCCGCCTTCCACCCGATTACCTGGGCGCATCGGAAGAAGCGCAAATCGAGAACCGAATCGAAGGATTCGTGCATTCACTAAAGGTACACATGCATAACACGAATGCAACTTGCACAATAGTTGCACCGCATCCCCCTTCTTCATCCAGACAAAAATGGCTGATACTTGATAACAACCAGAGCCTAAAACTCGATCTGGATAATCTGCGCCAGCAACTCGGCAAACCAATCGAGATCGCGTGGGCAAACAGGACATATTTCCACCCGCAAGATCTGCACAAGGGCGATGAGTACAATCTGCTCGTACTATGCTCCGCTTCGAGGCGCGTGCATGGCGCTGAAATGTCTGAGGGTGGATACATCCAAGGCGCGGGTGATGATAGCGAGGCATGGGCACATGGCCTGACGCCGCCAGTGTTCTGGGCCAACCAGGATGTTTTGAAGAGGACACCTGAAGATGAATTGCCGGAGCTTATTGCGCGGCTGGTGGCTGAGCATAAGCTGCTAGATGTAGCTCAGGACGCGGCGCTCATTTCTCCCACGCGCAATTTATACATTGGCTCGGGGGCCGGGGTTGATGCTGGAGATAAGTATGATCTTGTCATTGACTGCAATGCAAGTCCTGCAGCTGCGGAAGGCAATTCGAAGAGGCTCAATTTGGGCTGCGATTCTGGGAAACTGGGAAGCCGGGATCTACGGAAATGTCTGGATAAGGTGCGTGACTTTATCGGCGCCCGTCTTGGGGCGGATTCGTCGCTGTCGGTACTGGTTACATGCGAGAATGGGAAGGATCTTTCGGCAGGGACGCTTCTGGCGATCGTTTGTCTGTTTTATAATGACGAGGGTATGTATGCAATGGCCCAGGTGGTCTGGGTGATGGATTCAGACGCTATGTGATAAGAGGAGAAAAATAACTAATTGTTTTTTACAGGCCACTTCGATGCCTCACTGAGCAAGCGTGCGATCAGCAAGCAGTTCATTCGACAGCGCCTAGCCTGGCTCGTGTCGTCGAAACATGACGTGAACCCGTCTCGCGCCACGCTTCAATCTGTCAATGCTTTCCTGATGCAGCCGCCGGATTATTGACCTCGAGCAATGTGACTACATTGCATCGCTTGGTAGGTCCTGATTCGTGTCGAAGCGCCAGGGCCATAAATAACATGCCCCGGAGATCGCTCATTCGTTGTCCACGGCCTCCACGATAGCGCCGGCATTGCCCTGGTCGAGTGAATCCAGCACAGTCATATCCTCCGCGCTGAGGTCGAAGTTGAACACATCCGCATTGGACACAATTCGTTCGGGGTTGTCGGTCTTGGGCAGAGGCACCCAGCCCTTCTGCAGCGCATAGCGGATCAAGACCTGCTGAGTGGACTTGCCGTATTTCTTTGCGACTTCCACTAGTGTTGGGTCATTGGCTTTATAGTTTCGTACGATGGGCGAATAAGCCTCGACGATAATGCCGTTCTTCTGGCAGTATTCGTTGATGACGCGCTGCTGGCACCAAGGGTGGAGCTGCAAAAATAGAATGTCAGTGATCACGATCAAACCAGAGATCTAGCTATGTAGATACTCTAGAGTAGAAATAGAAGTAAAAGCACCTACCTCAATTTGATTAACATGAGGCGGGAACACTTGCGCATATGAGCGCATCTCCTCAATGTGCCCCACACCGAAGTTGCTAACACCGATACTCTTCGTCTTGCCCTCCGCGTACAGCTTCTCAAGCGCCTGCCACAGAAGCTTCCGCCCAGAAGAGCCAGAGCTGGAAGAGTGAATCAAGAACAAGTCGACATATCCGTCAGCGCCGGCAATCTTGTGGACGGAAGCCAGCAATTTATCGTAGGTAGCCTCGACCGAGGCTGCGGGGCTGAGGATCTTGGTCGTAACGAAGATCTCATCTCTGGGAACGCGGGTGGTGCGCAGTGCCTCGCCGACTTCTGCCTCGTTGGCGTAGAACTGTGCCGTGTCGATGTGTCGGTAGCCTGCGTCCAATGCCTTCAGACAAGACTGCACGCACTGGTTGGTGGGGGAGCGGTAAACGCCGAAGCCGAGGCGCGGGATGCGGACACTCGAGTTCGGGAGAGGAAGGCGATCGGTGATATTGAATGAGGCGGACATCTTGGAGAAATCTGGGGGTATTGTTTGCGAAAGGAAAAGAAACTGACTGGGAGTGCCGAGTTCAGAAGAATAATCTCCTGGCCCCGCTTTGCGAAAATGACCTCATTTTGGATGACTAAACTCAAACACCTGCCCGGGCCGCGGCTTTCCAAGGTTCCGACATCACGCTTTCTACAATATTACCAATATAGGCAAGTCAAATTGATTTTATCCTGTTGGACTCTTCTGATCGAGAATCCCTAATCCCCTGCCTATTTACTGTCGAAAGCTGACCTTTGTACAAACTTGTTCCTGTATTGTACCTAGTCGGCAGAGAATTGCGTGATACATACATGTACCATTTGACCACTAGGGCTTCTGACTGGGCTTACTATTATTTTTATAATGCTATTGCGCCATCGAATAACATTGCCTGGAGATTTATAGCGCAATTTACTAGAGCGCTTTTGAGAAAACCAAATCAAGCTTCGGTGGTTATGTTTTTGGTCAGTTCTAGTAAACACATGTATTCAGGTAGTTTGCCGCCATGATAAGTCTCCATAAAGACTACAAGTCTCGTTGTAAACAGATACTCCTTGCAAGAGTCTTGTTCCTCACATCCCTCCTTTGTGGCCTTGATCCACTGCCTCCAAATCTCGATCTCAGCTTTTACTATACCCCAAAGAGCAGGGCGTTGATCTGTTTGGACAGGAACATATAATGGAATCTGGTGACCTTCTGTTTGGAGGCATCATTCTGTTAAACCAGTCCACTATTTATATTATTAGAATATAATCCACAGTGCCAAGGAGCATATTGACTATTTACCGTTATCATATTCTATCCACAGGCTGCGATCCCATGACGACACTGGTGTGAGTTGATTGATCCATTCACTAAACGAGCTTTTGGTCATTGTACCATCATAAACAGCATGTGTGCTCGGTTTCAAGCCACCAGGTCCTTGAATCACAATCATATGATTCCAGCCGACTTTCCTCATAGAAAACCTCTGTAGTGATGATAGCTCGTCTCGGAAAAAGTCCCAAACACGCTGCCAGAGTAGAACGCCCTGAATCTCGACGGACGAAGTCGAATAAAGCTCTTCAACAGGTATTCTCACCCGACAGAGAGTAAAAGTAGTTAGAGTCGGCTTCGCAGTGGTGAGGAACGTTTTCAGGGCACCAAAAGTGGTACAAATCGAATCAAGGTGAAGGTCTCTGAGCCGGGTGAACACAATGTTCTGGGAAAACCTCTGAAAGAGTTGAGTATTTTGCTCATACATGGACGACAATGCTAGCCTTCTTAGACTAGGAGCGAATTTGATCATAAGATCAATCCAGGTCCGAGATGCAAAAATGGTGACTTCGCTTCAGCCCCTCAAACCATATGCATAGATGGAGATCTTCCAGCTCTTCTAAGATAACAAGAAGAGAATTGTACTGTGCTTCCGTCAGCATGAGATTTGAGGAAACTACGCCACAAGCGTCAGGACAACATGTATGCAGCTTTCTGATTTTTCGGCTGGATCCGCTTAGCGCTTGCAAAAGGCATGATAGGGGCCAAGTGCTGCAACGGGCTGTCCAGCTGCTTCTAACATACGACAGAGACGAAAGTGAGAATCGGACATAAAACTGATTCTTCAGGTCGCGCCAACCTAGAAATCGAACTGTATGTTGCCGTGAATCGAGTAGAAATGATGTCGGGTGATGGGAAAGTCCGATTGTTTCAAGGTTGCGAAAACATGCGAAACATCTGCGAAGCCTGTCGACAAAGGTGGCCGATACAAGAACGTTGAGGTGGTCAGCGGCTATAGCTTGGTATGCGGCATAACGAGATTTCAATTCATCATCATCATTCGCCAGCCTGCAGCCTTTTGTCGACACCGCATAGGAAGAGTGGGCAAATACGTCCTTGTCCATCTCATAAAAGCCTCCGAAAACGATGGGGATTATCCACAACTCCTGAACCCGGTCCCGGAAAGTGTCAGACTTGGAAATATCTTCCAGTTCACTGAGACCGCTGCTTGTTACAATGAAGCGCATGCTCTTGAAGTGCCGATCTGAGAATTTCTGGAGGGATTTTGTGTACAATGCGGAACATGATAATCTGACAGCTTGCCAGTCTGATAGCTGTAGATAGCTGCAGATCATGCCTATCAGCTCGACTGGGAGAGTCGCGAACATCTTGACCGGACTTTGTGTTAGGTCGACTGGTGATAGTAAGAAGAGAGAAGAAGAGGCCACAGGCGGTAGAAAAGAGAGACCATGGGTGATAGCAAAGAGAAGGGGGATACCATAGGTGATAAAAAAAGGGATGGAAGAGAGCTAACAAAAGAATAGAAGAGAAGAGAGAAGAATATAAACTTGAACCCCCCTGTCGTGAGCATGCTATTAATCTACTAATGGAGATTAATGTAAACTAATAGAAAATGTCAACCCTTTCACCAAACAGGGGGCGCCAATTTGCACAACAGGAAGCAATTGCATACCTCTACATACAGTTTCTATATTATATCAAGTATGTGATTCATTTCCTTCACCTCGGATATCTCGCAATTTCCCTTCGCTTCTGAGATGACTATATATAGACCTTCCCCTTTGCTTTTTGTTGAGGGCTACAATACTGGAGATCTAGTGGATAGCACTAGCATGGGAAAATCGGGAAGAAGAGAGGTGATAATGAACCTATGGAAAGCAGGCTGTATATAAAGCCTGCACTAACAAAGAAACAAAGAAATGGCAAACTAGCAAAGGCTCAGTCTGTACAAAGAGACAAAGACATCCCATGTATGTCAACACTTTTGATCTCTCTTCTTCCTTGCTATCACTCGCAATCCTCGGGCTTCTACGCAAGCCCGAAGGCCTCACTCTACAGAAACCAGGGATGCTCTCTCTACAGAAACAAAGAATAGGCCTTCATACACATATTGGCCGGAAAGGCCAACTCCCAGGGTACAATCTGCAAGGTCACGGCTGAGGCTGACGCCGCTCAGGTCCTTGCGGACCGTACCATTGCCCACGCTGCTCGCTTTACCACGCGCGTCGCCACCATCCGTGCTGTAAGATACCCCCTCTTTCCCCCCAGCCATTGACAAAGAACAACAAGAAGACACCCTGCAGCAGTTCTTAGGGATTCTCAATGTCAGCAGGATTGAACAAGCCCGGAAATTGCCATCGGACAAATTGATCGCCGCCAATGCGTACCAAGTCGCAACCAAGTCGCGTCCAAGTCTCAGTGGGGACAATTCACCTACGACTCAACCAATTGACGGTTGGACCGCAAACTGCCCTCCGTACGACAGCTCACTTCGCTTACTTCTGAACAAGATGTCCCTTTCCCCGCACGAAGCTGCTCTGCAGGGTTTCGAGACGTTGCTTTTTAGTGGTATTAGACCAATGGAGCTTTACCGTGCTGTACAACTCTTGAGATCTACCCCGGCCACTAGAGGGGGAGCTGTGAGCACTGCCCTCAGAGTTCAACATTGCTTCCGACAACCTCACTAGAGGCTGCGGTCCCAACCTGTTTAAAACGATGTTAGACCTGAGACTTAGTATACCATCCCACGAAAGGTCTGCCTGGTGTAAAAGAATTGGTGGGGGGGGGGGGGAAAATCTCTGACCTTGAGAAGGGTCAGAGCCTTTCCCTAGTCATTGCCGGTGGCCACCTCCCAGACCCTGCGAGACACTTCTCTCGCCGAGCATATCGAGTGGCCACTCGCTGAGACAGTGCATGCTACTCTGCCCCGGTGGTCGGAGGGGAAGTTGCAGAAAGGTCAACTGACCTAGAGGAACAAATCCAGTTTACGAGCTCAGGCCGGGCTAAGAATGGCTATGGAGTTTCGCCACAAGGGTTTGATACCAGAGAAGAAAAGATAGCATTCTACGATGGTTATAATGTGGATGACCCGCGAGGCCTTCTCACTTGGCAAAATCATCTGATCCAACTCATTGGCTCCTATTCCAAACCTACCTTAGTAGCGAACAAGTGCTTATTGGCGCTGGAGCAATTAACAAATAATAGACTGTGAACACAATTTTTCACTAGAGCGCAAGTAGCGGAGATGGCCCGGCCCTTAAAACGTTTACTTTATTAATTAATACAATGAGATTTCGGTGTTCTCTCTCTCAAATTCCTCCACGTAGATTCTACAAACTAAACTTACTGTAGCCAAACCGTAGATAGCTCCACTTTTGACTATACTACTCGGTGGAACCCTATTCTGAAATTATTGTTCTATTTAGCGCTTCCCCGTATAATTCCAAGGTTCTTTAATCCCCTTACGCAAAAGGGAAGGCTCCACGAGGGGGCCGACTAATGTACCCGAGTATTTGCGTTATAGACATAATTCCAGACGCATATGTTGTGTTCCATATGGTACTCATTTATGTTGTGTTCCATATGGTACTCGTTTCTATAGGCAGATACTTGAGTGTCATGCCAATAGCAAGCCATTCGTTCGCAATTGTGTCAGTGATAAGTGACCATACAACTGACCCATACCTTCAGACACGATGCACATCATCGACATGCTGTACTTCAGGAATTCCTTTGAGATCTCGCTCATTTTGGATGGTCTGCAAGCGAGTTGGTACGAATTTTGCCCTAATATTGTCCTGGGCAAAGAGCTCGTTCATATCCTCGAGCAAGAGGCCTATACTTTATTAGCAAGTAAAATAATCAAATGCTGGGACCGGAGCTTACCATTCGTCTCTGGTACAAGGAACCAAGCAAAAATGACCATGGCAAAGCAGAAAGATCCATATATAAAGTAAGTACCAAATCCGTTGACACCAAGAGTTGCGAACATGCTTGGAGTGGCCTTCGCGACAACGAAGTTGAATAGCCACTGGCTGGCTGTTGCCATTCCCATCTGAAGAGTTCGCAGACGGGCGGCTGGTATCTCCTATATTGATGGTTAAACAAGGCCAGAGAGAAAAGTCTGCAATGATTTGGCGTACAGAACAGTATGTCCAAACAACAGGACCCCATCCAAATTGATAAACAGCAGCGAAGATGTAGATTGCCACCAAGGCAACATAGCCTGCAGCAGTTGGGCTCATCCCACTAACAGGAGGATCAAAGCGAATGTAAAAGCCGACATAAAATAGGGCAACTCCCTGTATAAAGTCCGTTAGCATGAAGTATGGATGATGATCGTGGTAACACTCCTACCTGAACAACACCGGTCCACAGCAAACTCCGCCGTCGACCTAGTGAATCTGTCACGAAGAAAATGAAAATGAAGCATGAAACTAATTTGACAATGCCGTATATTCCCGTTGCAAATAGTCCAACTGATGACTCGGATAAACCAACGCTTTTGAAGATTTCCGGGCTGTAGTAAGTCATGGCATTCGTCCCAGTCAGGTTGCTCCACATCATCAGTGTCACACATAGGAAAGTCCGACGCCGATACGACTTCACCGTAAACGCCTCTTTGAAAAGAGTAAAAGCAGACGCGTTAGCAGCAAGTGCTCTCTCTTCTTCAAGTTGGAGAAGAATTCCTTCCATTTCGTTTTGCACATAAGGATGATCCATTGGAAGGTCGCGTAGCTTCGATAGAACAGCATGTGCTTTCTCGGGGCTCTTCATGGCAAGGAAGCGCGGTGACTCGTTTGCAAATATCATTCCAATGAAAAGGATCACCGCGGGAAGGGCTTGGAGGGCTAAGGGAATGATGTACTGTGGTTTGCCCTTGATATGCAAGGAGCATCCATAGTTAATCCAAAATGCGAGCTGGTAATTGTTAGTTACAAATAGCATGCTCTTAGAAATTCTGAAAATCGTACCGTTAATCCAGTCACAACACTGAGCTGGTAAAACCCTGTCAATAACCCTCTAATACCTCGAGGGGCATTTTCGGACACGTAAAGCGGGTTGACTGTCGATGCAATGCCAATCGCTACTCCAGCAATAAACCTGCCCACATATAACGCTGCAATGCGACCCATAGCTGCGGCCTGCAAAGCGACTCCAATAAAGACAAGTACTGACGCGAATATGAGTGACAAACGTCGGCCAATGCGGTTGGCTAGCCATATTGCGATGAGACATCCCAGGAAAGCGCCAGCCTGGATCACGGAGACGATGTTAGAGGACAAATTGGCGTGACCGGTGGTGGTCAGCTTATTGAGGCCGTAATCGCTGGAAGATATGTGAGACGTGTTATACCGGATAACATTAGAAGTCTTCTTACTCTTTGAATGGACCCATAGTCAAGACTCCGCCGATAATTCCCATGTCCATACCAAAGAGCAAAGCACCGCCACATGCCTGTTTTCCTAGTGTTAGCGGTAGTTTATGATGGTTATAGTGAACTATAAGCAACATACCACTAAACTGACGACGATCGTCCGAAGGTTGTAAATGTTGACAGGGTCTGTTCTAACCGCCTCATTGCGAATGAACTTCTGGAGAAGCATGATGAAATTGAGGATAGGGCAAGAAGAATTGGAATATGGTGATGAGAGTATGCAATGGGGAATAAGAATGGCATATCAACTATCTATGTCATTGGTACTAAGTATAGTAGAATCCCAGCACTGGTGAGCTTGTAGTAACACTTGGCATGGCGGTAATAGACGGCCCTCAAAGACAAACCTTCCCCGCAAAAGTCTGATATTGGACCTACCTAGGTAGATAGGAATCTGGGGCTACATTAAAATTTCCCCGCATTTACCCCAGACGTACTCAGCCCCATGGAAATCGCCTAGCCAGACGGCACATGACTTTTTGACAACAGAATTGGCAAAGGATAGACCTAGAAATTCCACCACTCACAGAACAGGCAAGATGTAGGCACCCTTGAAAGAAACGAGAAAAAAAATGTGCGAATAGTAATCAGATCATGTAAGTCAAGACTGTCCTCTGAGACTAGCTAGCCGGCTTTATGCTGGCTAAGCAGCTGTTGCACATAGGTCCGTTTGCATTGAACACTTTAGCAAAGCTCACTAAGTAATAATATCTGCTTGGAATGTACCATTCAACTCATGGGACTAGACCCGGGATATATGAAGTAGTTCTACCATCTTGCAGGTGGTAGCTTTCTCTCTACATATGTAGTTATAGACCTGAGGGTCTACACGAGCCTTACCCTAGGTCTCCTTGGTTTAGATATTGCATCCACCTTTGACTCTCGATAGATTCAATGTTCCATTCATTGAACAGACTCTCGTCAATATGTTACCTGCGCTACATCATAGTGCTTGTCAAACAGTTATGATTCATAGATCAACGTCTTCACCATATACTAACCCTAGAAATGGTCTGTATGGAGCTCCCATCTCTCTTCTTAAAAGCCCTCCCCTTTATTCTTAGTCACGGTGCTTTAAATGACGCAGAAAGCAAGTTAGCAGATATTTGGGCAAAGTCAATCGGACTGGAAAGGGCTACGCAGAGATTTTAAGCGCAATGCCATTAGGGTCGGGAATAATGACCGGGCATTTATCTGCCAAGAGAGTTACGCTCAGTTACAAAAGGAGCAACCAATGCATTAGTATTAAGGAAGCAACTAAGCGTGGGCAAGGAAAGAAGAAGAGATTGCGAGGAGAGACCTGTATCCAGGTGGGATGCCTACGGCAGCAATCATCAGACCAGGCGTCAGACCTCTCCGCATGTGCTTTGTTCTTCGCCTGACTTGTAATAACCAACCAAGACGGTTCTCAACCTTGGATATCACTGGGGCTTGAATACAATTTGGCATTGATGTTCCTTTGATTATAGTAAGCGCACAATCCAGTGATAGGTTCAGGTATTGAATTACATACCCGTACACCACAGCAACTCTCGTCATAAAAGACCTCAAAACGGCTAGTAATGCCAGGGGAGACAATGTCAAAGCCATCTCTGGGTTCCGTTGTATATTTGCGGTAAAGCGCAGCCAGAAACGTGGTCATTTCAGCCATGGCAAGACTAGTGAGTGTAAGTAACAAAACATTCACATCACCCACTGGAAGCTGTCTTACTGCATCCCAATGCACATCCGTCCGCCACTAGAGAAGGCCCAAAATAACTTATTCATTGCCGCAGCGTCCTGAGATGGATCAAGCCAGCGGCCTGGGTCGAACGTTAGAGGGTCCCTGAAAACATTTTCGTTCCGATGTAGAATATAGGGTGAGATTGAAACGACAGTACGGGCAGGAATGGGATAACCATCGATGGTTGTGTCTTTTGGTAGCGATCTTGGTTGTGACGCTGGAAGAGGCGCGAAGAGTCTCAGCGTTTCTTTGATAACTGCATCCACATATTCTAGCTTGCTGGCCACTTCTGTCCGTGGTATACCGTCCGCATTAAGCTCGTCTTCTGATAGATTTCGGACTTCATTGATGAGTCTCTGCTGGAACTTCTCATGTTTAGGGCGAGAAAGAGACCAAATTGCGAACATAAGAGTGTCACTTGTAGTGTCAATCCCCCCCATCGAGGTGGTCTGCGCATTCAGACGCTATGTCGAGATCATCTAGGCCGCCCTCTTTCTGAGTGGAATGATGCTTCCAGAGCTTTGAGATGAGAGAAGTTTGCTTGGCCTTCTCTTCGGTCGAGAAATTCGAGAACGTCCGGAAAGCTTTCATTGCATGCAGTTTGATATCGGTGTATGGTATCGGGTCCTGCAGTGGGTAGAACCGACGAGCGATGCAGCCCATTAATCCGGTCCTCGAGTAAAGCCAAGTCGTGAATTTCGGGTGATGGACCATGAACCATGTAAATCTGCGACTGCCAGTGGCCATAATATCACGAAGAAGTGCACAGTCTTTTTCCACGCTATCCAGACATGCGGTTTTGCCAGCATCGCCATATACGAACTCTGTGATGTTATCCAAAGAGAAGTAATGTAGTGTGGGGAAAATGTCGATAGATCGACCGTTGCGCTCTCTCTCCAAAAGCTCTATGAACTTTCTGGCCTTTGTTTCAATCGTGCGCGCCGTCTCCCCTTCAGTACTGTAGACTTGGCATACGCATGTGCGAAGAGTTTTTTCCGGTCGCCATGCCGTTTCACAGAGCTAAACGAGAACATGTTCTGCCGCCCGTATGCCGAAAACATATTATAGAATGTGGTCCTTTCAAAGCCGCTCCCGGCCCCATAAATTGCACGCAATGCCGAAAGACTGTTGAATGATATCTCATTTGGACCCACGAGGACCACCGGCCCATATTGCTCATGAAGTGCATGAAGTTTGCGGGTACGCGTGCCCTTGTAGTCTTCGAAAGCAAGTCGCCATTTCGTTAAAGCAAAGGACTTCGGCCCTGGGATCCCAGCCAAAGGACCGAAGAACAGAGACTGGCAAATATAATGAACCACGAAAGCGATACTGACCGCAAAAGCGGCCGCGATTGTCATAAACATCTTGATGCCAGCGTTGTGGCAGACGACGTTCCACGACAATCTGTCCGCTGAGCGTACTTTGTAGGTCGGTTATAACGGAGACGATTGATGCTTCCCCTCAGTTAGTTGCCATTAGGTAACCGCCTAGTTTTCTTTCTAACACTGCAATAGCCAGCGACGGCTGGGGCTCCAGCCATTTCCATAGGATTTCTACCCCACAAGTCGACCCCGATTGATGCTTCCCCGCAGTTAGTTGTTAGTTGGCCATTAGGTAACCACCTGGCCAGTTTTCCTAACACTGCAATAGCCAGCATCCGACTTTCTGGCACAGCATACGGGGCATCCGGAATTTCAGGTTTCGGTGGCCAAGTGCGTAAGCCGAAGGTGGTAGCGTCCTCCATACTTTCGGCAAAGTGTAAACTGAGACGCCATCGACCGAGAAATCTCCGTCACGGAAGGCAAATGAAATAATTTGGGCAATAGGGCAGTACGCCAGTTGGTAATCCCTATGTATAAAATTTGGTCCAGAGAGGAAGATTTAGCAGCAGACCAGCTATGAAATTACGAAACATATATAGGCCTTACCCATCGGCGCCTTCTGGCCGACCTTTGAGGTTGCGGAACTCGATGATAGCGCACAGAACATCCCGGTTGCTTTGGGGGTCTTTCAGATAGAAGAGCTCGATGTCCCGGTAGCAGACAGAGTCTAGAAGATCATTCAAAGAGGTGTGCTTCGGAAGATCACTCTGGAAAGCTTGTCCTTGATTGCGTTTACCCAAGAACGACTCGCCCGGCAGGTAGCTTTTTTGTAGGAGCAGTACACCTGGTCGAGTCCCAGTTATAGCAGAACAGAGCTAAACTATGGAAAATTGAATAATCATTGTCATTTTCGGCGTCATTTTCACAGGTCCTTATATTCTATATGTAATGCGACCATTAAAGGCCGTCGAGAGGCCGCCACACCTTCATCCATCGCTTGTAGAAATTAGCCAACATACAGTCAGATAGTACTCAATCGGGAAAGGGCAACATACGTGATCGTAAGGTTTCTCGGGATCAACAAATCGTAAATCGGTTGCCAGCCGAATCTTACCATTAGGATCCCTGTTCTTGCAACTAGCATGCACCATCCACGGATTATGGAAGATAACGTCTCCAGCCTCGTACTCAGCAATGAGCCATTTTCGATGCACTTCTTTTCCATACGCCACTGTATCGCGGCTCAAGAAGCCACCATCACTCATGTTCTTGTTGAAAGCACTAACGCGCTCCTCATCTGACAGATTGTGTGCGTTTCTCGAAAACTCTGCTTCACATTTCTGACCGATATCAGTGGAGCCCTCAAGGTACATCAGGCCACCGCCCTCGAGAGACACGTCTCCGATGGGTACCCATGCAGTGATACTTGTAGGAGGACCAGCACGTAGGTACATCTGGTCGAAGTGGACAGGGGTCAACTCGCTATTGGGAACGAAAGCACGGAGCATGGTGCGTTGAAGCATTTGTGGATTCTTCCAGCCGTTGAATCTGCTGATAAACTTTCGAAGCTCTTCATTCGCGCAGAACTCTAGGTAGAAAGGCGCTGAATGGGCCGAGATCATGAGTTCGAGATACTTCTCGCTCTCTGCGTCGTCTTTCAGTCCGAAAAGACGGCGGAGATTCCCTGGCGGCAGATACTTCCGGCTGTCTTTTCCAGAGAAGATCCCTTCAACAGGCGAGGTTCCTTCCTTCAGCAGACCGCTCGTTGCCATATATTCGAAGTAGGCTTCACGGCATTTCAGGGAGGCTTCTCTCGGGTATACATCCCTTTACCTAGTTTCCAAACTGGATTAGCTCATATTATACTGGCACCTAGGTAGCGTGAGATAGTAGACATACAAAGAGATATCCATCCCGCTCAAATCGTTCATGCATAATTTCTAGTGGTGTATCGACTGAAGTCGGCTGAAGGTATCCGACACTGCTAGGGTCCATGGGTCCGAAATTGGACTCAAGGTTGAGTGTCTCCGGGTCGGCTGGATAGTATGTACCATACTGGTCATCGACCGCAGGTTCCAAGGTGCTGGTATGCTGTGGGCTTTCTGCCGTCCGGACTCTTGGGGCATGCTGGGGTGATTCAAGGCGACTGGGAGCCATGGTAACGGCCGTGGAAAAGGAAGCTGGGTTTCTAACAAACGTTTGAGCTCAGGCAATCTGGAATCCTAGAAACAATATAATTTCCGAAAGATGGAGAGCGGAGAGCTATGGTATGACGATGTGAACAAAGCTATATATCTGGCTCATGAAGCCACCCCGCAGCTTACGCCGGAGGCAGGCCGAGCTCTGGAGACACCAATGCGACGTTTGGGCCTTCAGGATACCAATGGGCATTACCATTGATGCAATAATTCGAATCAATCCGAATCATAGACATCTGAGATTCGAAATGGCACTATCTGTAGCCATCTATAACCGTCTAGAGCCGACCCCGCATTGGCATCTATCCCGAATGCGGGGAAGAGTATATCTGTAGCCGTCTAAAGCCTTGGGCACCCCCAACTTCTCAAACAAATTTCGCATCAATTAGGTTGCATGAAGGGCAGTTGGCTTATACAGTTGACACGGACCGGGGAAAGATGATGAGAAATGACCAAGGGCCAGAACCTTCGACAATATCGGGCCTGTGTGAGGTGTCGCTCCCGAAAAACGCGATGTGATCTGTACGTATCCTTAGCACCATGAAGAAAAGAATTTCCCCTTCAACCGGCTGGCCAGTCCAAATTGCAGATTAACAGTCTGGTCCCTCTAGGCAAAGCACTGGAGAACCGGGGATACCTCCGTGCGTCAAATGCTCCCGTGAGGGCGCCGTATGTGTCCTGGCGGGTTCTCGCCGTGGTGGTGACTTCTCTCGATACCGCCGGTCACGGAAGGAATCATCTTCGCAGATAGCAAACGAAGGACTGAGTCAGCAATGTTTGGACAACGTTCATTCTTCCCTAACAGGCCTATCGGCTTCGCCTCTAGATAATGAGGCCTTGCAACCCACAAATGCAGAGACGCCAATACACGATAATCTACAGAACCCGTCGGATGCCTTACTGATTCTGGCCCATTCAGCTGGCCAGCCGGATATACAAGAAGAACGTATTATCGACGATGACGCTCGAGTGCCTCGACATAGCCATGCTAGTGGCGCTGCCCCAGGAGGAACGGGCGGACAAGTGCAATATGACAATATTGGCAGTTGTCGTAACACCTCATCTATTACGACCACTTATCTGCCAAACCATGAAAGGGGCTCATACTATCTACTGCAGAATAAGATAATCACTTTGCCGCTGTTGCTGGACCTTCTACGTCTGTAAGTCAACGCATCGGGTAATTCGAGGGCACTTGGAACAATTACTGATCTCGGTTAGATTCAGGAAAAATTACCATCCATTCTTCCCGATAGTACCCCCAGAAGTCCTTGACCCAGCCCGCCTTGAACAGAATGCAACAAAAGAGTCTTTCCTGATCACTGCAATCTTGGTCATTGCGCTCCAGGACTGCTCTGATTTCACAGATCTCTACAAAGCCACCTGGGATTATCTCCGCCAACAGATCTTAGACATTGTTCTCGGGGTAGCTACCAGCCGCCATATTGGCTGCGTCGAAGGGCTTTTACTTCTTGGAGAATGGAATCTGATCAACTATGGCCAGACACAGGCCGACGATGGTGGTGAGGCTGCATGGTCAATCCTAGGCGTGGCTGTGAGACTGGCATATCGGCTACGATTAGAAGATAGCGGGTTCGAAGAAAAGAACCAAGAGCTCGACCCTGCGTCGCAGCGGAAGCGTCTAGCGTGGACCTGTAAGTGTTTCATTGGAATAAGAAGACAGAAATATTGACATTGGTAGTCACCTACCTCTCAGATCGCCAGATATCGATTCGAATGGGTCAAGCTTTCTGGTGTCGTGGCCCAGGTCTCTCGAGGAGATTCACAGCACAAGACTACCCCTCTCTCCAACCGAAGAATGCCAACGATGAAGATCTTGCGTCGTGGATCCAAGCACAAGTTGAGCTAACGACACTATTTGGAAATGCGCACGATATTCTCTTTGCATCCAAGTCGCACACGGTGAAGCTCATCACCCGTGGAGACTATGTCAAGTATATCGACGATACTAGCCGAGCAATGGCTGCGTGGGAGCACGCATGGCAATCACTTGCAGTATCCAAGCATTTGAAAAGCTTTTTGACATTGATGAAGGATTATCTTAGACTCTATGTCAACGCCTTTGCATTCCAAGCCGTCATTTATCGTGCTTCCCGCGCCTCCCCAGAGAAAGGCGATGTCGGTGGACCAAGTCTGGACTTTCCCAACTCGACAATGGCTAGTGCTGATGCGCGACATATTTACGAAGCGCTTGATGCCGCAGAATCGCTGTTGAAAACATTTTCCGAAGACTTCGATCCCGAAAAGCACTTACGCTACATGCCAACTCGCTTCTACCTGCAAGTTCCAACCTGACTAAATCATATTTGACTCGACAAAAGAAACTAATCCAAATAGATACGAAATTCACTCCTCGGTATTCCTCTTCAAAGCCCATGCATCAGGAGCCATCTCCCCAAACAGGTACTCCGAAACAGAGGCCCTAATGAAGCGCTTCATTTCGCTTCTCACAACCATTTCCGACGACGAAAACCACATAGCCTCCCGCTATGCAAGGCTTCTTCACAAGCTATGGTTTCAGCGCCCTGATACCCCAACTGTCGAGGCTTGCGCTCCCGACGACACGGCCATGGATCCACAGGCATCATCGTTGCCGATCAATACAGACGTCACTCCTGCCCCGTGGGATATGTTTAATGAGTTTGGACTGGAAGGGTTTAGTTCTACGAATACCATGGACGGGTTCTTCGCAATGCCTCCTGTATTTCCCTATGATGTTTCCATGTTCTTTAACCCGAAGAGCGATGAGGCAAATTATCACATCTGATGGGAATCGCAGCGCTAAGCTTGCTTCTGTAGGTCGAGATTATTGAGCTGCAGTGTTAAATTAAGGGAGCGACTCCAAGGTAATTGCTGGGAACTTACTAGAACTACCGAATTCAGTAGTCCTTCTAGATGGGTTTCCAAGTGTCTTTCTGTATATCTTTTTAATACCTTTAATGCACTCATGCCAGCTATGCTTTCATGCGGTTTGTGGCGGAGCGTTTCTTGCTCGATATTCCCAGGCTTTATGTCTTTGTTTCCTTTGTCCCATGAAGCTATACAGGCGTGAGCTTCATGTAGTTATATAGAGATTTACCATCATCTAGTATTATTGATTCTGATCACCTCTCTCTCGTATAGATCTGTGGACATGGACAATATCGATATATCGGGCTCTAAATGTCTTCTAAATGTCTTCTTAGAATTTGCTAATGTATCTAAGCTCGAATCTTTCCCTCCCTTGCTCTTTCCTCAATGTCCACTCTACTTTCAGAGCCGGGGGGGGGGGGGGGGGGGTTTCTGGCCGTGAGGGCTGTGAGAGACGTCAAGTCGACTGAGGTCGGAAATTGACCAGTAATTCTCCACGCCCACTCACTCACGTGTATCTCAACCCACTCCCGCGCTGAGACCCCGGCCAGGTGATTTGAGATGGTGGATCTGCGCCAGGAATACCCTGATCTACTAGGAGGCACTCTGCCTATCTCGGCCTCCATACCACCCCAGGCTCATCCTGGTGCCCTCAGCACTAATCGACACGTCTCTTGGAGGTTGAGAGGCACTTTGGCGACGCCCTTACCGTTTGGCTTTTCTACGGTGCGAGCTCACGCACTCAGAGGGTGGCATCCTTAACTTTGCCGAAGAGGCATTCCTCGCGCCGAACAGCGCGAAAACATATTGCCCATCGACAATCTCAACGTGTCCCGATCATGCACACCCACAGCGCTTAGGGCATACAGACGTATGGAACCGGTGCTCTTGCTTATCTCTGAAATAATCCTTGATCGCCCCTCAACTTTCAGCATTTTCGCTAGACGGGGAGATATTGGTACGTCGGTCGTCGAGATGAGCGACGAGACGAGACGTAAACGGGGTACGGCAGGACACCAGGGCCCGCTCACTATGGCCCTCACCGACATGGAGAGGTCCGACAACCCCATGAAGCCAAACTGCCGTACAACCTGCACGACGACCTATACTTCCGACCTGCCAGAGGCGAGGACTCTCTTTGTCTCCCAAAAAGACGTCTCGTTGACACAGAGACAGAACTGGCCCTACCAAACGAAGAGAATCATTGACCTAGTCGAAGCATATCCCGGAGGTCAACTAGATCCCAAGATGACCTTAAACTCCTTGTCATAAGCCGAAACCCGCGTCCTGAGAGAAAGCAGAAAAGCCCGTGACACCATCAATGACATCCCCGAGAAGTACAACCTTGCAGGAATGGCGGTTGCATTTTCAGAAGACCAATTTCGTATGCATTCATCACACGCCGAGTCAGAGGAAGATGAGCCGAAGCCAAAGCGTGATGTGGAAGAGATCAGTGGTGTGTTTCACCCAGACGTCGTTCGGATTCCGTCAATGCCAGGGCAAAGCCTGGCTCTCAAGGAGAATGAGAGCTCCTCGGGAACGTTTGGGGACTTCTTCGAAATTGCCCTTCCTGGCCTTGCGGAACCAGTGGTGGAAATTCGCACTTGCTTCCATGGGTTCTATTGCGGCAAAGAAGGTGATTACAGCTTTATCCCGGTTGCCAACCCTCCACACACCACCCAAACTCCTCCTCTGGCGCCTACAGCCTGGCCGTCCTTTATGGTAGAAGCTGGCCATTCCGAGTGGCTTCGATAACTCCGCCGCGACGCGAAATGGTGGCACACAGACTGAGTCCCTAAGACCCTGAATTCCTTCAACCCTCTCCTCAAAGGGCCGAAAGGTCGCATTTGAAGACGCTTCAGAGTCGGGTCCCATCTCCTCCCCCGCATAAAAGTCGCCTAGATTAATCCGATCTAGACATTACGTGCCTTGAGACCGGTACGGCCTGGGAGGTGCGATCCTTTGGTTCATTCAATCTGTCAGCCAGCATTCAATTATTTTGCCTTCAGAGCGCACCATAGAAGTTTGACATGATGAAAATGAATGAAAACTGGATATTGCAGCTATTCACTGAACCACATTGGAAGCAGAAGCAGCCGCTAAGCACACAAAACAGCACATTTTCTCGGCTTGCGTTTTTGGAGAATGAACCTGTAGAGGACCAGATTGGCGCCTCTATCAAACGAAAGACCTACCAGATGATGTCCAGGTTGAAATGGGCAAAGGAAAAAGAGTCAGTTTCACCGATGTTTGCCAAACTGCGAGCGCAAGAGTTCTGAAGTTCCGATCTGGGTCTCAATATCCTGTATTTATTATTATAGCCCCTTCTTGATATGTAGAAATGAATAAAACGAATGATATTCCGGGGGGGAAATGGACCTATTTTGCCTATTTTTGCTTTTTTTGCCTTATCTTTTTGAGCGCCCGGGCAAAAGGTCAGGAGATCAGAGATGTCACCTCTGCCTACTCGTAAATGGTTTCCTACAATTTCTGTAACATGTTTAATACTGGTGAAAAGCAAACTCCATGGCATCCCAATACAATGAGCTATGTGAGGAGATCTATGTGCAAATCATGGAAAGGATGGAAAGGGGCCATGAAGAGGGAGGCCGATTTGCTCCTCATGGCACTGCGAGGAAAGTGCTTCAGCCAGAAGTTTTGCGACGATTTTTTCGAAGTCTTCAATTGGACATGTCAGATTTTGACCTTGAAGACAATTTGCTCAAAATGCGACAACGGAAGCTTTATGATTTCCTAGCGATTCTCATTTTCACTTCCTGCACTATCGAGGCTGCTCGAACATTCACCATCAAACTATTGGCTCAAACGACCTCGCCAGATCTTTACACTCTACCAGCAGAGCGTAAGACGCTCACGGAGATTTTCGGGGAACAGGTCACGCCGGATAAATTTATGACCCAACAAGCATGTTTTTGTCCTATCGTGATCTGCAACAAAAAGGAAGTCCGAATTCCCAGCCTGGACCGGCAGTGTTTACCCTACCTGGAGCAGAAATTTCGTGGGAAAGGAGCGTACGGCACTGTATACCAGGTGAAGATTGCCAAGGGCCACTTTTACGACTCGGACATTAGAGGAACAAATCAGCAGCCGAAGGAAATGGCACGCAAAGATTACCAATCCACCAAGGATATGGAACAAGACATCTTGAAGAAGATCCTCGCCTGCGATCGGACGTGCCCGAATATCGTGGATATCTACGGCAGTCTTTCCATTGGCACGAATTACAGCATCTTCATGCCTCTCGCCATATGCGATCTGAGCGCCCACATGAAGGAGGACAATCGAACCAGACCATATACCATGGCGGAGAAGACGGACATAATTCATTGCGCTCGGGGTCTCGCACGTGGGCTGGAGTTCCTTCATAATGGCATGAGGACTGCCGAGGGGGAGCGGATAGTCTGTTACCATATGGACCTCAAGCCGAGCAACATTTTGGTCTTCCTCGGAAATGTGGGAGACAAGCAGGGATTCATCTGGAAAATCAGTGACTTCGGCATGTCTCGCCTCAAATTGAAATCTCGTCAAGAGGAAACAGACTTCGACAGCTGGTTTGTCCGGTTCCAGCAGCCTAGGGATGTATCGGCCTCGGCAACGTACAACAGACGCGGAGATGGCGGCACTTATCTTGGGCCCGAGTCCCTTTCACCACATCGAGCTATGAGGACAGCGAACGATATCTGGTCTTTGGGATGTGTCCTCAGTACTGTTTTTGCGTATTTGGAGGAGGGCAGCTCTGGCGTGGAAAAATATCGAGAAAAGAGAAGGAACCATCGAGCCTCGGATGGTGATCGGTTCTTCGTCACAAATTCACTATTTAGTCGACCAAAGATCCACCCAGAGGTCACAGAATGGCATGACAAACTGATAAAGAAAGCTAGAAAGAGGAGTCCCAAAGAAGGAGAAGCTTTGAAATCGATGCTGGATTATCTAGAGCGCGAGGTTCTTCAGCCAGACCAATTGAAGAGATGCAAAGCCGATAAATTGGAGGAAAAGTTGCTCGACACATATCGAAAGTACAAGGAGTTGGAAAACGAAGGGAGCCTATCTTTGCCAGAGGAAGAGTCTGGTCTAGGCAGTAGGCTCCGGAGAAAGCGCATCGATGTGCTCATAGGCAAAAAGCCCGCCACAGACAGAAGCGTCGAGCGTTGGTATCTACGTGAACCAGAGCCTTTCAAAGGCTGCGAGATCTCTCCAGACGGGACTGTTATTGCGTTTTGGACTGACACCAAAATTTCGCTTTACACTTCGCAATCTCTGGAGCAAGACGAGGTTGATATTGTTCGCCCGGCTGCAGAATATCCGATCCCCATACGAGAATGTCGCTGGAAGAGTATCAGTCTGACCAGAAAACATCTGATAGCTTCTACCTCCGGAGGAAGTTTTCAAGTAAGCTTTTCGTTCTCTTTTACCTCTCTTTTTCCCATTCCCATCTAATGAGATTTTGAAGTGTTATATTTTTAAACTACGAAGGGGGTTAGTAGGTATGGACGTCAATCTCAGACATGGGGATCGAATCTCCCTGCCAACACTGCCGGAGATTAAAAAAGTGGCTCTCGCACCTGGAGGTCAGAGATTGGCATGCGTTGTCAGCGACAGAGACGAGGATCAAAATGCCGGCTCCTTGTACATTGGTTCCATCCATTCTCCATACGACTGGCAGCTTGGAAGTAAACTGGATTGGCCAGCAGCAGATGTGGTTCAGTTATCATTCTCAACAGATGAAGACCTCCACATGGTTTTCCGACCACAGCGAAGTGGTCCAAATCGCAAGCACGAAATTCCCGTCATTCATGTGTCTCTTCGGACTAACCAGCTATGCCCGCTCATTATCGAACCACAAGTGAGTCTTCCGCTATGTTCAACGTCAATTGTCTGTCTAATCTCTCCTATACAGGGCCTTGAGAGTAGTAGTACTGTTGGTCTTTTTACCACTTTCGCTCCACTTTCCCAAAAGCCCCATGTTTGTGTACTTGTCACCCGAGAAAAACAGTTGCACATCCAAAGCCTTGCACAAGTGGATAAGTCAGCTGCTATACAGGCGGATATCAAGAACTACCGAGTGCTAAAGCTCATGATGGGCAAGGATGATGAGAAAATATTCGCCATGGGGAGGCGCGCGGCCCATCATAAGATGCTTTTATTGGAGATTGACATGCCAGTAACTCAGGACATGCCAGTACCTCAGGACATGCCAGTACCTCAGGCAACAAAGATTTCTGTGACAGAGCTTGCTGAAATTCCGGGTCTGGCATACAGCGATGATTTTGCAGAGAGAGTCGTTCACGGTGAAAGCGAGAGTGTCGTTATTCTTGCTGCTTTGATGGGTGCGAATCAATGTGGCATATACAAAATCACTGTGCCTAGTTCTAGATCGGGTACCTCAGCTGCAGCATAGATTGTTCTTGTCGATAATTATGTATATCCTTATTTGGTATTGTCAATACTGTTCCCATAACATAATTTTACTTTCTCGGTTTTTGTCTATTATAACGAGCTCATATCTAGCTGCGCTTTTACCCAAAATTCATAAAACTTTGATATAACTGACAGGGTCTTATGGAAGCTTGGTTCTCAGGCTGGACAAGACTGCAGCTCAATACTGGCATTGGAGCCAGCTGTGAACCGCCTCCTAATTCCCCCCGATACTCCAGGTTTGACTACTCGGAGCAATGCCGCGAAGGGTTTCGCCGTCGCGGCGCAATAAGCAGTAGTATAGAAGGAACGTGCCTGCCGTCAGGGCAATGGACGAGGCAAAGAATATCCATATCATAGGTGTACCGACAATACGATTGTTGGCTTGATCCATGTCGAAGAAATTCATACCGAATATAGTCTGTTGTGAGAATGTTAGTCGCGGTCTGACAAAGGTGTATTGGAAATCAGAGGGGTACTAACAGCCACGAATGACGAAGGAAGATATAACAGCGTCAGAAAGGTTATGAACACTGCCGACTTGTTCAGCTGTAGCATGTTCGTATTCTGTTCCTTTGCCATGACCTGATCCCGAAACAATAAAGTGTCGGCTAGTAGTTTCGAGACAACCTGTGCCCGCTGCTGTAAATGTGAAGCATTGTGGGAATTTGCAATGCACTCTCGACGATGATTTTGAAACGAGTGGATCCCGTAATTTGTCGAGATCACTGACTGGGAACTAATAACGGTACAAAGCTCGTCGAGAATGTCTGTCGCAGATGCCAAGATGGCCGGGACTTCGAGAAATCGAGTCTGCAAGGCTGTCAATGTTATAAGGCTATCGTGGCCTAAACCTAAAGGTCCACTAATAAAAGTGGCGATTGCACTCCGTCCCAGGGGCAGAAATCGTTGTTCTTGTACGGCGATATATTTTCTCCACGTCGGGAAGTACGTTGCGAACAAGACCCGGTGTAGCCAAAAGGGATCGGATTCCACCTCAGGGCAAAGATTGCGTAGTAAATTCTCAGCCTGCGAATGCGCTTTTGATCGTGGCGTAGGATTGAACAGTACGAAAAGACTTTGGGATGAAGTTTTGTCGTATCGGTGGTAAATTCCCGTCTGGCGAATGACCCATTTGTCCTCTTGTTGCTTGTACTCGGGGTATCTTACGGTGTAAGATATTTCTGTTTCTTAAATTTAGCAACAGGGTCAATATCCACCGGGTTGAAAGTACCATTTATGGAGCCAGAGCAGGACTCTGTAAATGGAAGGCAAAACACCCCTTCGAGGTCATCACGGCGCCGATAAAAACATGATGGCACCGCCCAAAATGATGGACCTATCTCGTGTCTGGCGACGAGGAGGTCAAGCATGGGTTTAGTGATTTGCAGTGGTTGCCGGGAATTACGTTGACATATTGACCTATCAATTATTAGCAGAAGAAAGAGTGATGTCTGATTTAAACATACACTAGTCGACATTTGTAAGGCTTCTGATTGTTTCTCAGAAAAGATGCCGTATCATCTACCGTGAGAAGGTCTGATCGTTGGTATGAGCCTCTTGGGAGGAACGATGTCGCATCCTCCCCGATCTCAAAGACTTGTACGGGTTCAACCAGGTGGTCTAGACAGTAATGATCAAAGGAAGTCATTATGTGCAGTTTTTGGAGAGAATGATAAGATTAGATTCATTGAATCTAGGATCTGAATTATTATATCAGATCTACGGGCCCCGGGGGTACCTAGGTATGCCCATTGAGCCGCTCCGCCACACACCCTACCAAGGTATGCCTGATGCGCCTGATATGCCTCATGTGCTGCGCCTCTACTCGAGGTGTCTCATGCCCTTGTCACACCGGCCTTAGGCTAATCATCCTGCGCTGAACTAATTCCATGTCAGTTTTCTTATTCGGAACAAAAACTGAACAACTCTTACTCGAGCTCAGCCTTGTGAGAAGGTGTCAGCAAGGTACTTCATTTCGGGATAGGGAAGAGATCTTAACTTACAGTCTCCACTATTCTAGGGGCAGTGAAGATCCACTGGTCTTCTAGAAGCTAGAACGTGAGAGTCAGCCTTGCGCCCGATGCACGAGGTTCAGGCAAGTTACCTGAATACCAAAGTCTGTTTGTCCAGGAAACAGTCTTTCAAGCAGATCCTGAAGACTGTCTCTCCGCAAGTAGCGACTACTCGCGGTTTGCATAGGGGTCTGTTGTTCGGCTGTATTTCCAGGCATGATTATTTCAAAATAATCGCGACTTTGCTTTTGCGAATTACAGTTCCCCCCCAAACATGGGGACATGATAAACCCCAAGCTGCGGCTGAACCCCGGGCAAATTTCATTGACACGTCACAAAGCCGATCTTTGCCTTGCCTATCCCTTGCAATTTTGGGCGGTCTATCAGATATCGCTGATTCGAGAGTTGTCTTGAGATTATGCGCGACTATACCACAAGAGGATATCGTCTCCGCTTTGTTTTGGTCACCCGGGTGCATACATATGTAGGTACTGGTTGGATGTAATTCTAGGGCTTGGAGGCAACCAAAAGGGGCGGAGCTTTCAATGTCCGTAGATTGGCCAGGAGAGCTAATTGCATTATGCTTAAAATGCGGCTTAGTGTTATACCTTTATTGGAGAAATTACCCCCTATCTCACGAACATGCATCGTGTGGTAATCCTGAAATATTGATAGGAGACCTATACGCTTTGTTGCATTATGTCGCAACCGGCAGAGGCACAGTCGGTAGAGCTACCAGAATGGGCACGAGCCTGGCTCTCTGGTGTCTTGCCCACAAGGATGGAACAAATCCCAAGTGGAAGTCCACATCCGCCATCTCAGAATTCTCTTCTTCGTCCACCAAATGACTCCCCGAGCCTGATAAGCGCACCGTCATCCGTTTCAACTGACTCACACGATAATGGGCTTTTCACCAAGTGCCCAGAGAAACAACTTGTTATTGGACTTAGCCGGAAACGGACTGTCAGCAGAGCGCTGAAAGGTGTCCACATATTTGTATGTGAAGATCTTCCCAAATTCCGAACTTGAGAGGGGACTTCCCTTCATTGTAGCCTGCAATAGACAACGTTGACCAATCTGTTGTACTTGGGAATAAGAAAAGCTAACAGGAATAGATGATCACAGTCAATGCAACTCTCGGTACAGGCCTCTACTGGCGAGGTGGTCAGATTCTTGAGCTCGGTGGACCGTTGGCAGTGGTTCTATCTTTCCTCTTCATCGGAATCCTAACATGGGGTGTCATGCAATGTATCACTGAAATGCTGTGCATTTGGCCAATACCCGGTGCATTGTCAGTATACGTTAGCCAGTTTGTCGACGAAGAACTGGGGATCGCGGTCGGTGTTACATACTGGTTTGTCTACTCGATGTCCTTTTCCACACTGGTGGCAACCTCCGCTGCAGAGTTCAATTTTTGGGATTACATCCACGAAAGACCGGCTATACAGGGCTTGATTATATACCTACTGATCCCACTGATAATCGTCTGTATCAATGCCATAAGAATTGAGGTATGCTTCATCCGTCATTGCTGATCAATGCGAATACTCGCGACTTCGGGGCTGAGAAGCTGCCAGCTGACGTGCATTCAGATCTATGGTTGGTTGGAAGTGGCGACAGGCAGCATCAAAATCATATTTCTTGTTATAATCATAGTGACACTGATTGCAATCAATCTTGGAGGTTAGTAAGGTGGTTAACGGATGGGTTTGGACTGTGGGTGTTTGTTCTTTGGGGCATATGCGCTAACGATGAGCAGCTGGCCCAAACAATGCTCTGCCCTTTGGCGCCAAGTGTGAGCAATGACTACCGTCTCATACATTTCTCGCCAGATTGGAATACTGACATCATCAGATTGGACTTCGCCTACCGAATTTGATACACGGGCGGCCAATAACTGGGGCACCGCTTTGCTGTGAGTGGCATCATGCGTCTTTACCTGTGCTCAAATTACTAATTAACATATCAGGATGAGCATTTCAATAGCAACTTTTGCATACACTGGAGTGGAAGTTGTTGCTGCCTCTGCCCTAGAGGCACGGTGGGTACATCGCGAAGACGAAATGTCAACAATCTCAGACAAGCTTCCACCGTCTAATGACGTCCAGGTCGGAAGATCATTCAAGTTTTCTGCTATATTTATTCCTGTACTTGCAATGGTTGCCTATACCATCAGTGGGCTGCTCGCGACATTGGATATAGAGCGGAAGAGTTGTGCTCTCCCTCGGCTCAGTTGGCTTTCAGTGGATGTGGAAGCCGGGTGCACAGAGCCTTCAAACAGTGCTGCATTCGTCGCAATAGCCACAATGTCCAATATTCCGCACTTGGCAGACGTGTTCAATGCTTTCCTGGTGTTCACGTGTCTCTCTTGTGCTGGTACTAATCTGTACGTCGCCTCTCGGGCTTTGTTTGGCTTAACAAGTCGCTTGGACGGAGGCGAAGGTCAGAGATGGTATCTGCGTGTTTTTGCATGGTTTGGCAAAACAGATAGACGACAGGTTCCCCTGCGAGCTATGATATTCTCCGCGGTGGCGTTCTGGTGGGTGCCATTCCTGCAGCTGATCCGCGGGAGTACTCAATCCTCTGAATCCTCCTTGAAGGGAACTCGAGCATCCGTGGATATGGTAAGGATGTGGCGTAAATTTTCCCTCTAACTTCGAGTTCAGAGCTAATAAACGTGAATAGTTCGTGGAGGTGTTGAGCCAAATGGCATACTCTGCGGTTTTAATCGTCTGGGCGTGTGAATGTCTGGCATTCATTCGCTTCTACCATTGGTGTGTCTAGTCATTCAGATGCTGGATCTTCCGAATATTAACTAGAACTCTTCCTCCCAGTATTTCTCGGCATCGCGATCATCTCCGACGTGAAGATGTCGCCCACGTTCAGCGCTGGAGCGATGACCATGATGACTATCCATACCGCAGCCATAGGCAGCCATTGACGGCATATCTAGCCTTTTTAGGCTGTGCTTTTGTCTCGTTGGTCGCAAACGGTGCTGCATTGTGGAACGGGTTCCATCTTCTACCATTCTTAGCATCGTACTTGACGGTAAGAGCAATATTGTGATGGATCTAGTTTGCATTTACTAAGATTTGTTGAACCAGATTATTGTCTTCATGGGTCTATGGGTATTGTTGAAGATTATGCGAGGCGCAAAGTGGTCTCTAGTTGATCTCTCGCAGCCCGACAAAGTCGCGAAGATATTCAAGCATCTACATGACATCCGCTTGAGTGTAACGCAGTCCTGACTTCCTTATAGAAGAAATCAAGAGGATTGAACATAGGGATAAGCAGCCCGTATGTCAACGTTTCTATTCTTTATAAGGAATATCTAAAGCTATATCAATAGCAAGAAAGGATTTAATGACGTTGAGAAATAGATATATAGATCTATAAATTCTACAAGCGGTTAAGATTTCGGGTATCGCTTCTATTTTCTAGCCTATGACTATTAGATATAGACTATACGTACTATACTATAAAATGAAATACTCAGTTAAGCCTTATAAAGCGGCACCCCGGGAAAATCGTGATGGGCCTAAAATCCCCAGGGCCGGTACATACTACCTACATAGGTACTACATATTAATGCCCAACGGCGCCAGAATGGGAATTTGAAACTCGACCCAAAAGAGAAGACCAATACATTTGCATAGATTCAAAAGATTTAAGGAGTTCCAGTTATATCGATATTTAAAAACTCCCTAAAAGACAAAGGGGGGGTTGTAAACAATGGCTATACTTAGAAGTGGGTCCACAAGGGATGCATCTGCAGTAATTTTCCTAAACTCCCAAGTCTTAACTATTCTTTTCGTCTGTCTTTCACTTTGATTCAAGTGCTGCTTCTCTTCGTTTCTCTTCGAGTTCGAACAAGAAACACCCGTGGACGGTTGCTCGGGTGATCTTCAGCTCCGACTTGCGGGACAAACACAACCCCACTCGACATTATTTCCCCCCCTTTGTGCTCCATTTTCTGATCTCCAGTCCGAATCGGAAAGTCTTCAAGCCTCTCCGATCATCCTAGTCCTTTTCTTCTTAAACCCTGTTCGCTCATCTCCCGACATTGCCAATCGGCCCTGAATGTCTCCGCCGTGATCGAAGATGTTGACGGTTGAGAAGCAGTGGATTAATGTGCAGCAAAAGACCTTCACCAAATGGTATGTTCCCTGTCAACTTCTCTCTCGTGGACCTCAGCTGACGAGTAATGATAGGCTGAATGACAAGCTGAAGGCACGGAGCCTGTCCATCGAGGACTTGGTCACTGACCTCTCCGACGGCGTATGTCCCACCTTGTGCCCCGCTCACTAACTTCGAGTTGCTGATCGCATATTAGGTCATTCTCATTCACCTCCTTGAAATCCTAGGAGGAGAGTCCCTCGGTCGATATGCCTCGAAACCCAAATTGCGCGTACAGCGCTTCGAAAATGTGAACAAGAGTCTAGACTTTATCAAGGGGAGAAGGATCCAGATGACGAACATTGGAGCAGAGGATATCGTTGATGGTAATCAAAAGATCATCTTAGGTTTGATCTGGACCCTGATTTTGCGATTTACCATCAGTGACATCAACGAGGAGGGCATGACTGCAAAGGAAGGATTGCTACTCTGGTGTCAACGAAAGACGGCATGCTACGATGATGTAGAGGTCCGAGACTTCTCATCCAGCTGGAACAACGGTTTGGCCTTCTGTGCCCTCCTCGACATCCATCGACCGGACCTGATCGACTACGACTCGTTAGACAAGAGTGATCACCGTGGAAATATGAAGCTGGCCTTCGAGATCGCATCCAACGAAATCGGCATCCCGGACCTGCTTGACGTGGACGATGTATGCGACGTACCTAGACCCGACGAACGCTCCCTCATGACCTACATTGCCTACTGGTTCCACGCTTCTCTCGCAATTGGAGAGGGTTGAGAATGCCGGGCGACGAGTGGAGAAATTTGTCAACAACATGCACGGTGCATGGGATATGCAGAACTCATATGAGCGCCGAGTAAAGGAACTATTGCGACTTATTCGCGGCCAGCGCGAGCACTGGAAGAACTCCTCGTTCGAGGGGACATACAAAGACGCCAAAGAACAATTGTATCAGTTCTCGCTCTACAAGCGGAACGAGAAACGTCAATGGGTGGCCGAGAAATCTGATCTAGCTGCTTTGCTAGGCAATATCAAAACCAAGTTAGGTACATATCGACTGCGTCCTTACGATCCACCGCAAGAACTGAGTCCCGAAAACTGCGACAAAGAGTGGGAGATCCTTACCCGGGAGGAGCACGAACGCAGTCAACTCATAAACGAAACAATCCGTGACATCAAGAACAAACTGCGGCGCTCCTTTGCTGACAAGGCAAATGACTTTGCACTGACCCTGAAGACCCTGTCATTGGCGATCTCCGGACTGGATGGCGATGTTGAGGACCAGCTTGATCATGTTCAAAAGTTAAATGGCAACTTGCCGCCACTTGACGCCTTTCTCGACACTATCGCAGAATTGGACCAACAGTGTGCGGAGGCCAATATTGAAGAAAACGACTTCACCACATACACCCTGGACGAGCTTGCGTATGAGCTGAGTCTCGTCAAATCCAGCATTTCAAAGAAGCTGGCATTCCTCGACAACCAGATGGTTGCTCGCAACATGACCAATCTGACCCCTATCCAATTGGAAGAGTTTGAATCGGTATTCCGTCATTTCGATCGCGACTCTTCTAACACGCTCCAGGAGCTCGAGTTTTCCGCAGCACTGGCCAGTCTGGGACTGGTCTACGACGAGGACGAGATGCACCAAGTCTACGTGGAGGTTTGCGGGGTCAACCGACTGTCACAGAATGCTGGAGTTAGCTTCGAGCAGTTTATTCGCTTTATGGTCAGCGTGACAGAGGATCAAAATACTGCCGAACAGGTCTTCCAAAGTTTCAAGGAAGTTGCCGATGGCAAGGTATGTGAAGCGTTTCTTTAACCTCTAAGGAATTTACCGGGCTACAGTCACTAACCTCTCCTACAGCCCTATGTCACAGAACTGGACCTCCGACACTCGCTCATTCCAGACGATGTTATTGAGCATTTAGTTAAGACGATGCCCACACACGATGGTCCCGATTTACTCGAGGATCGGGACTTGGCCAAGTACGACTACATTAGCTTCATGGAGAAGATGCGAGAAGTAAACAAAAATAATGGGAGTGAGCAATAAAAGGTACCATTGAGGTTGATATCCGCAGCATTACTGGTGGTTATGGGGGGATTTGCACTGACTTGGTGTTGCTGTGTTTCTGGTGTTTTCAGGGAGAATCCTCATGATCTTTTTTTCTTTTCGAAAACCGCATTCTCCCTTTTGTTTTTTTTTCTGGTCCATCTTGCATCCTGGGGTTCGGTGGTTGTTCCTCTTACCACATGTATTTATTGTGTTGGTGTATGCTTCTCTGTTTGTAATGATCAGGATACCATGTGAACATTTTCAACTATCAAGTCTATCGGTAGACGTAGAGTTGGACTTGGGCAAGCGAGGATAGCCACGACATATAAATATGCCATAAAATAGCAATTCCTTGTTACTACAACGGAATCCTTTGAAGCTATTTCGGGCCTGATCTGTAGATGTGGATACTGCCGATCACTACCGGATTCATACAAGGTCATGTGACAGTCCCCAGATCCATCGGAGCTGATGAGGATGATCCTGCGATTCATTGTATTCCTTGACACATCACACTTAGTTCGATCTTTTTCATTTAAACACTGGTCATAATCGGATTTGTTGACCACCCTCTCTCTTTCACACATATTACTTCTTCCCTCAATCCCATCCCCCAACCATACACTCCAAGATGGACCGCAGCTTGGACGAGATCATCGCTGAAGACACGGTAAGGCTCCAGCGAGCAATAAAACCACTAAAGCGCACAATTAACTCACTCAATTGCAGCGGAACCCTGGTCGCCCCTCAGGCGGTGGTGGTCCTCGTCGTCACAACAACCCCGGCCGTCGCCACGAGCGCGATGGCGTCAGAAAGGTACAACTTGACTTGAAATCGAGGCTTTGTTCTAGAGTTATATTTGCATGGCAGCGAAACTAATATCTTACTCGCTATCTAGGTCCGCCCTCCTTTTCCTCTGCGAATTCTCTTCTTGCTCCGTGACAATCGTAGCCAGTCCTCTGGATCGTTGGAGACTCGCCAACGAACACGCCACGGCAAAGACATGGAACAGAACTTTGCACGATATCCCATCTGACTTGGAGCTAACGCTAAGTCTTTTCGATAACAACAGCCATACACTTCAGACCGTGTCGATCTCAACCTGTGATTATACCTCCCTGGCTACTGCGATGTGGATGATACTGACCGGTCTCTGGTTCTAGTGACTGGGTGCACGACAAATTTGACGACGACCGATGTATGTGGCTTACCCATACTTTGTCCACATCTCTCTAACAGCATTGCTCTTCAGCCCGCCCATCCCGTGGAGGCCGCAGAGGCCGCGACGGATATGATTCCGATCGGTATGGATCCTCCCATTAAACCAGCCTTGGCTTGATAGCTTGTCTGGTCAGAGCGCTAATTGAACGATTAGCTCTAGCACACTGACCAAGGTTCGCGTCGATAATCTTCACTACGACATCACCGAAACCGATCTCGAGGTACGTTTTCAACCCCATCAACCCCCGTACAAGAACACCCCTAACAAGCTGCTTCGCTGAACAGGACCTCTTCGGCCGAATTGGACCTGTTTCTGAACTTACTGTCTCTTACGACCGCGCTGGACGCTCTGAGGGAGTTGCTTTTGTTACATACGCCCGCCTGAAGGATGCGCACACCTCCATTCAGGAGTATGACGGAGCCAACGCCAAGGGCCAGCCCATCCGTCTTTCTCTCGTCGGGGGCCGTCGTGACCGTAACCCCCTGGAATCTGCACAGCGCCCTAGGCCCAGCCTCTTGGACCGCGTTCAGCGCCCCCGTGACGACCGCAGCATGAGCCCCGAGGACAACGCAGATGGCCGACGCCGTCGTGGCGGTGGCCGTCCTCATCGCAGCGACGTCACCAAGCCGGCCCCAGACAACATCGACCGTTATGTTCCCGGAGAACGCTCGCACCAGCGCTCCCCTAACCGCCGCGGCGGTGGCAGGCGTGGACGTGACAACCGCTCGCAACAAACTGATGGATCCAACCGCCGATCCAATGCCCGTCCGCGCAAGACCCAAAAGGAGTTGGACCAGGAGATGGAAGATTACTGGGGGGTGCGAACAACGGTGGTGAAGCGACTGCACCCGCTCAGGACGTCCCCCAGCAGACTGCTCCGGCCCCCAGCGCACCCGCTGCCGATGATGATATCGATATGATCGAGTAAATACTTTTCAGTCACTCGAACTACGGGAAACTCGCTTGTCTTGAGCATTTCAGATCTTTCGGGCTTCGATCGCATTACTTCTTGGTCTTTTCTATGAATTAAGATCACCTCGGCCTTTTTCCACTCTTCTCTTCTTTTCCATCGCTGAGCCTTTCGGCACGAGAGCTGAAACTCTGTACTTTACCTCAACAACCAAATTGTAACTCGGTCCATATCACACATTCGGATTTTTACTGCTTCGATTCTTCTTTACCCTTGCTGGGCTCTTATCCTTGCCCTTGCATGTCCACACCGGCGAACTGGGAGCCCATGATAAAGTTTTTTTTATTGCATTGTTCGGTGTCTTTCTTCACGTTTTTCTATCGTCTAGTCGGGGTAAAAGCCTTCGCGCATATGCCATAAAGCCTGTATACAAAGAAGAAGAGGCTGCTTGCAACCAATGAATGAGGGCAAGATACAAGTTGATAGAGCATAAACCCAATCAAAGCCGCCGCCAATTATAAATAGAACACGGATCGCAAATGATGGAAGAAGACATGAGATTCTTCCGTGATTTATTCTGTACAATGTAACAATTATGGGAGTACAAGTTCACCTCCACAGTCCATAGGGCTCGCGGCATGCTTTCCACAACTTGATAGTACCATCCTCGCTACCAGTCCCGTAGAGCTTACCATCGGGAGAGAAGCTGACAGACCAGATAGGGCCATGGTGACCCTTTTGAACCTCTGCAGAAGAAAGTTAGCTTGAACCCCCCACGCCAAAAAGCAGATAATAGCCGGGATAGCAAAACATACCCAACTCCTCATCCGTGTTCAAGTCATAAACTCTTGCCCAAGTATCATTCGCACTACCGGTAACCAAACGAGCAGACTCGCTATTAACCGCAGCACTAGCAACATCATAGTCATAATCAACCTTCTTAAGCAACCGACCAGGCTGCACGCCATCAAAGAGATAAACACTCTTCCCGGCCGCGACAGTCAAAATCCCCGCATCATTAGGTCTCGTCGCGAGACTATTCAACTCGCAAGAGCCAATCGTGCCATCAACCCCGTACTCAACGATCGGATCGCGCGACCGCAAATCCCACCATCGAATCTTGCGATCCTCCGCCGCCGTCGTGACGACATTGTAATCCTGGTTCCAGACGATAGACTTGATCGTGCCGCCGTGCACGCCAGCACCGATCTCATAGCTCGCGACCCCGTTCTCAGACGTAGCCGAGGACGGGAGAGGCGGCGTTGAGCCCGTGCTGGAACTGCCGCCCCGTGTTAGATCGAAGATCCGTAGCTTCTTCTCTGCGCCGCCTGTCGCGAGCACCTGCGGGTTTGCTTGGATTGGGAATGCTACTGCCCGCACGATGTGTGCGTGTTGCAGTGTGTGCAGACATTCGCCTGTGTAGGTGTCCCAGACCTTGCTGTTTCCGGTGTCGAGATTAGCATATCAGTGTGGGATGGGGTTGGGGGTTGCTTACGCTGAGAAATCGGCTGCTGCTGTGGCTGAGATGGCGGCGTCGGCGGAGAGCCTTGCTTGCCATACGGCGCCTTTGTGGCCGAGGAATGTTCCAATCCTGGACAGTGATGTTAGTGCGTGCGTTTTGGGCTTGGTTTCTTTTGTCGTACCAGTCGCCCGTTATACCATCGCGCAGCATGGGGTTATTATCTTTGGTTGGTTAGTGGATGTGCAGTAAATTGGGAAGTCATTGGTCTTTCTTACCTTTGCATGAAGAGATGAAGTAATATTGCTCGTCTTCGACGGTCGAAGAGAAGCTCAGATGCGTCACCGGACGGGAATGTCCGTGGCATGTCAGAGGGACTACCTTGGGGATATCTGTTGAAGATGTATTAGTAAACATACCTAAATAGTGGGTTTCAATTCCCATCTACACATATCACTCACCAGCAGTCATTTTGTGGGCGTTGAGGAAGTTCCCGAGGTTCCAGTAGTTTTGATGTTAGGTATCAGATAGCCAATCAGATCAGCGTAACGCGATGTGCCCAACCGAGAGGTCACGACTTGATATCAAGATACAAATCCAGGAAGAAGACCGAGAGAGAGTTCAATATGTCTAAGGAAGGTACATAAGAGATTCGTCAGGGTCGTCAAGTCATCAGATATGTGGGGTTCGAGGAAGAGCCGAGAACAAAGGATCGAAAAAAGTGGACTGAACGACTTTTCCAACCAGACACCTCAAAAAGGAGAGAAAGCCTCTGGGAATATGAGACTCCTTCAGTGTGTAGATGGGATATCGAATTTCATTTTCAAACAATAACGCTGGAGCCGATCATGTATTAGGTAAGGTATACGCTAGTCTGATTCGGGTAGGCTGAGACACGTGAGGCTCACATATGCTATGGGTTTACGATGAATCGTTCTAAACTGACATTTTGATATTTAAAAAGTCTAGAACAATATATTTATAAAGGCATCTAGAAGACTTTTTTTAAAGATATTAAAAAATATGCTTAGAATGGCATTGAAACGAAATATGAAAGAAACATAAAAGAAACATGGAAAGACATCATAGATTGAAAATATACTTGAGATACCTAATGCGACCTCCTCGATACTCGACTATGTCCCAATTCCTATAGGTAGAAGTCCTTTGTCCTGTGGTTCAGCGATATATCCGTACTGGGAGTGGTTACGGAGATAATGTCATTTAGATGTGAAGAAGGCATCGACAATGCCTTGCACATTATGGCCAACGCTTTGGTCTTCTCAATACTCAGGCTACGCAGGCCTGATATTGACGTGCCTGGAATTTGTAAGTACACTAAAGGCGGCCTCTGTAACAACAAATTGATAAATCAATTCTTAATACGGGCGAGCAGAAAACAGTCGAACCCCAGAAAGGGACAATACAAAAACCAGGCCGATGATGAGCCCGAAGTTTCTAGTCCGCTTGGTGAGCAACTGGCGACTTCTTTGCCAGAACCTGCATCGTACAAGCTACGCCCGAAAGGCTTGTGCGTGATAGAGGAGCTATGGATGCGTATGTTAACCCAAAAAGATATATCGGGTACAATGCCTTTAGAAATGTCTGTAAATGATGATCTCGAGCTATTCGATACTAATACTGCCGCTTCAAGGAAGTTCTTCCGAATCTCTAAACAACTTCTCCAAATATCTTAGATAGAAATAGCCCAATCCTCTCAACATTTTCGACCAAATGGAAAAGTTCATCGAACAAGCAGATAACTTTGTCACGCTCCGAACCTCTCAGAAGAGCATACAGCTTTCTAGAACGTGTGGAAGTTTCATTAGGAAAATCCACAGAACTAGACAACGGAGTCTTCTCCGATAGTCTTTTCATATGTCTTGTTCGTGGTCTTTTTTTGGCAGGCTCCTTGGATACATACGTTGACAGCTAACTCCGCGCTAAATCACGTGCCTACACGCTAACTATATTAGGAGGTTTATACTGGCACAATTCAAGTTAGGAATCAGGCAGAATGTACGATCTTTGATCAGTGTTGGCAGAATATACGGCAGAAAAACTCTATAGTCGCAGAATTACCTAGATGCCTCAACATCTGGGCAAGGGGACAATAGCCAAACGGGGGTACATATATCAATCCCCTATTTATAAGTGGATTAAATGGGTTCGTTCTCCAGGGCAACTGGCACGAGTTCATTGTATCAAGTACAGATCAAAGCAAATGTATCGGTATGATACCCCCAAGCAAGACGGGGTAAGAAGAAGAGTAAAAAATAATAGACACGCCTCGTTTCCTCATACTTCTCCTGGAAAGCAGAGTAAGCCAGACCCAAAGCAAAAACGAGTGGCAATGCAAGCAAGGTGAGAGAAGAGCTTTCGAGCAAAATGCATGGGCCGGACGCCTTCGTCTCCGCCGACATGAGAGGAATATGGCAGGAGAGAGATAAAACCAACGCGAACGCCTGGGACAATATGTGGCCGGTGAGCCGATGTCATGTCCTTCCGTAGCTCATGCCATTGAGTAGAGAGAGATTAGAAGAGAAGCTAAAGAAAGCCACATAAGACCCTTCTTTTGTTTTCGTACTTGCATAGAAATAAACACGCATTGCAATAGAGAAAGCAAGTAAATCAGCAAAATCCTTTCCGATCCACGCAGACGATGCATCGAGAAAGATCCAGGGGATAGATGTAACAAACAGGGGGAATCACGTGGAATAAAGTAGATAACAGCTCGTATAGATCCTGGTTAGGGCAGGCAGCAAACACGCATTAGTGTGCATTGCCTATTGAGTCAGGATAAAAGAACGAGGTAAACGAGAAAGCAAGAAATCACGAGGGTATGAAGGTGTGAACAAAGCGCAATGGCCGACAGAAACAAATGCGCTCTCGAGCGCCTCGCACCGACCAGATAAGAATACAAATTTGGCAATGACCTGAAATGCAATCCTCCCAATGAAAAAAAAAGATAACAAAAAAAAGGAATGTAAGAGCGCCCAGGTTCCCATGCAACAGAAAGACGAAAAGCCAAGAAAAGGACTTGCAGAAAAGTCAGGGGGAAAAAAAGAAAAGAAAAGCAAATCCGAAACAGTACTCCCGAGAGTTATGCAGCCGCCGAATGCTGATCTAGCTCACGAAACGAAGATCCCCAAATGCGCCAGATATCCCAGTTCGTTCAAACATGCCGGGCATTATCTTAATATAACGCTTGGATGGGCTTAGCGACCCATCATGTAGTCAGGGTAAAAGGAATTATAGCCGTTCAGGTTCGGCGCCGTATTGTTGTTACCACCGGAATTAGAAGGAGGCGGCGGCGACATCATCATTGAATTGGCTCCATTTCGGATTCCCAGGCCCGAGTTGGGGTTGTATGAGGTATTTCCCATCAGTCCAGCATGCGGATTGACGGGAGTGTGCATGGAGGTGCCGTTGCGCATCGGCGGCGCAGGCATGGGCATGCCAAGACCAGGGGGTGCTGCCAATCCGGGAGGGGGACCATTGACAGCTGAGAACATGTTGTTGTGAATTCCACTCAAGCTGCTGCCCCCGGGGACTGCGCCCTGTCCAGAGGCCGAGTTGGATGAGTTCATGCTGCCAGGTTGACCAGAGCGCACACCCAAAGGATTCTTTGAGAAGCTGAGACGGATGCCAGTCTTAACACTGTTCGACAGCTTGTAGCCGTACAACTCATTCAGCGCTTTGCTGGCCATGGCGACCTCGTCGAATTCCACAAAGCACATGGGTCCGTTCTGCTTGTTTCGGAAACAGAGTCGCTTGTACCCGCGTTGTTTGGAGAAAAGGGCTTTAAGTTCCTCCTCGGAGGTGTCGGGTGGCAAGTTGCCCACGTACAGAGTGTTGCAAGGAGGGTTTAGGTCATTCGGGTTCGCAGCGGGGAGGCTGTGGCGTGGTGTGTGCTGGGCGTTGTATGGGAAACTATGGCCTTGGTTCGGGTATGCAGATGCGGGTGTTCCGCCGCCCATACGTTGCGCGCCACCCCCCTGGTAGTTCTGCAAAGGTGGCGACATGTTGGTTGACAGGGACATATTGGCAAAGCGGTTGGTCGGGATCTGAGGGTTGGTGGCCCGGCGTCCGGCGGAGACATTGGTAGAATGGCCATTTTCTGCATAGCCCACCGGATCCTTGAGCAGCTCGCCTGTCTCCTCGTCCGGGTCTTCGTCAATCATAGACTTCCCGGTTATGCGTGGGAGGTTATCAATGCCATTTCCGATCGGAGATTGTGGGGAGAAAAGGCTGTGCATACGCGAGCCTGATTCCGAGGTCGGAGGAAGTCCTTCGCCGATAGGCTGGTTGGGGTTGGCGTTGGAGAGCCTCTCTAAGCTTTGGAAAGTGCCGTTGAAACGCGACGATTGACGCGCAAGAGGACCGTTTGAGGCACCCATCAGCGCACGACTCGCGGTGTGATCGATGGTGTTACGGCGCGTGTTCGACAGATTCGCTCCCATCGGGCCGGGGTACATCTCGACGACCATGTTGGCGTCGTTTTTGGAGTTCGGTTTGCCATCAAGGAGAGACCTGGCCTCTTCGGCGGCTTGTAAAGTAATGAATCGCGCGATCGCGGTCAAGAACCCGTCATCCTCCGGCAGGTCCAAGGTCACAAAGTCCGCGTCGACAAAGTCTTTGGCGAAAAGAAGCATGCTGCGCAGGGCTTCACGGCTCGTGTTTCGCGGAAGTTTGCGCATGAGAATCGCGCCTCCGTTTCCGCGATTCAGGCCATTCAGGCCCTGGAGGTTGCGATCGTTCTCACCCAAGCGCATGTTGTTATCGAATGAAGCTGTTGTGCCGATAGGGGAGAAAGGGTATGAGAAAGATGGGTTCATAGATGAAGGCGCTTGCGACGCATTCGGACTATACACGTCGGTCGACATCGCATGCTGAGCCGTCAAAGGCGCCTGCGAAGAAGGGAGTGACTGTTGTGGGGGCGAACCAGATGACACGGACTCTGTGAGCTGCGTAGTTCCAAAAGAGCCGGGACTCGTACGAGTGGACTGGCTAGAGCTGCCGCTCATCCCTCCACGAGATTCAATTTTTTTTTGAATTTTTTTTTTCGCCTTTCGGGGGTTCGCGATCACACAGGGGAAGGTAGTCCAGGTATGAAAAAAAAGGAGTCGCGGGAGCTGGAAAGTCGAAGTTCGAAGCAGTAATCGGTAATGCGACAAGAGATCGTACACCAAACGCGATGCAACGATAGAAAATGAAGAAGGCGAAAGGCGAAGGCGAAGGCGATTAGCGGTTCGATCGAAAGTCGAGTTCACTCGGATGGTGTCTCATCGGATTTGCGACAGGTTGGACTATGAGCGCTGTGAAAACGATTGAGATAAAGATGGAAATTGACAAGAATGGTAAGATGGATGCAAAAGGGAGAAAGGTTTGAAAGGAGGGGATGAAGGAGAGTGCAGGGGAGGGGGGAAGAAAAGAGTCCGGAACGGTCGAGTGCCAGTCCACAAGTGCCAGATCCATGGATCTGCCCTTCACGACGCGACTCAATGGGGAACAGGTATGTGACAGCGGAGGTACATGGGGTTGTATGTGGATCCTCCTATTAGGGGATGTACTCTGAGGTAAATGACAGTACATGGCCACATCATTACACAATTTTACGTAGTCTTACACCCTTAGCCCTGGAAACTGACCGCATGCAGAGAGTTGCCAAGTGCGTGCCCCGAGGTGACTTATGGTGAACTGTGGAATGCCCCCGGTTTTTTTCTTTCTTTTCTTGATCTTCTCTTATATATTAGATCGACGGGTGGATCATGAATGTGTCTCTCTTCTGGAAAAGCACCGGCCATGCAAGTGCCTATGCGGCTTGCCGTACGGCTCTGCACGCGATTGGGGCCCTATGAAATGAAAGACATATATCACAGGGATGTTATTACTATATTATAGACTCGGTAGAGCAGGTATTCCCAAACCGGTAATCCCATCCTAGTACCTCTAGGCAGTTTATTGGATGAACCTTGAATACATTTACAACTGCCGTTAACCGGGCCAGATCATAAGAGCCAACGGCTTGATATTAAATATCATATACTTTCCGCCATATGTCAATATTGGAGTCCATCTACGGAGTAACCCATTCTATAAATCTAAAATACAAAGGTCATCACACACGTCCACGGAATCACAAAAGTCAAAAACCGGCGATCCTCCAGGGTCACTGACCAATTGCCACGGGCCCAACCCCGGTAACACATGGGATTGGCTGCCACGGGGAAATGACTTGGCTTATCGAGGGGGCGATGGTTCATCTGGTTGGGCCGTGGAGAGAAGCTACTGCCTAGGGGCTTTATTAGCACTACTTCTTCAATGTGCCTGAACTGGTCATAGGCGCGTCAAAAGTTTTGGCTTTCAAATTTACTGAATTTGATCAAGTTCCAAGGGTATCTTCCGATGCATAAGATTTACTTCGTTTGTGTTTTAGTAGCAATCTATGACTTTATAATGTAAAAATATAGGTGTGAGCAGTTTATGGGCAAGTATGCTGGTAACGCATAGCCTACCTCGGTCCGGAGTGTCTGCCCATCTAGGCAACATGTGTCCTTCACCGTTGAGACAAATTCAAATCGTATCAGTAGATATTCATGCTGCGGCTCATCTACCGCGTAGAGTCAGAGCAGTCAGGCTGCCACATAATGTACAGGGGTTCCCACAAGGCAACTCAATAACGCCAAAAATGCCAGCAAATTCAGGAGAAAAACAAAAAGAAATACAGCACGACTGCCTACCCGTCATCGAGGGTGCCATGTCTTGACCTTTCAAGGTTCTCGGATGTTCTCCGGCCGAGTACACAAAGAATGCCGGAGGGCAGAATTGGGAAACTATGTAAAGGTCAAGCATGCTGCAAGCCACACAGTATCAAAGAGTCAAGGGGTCAAGGAGTCAGACAAGCAGAATCAAGCTTTGTCAAAAGTAGTAGGTTTGGGCGCAACAAGGCCAGCCTGGAATGAGGTTCAAGAGTTAGCAAAAGCAGTCCGTATAATAACAACGTAATCCCTATCAGTCCATATGATCTGCTAAGAACGGAGACCCGACAATAGCCGCCCATCTCTCTCGGATGCTCCGATTCCCAAAACTCTGGCGGATAAAGAAACCAAGGGTCCGGCTTACCATGCCCATCAGCTTCCAGACGGGATCACTAGGCTGTGCGCCGACACCGAGCCAGTACTTTGCGCGTGACCGGTCGAGGGCGATCTCCTTATATGGGCGGGCATCGGTATTCTCGCCGTACAAGTTCGTGGGACGCTTCGGGATGGGGTTGTAGGTGCCGATGACTTCGAGGGGCTTAGCGCCGCGGGCGGAGCTGAAGATAGTAGGGTCAATTTCAATTCTTCTTAAAGATACAGTGCACAGCAGATTGAAGCACTCCATAGCCTGGCAACTCCAGTGTTTGGCGTTGGAGGGCGTATCGGGGGTAACCATTCACGGGGAAATGACCACATACCGGGCTTGCGCAACAACAATGTTGAAGAAGGGGTTGTGCTTGTTGCCAAAGCGTGCTAGTCGAATCCGGAGAACCATTTTGGCGGGTGTTTAATGCTTTTGCAATTGGAAAGAGCGCAAAGACTGTTCTCTTGATGATCCCGTCTGCCCTCCGCAAAAGTTCTAGGAGGTCCGGAAGAATTATTGATCCGATGATTCCAAATATGGACTAGCGCATATATGATGTAATGGTGTGAGGACCCTCAGTAGATCTACTTCGAAGCTTGGTGTCACTTTGGTTTACACAGCTTCTGTCAATTTACTCAGTTAGCGGAAAGATCAGCTCTGACGCTAACAAACTTATATGATTCGTTCTGCATTCACCCATCTTCGCCTACCTCTTTCCATTCGCCGCTACAGTAAACCAGCAATAATGTCGTTGAAGGTATTATTGTCTGATATTAGCTCCAACAACATATAATCTGACTATTATACTAGGCAATCTCAGCCACAGATGCTGCATCCCTTGACAAAGACCTCATGGAGATAGGTGGCTGGTCTCTGGACCAGTTGATGGAGCTAGCGGGCCTTTCTGTCTCGCAAGCCGGTAAGCTCTATCGATCTTGAACATGCACTCAGCGTAGGCTGATACAATGAGCAATCAGTATGGAAAATTCATCCGCCAAACGCAGGCAAGAATATCCTAGTTGTCTGTGGACCAGGCAACAATGGTGAGAAACAACTCTAACCTTGCCATTCCGAGCAACATCAGCCTAACAGATCACTAGGAGGAGATGGTCTCGTAGCCGCTCGCCACCTAGCCCATTATGGCTACACACCGTCAGTTTATTATCCGAAACAGGGCAAAAACGAGCTCTATCAAGTACGCAGCCCCAAACCAGAAGAAGACTAGAAGCATGAAACATGAAGCAAATCTAACCCAACCTAGCGCCTGAGAATCCAACTTGAAAACCTCTCAGTTCCCTTCATAGATGACTTCCAATCAGCCCTAAAGACGACAGACTTCCTGGTCGACGCCATCTTCGGCTTCTCGTTCGGAGGGGCATTGCGCGATCCGTTCGGCGAAATCGTCTCGCAAATCGAATCCGCCAACGTCCAGGTGCTGAGTGTTGATGCACCCAGCTCATGGGATATCCAGGGCGGACCGCCGAAGGAAGGACCTGGCGCGAAGTTTATGCCACATGCGCTAATCAGCCTGTCTGCGCCCAAGCCGTGTGTGGCGTTTTATAAGGGCAGGCATTTTATCGGTGGTAGGTTTTTGACCAAGGATATTACTGATAAGTACGGACTTGATTTGCCCAAGTATCAGGGCATTGATCAGGTTTTGGAGATTGGGGTTGATGCGGAGGGGAGATTGTAAGGCAACGGTGTTGTTGAGAACGCTAGTTGAAGTTGATTTAAGAATGAAAGAACATTTACGATTTATCTAGTGTGAATTGGAAGAGATGGTAATGAATAGCCATTGTAGTGGGAATCGCGTTGTCGTCGTTAGGAGGTAGTGCATCTCTGATCTATGCATACCGAATAAAAATAGCACTTTCTCTCAGAGGGCCTTCTGGATCTCGCTAATAATGCCCTTGATGCGCGGCTCCTTCCCAGGCCCAGAGGCCGAGGCTCTCGAGAGAACACTTTCTACCTCGTAGACCTCCTTGGCGGCGCTCTTGACCTCCTCTCCGAGCGCTGTTACCAGCGTGCCGAGAGCGACTAGTGCTCGGTAAACCGCCTCTGAGTCCTTCTCTCCAGCGATAATCCGAATCAGTTCCTCCAGGAGGACCAGACCTCGCTCCGCAGATTCTGGGGATTGGTTCCTACCCTCAGAGGTAAGATAAACTGCAAAGTTGATGTAGAGTGTTGTGATGGCGATGGTAAGGTTGCGGTTTGGTGACTCTCCGCTGCTGGCCAAGGCAGACTTCACTCCTGCCAAGATCTGATCAAATGAGCCTATAGCCAGATCACGGCCGGCAGTGGTCTCGAATAGGTTAGCAAATGTCCGCATTGCGAGCATTGCATTGTTGACGTTAAGAGGAGATTCAAAAACACCACTGGATACCACCCCCGACACAACATTTTCATCTTTGTACTCGGCGGATGCTGTAAATGGTGCAGCAGCCGCTAGTAGACGGAGAATATCTAGGCCAGGGAGTCGTTTAGCAGCAGGCCAGGTTGTGGCGATTTTTAAAATCAATGGCACTCCGGATTCAACCTCGGGTGAAGCTTTGAGCTGTTGGGAAGATTCGAGCTGACCGCACAGGGCGACAACCGTTTCCACCTCCGAGGGGCTCAAAGCCACGTCTTTTGATCCATCAGACACGAGTTGCGCATTCAATTCCTGAAGCTTCTTCGTGATAACTTTGAGGTTTGCTGAGCGGATGGAGAGATAGGTTTTCTGGGGGAGCACCTTAGGGCGCGGCTCGGGAGCAGGTGGTTGAGGCTCTTCGGTCGCTGCGGCGTCTCCAGGGCGGTAACGTCGGTCTGAGCCCCAAGGATCAGCGCCTGCGGGCTCCTGAGACTGCCCAATAGTGGCACCTTGAGTATTCTGAGTGATAAAGTTGGCAACCTGGTCCAAATACGTCATAGGGAGTTCATTGTCTCCAATAAACTTGGTGGCAGCCTCATATGGATTCTGCGTGACATTGTATGGTAGTTTCAGCGGAGGCTTGCCATCCTCTATGTCAACATCGAAGACGTAGTCATAATCCTGACCATGGTATTCGGTCTTCCGACCACTGCTTCCAGCCGAGTCCACCACCATACCGATGGCAACCCATTCCTGTGTTGCCGAAGACCAAGTGTGGGCACTCACAGTACCACCAGGCTCTCGAATCATTTGGACCTGACCTTCCTTGGTTCCGGATTTTTGTTTGAGAAATTCAGGTCCAGGTAGCTCCTCTTTATTAATCTTCCCGACTTGCTGCTCTGGAATAGCTGACTCCTTGACAGCCTGGTCAAACTGCTGTATGGCCTCGGGGGCTGCATGACGGTCAGGGTTTCTGCTGAAAACACGAGCAATGCGGTCACTAGCACCGGTGACGATATCACCGGTCTCACTGCAGGCTGCGACACTCCACACAGAGATTGCAGGATGAGTGATAGTCTGCACACACTGGGTCCCGCTCCAGATTTTCACGGTACGATCTTCACTGGAGCTCACGAGCTCGCCAGATGGGAGTGCCGCAAGGGAGTAGATAAAGCTTTCATGACCATGCAGAGAGGCGACGAGTTTACCCTGCAGAGTATAAAGACGAATTATTCCGTCATTGCTAGCTGAGGCAAAGTGGGCTCCTGTAGAGTTCGAGGCAGGAAGCTTGCACAAGGCCCGGACAACGTCGTTTGAGTTCTGTACGCTTCCGAGTAGGGTTCCCGAGGTATTGAACATCCGAATCATTTTGTCAGCACAGCCTAGGGTGAAGTTAGCATGTAAGTCTTATTACGGCTGCACGAAGCTAGCATACCCGTGATGATTGTGTTCTCGTCATAGGCCAGCACGGCCCAGACACTTGCCTCATGTCCCTCCAGTACGACATCACATTCCCATTTCCCGACCCTCCATAGCCGGGCGGTGGAATCCCAGCTGCCACTCACGACCCATTTGCCATCCGGAGATACATCTAGAGCACAGACATTGTGGCCATGACCCAGAAGCATAGCATCTGCATTATCTTCTGCACCCTTGCCAGGCTGTCTGGCTTCAATTATTGCATCTTGTCCAGCAGAAAGGATAAGGCCCTCTGGGAACTCGGATGTGGGAGGAACGTAGGCTAAGCTGTTGATGAAAGCGCCGCCATGTGCTGCGATGGTATAGTCATATGCGGGAGGTGGAGTGGAGACGAGCTTCCAGAGCCGAACCGTTGCATCACGAGAGGCGGAAAGGACGACATTTGGATTTGGGAAGACCACGGCGCGAACCTAGATCAAAAATCAAAACTGCGTGAGTAGTCTGTGTGGTTTGGGGGCACGGTCAACGGCGTCGGCACAGACGCCGGGACCAGGAGCCTTACATCATCGCCGTGGCCCTCCAAAGTTGCGGAGAGCTTGAAGTCAGGCATACATAAAACTCTGAGAGAAGAAACGGTGAAAAAAGAAGAATCCGAGGAAGGAATATTTTGAGGGTATAACCACGGAATTAATGATCAATCAAGCTCCCCTGGATGTTGTTGTCCTTTAGTCGTTCCGGGGATCGCCCCGCCGAAGCATCAATGGTCATATCACGTGGGCGGTAACGCCGGGGAACCTGCTGGAACACGCCAAGATCTTATCAAATGCGAAAGGTAGTACGGGGATTTTGATTGGATCTCCTACCACTAAAGAATTCTATTACATGCTCAGGTGGTCCTCAAGACCCTATCCACTATACTGGCCAATGACCAAGCAACGTTGGAATCATCTTGTGGACAGCTATCTCTACTTCAGGGCAGCTGGGAGCTTCCAAGATTGGGGTGTATCACATGGCCCCGAAGCGGACTATATCTCTCCCTCAGAGCTTGGTGCCCGGAACAAGATAGGCCAATGGTCGCGCTAAGGACTAAGCGTACTGCAAATCACATCAATTTTCCAACGTTCACAAACCTGATCATGCTCGGGACACATTTCCATTCGTTCCCTCATTGCGGAACACACATTCGAATATAATTGCAATGCAAGGACGGTGAGAAGTCGAAGTTATTACCATTTACAGTGGGACCTCCGAAATATTGGGCTAAGCCTTTGTACCTACATATTACCGCTCTGTATACCGCCTGCCCGTTATATACTGCATAGGAATATATAGTCAGCCGCTTATCCGACCGTAGTCCTCTTAAGGGTTTCTCAGGTAGTCTTCTCCGGTAGTCTTTTTAAATGTCTTTTTACTGGTCTTACTTAGTAGTCTCCTTAGGTACAAACCCTTTGACTGCTAACTGTTGGTGCTGAATCACGTGCCTATACGCTAACTATATTAGGGTGTTTAGACTGGCAGAACTGGCAGAATTTGGAGGGCGGTATATCCCGGTACAAAGGTTTAGCCCAATATTTCGGACTGACCTCGGGAATCTGTAATATAAGTACTAAGCCTAATAAAGTACCTAGGTAGGCTTGGTGTTCCAGATCTTAGCTACGTTCTCTAAATTATACCTAGGTAGTTTACAAACTAGTGCGTGTCTGACGTGACTGCCTAGGTGGACATATTCACCTAAGGCAGTAGCGACCCCATAAGCTTATAGAACCTTCCAACCTTGGAAGGTTGCTCTCCACTTTCTGTTTCTTTCTACTACTCACCACCGGCAAATATCTCTTTTAACCATGGCCCAACGGCTTGAAGAAGGCCAGCAGGATCCTTTACACATATTTTTTGAGTTTGACGACCCTCTTCGTCAACAACTCGTCCAACAAATCGTCCACGATGACGAATTTCTGTACGTGATCCCACGGCAGAATCTGCCTTGTGGTTTAGCGACCTCGATGTTCTCAAGAAAATGGCGAACGCGCGAACCACGGACGAACGAGACAGACGCACAAACGACTTGAGGAGGGTCTCCCGGCTATACGATGTTGCTGGTGTTTGTGAGTGGATCTACACGTTGCGTCTACAATATTGAACTGACTGTTCTACTTAAACCAGGGGCTTATGAGGAGAGGAAAGAGGAGGATGAAACAGTTGATGTCAGTTTATCAGAAATCACAAAGAGGAAATAGTGCTAATACGGCTTCCAGCTCCCACTCGAGAGTGGTATTCGTGATGGTCATCAGTGCGTAGTGACAAAGCGCGGACTGCCATTGATTGAGAGTGCCTACATCCTGCCGAAGAAGCTGAATGGCACGAATAATCTATACCTCGAGACAGTCGATTACTGGAACTGGCTTACCGGCTTCTGGGGTGAAGAAAAAGTCAGTAGGTTGCAAAGCCTGCTGCTATCAGAGGGCACAATGGACATGGAGCGACTCTATAACCGGATCACTCTGGAAGTCATGGTGCACAGATACTGGGATTGTGCACAAATTGCACTCCGCCCTATTTGAGTCAGTCAGGACCGAACCGAGATGCAAATCTCGCTTCATTGGCTGCCTCTCAAAGAGAACATGCCAGGGGTGGCAAAGCATGCTCGGTTCGACTTGGTCTCGACTTTGGAGAGCCCATATCAGGATCCGAAGTACCGACCTTGTGAGACTCCTGGGAGGAATAACGTCGTCTTTCATACAGAGACAGGAGTTAGGATCACCTCAGGATATGTTTTCACAGTCAAGACCGACAACAAGGACGAATGGCCACTACCCTCTATGGAACTGTTGGAACTGAGGTGGCACCTGTCTCGCATTGCTCATATGCAGGGCGCCGACGGTTATTACAGCCCCTTTATCATGGAGTGATGGGATTTTTTTCGTGCTCTTGACGGAGTGACTGGCTTCGGCTTTGTCTTGCTCCTGACGGAGTTCCCTCGGTATTCTCGCTCCTGACGGAGTGGCTGGCTTTGGCCTTGCCTTGCTCCTGATAGGCTGGTGTAGGATGGACGTATGTGTTTGGTTTCATTTAGCCTACACACGGGTGGTTGGACCCATGAAAAGATGTGAAGTTTTCGTACTGAGTGGCATTTGCTTGGTCTTCCTCTTTAAGAGTTCCGGTCTTACCTGTGACCGGGGTCTTCCAGAATGCTTTCGGGTGTTCTGGAAGATCCAACAGCTATGAGCTTGGACCTCTACTTGGAGCTGTTGACTAGTAGCCTTTTGGCGAAGCCAACGCAAGCTCAGCCCCTCCCCCAACCCTCTATCCCCCTTTGTGTCACTATATGATATCCTAAGTAGCGATGACCTCGACTTCTTCGTGCTGTTCTCCTCTGTCCCCTGCACAGCGGCCGACGTCGGTCAGATAATGATCTTTTCCAAAACTGTTTCGTATTTAGTTGTAAGCCCAAATATAAAGCACAGAGCTGTCAACAATGGGCTACAGTAAGTGATGTCTAAAGATCTACTATATATAGTCAGAACCACTGAGAAGGTATTATTACTACGTTATGGGTCAATATAGGGAATAGGATGAAGATGTTTACTTTGGTGGTATACAAGTGGAGATGATACCACGTGACTACACTACCGAGAAGTTTCTTCCCCTGCCGACACTACACTTCCCGCTCCAACCCGACAAACTCCCATCCTTCAATTATTGCTGCAAAAGGGTCAATGGCAGCTGGAACTCCTTGATTCTTAATACCCAGCGTCTTCCATCCAGTTTAACGTTAAATTTTCCTTCCCATTCCCCTATAATATCCTCCAAGATGCCACCCCGGATGCAAAGCCGGAGTGTGTCCAACACCCTTCTTCCCTACCTCACATCTACCTCCTCTTCCTCTTCCTCACTTTCCTCCATTCCTTCATTATCCTCTGCATCATCACAATGCCTTTCGCGTCAATTTTCTGCCACGGCAGCACCACAGGCACAGACCAAGCTTCGTCGGCAGATGTTCGAATGGCTCAACAATGAAGGATCCGTTTTCAAGCACCATATTCCTGGCGAAACCAATTATCTTACTCGCTTAAAACAGCGAGGCGGCAACGAGGGCTCAGAGACATCCCGTCCGTTCCCCAACAACCAACATTTCATCAGCGAGCCTATCCTCAGTGAGGAGCTACGGAATGAAGTCTATAACCGCGTCGTCGAACAGAAGAAGAGTGTCCGCGTTGTTAGTGTGGAGCTTGGAATCGATATGAAGCGTATTGCTGCTGTCGTGAGATTGGTAGAATTGGAAAAGAGACAGCGCGCCCAGGTATGAGCATCTTCCCTTTCTGCTTTTCCTCCCTTCCCTTTTGGACTCTCGACCCTCCACGCATATGATGAGTCACAAAAAATCGATTAGTCTTGAAGACACCTACATGGTTAAACCTTACTTTTTGAACTGAACTGCGTTACCCTTACATTTTGGATTCCTATCAAGTTTTATTTGGTCGCGTGACATGAACTGACGAATCTCAAATCAGGGTAAACCCCTAGCACTTCCATATGCTCGGGCCGTCCACGAGATGGTCCCCACCACGCCTCTCGCCGAGAAAGGCGAGCGTCAAACATATCACGAACCCATCAACGACCTCCCCGCCCACCCCTGACAGGCTCCCAAATCTTCTACCCCGTCCCCGAATCCCGCTCCTTCAACCGTGTCGAGGCGGGTCGCGTCTTCTCCGGTGCCCCAGCAATGGAGCACTCCGAGGCCGCGGAAATCTCCCACCCCTCCGACCTCGCCGAAAAGATCATGGAGGATCCCAACTCCATCGGCTGGGTCGGCAAGGGCGCCAACGCCCGCCAGATCCTGCAACCTGCTGACGTGCGCATTCCTCACCCACACCTGGTTGCCCAGGAGCGCGACCGCCTCGCGCACCCCAATGAGCGTCTGGCTGTTGCAGATCTCCAATCTAAGAGGCTCGAGCGTCAGGACGCACTCGAGAAAGAGCGCCGTGAGCGCCTCCAGGCTCGCCGTGAGAAGAAGACGACTATTGTCTCCCCCGAGGACTCGCGCTTCGACTACCGTATCAAGGATACTATCTACACTACAGAGACTACTGGCGTTGATGGCCGTGGTTCGAAGGCTACTGGTCGTCGCTACGGTGTTCCTCACCGCGACCGCACACGCGGCGAAGTCAAGATTCCTACCCGTGTGGAGGCTTGATTTATTTTTGGGATAGTCCCCGGGCTGTTTCTTTCTTTTTTTGTGTTTTTCAGCAACTTTCTTGGCTACGGCCTTTGTAATTTTACTTGTACGCATACTCATCCATGGATGTACGAAGGAGGCTGTCACTTATGTACCTATATACCGGATAATGTCGAAACATTTCTCCTTCCATTTTGGACTTCCAAGTTTTCCAAGTTGCCTGGTCACGACGCATTGAATAATCACGTCTTTGCCCAGCCCTGGAGGGTGTAATTCGCCCTTTGTATGCCCACCTGGGTGAATGACCAAGGGTTATATAGAAATGTCCATTTCACAAATTAAGCCTTTTTCGGCCCTTTTCAGCTATCCAGCTAGCAATCTGAGAAGGGGGAGAAGATATCTATATAACTAGATACATATCTAGCCCTAACATATCAGCGATTGCCCAGGGTTGACCATATTCCTGAAAAAATAGAGTCTCGAATACTGGCCAACGTACTGAACCGGGCAATGCTGACGGAAAAACACGTATTGAGAACGACCTTCTCGGAGGAATGTTGTGAGCTCGTTGAGAAAGGCTGATTCACTTCGGTTAATCGCTGTCGAAGCACATTTAACGCGCGCTTCTCGCCTCTCGAACACTTGGTCATAGCATTTACCTCTATTTCTGGACTCAGGTTACATTCTTAAGGAAACGATATACTTGGACGAGTAATCAAAATTCATCTTGCCTTCGATTTCTGCTTATCTGATCCCAGGAATTCATCTGAAGATATTCATTCCTATCCCTCCGCCTGCTCAACTGCGGCCATCACGAGAACTATATACATGTACAAAGAATCGGTTCTATCCCTGTTCAACCCCAAGATCCCGCAAACTCCAACTTAGTCAGTAACATGGATGTAGCGGTAAGGCTTGGCCGTGTAACTGCCAACCTTCCAGCCAACAGGACGCTTGTACGCGACACAGCCGTAAGTGCCACGGCACTCAAGCGTATTGTACTCCTTCTTAGAACTATCGGCCCACGACTTGAACAGGGTGACGTGACCAGCAGCACCGCCAGTACCAGCGCCAAGAGTTCCAACAAAGTCACCAGGCTTGATATCGTCCCAAGAGATAGACTTAGCAATGTCGGGGAGACTGACGGTGCTAGCACCCGGCGAAGCGGCGTGCAGAGCCATGCTAACGAAGCCGGAGCAGTCGGTGCGGTACTTGCGACCCTGGGGGTCCGGGTAGTAGTCGCTCATGGAGTATGGGACGTGGCGGGAGACCCAGTACTGGCCGCGGGAGAGGATCTCCTTGCGGCTGATCTTGCCCTGGTAGGAGGAGCTGCCGTCGCCGGAGCTGCCGCCGTCGCAGGACTCGGTGACCATGCTGTCAGAGCCGGTCTTCACGTAGTAGTCGGCGACGTAGCAGTTGTCGGATGTCTTGTCCCAGATGGTGTTGCCGTTGATGGATTCGCCGTAGGTCTGGCAGGAGACCTTCACGTCGGCGCCGCTTTTGTATGTTTTGACGACTGAGTCGCTTGTTGAGGGGCCGGAGCGGCAGTTGAGTTGGTCGCTGGTGATGGGGTATGCGTTGGCAATAGAGAATGCCGCGGCTAGGGTCAGAGCCAAGTTGGTGAGCTGCATGTTGGCGAATAGAGCAAGTTGGCAGGAGAGAAGGTAAAATGTTTGAAGGGCTTGGTTGTTGTATCGAGAATGTTGTTCATCAGGTCGGACTGGGATACTTATACGTTGACTGATGTGTCGATCTTTGCCCGGTGCTGATTAGGGTGGGATCGAGTACTATCACGATACGGAGTAGTCGAGAAGAATTTGTCTAAAATTAGTGCTAGGAAGCAGGACTTGGATCCTCTCGTCCGCAGAGAGCTCGTAAGTTAGTCTTGTTTTCTCATAATACGAGGAAGATGCCCAAAATGAATCCTACCCTGGGGCTAAAATGCGATTGCAGATGAAACATCCGGGGCGAATACGATATGAAGCCCTAAAGGTCCGGATATGTTGCCAAAAATAGTCCCGTTTCTTCACATCGGCCTCGTATACAAGCCGCAAGGGCGATCGGCAGGGTCTAACCAAACACGATGTCGAAAGAAAACACGAGATTGCTTGGCAGGACGAGATCGACAAGCCACTTCGATGAATTAGACGCACACGATGTAACAATTATTTTCCGAAGATGCTAGAAAAGGCTCGTTTCTTCACTTTAGCCTCGGCCCATACGAGTTGCATCAACGATCGGCAGGACTATACCTTTAAAGGATGCAAATTGCGAGGGGAGAAAACATGAGGTTGCTTTTTAATATCAATAAACGAGATAAAAACAATCTAATAGAAATGGATTGTCCCGGAATAGATATTCTATCAGATACCAAGAGCTCGTCCTTCAACTTTCATTCCCTTGCTAAGTACTTCGTACTCGTTAAGTACTAGTCTGACTCCCAAACATTCCCTTCTCAGTTGAATATCTGTTTCTCGTAGAAATCAAAAACTGATTGCTGATTAGCGCATTACGCTGGCTATATTTCGATCTTGGTAGATATTCAAGAAGTTGTCGCAACGCGATGTGTACATGTATTGAAGGTAGCCGGATTAGGAGATATATAGTCTTAGAACTTGATCAGTAGAAGTAATTAGAGGTAAATTTCATATAATACATAGTCATAATCAACCTGGAAGACCAGGGGAAAGCTCCTAAGAGCGTGACTGACTGTAGTTCCTCCAACAAGTCTGCGGCTTCGCTTCAACCAAGCCCCAAAGCTCTTGATCCCCAGCTGCTTCCCCTAGAGATTGTGCCTTTGATTGTATGGCCTTGTCAAGAAACAATCCCCCAACGTCCCTCAGACGCGTTTCAAGGTCAGTGATCAACCTCTTCCTAGCCTCTCGCTCGTCCACCTCATATTCATCCTTTTCGATTTCATCTTCATTTCAACTCCACCAATTACCATGTCTGCGTACATCCATTGCATTGCTTGCCTTCCTGGCTCTCGCCACATGTGCACAAGCTATTTCGAGGTAAAATAGCCTCTTCTCGTCCGACACGTCGGCAATCCCCGCCAAGTGTTCGACATCGTCGACATGCTCGCCCGCGAAGCGACTTTCTTCATCCCAGTCGTCGTAACAGTCACAAGTGCAGTTAGCATGGGCCCTACCAATGAGCAATTTCCGCTAGCGGAATCTCCCATTGTGTAGCGCAGCATCGCTCAACAGTATCAGGCCCCCACAAAGCCCTAGATATATCCAGGATTGGCATAGTTAATAAAACACACGAATACTAGTTTTATGAAATATTCTACTAGCGAAATACGATATGGCGCACTGGTGGGTATACACTGCCGTACGCATGGTTTAGGTGTATGAACTAAATGCTCCTTAAGTCTCTATGAACATAAATAACAACAGCAGTTAGTTTAAACTATCAATCTTGATATTAGTGCAAGCAGAATGGGATGGTCATATCACTCCCATATTCATAGTTCTAAGCCAATGAATACTGTATGGATATCATATATCATGCATTCCTAACCAGTCCTGCAAGCCCTTAGAAACAAAGAACCCCGAAAATATAAGAACTAAGAACCCCGAGATATCAAAATCAAATGCACAGCGCCTCGTCAATCAAAAAAGCAAGAGGTATATGCCCAACAGTCCCGCCATTACATTCAGCCACTTCCATTCCTATCCCGTTTCAATTCTTCCCATTCATGCATGTAGGAAGTAACCAAACAACCAGATAGTCGACTCTCAACGAGCCTCCCCGACAGACCGACAGCGTCGCCTTCTCGCCCCAACCCATCCGGAGATCGCGTCGGATTCAGACTCGTCTTCCTTGGAGGAAGGTTTCAAAATAGAGCCGATTGAGGCGATGGCACTTTGGATCCATGAGGTAGTAGTAGGGGAGACTGGAGCTGATGGTGTCTTTGATGACTGCATGGTCGAGCTGAGTGAGGGGGTGAATGGTAAGATGCGGGGTATGTGGTTTGTGGTTTGTAGTTTGTAGGTTGTAGGGTGTGAGAGGAGGTCTTTTGGTAAATGGTATATTGCTCGGGAGATAATGATAGATGATAGACTTGTATGTGGTATTTTTCTAAGGTGTAAGGTGTAGGGTATAGGGTGTATGGAGAATATATGGGTGTAGAAGATCGGGGGCCAGATTAAGGTATTTAAGGAATCAAAGACAATAGGAACATCACATGCAGGACAATACTCAGCAGACAAAGCCCGGAACTCGATTTGCATAAGTGCATAAAGTCCGGACTTGATATTATTTGCTACTCTAAAGCTTCTCTGGGTTGCTCCTCGTACTTGGGGTCATGCTGCTCTCTCGTGATTGGTGCTATGATCACATTGTACAGATCTACATATTGATTTCGTACCTGATTAACAGCTATTGGACGAGTTCGTTGCTTTGAGAGATGTTGTGTTACCTTGGATGCCGGAGATTCTGGAAAGGGATATGGATTGCGTACAATGTCGAAGCTAATACTTTGAATACTATGGCTAAATGTATGTATACGAATCACCGCTCAAAGAATTAGTGAAGTAGGTGCAAGGAGGATACCACCAATCTCCCTAGCCGATAATCGGAACGAACAAAGAAAGCTATACATTGAAGAATATAGGCACGGGATATCTCGGTCGTGTATATGAGAATCCCCATTGCACGACAATCGTATGCAAGAGTGAAAATCGTGGACGGGACAAAAGAAACCAGCCACAGAAGGAACAGATGTGCGTATGTAGCGCAAAATAACAAGACAGATTCGTACGGCCAAAATAAGATTCACGAGGTGCATTAGGTTTGAGAACCTCGAAGTGAAGTGCATGTTACCATGACAAGAAGATGAAAGGATGAGATTGGAAAAGACACGTTGCTATGCGGGGTATTCGATGAGAGAGACAGAAAGTCGAATCAAACAAGTTGGAAAAGGATTGATAGAAGCGTATAGGGACCAAAGCATGGTAACCCATCCAAAGACAAATCCGTCCTCATTTTTCACCCGGAGGCGCGGCCGTCGCACTACTGCTTGGCGCGGTATCTCCCGGTGTTGGCAACTGCGGACTCGAAAGTGAGTCTAGGCTGTCGGGACTGCCGCTACCCCATGAATCTTCCCGCATGATTTGCGCGACATCTGGCAGCTGCGGCTTGGGGTCGTGGTGGTCGGGCTTATTAGCAGGGCGGGAAGTCGAGGGCGATGGGGGGATCCACCTGTGGTGGTTCTTTGCGGTAGCCACCTTGCATCGGGCTGGCTGATGTATCAACTGGCGAGGCGGCGCGAGGAGAGTCCAAGAAGCCGCGCCATTTACGCCAGCCTTCAAAGTCAATCAGGGCTTGCATGCAGCCCCATTCTGTCACTTTCTGCTCAAGCCAAGGGAATCCGACAGGCTATTCGAGAAATGTTAGCATACTTCTTGAGAAGAAAATGGTTGCAGTAGGGAGCCGACTTACCTTGGTCAGGAAATCGTTACATCCAGCAGCTAATGCTTCATGTCTGTCACTTTGCAGACTGCTAGCTGTCAATGCGACGATAATGACTGGACTCCGGAACAGTGAGAGATCCGACAAAGTGTCCTCTTCACTGACCGTACGGTGAAGGCCGGGTCTTCTGTCCGCGGGAGATGTACTGGACGCGCTAAAGCGTCCAGAGGCTGTCTTCGGGAAGACACCAATGCCATTTAAGCGCTCCAGACGCCGGATCTCCTTGGTGGCTTCCAAACCGTTCATCACGGGCAGCTGGATGTCCATCAAGACCAAATGGAATCCACCTTGTCGCCATTTCCGCACTGCCTCTTCGCCGTTCATTGCACATTTCCAGCGCACTTTCAACCTTTTCATGAAGGCCTCCAAAAGCTTCTGGTTGATGATGTTGTCCTCCACGATGAGGACATTGATTGGCGGAACGGTGCCGTCAATCAACCCGCCAAACATAGCACCAGGAGAAGTGGCTGCTTTTGATTTCCGGACCACGCGTGGTGATGCAGTTGCCGGGGGAGTGTGTGATTTCACCTGCGGAGATTCTACCGGCGGTGCTGCCGGCGGGGGTGTAGGCACTGCGGGAGCGGTGGGAGGCGGGATAGGTTGGGAATGAGGAGTAGCGCCGGTTTCTATGGATGTCAGTGGCCATGTGGAGCAAAGCAAAGTTGTCTGAAAACGTACCTGTTATGCCAGGAGTTTGGGTGTTCTGGTTATGAAGAATAGTGGGAGAATTTGTTTTGTGTCGTGTCAACGGAGGTCGTTGCTGATGCCGTGCCCTACGGCTTCCTGGAGATGGCAGTAGAGGAGCAACCCCAGTGTTGAGAATGGAAATCGACGGCGCAGTAGCCGCTGCTGATGCAGATCCCGAGTGTGCAGAGGGTGTGCCCGCATTCGCATTGACCGGTGGCATGAGAGGGAAGTAATCGCCATGCTCGCCGGGTTCTGAATGGTGGTGCTGGTAGATCGAATGGCGCGGCGATGGCTTTGGGGTCCGCCGTGACGGTGCATCGATCACCAGTGCTTCCTCGATTTTTTGTCCACCAGGATAGTATGCATCGAGAATAGATGACAGGGCTTCCTCCGGGCTCAAAAGGCGTTCAGTGTGACCTGGTCGATTCGTACCCTCTCGTGGCGAAACCCGGATAGCGATGTCGGGCGAGTCAAAGCTTCTCCCTAATGAGTTTCCGTATTTCATAATGACTTGGTCGCGTAGCTCATCCACCACCGCGTCGTCTCTGCACGGCACCAAGGTGGCCGAACCACCGGGCCGTTTGACCCAAACCCGGCGTGTGACCATCTCGTGAGGAACAAGAGGAGTGAAACCACTACCCTGGTCACCTGAAGAGAAAAGACTCGCGTCTAGTAGCCCGCTAATCAAGTGTTGTTGTGTCGCTGGGAGAAGAGATTGACGACGGATCGCGAGGCTCGGGCGCTTGCTTGGAGGAAAGTAGGAGGTAGAAGGTCGGCGATCATTCGTAGGCCACTCGACAACAGTATCCAAGGCTGGAGTCAATGGAGTCCCGGGTAGGATTGGAGTTTGAGCTTTCAAGTGGGTGGACTGGAAGGAGGTGGTATCGGAATGCGGAGGAGTCGATAACGGAGGGGTTTCGAGGGGAGACGGAGGATCGGCCGAGATAGGAGTCGGCAAGGAGGAATTATATGGCTCGGTCGACGGCGTACAATTGCGAGTTCCTGTGTGATGAGGCTGTTCCGAAGGCGCAGACACGGAAGAATTCAGTTCCTGGTTTGTCCCTGGAGATAGGGGTTCCTCGACTTGGCGGTCGCGAGAAGAACCGATGTCCAAATTTGAAGATGCGATGCTGTCGGATCTGTTGGAGTCAAGAGGGCGCGAGGGGGTTTTTCTGGTTGAAGTGGGAACTCGGATCCGCATCCGCTTTTGGAGATAATCGTCCAAGTAACTTCGCCTTCAGACGTGATATCCGTTCTGGCATCGTTGGGTCTTCATTTCTGACAAGAGAGAAAGTGGGAGAAACACAGATTGTTCTCTGTTGTTATTCTCCCGATAAGGAAAATTTCGTACTTTTCGGACTTTTCGGACTTTTTCGTACTTTTCCGTCAATATAGCTCCAATATAGCTTCAAAGGCAAAGAGGTCAAAGGTCAAAAGAAGTTGAGAGGGGGAAACTGGGACTTGGAGTCAGCTGGGTTAGTTGATCTCCCGGCCAAGGAAAAAAGCTATGGCCTTTTTAAGGCTAATGCTGGACTAACCTACAAAGGATTGAGGGGTTTATTCGGGCATTTGGGGTAGAAAAACACAAGATGGCACATGAGAATACATATATCACAAGATTATTAGGCATCTAAATTACGGGGTTTGTTTTCTGTTAGGCGAGGAGGCATATATGTATACCTAGGTAGAGCTAAAATGCAGTATGCATAGGAGCCTTAAGCTTGGATATAACAGGTTTATTCGCAGTACCTCCAGGGCTTACGTGAACTGAGTCTAAATCGACATTCAGGCAGAGTTAAATCAACATAGAAGCCATCAGATTCGTAATCAACATAAATAGCTGAACATAAATGCCGATAACAATATATCCACTACACCAGCGCTTAGCCAGAGACAAAGGGCCGATGGTTCTTAGGGTCACTGGAACATTCCGAAGAGCTGCATCTGCAGTTGCACTCCATAACAATATATACCATCCATCTTGTCCTGTTGGGCGTAGAAGTTGACGTCGTCCTGGCTGCACACAACATATTTTCCATACAAAGTCCACACATTGGTTTGTGGTACCGGTACGGTTGTGTTCGTGGCAACTGTGTTGTTACTTCCCTGTCCGCTCGGAGTGGTAAATATGACTGGACAAGCCATTAATCCAGTATCGCTCAATCCCAGCAAATTGGTGTCGGAGGCTACACCGGCTGTCATGAATATGTCAGACTCAGTGGTGGTTGTGGTCGGGGTATTGGGGTAACAACCCAGGTGTTTTGGTTGTCGCCAAACGTCACTAGATATCTAATCAGACATCCGTCGTGAGGACTCGGAGGTTAAGGCCTAGAAGAAACTGCGAACTGGTTGGTTGCGTTTGATAGTGACAGATCACTGATCTGGGCTTAACCTATTCAATCAATATGATTAGGTGGTGATCCATTTAAGGGTGGGAGATGTTTACCATCTGCATAGAAGCTAGACAGCCCGTCGATGCCCTTGCCATATGCATACAAACTCTATAAGCCATTGGCCTGTCGCTTCTCCATTAGATGTGTATAGGCAATTGCAAAGATTGTAACCATAAGAAAATCGAAATTATGTTTTAAGATTGATGCTAAGAAGTTTGTTGTTTGATAGATATACTACCACGTATCCAGAGTTTGATCAAGGCGCTTTTGAAATCGTTTCCTATATTAATGCCCTAGAGTGCCCTATTATTCCCTTCAAAGCGCAGTGGGACGAACTCAGGGCTGGAATGGTAAGCTAAGCCATATACGGAATTAGTGTGACAGAACCTCTGGCTTGGATATTTCAGAATCCTTGATCTTCTCATCTTATGCTGCCTACCTATATATATCCTGAAACAACACCCGCTTAATCAAAACCGCCTTCTAAGGCTGACCTAGCTGAACAGACACTGCCAGATGGGGCGCATTGTCACACCATTTGCCCTCACATATTGAGTCACATCTATATTTATACCCGGGATTGGCTCGCAATCACCCTTGGCCCTTTCTCTCTAAGTAATACCTAAGTATTATGCTCACGCGGCAAAGCCCCAAATCGCCCTTATGTGACTCGATCTAACCGTGTTATATCCACGATGGATTATCGACACACGGAATCAAGAACCCTATATTGGAGACCTGAGAAGAAAAGGATCTGATCACGATAATGCATAACCCATGTGGATGTGGTGCTATAGAATCGGGGCGGCACACAAGGGCTTAGATTAGATAGCTAGAGATTATAAAATCCTTTGACTTCGTAATGATTGTCGATGAAACAACTCGTCTCGCTATCGATATATAAATCACAAAGGTATTCCCACTAGAACAGTCTATTTGCGACACACACGAAGTCTTGCCTCTATACTAAAAATAAGCTAGAGGGCCTTAGCTCCCTTGTGACTCGATTTGTCTTCGATATCCATGCCTAGATCAATGAGGTAAACGCTTTGAACAATCTATTTGGGTCAGACACGGAGTCTTGTACCACGCTGAAACTGAGATGGAGGGCCTTTCACTCTAACGTGGCTTGGTGTGTCATCTTCTAGGCTAGTGTTTCTGCTTTTGTCTGTTGGGATAACGGCATGCCAGCGTCTCCTAGCAATTCACGAGGCAATGTACGAGGTGGATTACCTTGGAGCCAGAATAGGCGTTCGTAAAAATGTCAGCTTGAATGTCTAAAGGAGGTATATGAATTCCTTCCGTGACTTGGTGGAATAAGTGCTAACTATCCTCCTAAAAGACAGATACCAACATTAACAGCTTGATATCGAGTCATCATGAGGGCTTTACCCATTATTTTCTTGGTCAATTTACTTGGTACTGGAATTGCCCATGCCCAATACTCCAACAACCCATCAACGTTGCGACCAATTGCCACAAGACCTCGAGTTCACAATACCTATGGGCCTACAGGGACTCCATGCGCAGGAAATACACCCAATGACAGATCTGTCTGGTGCAATTACAACATCGACACAGACTACGAAAATGTCGTCCCGGACACAGGTGTCACGCGCGAATACTGGTTCGAGGTTAAAGAGGTCACACTTTCTCCCGACGGATCCATGCCTTTACGTCCAGTTATGACCATCAATGGCACTTTTCCTGGCCCGACTCTTGTTGCAGACTGGGGCGACTGGGTGATCGTCCATGTCACCAACCATCTGTACCAGGCAATGAATGGTTCGAGCATTCACTGGCACGGTATTCGGCAGAACTACACAAACCCCAATGACGGTGTTCCCTCAATCACCCAGTGTCCTATTGCCCCCGGCTCGACAATGACCTATAAATGGCGAGCTATCCAGTATGGGTCCTCGTGGTATCATTCTCATGTTGGTCTGCAAGCCTGGGAAGGTGTACAAGGTGCTATTGTTATCAATGGACCGGCAACTGCAAACTATGATGTGGACAAGGGACCATTCTTCCTAAGTGATTGGACACATGAAACAGTGGATCAACTGCATCATGATGTGCAACTACGCGGCCCGGTCAGAAAGCTGTCAAATGGACTCATCAATGGCAAGAATATCTATGGGAGTGGTACAAATACTACTGGGTCTCATTTCCACATGAAGGTGGAAAAAGGCAAATCCTACCGGTTGCGACTCGTGAACCCTGCTATCGACACGCATTGGAAGTTCACTATTGACAACCACACGATGACCGTCATTGCAATGGATCTCGTTCCTACAAAGCCATATGTCACGAACGTTATCAGCATTGGAATGGGTTCGTTTCTTGGTCTCATCCTTGCTCCAAACATACAACTCCAGCTAATATCCTATACCTAGGTCAACGCTATGATGTTATAATCACAGCCAACCAGAGATCCGTAGCCGAATCTTTCTGGATGAGAGCTATACCAGCGGATGGATGTTCAAAAAATGAAATGGCTGGCAACATCCGAGGCATCGTCTACTACGGCAACGAGCCCAAACAACCGCTCACGCAGTCCTTCCCCTTCACCAACGTCTGCGAAGACGAACCAATAACGAGCCTAGTTCCGCACGTCCCCAAAAACGTCGATCCACCAATTTCACCGGTGTGGAACGAGAACGTAACAGTCAGCAAGACCCGGAACGCACAGAATTTCCTCCGCTGGCAGTTCAACTCGACCTCGATGAACGTGAGCTGGGAAAACCCGACCCTGATGCAAGTCTACCACGACGAGCCGGGCTTCTCCAATTCAAGCGGCGTGATCGAGTTGCCTTTCAAGGATAAATGGGTGTATCTATTTATCCAAAACACCGCCGTCACTCATCCCATCCACCTCCACGGCCATGACTTCTCTATTCTCGCGCAAGGACAGCCTGGGCCTGGGAAACCGCAGTGGGATGGTTCGATAATTACGCAGAACCCTCCGCGTCGGGATACGGCCGTGTTGGCTAAGAGTGGGTGGCTGCTTATTGCTTTCAAGACGAATAACCCCGGTGCGTGGTTGATGCACTGTCATATTGGATGGCATGTCGATGAGGGTTTGGCGTTACAGTTTGTTGAGCGGCAGGATGAGATTCCGGATCTTGTTGATTATGCTCCGTTTATGGAGAATTGTGCTGCATGGGATAAATACGTTGGGAGGAAGAATATCGTGCAGGAAGATTCGGGAGTGTGAGGATGTAGTACTGAGTATTTGTTTGCTAAATGATAGAGAGAGATATGTATTTAGATTGAGATGGTGGCAAGGCCTTATTTTTAATTGATTATTCTAGGTATTCCTTGAATTCCAGCTCAATTCAGACCACAGAAAAGACTACCTAGGTAGGTATCAAGAAGAATACTCTGCCTAAGCAGCTGACTATTCTTGTAGTAAAGCGGAAGGTATAAGGGTGGTTACCTATTTAGGAAGGTACCCGTGGACGTGATGCCATAAAAGCGCTTCTCCCCCTCAGATCTTCCTTTCCTTTCTATTTTCTCTTCGAGGCCTTTAACTTGGCCCCGGGAGGAGTGGCGGGGCGGCGAAGAGCCGCTCAGAAGAAGTGGCTGCGCCGGGGCCTCCCCGCATTCACAAGTTCCCCTGGAATATAAAAGCCCCCTTCGCAGGACACGGTTAAGGGACTCATCCACAACCGCACAGGAGGATCAAACAATCTTCCCTTGATCTTTTTGCCATGATCAATCCCGACGAAAGAGTCTTCTCAGAAGGCCAAGGCTATTTTGGCCTAAGGGAAAACCTCGCAACCGAAACCCACTGTAACGTCTGGGATTGGGATCAGCTGCGATGGATCAAAGTCAAAGGAACTGCTAAGATATTTCCACCTGGAGAAGATGTTGAAACCTCAGTTCTTGCGCAACTTGCCGATTATCTTTCGCCAGAGGTTCGTGCAATCACAGTAAACGATGACGGGCTTCTCACTGGAGTCTCAACAGACCCGGAAGAAGATGATACATTCTTTATTGGATATCTCCCCTTATCAATCTGTCCATCACTCGCAGATTGCCCTACCGTATATTTCTCTCAACTTCAAGAGCTCGATCGGCTTGGACCAGGTGTCGATCTCTCATCGTATGATGGTCAGAGGGTCGCATTCAAATTCAACCCTTTAGGCATGCCTCTAAGACTACAGATGTCCTGGAAGGAGATGAACATGCTCAGCAAGCTGCCACCACATCCTAATATAATACCGTTTGACCGCATTGTTCTCGAGGACGTGGAGTCTCGAGTGATCGGATTCACAACAAAGTACATCCCAGGTGGAACGCTAGCTGATGCCGATCCGAAAAGGCCTTTCCGTTTTGAATGGCTACAACAGCTTACTCAACTAGTGGATTTCCTGAACCTAGAATTAGGGATCACACATCAAGATATTGCACCACGGAATTTGCTTGTCGACCCTGAAACAGACAAGATTATCCTCTTCGATTTTGATTGGGCCGCGAATGGGAATGACGGTCTAATAAATGGTCGAGACGATGTGTCTGGTGTTGTCTTCACGTTATATGAGATCGTCACTAACGATACCCATTTTACGAGCATTCCTCACTGGGAACGAAACAAAGACATGGTGCAGACTATTGAATGGACTTGTCATCTCGAACTAGACTCTGACATGTCAAAGTTCCGCGAGTTTCTGAATGAATGGGTAGCAGCGAGAACCGATAGAGCGACAGAACAATATTCCAATGCACCCAAGCGGCTTACATGGCTGGATCTTCCAACCCCCCCCAGACTACGATGTGCCCTTTGAGCTGGGTTTGACGGAGGAAGGAGAAACTGCTTGGCGAACGGGTGGGCGTTCTAGACGCATTGCACTAGAGAAGGGGCAATACTGCTTTCGATGGGAAAGGCCACCACAAAGCAGGTTGTAGAAGAAAAATCACAATAGCAGTGGCTGATGGCTGGAATATTGTTTACCTCAGTTCGTATCGTTCAACATAATGACTTTGGATGAGACTGGACACTGGCTAAGCGGAAGGACTGGCTGCAGTAGAAGCAGCAAGAATTCCCTTTTCAATATCCCCCGTTTCTTGCATATTATTCCTCAGTAAAAGCAAATCATCAATACTTTTCCCTGAATCCTTTGCTTCCTTGAGCAGCTTGCGATAGCGGATTCGCCAGGAAAGATGGCTAATGTATATCCCTGCCTCGAGAACCACCACTAGAACATACATAATCCCCCCCTAGTATGTCGAAAGAGCCTTGTGCCGCTATTATATAAATAGGTGAGCTCCTTGTCATAGATTTCCAGGTAGAGCAACTCATACCTAACGCAAAAAGGGAAAATAGACCGCCCATCGTGTCAATGGCGAGGAAACCCCAATCTGCTAACCGTCAGCATTTGTCCATTAAGCGCTGCAGATCAGGGAAAAACTAACTGAAGCCAATCACACGTCCATCCCTCTTCCATAATTCAAAATAAGGCGGCAGTAGTCCTGCAGTAAGGAGAATGGCGGCTATAACCCCAACCACGATGTCGGGCCATGTCACACCGTCATTATATGGTATCTGTTTCGATTAGGTTTTCTATTTTTAGCAGAATAACAGAAAGGAAGAAATGATCATACCCTCAATGTCAGAATAAGAAGAGCCTCCAATCCTCCAAATAAAACAACCGTCCCCGAGCAGACCAGGACGGCCTTGGTTTTGCTATAATTACTATTGAAATTAAAGAACGGATATCAGCAATGCGGGCACAATAAATATACATACACTAAACCAGAGGGAAAGAAAGGAACCCAACTCACTGGTTATAATAAAGAACCTGACTCCAACTAACAAGAGAAAAGAACCCGAAGATCTGAGGCTGAATCTGCAACGGGATATTGACTTGCTATAGCAAGAAACCCATGAAGATAGCGGTCAGTGACATGCAGGTGCAAAGAAACATCGGAATTATTAGACAAGAAATCTCTAGGGCAATGCAACTCACCTGCAGAATCAGATATGCGCCCATTGGAACCGAGCCTGCGTGAATCACAATTGTAAGCAAACCCAACTTCAATCTTGAAGCTTTCTTTCCTTTTTCCTCTTTCCTCTTTTGGGTAATATTCCCTATATATCAAAGACTCGAAATATAACTAGGTAACCCTCTAGGCCAGAAATAAAGAAACAGACAAAACTCACAGCTTGCCCAGAGAAACATCATCGCCGCGGGAAATCCCTCTGTATTTTTACGGCGCCAGTTATACCAGATCTGTGGTATGAGTTGAATGCACCAGAGAACTGTCCCGATAGTGCCGAGGACGTTTGACGCTAATGTGATATTGTCTTCTGATGGCATTGTTGACATAGAGCGAGGTATATCATGCGTATAGCAGGGCGCTGAGTTCAAAAGGTATTGCAGATTGTAGTGACGAGACAATGCATTCACGAGTAATAGAAATTCTTGGGTGTAGACTAGATATTCACTGTATTAACTACGGTCGACGAGGTGTGCTAGTACTTATACGGAGCACTAACCCCCCAGAACCAACTAGCCCCCAAACAGCGGAAATATAATCGGAGATTTGGGATTGTGAGTGCGAATCAGAGAGAAGGTTCAGTCGCCTTATGCACAGTAGCGCATGCGCAGCGATCGTCCAGTTGAGCCAGTCATGGCTCGGTAACAGACGCAAGACGACATAGGCGGGTATTGGGATTGGGGAGGGGTTTTAGAGCCCTGATGTTGGTGAACGAGCATAGAAAATGCACGGTGATAAGTACGATGCAGAATGAACCAAGACCGGACTAAGAAATGACAAGCAGCGGTGAAGTCTTGAGGTTTGACGCAGGACTTGGCTGGTCTAGTTGATGGATCTTTGCGATCGGTGCATTGGCCTATGGTGGAGGTGGGGATGTTGCTTCGAGTGAAGGTGATAGTTAGTCTATCTGGGAAGTGAGAAGAAGGGGAAGAAGAAAGAACATGTTGTTTCTAGAGATATTGATACCAATTTTGAGCGGAAGGCTCGTTTGCTAGATATAAATATTCTCAGTTTGGTCAAGCAAGAACTAACTGTAGAGTTTGAGCTCGAGAGTACCAGAATAAAGCCTATAAGATATGCTGATTACGGTAAGAGGGGGGGTAAACCTAGGCTTATGAGCAAGACTAGATGGGCTAATAGATGCATAAGGAGTATTATGGGATTTAGGGCTATAGTATGCAGGTTTGTTTCCTTTTCTTGTGCATTGCGTTTGCATTTTGTGATTGCACACGACGGGTTTGATCTGGGTTGGGGCAGATAGAGGGAAGTCATTAATATAGATAAGTTGGGCATCGGAGAAATATAGGACTAATGAATACTTATAGACAGAAACTATTCGAATATCAATACAGTACCCTATCTGCCACTCTATTCTACAGTATTGTTCATTAATTCTCCGGTGCACCCCACCTATCTGATAGTGGAACCTAGGTACCTGACTCTCCAACGACTATCAATGATGTGGTGTCCGAGCTGGCCGAGGCAAAGAGCGATACAGGCGTCTCAAGGGCAGGAAACACCTTGCTAAAGTTCTGATCAAGACTGATAAATCAAGCTGCGTCAATTCATGTTATATACTAAGATTCCTTACATCGAAACATTGAATAGCGTACAGGAAATGCATTGCATTAAGATACAAGTCAAGCACACCCCCGGCTTTGATTCAACATGTAAATCTTATGATTCATAGTCAAATTAGATGCAAACAGTCGATATCAAATAGGGCACATAGTCTATATCATAAAATATATTGTGTGCTCAAAATTAGCTGGGTGTTCTAGAACTTCGAAGGACCCACGGGTGTCCAAGTGTCCAGGTGGATTCGACAAATTACGTAGACGCACACGGAGTAAACGCACAATATGGTGAATTGCACTGTCTACAGTCAAGAGATCGCTATCCTAGCATATAGGCACCATCTCACATGTTTATTTTTCTTTCATGTACGGAGTAGAAAACAAGTGTTTCATCGGAATCAACAGACCCCAATTCTAAACCCTATTCCAACATGATCATGGAGAATAGCACCCCAGCCATGAAGCAGCATAAAGGAAAGACGCAGGATAACCACCCGCTAGAGCAAAAACCCAAAACCCCAAATCACAAAAAAAAAGTACCAAGAAGAGAAAGGACATGCAACACAGAACAGAAGGAGGCCATCAAGACATCACGTTAAAGGAACCAAAAAAGTACACACACACACATCGAGGTTGGATCCGAAGGGTATCAAGGGGAAGGGAAACAGATTTTGCGACAGAACAAATGACAAGGAACTCGGACAAAAAGAAGAGACATCATGCATACGGACCAGAGATCACAGAAGGATCAGATAGTTCGAGGGCGCAATGCCAGTATCTCCATTTTGCTTCCGAGCCTGCCACCATCGGCCGCTCACATCGGATACTTCCAAGATCTCGTGCTTGGCGAAGCTGATTTCATTGGCGTCTTCCGGGTTGGCGTCATATGAGTAGATCGCCTTGGCCCGGTAAGGGTATTCCGTTGGCTGGGGCACTTCGCCCACTTCTTGCTCGCCGTTACCCGGAGTCGAGGGGTTGGGGGTACCGAAGCGAGGCGCAGAGGATGCCCGTTCGGCGCCGGGCGCGCCACCGGGGTATCCGGAGACGGGGACGAGGTCTCGAAGCCGCCTAGTTGGGCGGAGGTGTACATCTGCGGGGTGTTGTTGGTTGCCACGGTATCTGGGCGGGCGCCGAATGTGCTGGACATGGGGCGGCTGCCGCGGTAGGAGGGATCGCCCGGCTGTTCCTTGTTCAGGGCGAAGGAGTCGATGAAGCCGCGGTGGGTGGCCTGGGGTGTGGAGCCGAAGTAGAAGATCCAGAGGATTATGACCATGGAAAGGAGAATGAAGCCTGCACCTGCGGCTTGCATGGAGGCTTGTTTTCCGTAGATAAGGTTGTTTGCGCTCGTGGATGTTAGGACGAGGCCACAGGCAAGGTAACCGACGATCTGGAGACATTGTCAGTACTAGAGTCTCGTAATGTTTATGCATGGAGGAGCCATCATACCGCGACGCCATAAACGTGGCCCGTGTCAGTGCCAAAGGTCGTGACGAGGCCCACAATGACACAAAACATGTATGAGATGGCCCACCATGAGTAGTTGGGATATTGGGTTTGCACGTCGGCGATGATAGATGCGATGAAAGCAATGAGCCATGCCAGCTAGAATTGTATGTTAGTCTATGTCGAGTCATGTAGGAGTAAGTCGAACGAACAATCGAGATCGAGATGGTCATGAGCGCGAATGGATCGCCTAGGATGTTGCTAGGCCGGAATTTCGCCATGTTGGATTTGCGGATTGGGTTAGGCTGTGGAATGGAATTGGTATGAAATGATCGAAGAAAAAGAGGGAATGGCGATGGGCGATGAGCGATGAGCGATGCGCTTGTATATAAGAGTTGTTGATTGTAGGGTCCTGAACGAGGCGGACGGGAAGGAGTGACTGCGGTTAGTTAGTGTGGGAATGACAGATGTGATTGCATGTGCCAATGAAATAGAGCAATATAAAAGAAAGACATAGGGAGATGTTTTAAAGTACCTAAAACAGAAGTGGGTTCAGAGACAATCCGTGGGGATGGAAGAGGTTGGGAGTCAAAAGAAAGAATCTCCTTGCAGAGAGAAAAATCAGCACCAGGCTGGAAAAAAGAAACAAGAGATAGAATCAATCAATAAAAAGAAAAGAATAAAAGAGTGGATAAGATTGACAGTTGAAAGAAGAAGAGGAGAGAGGGAAAGATAAAAAGGAGGAAAAGTGGCAGATACGCAGTGGAGTCCGGGCCCCCTGGAAATCGACGGTCTCGATTCTCTTTGGAAATTAACGAAATTAAGGAAATTACTTGGACTTGATCGGTTTAATATGATAATAAATAATTGGAGAATCTTAGTTTAAATTACTCGATTTACTTTTCCTCATTCTCTAAACATAAACAATGAAAAATGAACTCGATCTGGAAATCTATAAATATCCGGTTAGTCACATCCGCTTTGTGGATGTCTTAGGTACCTCTGTATTCTATAATATTGGCCATATTACGAGAAGAGATTCTTAATGCCTCAGATTGGCAAAATCATCATCAATTCGGGCCTATGGCGCAGCGGTATGTTACCACCACTTCGAAGGTGTCCAATTCAATTACTAATAATCGTCCAGGTAGCGCGTGAGATTCCAGACCTCAAGGTCATCCGTTCAAATCGGGTTGGGCTCAACTTTCCTTTCTTTTTTCGTTTTCTTTTTTTTTTTACTTCCTCAAGACATTCTGCCTGCATATGCGAATAAATACCCAATTGTGACAAGTTAGTAGTCAATACACCGCATTCTTTACATCACCGACCACAGTTTGCGGGGGAAGGAAATGGGGTAGGTTAGCGCATTCCAATTGACTTCAAACGTTCCAATCCATCCGGATGCAATGACGTCGGGAGGAACCTTGGAATGTAACTACAAGCACTTAATTGTTGGCAGGGGCCTAGCCTGGCGCATAGCTTTCTTTGTATACGCCATCTGAGAACGTATGAACTTCGCAGCTTGACCGAGCTGGAGATCATCATACATACACGGATGTTAAACTTAGGAATATCCCATATGTGCTGATTCGAGATAAAAACACCGTGCGCCCAAATCAGAGGTATCATAGCAAAAAAGCAGACAACAGCAACAGCAACAGCCAGAGACATCACCCCCCTCCAGTTCCTCCGCAGAATATCATCCAAAACAAGACCATTTCGGAAGACTCCCCTCTAAACTTCCTCCCTCCCCTTCCTAACAACCTCCCCCCTCCTGATCTCTCTCTCCACATCCTCAAGTCTCCCCTCCCACTCAGCCCAGCACTCCCCACTCCCAACAAGCCCAACATCATACCAGCGCTGCAGCACGCGTGCCGTGCGCACACGTAGATCCGAGATCTCAGCTGCCTGCTCACTCTGCGTCTGCGCGAGCCGGTCTAGCTGTGGCTGCAGGTCGATTAGTGCTGCGGAGCTCTGCGCGTCCGGCACGGGGAGGTCATTTAGTGATGTAAGGCGCGAGGCGGTTTCGGGGAAGGCGGTGGCGTAGGAGAGGACTATTGAGGCTAGGGTTTGGGTTGTGAGGCCTTCAGGGATTTCGTGGGGTGGTGTCGTTTGGAAGAGGTCGGGGTTTCGGTCGTCTGGTAGGATTTGTGTTAGTGTGGAATTGAATGAGATGGCTCGGAGGATAGTGGAGGGTTAATCATGCAGATATCAGATAGGAATTCAGGTAGGGAGAGGGTAAGAATGAGCGGGTTCAAAGCGCATGTAAATAACATCATCACTGGTCACATACGGAGTTGTAGAACATCCCGTACGGCTGGTACACTCCGACTAAGCCGTTCTAATTCTGATTCTAGCCGCGCCAGTCGGCGGGTGACTGTCTCGTCGAGGGATGCGGGCTTTTCGGGTGCGGTAGGGACGCCGGTCCAGTCTGTGGCGCCGGTGAGGAGGTAGGTGAGGCGGCGTAGGCGCGCCTCGAGGAGCTCAATAGTGGCTCCGGCCACTGCATCACTTTCTAGGGCCATGGTCTGTAGAGATCAAAGACCAATTGGGGTAATTGCGAGATTGACTGAGAAAGGGTGCCAGGAGCTTGGTGAGGTGCAAACATAGCAAAATGTGGGGACAAGCTTATCAGTTAGCTGTACCAGAGTACAAAGTGTACATCGTATAGGACTTTGGAAGGCTTCTATGCAAGGATCCATCTACTATAATGTGGGATTCTTCTTATAAGATCGATGCTTGCTTTGGGCGTCCATTACCGTCTGACCACTTGACACATAGCCGAAGCTTGACATTGCTCTACAGTATCTACATATTCATCGTTCACTCATTATTCATAGGCTTCCCCGCATGCTTCATTCAATGCTACTTCGCATGCTCTAGATGACGCGCCATTTCCTCATCATCAGCATTATTCCACCCTGAGTCCATCTGTGGGCCAATAGGCGCCGTGGAGTGAGTTGCGGCGGCACGATGACCCAGAAGACTCGCTCCGGGTTTCTCCTGCATCTCTTGGCTGGGTTTTGGCTCGTCGTCGAACCCGGAGACTTCATAGTCAAAGACATTCACCTTTGTTGCCATCTCTGACATTTCAGGCTGTCCTTTGTGTTGAGTTTCCGCATTGTTCGCCTCCGCCCCGGGATCTTCCTGGTCACTGAAGATTATGGTCGGGGTATTCCCAAATTCGTCCCCAAAAGCATCGTTGTCTCTGTTCACGAAGCCCTGCTTTCAGTTAGCCGAAAACTCTAGAACTATCTGAGGAAGACTGTGGATCTTACCTGAAGCTGTGACGGCGCAGGATCCACTTGTGCATTCACGGCAGTCTCGCTTGCATAGACAAGTAAGACAGAGCTCCACTCTTCACGAGCGGCTTGGAGGACTTCATTCTCTTGAACTTTCCGAACAGTGTAGCCGACAACCTCGTTATCCTGTGTGCCTGCAGTGTTGCCTTGGGCTTTTTGTTTTTCGGCTTGTCGGGCTTTTCCATCTTCCGCCGAGAAGCTGATACGCCACCACTGGTAGTCATTGCTGTTTTCAGTGTCCGAGTCCATATCCATCAGGTGCCCTGGGGCAGTTGTTTTTGGATTCGATAAAACGTAAGTCACATGTGGTTCGGTGCATACGCCTCGTAGCGTATACTTGTAGACAGGGGGCTCGGAAGGTGATTTGGGAGGTTCGGTAAGTGTCTTTGATATCTCACGGAGAGACATCACGGCACTCTGCTTTCTAAGTTCGAGTTCTGCGCTCGGGTTATTAGCCGACAGTTTGAGTATGATAGTAATGGCTGTCTTTACCTTTGAGCTTGGCTTCTATGTTTGTGGCAATTGCTCTCAATTTCTCTGCAACTCGCGTTGTCTCTGCATCTGCCGCTCCGGAGCTGGACTGATCAGGCTCGCTTATTTGCCCGGCGCAACCACTGGCACCGCCTGGGCAGCTTGTTCGAGGAGTTCCGTGATCGTCGAGCTCCCCACGGGGTCCCGTGGGATGGTATAGCGATGAATGAGTTGTTCGAGCTTCAACACATCTCCCTGTATCTGCTGTCGTTTTGCACGAAATTCACGAGCAAGATCTCGGCAGCTGCTAAGATACCGATCTGGATAAAACACAGAATGAATATCCACACCCACAGGTTTTGGCTTTTGAAGAGCATCGAGTCTAATGACTAGTACCTCTGCTAAGTGTTCAAGCCATGCGTCATCGAGCTCCTTCCCTGGTCTGTCAGACCATAAAGCAGAATCCAAAACGTCATAGAGTGTTTGGTCATTGTCCTGCTCAACAGGAGGCTCAAAAGTGAAGAGTTCCCTGGTATCGGGCTCAGAAAACTCGTGGAAAGGTTCTTTCCTGTATGCATGTGATGTGAATATGGTTGCCAGTGGGTTTTCAGGATCTGCCTTAATGGCTGCACCATGCCATGCTTCCAAAAACCTGGTGACGACCTCCTCCGAATCTGCCGATAAGGATGACATGCTGTTGATTTTTGCCAAGCTGTCGCTGCTGCCAAAAGCACGTTTCGTGGTATCCATAAAAGCCATCAGCCGCTGGGTTTCGTGAATGATATCATCCCAGTCGCTATCCCCGGTCTTGCCATCATTCACCGTAACAATCTTCGGCAGGTTAATCGATTGCCCGTTCCACCACTGCGAGTCATGGCCGTAGTCAAATAGCGGTTTGTTCCGCAGGAGCAAAGCTTCTCGTGCGAGGGGAATACTATGGAGAATCGTCAAAAGCCCTCCGAGGTAAATGCCCTCAGGGTTGGGGCGGATGAACGCAGGCTCTCCCTCTACTCTTTTGCGGTCTTCCGGGTCTGGGCTAATCATGACTTCTTCGGAAGATGTGTTGAACAAGGTCATCGCCCAAGCACCTTCTTCGTAGTGATCTCGAGTTGCTTTGGTGAACTGCGGCTGTTTCTGCAATGTCACCCCGGTTTCCTGCTGTCCCATCTCCGAGTTCAATGACATAGCAACAGCTTGCTGTAATTCCTTTTCTTCGCGTTCCGCCAGACTGAGACCTTGTCCAGAACCTTCTATATCGTCAACCCGCAAGTTAGTATACCTCTTGCAGTTGAAATGTCAAGATCGTAATACCTTTCGGAGCGGTCCCAACAGAATCTTGATATCCAGTATTTTGTCCTGGATCGCGTATATCCGTTCGGGAAGGAGGACGAGAGGGCGGCGCTGTCGCTGGAATTGGTGGCGCATTGTCCTGTTGGGCAAAGTCCCATGCTGGGGCGGGGTATGTTAATTGCAAAACCGAACCCGCATAAGTAGGTGATCTTACTAGAGCTTCTGTTATCATGCCAGTAGGTAGGTATCGGCTTTGAGATGTCAGATCATAACCGGGAGTTGCTGCGCGTCACCAAATTTACCTTGAGCTGAGACCCTGTCGGATCCTCGAAGTACGCGTTGATCGCTTTCTGTGAGTCGAGGTTGTTTGCCTGCAGGGGATAATTTAGCAGAGATATTATTGATCAACCAGGTGCACCTGTTTCCTACCTTCAAGAAGTCGATGGCTTGCTCGCGCGTCGTGCTTGTGAAGCCGACGAAGTCGGCGATAGCATCCTCGGTCGGTTCGGAGGCCATGTCTGGTTCTGCGCTAGAACTGAAAATCAATGGATCAATGTACAAGCATGACAAGAGATACAAGAAGCAAATAGAACAAAGCAAATGAAGGCAGAAGAGTTGGGAGAAGAGAAAGAAAGACAAAGACAGAAATGTCGCAACGGAGCTTCCCCACCACATGACGCCAAGCGTCATTCCGCTATTTGCGTCTCTTTGTACTTCAGCTCTCTCCTTGTCCGATCCTTCACTTCTTTGAGCCTAAAATATTCGGCCATCTTCTTATTTCTTTCAGCTCTCAGTTCCAAGTCTATCAAGTTTCATGTGTGGGACTAGTTCACGTTCACAATGGATACACATTGTCTCTCTTTCAGGTGCTTGAATGGCCTACTCCGGGTCTTTATACCACAATACTATTTATGGTTGAAACAAAGCAGTGTCTAATAGTACAATAGCACTTGGGCTGTGATGAGAGTCCAGGCGAGTGAATATAAAGACCCTTCTTTTCCGCGCCAGATTATCATTCATCACACATTCGAAACAACACATCATCCAGCATCCAGCATTTCAATTTCACCTTTACAAGCCTTTATAAATTGTTTTATTATATAGTCACGATGGCTCCAACCCGCAAGGACGCAAACAAAGCGACTAAGACAGTCAATACCCGCAGGACCGCCATTAAGAAGGTCAAGAAGACCACCAACAGGAAGACCACCAACAGGAAGACCGCCAACAGGAAGACCGCCAACAGGAAGACCACCGAGAGGAAGGCCGGCGGAAAGACTCCCTTTTCTCCTGTCGACCTGAAGAAGCTTTTCCCACCCTGGGGCTCTGAAGATGCTCTGAACCAGACGGCAAACAAGGAAGCTACTGATATCATCCAAGCCGTGTACCATGACATCAACGCCTACTGCAATCTTGAGATACTTGCGAAAGAGAAAGCTTACGGTTGTGAAGAGACTTTTTCCAACATGTTTGTCTTCACAGAAGGATTTGTGGAGCGGGAGATCAGCTACTACATGTCCCGCGTGGAATCCTTCAAGGCGGAACATGGTGAGTTCCAACCCATCACACCTAACAGTAGATTCTTAGAGTTTGTTACTGGGCTCGGATGGAAGATGTTTGCTATCTGTTCCCATGCTGAAGCATTCCGACGGGGTATCAAAGAAGCCAGCGACAGAACCTGGGGGTTCCTGCTCCAGAAGATTCAAGAAAACTTCTTGAGTATTGAACTTTATGCGCACAGCCGTGCCCTGAAGTGGCGTAACATTCTCTGCGCCCACCAGAACTACCCCATCCCAGGACTTCCAGATATGAAATCCGAAATCGAGACATACATGAAGTGGAAAGTCGACCACCCCCACCACACGGTTATCACGCTTGATGGCAAGCTGAAGGAGCCCACCTATAACGGCAAGTTGCAGCAACACATTAACGAGAGTATCTATGATCCCAAGAAGTGGGGCGGCAAGAAACAGGACCCGACGCTTCGCCATACGCCCAATGGCACTCCCACCAAGGTCGGAAGTGCTTGCTCTTTATGTGGCAGCCCTGTTTCTTGTGATTGCCGCTTGCCAGCTCGGGCAGGAGAGCTGGTTGAACTGCGAGAATACCCCGGTACGGGTACTGGTGTTCGAGCGCTGACGAGGTTCGAGCGTGGTGATTCTCTCGATATATTCATGGGTGAGCTCCTTCCCACTACCGTAGAGGAGGTCTATCCCCTGCAGCAAAACGATGATAAACCTAAATCCAGTAAAGCCCGCAATTTGTGTACAATTTGCCCCCACCAGTTTGGCAACTGGACCCGCTACATCAGCCACTCGTGCCGGCCCTCGACGCAGTTCACGGTTCGCACCATTGGAAACCGAGTTGTGTGCACAGTTGATGCCCTTCGTGACATTCTTCCCTTTGAAGAGATTACTGTTAGCTATGGTGATACCTACTGGGGAGGTAAAGACTATGACTGTCTATGCGGGCACTGTGATGGTTCTGGGACTGACTAGGAATAGGCTAATCCTCTGATAGGTTATGCATTTTGGATTTTGGAGTTGACTGATTTTGATAGCAAAGTATGAATATAGATATAGCATTGTTTTTTTATTATCCTAATACATTCCAACCTTAGAAGGCCAATGTAGATTTAGTTCCTCGGGATCCCCGCACGTCCAAAAGTGCGGGGAAAGCTATGCCGCGGACCTACTCCGCCCTTGCACTCTTCAATCCCTTTCTAACTCCCCTTTTGGTTAATTGCTACATATTGTAGTGCCCTTTATAGTCGATACAGTCAATCGCCATCAGAGTCATGAGACCTTGGTCAAGCTAGCATTGGAATAAGAACATGAGCTACAGCGGAATTTTAACAGGGCTTGGCCTAAGAGGTCGCGTATCCTGTCGAAGGTCTGCCTTTGGGGGAAAGAGAATCCTTCAGCAACCATCCTTGGTCAAGAGAGGGCTACTGACAGAGAGCTACGCACGGGGGCCATCAGGTGTGAGTATCTTCTGTCCAAGTACAATGGGGAGCAAAATGTCTCTGACAATATTGCTTTCAATTAGCCGCCCTTGATTGAGTCCACAGTTGGCGAACACTTCGCCAAGGTTGTCGCGGAATGCGGAGATAGAACAGCGTGAGATCCCTGTCGCAAGATTGGACAATTGAGACTTGAGATACTAACTATACTGTCAAGGGTTGTCTCAAGACATCAGAATGATCGGGCAACCTATGCCTCCTTGGACACAAGAAGCAATGCTCTCGCTCGGGGGGCTGGAATCACTGGGTGTTAGGAAGGGTGAGCGGGTTGGAGTCATGCTTGGGAACTCGATGGAATACGCTGTGGTACGTTGGGTGACCGCGGAAATGGGTAGGAAGAAAAGAGGGAGGCTAATATCCTTGACAAGGCAACATATGCGTTATTCAAGCTTGGTGCCGTTTTGGTAGGTCAGCCCTCTCATTGTCGTAGGATCATTGGGCCTAATAATCCAATAGGTTCCGCTCAACCCGTCATTCAATACTGCACAAGTGATTGCGGCCCTGGGTCACCTGGAATCTAGTCATCTCCTAATCAGCACAGAGTCCAATCTGCCACGAAAAAAGCCACGCAGCAATGTTCCGTTACTCAATGACCTTGTTGAAGACCTCCACAAGTCGAATTTGGAGTCCGCATCTGTCCCATCTCTGAGAAATATCATTATGGTCGACAACTCCGAAGGCCGCGTGGATATATCGTCCTATAAAAGCTTGACGCAGTATGCATCTATTATGTCCCAGCTTACTGCAGACGGCAGCCCGCTTCCTCCTCGAACCCTTTCGCCGGATGAAACTGTGAATATCCAGTTCACCTCAGGAACCACATCAATGCCCAAGGCAGCATGCCTCACCCATCGCTCCATTCTGAATAATGGCTCTCAGATTGGTGATCGCATGCTTCTCACGCCGAACGATATTATCTGTTGCCCACCGCCGTTGTTTCATTGCTTCGGCAGTATATTAGGCTATATGGCGACAGCAACCCACGGCTCAGCCATCGTCTTCCCCAGTGAATCGTTTAATGCTCGTGCTGCGTTAGAGGCTGTCCAAGAAGAGAAATGTACCGCGCTATACGGTGTACCGACAATGTTTCTCGAGGAGTTAAGCTTGATCGAGACGGGGGTCGTCTCCAGCGAGGGATTCCAACATCTTCGCACGGGCATCGCTGCTGGAAGCAGTATTCCTGCCGAGATAATGAAAAAGCTGCATAAGGTACTGAATCTGACCGAACTGACTATTTGTTATGGAATGACGGAAACAAGTCCCGTCTCGGCTATGACAACGACGGATGATCCCATTGATAAGCGGATCTACTCTGTCGGAAGGCTCATGCCACATGTCGAGGCAAAGATCGTGGACCCGGTGGACAAAAAAGTAATTCTGCCCATAGAGAGAGACGGGGTGAGTTGGCAGTCAGCGGGTACCTGCTGATGAAGGAATACTGGGCCGATCCAGGAAAGACCGCGGAGGTGATGATTCCGGATGATTCTGGCAAAGTGTGGATGCATGTGAGTTCAATTTCGTTGGCTCGAGTAAAGCTGGTTTTCTCTGACCTCGTGGTTCTAGACTGGAGATGAAGCTTCCATGTCACCAGATGGATATATCACCATCACCGGACGGATCAAAGATCTGATCATCCGTGGTGGCGAGAACATACACCCCCTAGAGATTGAGAATTGCTTGCTAGCCAACAACAGCGTTGCAGACGTGTCGGTCGTCGGCGTCCCTGACGTGAGATATGGCGAGGCAGTAGCTGCTTTCGTTGTTCCTCGGGATCACAGCTCAAATACGGTCACTGCTGAGGAGATCCAGCAATGGGTGCGTGAAAAGCTCAGCAACCATCTTAGTAAGTCGTAACCCAGACAACTGCGTCGTTTACGTCGTTTTCAGTCGGTCTTGGACTATCCTGACAATTGTCGTGGGGACTGAGCTGATGTTTTGTTTGTTTACAGTTCCGAAGCATGTCTTCTTTTTGGGCCCCTTGGAGTCTTTCCCCAAGACAGCAAGTGGAAAGATCCAGAAGTTCAAGCTCAGGGAGAAGGCCATTGCACTTTTGGCCAAGAGCGCTGCATGAATAGCGAGCATAAAGGACAAGGCCTGACTTTTACATAGTTTTTAAGTTGATGAGTGCTTTGTATTGCTGTATATACTGAGTTACAAGTAGTGAGAAGACCAAAGTACATGACCTAAAGTACATGACCTAAAGTACATGGATGACCTAAAGTACGTGTACTTGAGGGTGGCAGACGTCTCCCGAAGAAAATTCAAACTCGAGGACTCCAAGAGTCAAGGAGTTGAGGAGTGTGGTTTCAAAAATTCCCAAGCATGCGCGAAGGCTTGCTTGAAGCGGTCAGGTTGGCAGTTTTCAACCAGCAAAAACACGATCTCGGATTTCTCCTCACTGATACGTGTAAAGCACCTGCACTGGGATGGAGAAAGAAAGAAAGAAGAAGAGGAAGTTGGGGGGGACAGGACCAGGTATTTATATTTTTCCAGTGGCTTTAAGGCAGCGGCAAACAAAGGCGGGGGACGACAAACGACAAACGCATTCGCCCAGGTGATCGCGACGCTATCACCTGAGGCCTGCTCGATTTGATAATCGCTGATTCTGGCCTTATAAAGAAGGCTACCGAGGTGAACCACGAGGTCGAGTAGACAAATCCATATATTGTCACAAATGCAGTACCCTACAACTTGGAAGGAACCAAAGGCATAAACATGGAAAGATACTGATATTTTCCTACCAATAACGTCCCTAATATCATCTGAGGCCAAATACATCAGATTACTCTAATCCCACAAGGTATGTTGTCAAGCACAGAGGCCGTAGCGGCTGAAGATTGTTGTTGAGTCTAAAGAGTGATCGCGTGGACCAGCTATGGAATCCGACCAATCGTATCATTTGTCCAACCCGGAACGTCCTCACAGAACTGAGGGTTTCAACGATGGTGTGAGCGTGAGCGTGAACGTGAGTGTGAGTGTGAGCACCTGCTGTCTCTCGGGATAGCAGCTCGTGGCAACTAGCGGCCATCGCAGACAATTTTAGATCGTGCCGGCACATCCACATCATAACAACGAACAGAGACCTGTAGATGGGGCAGGAGACTCGAAAGCAGGGCCAAGTCCCTCTTTTTGGCCGTTTCAGGGCGGGATACTTCAGAGGTAGTCGACAGACCACCACGAGCAATATTGTATAGCATCACGTGTAACCAGCGAGCAAACTTCTCTGTAACCCACAGGCCAGGAAGAACACGTGCAAGTCTTTCTAAATCTAGAAATCTTGAATGCCTGTTTCACCCTGCAGATTTGGGCGAGCGTCGTCCCCGCAAGTGCCGTCAACCACCCATTCAGGCTCCTCATCCTCGAAATACTGGTCTTGCTCATCCGTGTGATCATCGTAATCGTCATTTTCATCAACCGTCTTGTAATCGAAATCAGTGTCATTGCCCTGCATGAAACGTAGTCCCATCTCCCAGCGCCAGAGCCGCTCGCCTTCTTCCTTATTTGGGGGTATTTCATCACGGTCCTCGGCGAGGATCTCCCCATCTGGGCCGCGAGTGTAGCTCATCATAGCGTTAGGATCCGGGTTTGCGATCGCATCAATCTTGGCCTCGGACCGCAGAAGGTCGGTCTCTAAGACACCTGAAAACCCTTTCGCGCGTCCCTCGGCCTCTCTTTCTTGTGCTGTCTGGAATCGGCGGATGAGGCGATCGTATAGTAACGGGTCTGTGGAGAGTCGAGCAGGATTAGCATTGTGTTTCTTTTTTGTTCGCTTCTGTATGCAAAGCCAGCTGGCACCAGCGATAAAGCAGGCCGAGCAATGTATAAAATAATCAACTGGCAATGGGAGAGAAGAGAGCAGGCGGACCGGCTAGTTCAAGCCCCGCCGAGAAGTATTCTGGGTGTAAGTCCAGATACCGCTTGCGACGGTTTTTGACTTTGACAGCGTTTTGCGCGCTGGGTGCATCTTTGACTGTAAACCCGGAATCCTTGGGGAAATGTGGCATCTTTCGGTGTGTTTCAGAGTGTGGAGGTGGAGAGGAGAATGGAAGTTGGGAACGCGGAGCTCGGCGGCAAAAGTTGCCTTCATCTCCGCAATAACTTTTTTCTCGTTTGAAGATTATTTTGATATGTGTCTGTTCTGAACGTGTAAGTCGAGGATCTGATTTAAAATACTTCTTTATTATTCATTGGATGTCAAGTGCAATAGGGGGGGAAAGGACACAGTTTCAGGTTGCTAACAAGCTTGCAGATGCGCTATCTTGGTTGATTATTTCTATATCAAGAACTGCGTCAGCTGGAAATCATGTCTCTCCAGGACATGTTGCAGCACATTGATGCCCGGCGGTTCACTACCGGCGTGGTTTTGCTGATCCTGCTTGCCTTCTACTCGCCCCTTTCGAAGCTTGTCTTGTCTCCAATATATGGATCCTACGCAGCGCATATCTTCCATAGTTTTGGAGTGGCCATCTCCGGCGGAGTCGGATGGCTACTGAAAGATAAGATTCTCAAGCGTCTTGGTCGTCTCGGTGGTTTCATGCTCCCTGTGTTGGCATTCTGGGTTCCGACACTCCAATACTTCATCAAGCAACAAAGCTCCAAGATTGGCAACCCCACAGGCCCGGTGGTCACGGAACTCTGCGGTTACTATCCTCTAGTGCTGTTGACCGTCGCCTATGCCGGAAAGCAAATCCAGACTGCTCTGAGACTTGAAGCGCAGGGTGACCTGATTGTCGAGCATGTGCCCTTGATCGGTACATATGTGTTCTATTCGGTTGGCGAGCACATCGCCCATTTTGTTCTTTCATGGATTGTTGGAACCTCGGTTTTCTTCACCAGAGTGGGCATGCAAATGCTTCTCGCCGCCTGTTACTCTGCGCTCATTCCGTCAAAATGGCTGGTCCTGGCCATTCCCTCTATAATTTTCTCAGTGACCTCGAACGTCCATTTCGCTGGAATGAGTGGTGTCAATTCTGCAATTGAGCACGAAGGTTACTCTCTCTTGGCACGACAGGAAGCTTACACTGGATACATCTCTGTTTTGGAAAACGAGAATGACGGATTCCGCGTTATGCGTTGCGATCACAGTCTGCTCGGTGGACAGTGGACCAAGCTGGCACCAGGCTACCGGCCTGAGGTGGAAGATCCTATCTATGCAATCTTTGCCATGCTCGAGGCTGTCCGTCTGGTCGAGCCGGATCATGGCATTCCCCGCGTTGACGCAGACAGCAAGGCGCTGGTCATGTAAGAATCATTCAAAAAGCGTCAATCGCCCGGTTTACTGACAGAAAGCAGTGGTCTCGGAATTGGCACGACACCCTCTGCGCTCATCAAACATGGCATTGAAACTACCATCGTGGAAATCGACCCTGTGGTGCACAAGTTCGCCACTCAGTATTTCAACCTTCCGCCAAACCACATCCCCGTCATTGAAGACGCCGTAAAATTCGTCAAGAAAGCAGAGTCCTCTTCCAATAAACCCCAGTACGACTACATCGTCCACGATGTATTTACCGGAGGCGCCGAGCCCGCCGAACTCTTCACATACGAGTTCCTGTCAGGCCTCCACTCGCTGCTCAAGGAAGACGGTGCCATTGCCATTGTGAGTCGCAGCAAGCAGCAAGCCCCCAACTAAACCACACACTAACGAACAAACTCCAGAACTATGCCGGTGACTTGACCCTCTACCCAACCGGCCTTATCGTCCGCACCATCATGGCCGTCTTCCCATCTTGCCGCATCTTCCGCGAAGCGCCGTCCGGAGAGGACGAAGACACCGACTTCACCAACATGGTTCTGTTCTGCAAGAAGAGCTCCAGCACCCCGGTTCAATTCCGTGACCCTGTCCCGGCGGACTTCCTACGCAGCAGGTCCCGTGAAAGCTATCTTGTTCCCAAGCACGAACTTGACGCTGCCATGTTTTCCACTTGGCCCAAGGGTGGCAGATCTATTCTGTGGGCGAAGGAGGTTGGAAGATTGCACAAGTTCCAGGATCGCAGTGCGCTCAAGCATTGGGCTATTATGCGGAAGGTTTTGCCTGATGCTGTGTGGGAGAACTGGTAAGTGTTGAAAGGAAGTTGAGCAAAATTTGAAGATCGAATTACACTTCATGGGTTTTATATTTGCTATCTATGTCAGAGGATTGTACAGGAAAAGTAGTTACCAAATAATAGTAAAATAGACTACGGGAAAAAAAAAACTCTTAGTTATACTAAGAAGCATTTTGGGGCTGCGTTTAACAGTTATAACTCCAACAAAGAGCGAATCTACTCCGTACTTGTCTCGTCCTCCACATTGCTGCGAAGACATTTAGACTAACAAATCAGACTTCATATTGGTATCATTATCTAACACCTGCCGAAAAGCCACGGGACCTCCATCCACTGCTAGAATAACAGAGTGACTGCCTCCCCTTCACAGTCAAAGGCCTCTCAATAGCTCTTTCATCTCCATATATCAAACCACCCGGCCCATCGCCAGGAGCGAGTCCCGGCCTCTGTATTATGTACGCACAAAGAACTAAAATACAGTGAGAAAAGAATGAATCAAGCCGAGGGGCTTCCACGGGGACTGGACCAAGGCTTCTTGACGAGGCCAGCGAAGAAGTTCGCCAGGGCTTGGTTGTGCGCTTTCTCATCGTTGCCGCCGGTGCCTGCATACGGGCTCTCTTTCTTCATGGTTCGGCTAGCCTCGCGGTCCTGGGGTAATATTTAGCTATGTCCTGGGTTGGGGAGGGTGATGACGCCGTGCTGGCCGGGTGCTTACCCGAAGCTTTTTCAACATATCATCGGCGTCCACTTGGATTCCGCCCATGTTGAACTGTACAGGGCCGATGTGATCGTTGACTTTGCCTTCGTCGGCCATGGGAGACATTTCCAGTTGGGGGGTTGGCTGGTTTGCATTCTCCTTCTCATCCTTGGCTTTGAGTTCTTCCAGTTTCTCCACTTGGGTTGCGAAGAAATCTTGGAGGTCGGTGGTCTCGATTTCGATCTTGGTCGTGTTGCCGTGAGGGTTGGCTATGCCTCGTTTGGGATCGGTGATCGTCTGTTCGAACATCGTCACTGCACTTGTACCTTCTTCTGCTAGGCCGTTCTCGCTTTGCGGGTTGTCGTCTGTGGATTGATAGATTGACTCGGGAGGGTCCTGGATTTCAATTGACCACGCTGTCGACACTCCCTCCATGTCAAATCCTTCCCGAATAATTCGGATCTTACCCCATGAGTCCCAGTTGGCTGGCACCAGAATCTTGTCTCGGTCGATCACATTATGTTTTAATGATTCTCTTTTCAATAGAGAGTGTATGCCCAGAGAAGAATGGATCAGGCCCTGGAGAGAGTTTGCAAGGAATGGGGTAGTATAGATGAGCGATGCACCGTCTGTCTGGCGGTTAGAAAAGAGCCCAAAAAAGCCAAACACAGGGTAATCAAGTCCTTACGCTTCAGAAGAATCGTTCTGAGGAACTGGAGAACGAAATCAAACTGCTCTTCATGCCATCCGTGGTCCTTCTCCAATTTCTCGATCTTATCCGCCTGAGAAAATCGAGTACCCAAGTCAGCAAAGCTTTACCAGCAATTGATTTCTGGATAAGAGTGTACGTACCCCTTGACAGACAACACACATTGGGATTCCGAGGCCTTCATCCCATTCACCAGGTCCTAAAGGTATTGTAACTGGACCACTTGAGTTTGATATGCCGCCTGCAGCCGCAGAGCTGGGATCAATTCCCCTTTTACGATCACGCCACTCAGTCATGGTCTCTTCCATAACGAATTTTGTTTCATCGTCAAGCGAAACAAGCACAGAACGTAGCAGACGCGTCCATTCTCTTAGCCTTCGAACCCACGTCCATGGGTCTGACCAGTCCATCAGGATGACAACCAGTGTTTCCGGGACGGACTTGGGGGTCAGGAGTGGTTTGAGGAGAGGTGCGAATGACGGAGACGGCTCGGACAGGAGGTAGGCCGAGACGCGGGCCAGGGTATCTGCACGAGAAGAGCATTAGCATAGCTGAAGCTAGTAAAAGAGTGAATTTCCCATGTACCTTCTTTATCCGCATCGAGGACATCTCGATATGTGTATCCAAGCGCAAACTGATTGGCGATTGGCGGTGTTTTCCCTTTGCCTTTCCGTTTGTCGTTTGCTAAGCTAGGGTCTGCAGACGTGTCCGCGGAAAAAGTATCTAGAAATTCCCTTTGGCTGTCCGGCGTACCACCTATCATCGAGCTATTAGCGACATGTCCAAGAATCGAAAGGCAATAAGGATGAGCAGAACTGAGATGCTCAGAGGAGACAGGCACTAACCTAGCACTAGCAAGTTCTTCTCAGGCAAGCGCTTGCCGTTGGCAACAGTATCTAATAGAGAGGACCAAATGTTCTTCTTGGAGCCATCTTTGCTGGTTGGTCGACTGCTCGTTCCGGCCGCTTTCGACCCGGGATTCGGACTGGAGGACATCGTTTCTAGTCCCACCATGCCTCAAAGGGCATTCACCCTTCCAAATGTTTGTCTCTACCGTAGCACAGCGGAAATATTGTGCGCGTGGAAATGTGGAGGCGGAGGGGGAGAAAGGCGAAGCAGCGTCGCGGGTCAGGGGAATCCCGAGGAAGATGGATAAATGGAGGCCCAGTGGGAAACAACCCTACTTGCGAAAGGGTCTTCGATTGCAACTCACGAAAAAAAGAGAGAAAGGTCTTTTTCTGGCACGTCGAGCAGGGGGCTAGTTTGCATTATAAAGGTGCGTCTCCGTAAACAATTGATTATTACGGTTCCGCGCGGGCTCCACATTTCTTTCTCTCCAACTTCTGCCACATCTTGAAACTGCTCTCTCTCTCTCTCACGCACTTTCCCCAATGAATTCTATTCGCCAGGTCCAGGCGCTCAATAAGCGTGAGCTTGAGCATGCGATGTAAGTCGAGCTCATGTGAAGTGCCCCGAAGCTCTTTTCCGCGCTGACAGTGTTACCTTTTATAGACCCCCAGAGGCATCATGGCACGCAGACTACCGCGACACGGCCTATATCTACATCGGAGGACTTCCATTTGATCTGTCCGAAGGTGACATTATTACGATATTCTCACAGTACGGAGAACCAGTGCATGTCAATCTAGTCCGTGACAAGGAAACAGGCAAGAGCAAGGGATTTGCCTTTCTGAAGTATGAGGACCAGCGCAGTACAGATCTTGCTGTGGATAACCTCGGTGGTGCAACTGTCATGGGCCGTTTGCTTCGAGTAGATCATGCGCGCTACAAGCGGAAGGATGACGAAGAAGAACAGGACAATGTTGCCAGGTTGATGGGAGATCCGGTAATCAGCGAGGATAAGGGCAAGGATGACAACCGGAAAAGGAGAGCCGAAATAGAAGAGAGGCGACCGATGCTGAAAGAAGAGAAGGAGCTGGAAGAATTGATTCGGAACCATGACGAGGAAGACCCGATGAAAGAATTCCTCATCGAGGAGAAAAAAGAAGAAGTCGCTTCTGCAATCCAGTTGTGGAACAGCACCAAGAAGTCGGCTCGCCGACGCGACGATAGCAGAGACCGTTCAAGCCGGCACCATCGCCGACACCGCTCCCGTTCTCCTCGCGAGCGGAGACATCGAGACGATCGTTCTCCAGATAGGCACAGACGATCTCGTCATAGGTCATCCGAAAGAGAGAAATCTAGAAGGGACCGGTCACCGAGGAAATCGCGCTCGCCCGAGTCCCGAAGACACCGAAGTGATCGGGATAGACATGATCGCCGCCATTGAAAGATGTATGAGATATGATAAAGTCTTCCAAGGTTATCTACGGTGCTATCCATATTTCTTGCCGAGATTCTCTCATTGTGACTTGCGTCACCCTGGCAAATCAAAAGTTTCCCAGTCCAGCAAGTGATGCAATCCGTGCTTGGTGCTGGCAATGAGCTGTGCTGCGGACAAGGTGTTCGTTATTTGCTGTGCTATATACTACCCTTGTTATGACAGACTGGGGAATTTCTGTCAACCGAGATATCTTTTCCAGCCATCCCGCACACAATATCTCTTGCCTTCCTCGCCATCTCGAATCACAAATTTCTCCCAGCGCCCTTCTTTTCCAGATCCGATTACCAACAGAGTGTGGTCATCGCACCAGCCTATGAGGCCTTTCTGAGGCCGACCATATGATGACCCGATCGGTGGCACATGTGGCGAGCCCAGGTTGGCTTGCTCGCCAATCTCAAAATGTGCGTTGGCAAATGAATATACATCCGAGAAGACACGAGGAAGCAGGGGAATCTTGCCAAGGATTCCCCATTTGTGACTAGATGTTTCCTCGGATGCTGATGATGGCGACTGACTGCGACGAGCAGGTTGCTGGTGGGGGATATCAAAGATGTGGAGAGTTGATTTGTCAGATGTTACTGCCAGTAAATTATTGGACGGCGAAAAGGAAATTGAGAATATCACTGCGTGGTCAACACCACGTCGCAATTCTGCCAGCTTTGTGCAATTTCCTGTAGCGAATATACGAACCAGAGTCCCCTGTACAGACGTCAATATCCTACTCATAGATGATTGCAGTGTAAGAGTACTCACGGCCTCGCTCGCAGTCGCCAGCAAGTTCCCATCGGGACTCAGGGCCATAGCCCGCAACGGTGTGCTATGTGCGGGTATGATACTGATGTTGCCGGTCTCCAGCTCTATCATTTGGACCTGGCCCGGAGACCGGCCGGGGAAGGCCAGCACCTTGTTATCGAGACAGGCCAGCCCCAAAGGGTTGTCGGAGGTCTCGAAGACCGAGAGTTTCTGGGGAGGGTTGGAGAATGCAAATACATGGACACTGTTTAGTAAAACAGCGACAATTTTTGATTTGGAGAGACGGACACCAAGGACGGAGGTGCGGAATTCAAGTGTGATGGCCGCTTTCTGTTTGGCATCGTCCCATATAACCAACTAAGGGTGTCTGTGAGTTTAAGATACTCACAAATTGTGCTGGTAATAGTTTCTTACCTTGTTCTGTGGAAACTTGGGGTTCTTACCACCCCCGACAATGGCCAAGTAGTTCGACTGGCCAAGCATTTCCGCCACCCCAATGCCTGCATTGAAATCTTAAATGCGAATAAGACAGTCAGGGTAAGTTCTTCAATATATTTGTACATTATCAACTTGACGATAACTCGCTTACCTCTTAAGACCTTGAGCTCACAAGGGTTGGCATTATATACTGTTCGAGTCGTTCATCAGCCTGAGCTCCATAGTTCACGATATAAGCTAGCTTCTTCCAAGGTTCTCCTGGCAGCTAACTCAAGCATTTCTTACCACAAAATCCCGTGTCCAAACCCACTGAGAAGCAGCTGTTATCATGATTAAATGTTGCGGAGAGTGAATATGGTCCGGTGGACTCATCGATAGATTGGCGGGTATTCATTGCTGTATGTTAATGAAGCATGGGAAAGGATATTCTTGATCAAATAAATAGATGTGGGTAGAGACTGTATAAGAAGTCCCCTGCCCTTAATAGATATTGAATCCTTAATGATCTTTTCAGGTTATAATGCCTCAAATGCCTTCACAGGATGTCTGGGATTCCCCGAGCTTCTTTAATCGATAAGAGCAATGCGGGCGAGATCCACTTCGACACCTCAGGCTGATGATTAGGTAATCATACGGTTGCCAGCAGCGACCCACTTTGATCAACCCCTGAGTTGATGTTCGGCGTTGGAGGATGGGAATGAAGGCAATATTGTACATGGAGAATATGAGGAATACCCGTATAATTGACAATTTACTACATTTCCTTTTTTCCCCTACCTCCATTTATCTATTGGGACTGATCAAGAGCTTTGTAGAAGTAAAGTAATAGACTGGAGAAGAAGAGCTGTCCCGTGATTGGCCGCCCATTTGGGAAAGGGGGAAACACGAACTGTCTTTCCTCCCCCCCCCCCTACTCTCTCCAGACTCTCAGGAGAGCCAAGTTTCACACCCTTCTTCTTTTATTAATTCCTTTGGTCTTCTTTCTCTTACATTTCTTTAATTCTTTAGCTCACAATGTCGTCAGCCCTCAACGCGGTATGTACATCTTTTATTGGGAAGCTTCCTTCCTAAAAAGTTTCCCAAGCTAATTGCATGCCCGTACTCGTTCCGGGTAGATCAAGATTCGTCGCAAGAAGAATGTCAAGAAGGGAATCCAATTCTGTTTGATGGTGTGCGGCGCCAGTGGAACAGGTATGTCTGAGACGAATTACTCGACTTCCAGGGACTAACCGGTTCTCCTTTCCACAGGCCGCACAACATTCGTCAACACTCTCTGCGGCAAGCAGGTTCTGGAGGGCAAGGATGCCGATGATGCTGCCAATGCTCACCTTGAGGAGGGTGTCCGTATCAAGCCCGTGACTGTCGGTCAGTTGAAATCGGCCCCCCGCACACGGCGCTTATTTCAAAGCTATCAATACTGACACCGGGATGGCAGAGCTCGAGTTGGATGAGGAAGGAACCCGCATCTCCCTGACCATCGTCGATACCCCCGGATTTGGTGACCAGATTGACAACGAGGCCAGGCACGTACACACAGTTACCCGACAGATGATCATGGACTGACTTTTCGGATAGCTTCGGCGAGATTGTTGGTTACCTTGAGCGCCAATATGATGATATTCTTGCAGAGGAGTCGCGAATTAAGCGTAACCCTCGATTCAGGGATAACCGAGTGCATGTGCTGCTCTACTTCATCACACCCACCGGCCACGGTCTACGTGAACTCGATATCGAATTGATGAAGCGCCTCTCTCCCCGTGTTAACGTCATTCCTGTCATTGGAAAGGCCGACTCACTCACTCCCGCCGAATTGGCCGAGTCAAAGAAGCTGATCATGGAGGACATTGAACACTACCGCATTCCCGTCTACAACTTCCCCTACGACATCGAGGAGGATGATGAGGATACTGTGGAGGAGAATGCCGAGCTCCGTGGACTGATGCCCTTCGCTATCGTCGGTTCGGAAGACTTCGTTGAGATTGACAACCGGAAAGTGCGCGCGCGCCAGTACCCATGGGGTGTCGTCGAGGTTGAGAACCCTCGTCACTCCGACTTCTTGGCTATCCGTAGCGCTTTGCTTCACAGCCACCTGGCTGACCTGAAGGAGATCACTCACGACTTCCTCTATGAGAACTACCGTACTGAGAAGCTCAGCAAGAGCGTTGATGGTGGTTCTGGGTACGTTTCTCATGGTACTAGAAATTTCTGTGATCAATCCGCTAACGCATGGAGCAGCCCTAGCTATGATTCTGCTATGAACCCCGAGGATCTTGCCAACCAGTCTGTCCGTCTCAAGGAGGAGCAACTCCGCCGCGAGGAGGAGAAGCTCCGTGAGATTGAAATCAAGGTACAGCGTGAGATTGCTGAGAAGCGACAGGAGTTGTTGGCTCGCGAGAGCCAGCTCCGAGAGATCGAGGCTCGCATGCAGCGCGAGCAGCAGACCCAGGAAGGAGCCAACGGAGAGGCCTAGATATACCCTGTCGACGATACAGCTCATTCAGCGGGGCGCCAGTTCGCAATGTGATACCGTTTGTGCCAGCATGGACTTCTTATGGCACAAACAAAGTTGGCTTTTGTTTATGGGATAATATTGACTGTTTATTCACGTTAATAGCTTTTTTTTTTTCTTCTTCTCTTCTTACCTCCGCGGGGATGGGCCACCTCAACATAGATTACGGCACTCCGGTCACGAATTGTGGGTGCAATGCTTCTCATTACCAATGGGAGAATGAACTATGTTGAGTTGGGAATTGTTCTTACTGGTTTCCGGGATCCCCGGCCTCGATACATCTCGCTCGCGTTTCCCTTCTAGCACATGTTTTCCGCCGTGTCCAGGCCCTCCTGTCTTCTTTTTTCCTTTCCATCACATCCCAGCTGCCACCGTCATATGTTGCTGTGTCATTTCTATTTCCTCATCTCCTCTGCTTCCACTCCTGTTCTTGTCCAAAGTCCGCAGCGCAGCAATATTCCCTCTTCTCTTGTTTTCCTTTTTTGCGTTCGTGGCTCCTGTCTTGTTCATTGTCTATCCTTTCTCCTCGCCTGTCTTCCTAACCCGATAGTAATTGAGGACGAAAAAGTACCCGACTAGTTCGCTTGCTTTCATTTTTTCTAGTTCTGGTAACGTAGTTGGTTACCTTGTACTATCTGTAGCAACCTGCTTGATTTGTAGACATCAGAGTATTCATGAATATACATAGCTTGAACATGCTAGTTATGTTGGGCTTGCTCGACCTTGTGTTTAGGGAATGAAGAGGTCCAAGTTTAGGGCTTCGCCAGCAAGGACGATTACATGGTGTCCAATTCACACTTCCTCGTTTATTGGTTTAAAATTCGTCCGTATACTCCCCAGGTATTTATTTCTAGTTGCATATGGACCAATCATCCAGCTCTGAACGAACATGAAGAGATATAGTATTATGACATAATATATTGTTGCTCCATGCCGTGTTATATATTCTGGCTAGTATGAGGGAATGTAAAAAGACCACGAAAGAACATCGAATATGCACATTAACTAAGCTTAAGTCTACTACAATCCCCTCATCTGAAATGCAACGGTGCCATTCACATCAATGGAAATTGCTAAGTATAACAAAGATCCCTCGAACTCAAAACGATACAGGTAGAACGCAGACGTTTCGAGAATATGGCCATGCGGAAGGAAACAGCCGGAGATAGAAAGAGCTAAAGAAAGGTAAAAAATTTTAAAAAAAGAAGAGAAAAGGGAGCAAATGCAGTCCGCAAGAAGTTAAAAAAAAGAAGAGAAACGCAGCCAAAAGCAAGAAAGCAGACACGCAAGAAGTGGTATTTGCGCTCCATTGTACATTGCGTAGAAAATACGGGAAGAACCCCCATATGTTGTAATTGGTGTCGAGGAAAGGGAGGGATTGGTGTTTGCCAAGTAGACGTGGATGGTTGGCTGAACTGTTGTAGAGACAACATAATACATACGTACATCCACGACTTTGCGAGCGTGGTGGGATGACACACCCAGCGAAGGATTAATCTCATGGAGAACTTTAGGAAGAGAAGTCCCTAATGTTCCCCGGGAAGAGAGAAGCGGGTGACAGCGTCAAAGCGGCGATGTCAAGCAGGTTTCGTTGTGGCATGCACCCGTCGGACATTATACAGCGGCTGGCTGCGGCTTGTTGGTCCAGAAATCTAAACTGGCAACAGTGTCATAGCCCCGGTCATCTTCATAGGCATAGATAATCTACGAAAACCAGTTAGCGTCTGATCAGTGATAGAATCACCCCAGAGAAACCTCTGAGAAGAGAAAACCTGGAATAGCTTACCTCGCGCGTGGAACTGTGCAACATGCGAATGTTCTTGCCGGTCATAAGGTGCGTCAATTCGCTTGTTTCAACGTGTCGAATTTCAACAAAATTGGGTTCGAATGCCAGGATATAAGGATAGGACAGCGCGAATGAGTTGGGGTTGCCCTCCCAGGCGATCCTCCAGTCCGGACGGGCTCGCCACCCGTTGCGATTGACGAAGAATGAGAAATCACTATAGTTGAGTAGGAACTCGCCGTTCATACGCTCAATATGAATGGGTTTCACATTCTCCTTCCGTGCCACAAAATCAAGAGACGTGTCGGCCTGGTCAAGGAGAGACTGCGTCTCCGTTGTTTCTAGACTGACCACCTCAAAGCCACGTGCACAACCAACGCACAGAGTAGAACGCAGGAAATGGATGGAAGAAGACTCGGCAGGGATATAGTATTCCTGGGTGAAAGTGTTAGCATGAAACGAACCACAAAATATGCAACAGAAAATATGCAACAGAAAATACGAACCTTGAATGGCTTGAGGGTATCCTGACCGCCCTGGAACATTTTGCTGACAGCAGACTTCTTCTTTCCCTTTGCCAGATTGTCCATCGGCTCGTAGACCTTAATTGTACTTGATAGTGCGGATGTTTTGACTGAACAAACAAGATGACGACCGAGACCAATGCCTGCTTTGAAAAAGTTGGCATGTCCTTGAATTTTCTTGGGCCGCTTTGCCATGCTGTTTTGGCCCTCAACGTAATCAAGAGCGTCCATAGGATAAGAAGAAAGTGTTTTGTTTGCTAGAACCAACAGCAGCTGGTACTCTTCTAGAGTGTCGATTTGCGTGACCTGGGTAGCCTCTAGAACCTTTCTCGGTTTCGCTGTTTTGTCTTTGGGCCAGCGTTCAGAGACAAATATACCATTATCAGTCCCGTAAACTAATTTGCGACCTCCATCTGGTAGCAGTTAGCGAGTGAGACTTGAGGTGAACAAGAAATCTTGCACTTACCGATCGGAACAAGGCAATTGATTCGGTTGACCGCTGCGAAGAAGCCCTCGCTCAGGATCGTCTTGTTGTAGAAATTGCTGTTTCGCTCCCACAGTTTCTGTTGTTGCTGCTCTACCGCTTCGATAAACTTCCGGCGTGTGGCGGCGCTTGTGGCATAAAGAGTCTGCTCATAACCACCTTTGCCAAGATGCCTGAACGTGATCGGCAGTCCGCCATCTTTGGCAGGAGGGGGATTATTGATGACAGCCTTATTCGACAGGAGACTGGATGAAGGTCTTTTGGCAATACCCAGCCGTGGGATAACCTCTTCCATCTGCGCAATAACTAACAGCTCCAAAGGAATGGGTTTCCTATAAACTCGAGATTCCTCCCGTTTATTCACCGTTTTGACGCGAACAAGCAGGACGGCATGATCGAAGAGATACGCAGTAACATCCGAGCTGTCGGCTGTGGTCTTCTTGAATGACATCTTCATGAGCATTTGTCGATTTTCTTCTGTAAGCTTCAAATCGACATAGTCCGCAGAGTTGAACTTCAGCGCAGCGTTCAGCTGGACCAAGTTGAAATGGTTCTCCGCTTTTCCACTTTCGGCATTGACGCGCGAAAGGAAGTCCTTAATCAGCTTGATGGCCTTCGGAATATCTTCTTTGTCAGGATTGCCATCCGCACTGTTCTTGTAAACACCTTCAAGCAAAAGCGGGTATCTTGCAAGACGAGTTGTAGGCTTCGTCAAGTAACCGTTTAGTTCCAACTTCCGAGATTCCTTGAGACGTTCCGTGTCTTCGACGAATTTGGCGAAGGCTGGGTTTGATGCTTTTTCCTTTTCAAACTCGTACTTTCCATAAAGTTGGTTGGCACCATATTTGATGAAAGGGTCGAAATTAGGGACATGTTGACAGAAGATGTCGCCAATGGTGTGAACAACTTGACTCTCCTTTTGTCGAGCATTCAGGGCTTCACACAGAGCGCTGTTGACCTTGAGGACCTCTAAACAGTTGCCAAACACAGTTCGGATGAACTTCTCACGCCGGTGTTCCGGAATTGGGGAGTGGGTGGTGGTTCCAGCAGCGCGCAATGGTCGCATCCAGAAATCCCGCAAATATTCTAAGTCCTTGACGAAATCACGCTCCGTGTACATGACCTCGAAGATAATCTCCTGCCGTTTCTTCTCGTGATCATCAACCGAGTCCGAGATCTCCTTGGGCACTGTGCTAATCCACAGCTTTTGGTTATCATTGTCGTCATCATCATCGGGGGGCAGGGCAGTCTTGGATTCCGATGTTCCCAGTACCGGCTCAGGTTTCAGATTCAACCTGGCTTGCTGCTCGAGTCGTCGCGGACAAGCGATAGAATAGCAGAGAGTGTCCCGGTTGCAAGTGGGAGAATAACATTCAGTCAGGAGAGTGAACACTCCATTAACCTCGATTGTCGACTTGTCTTCTCCCATTGTTTCCTTGAACTGATAGACCTCTCCGGGTGCATCTCGAAGACGGTGGTCATATGTGACATCGTGGAAGAACTTCTGAGCATCCAGCGCACGGCCGAGCAAAAGAGCGAGGTTGCGGTCGTTGGTTCTGATGATGGAGGCGATCAAGTCCACCGAGTCAGTGCCCGAGAATGCGTTCTGATACGAAAGACCGTTCTTCTGTCGTTCGCCGAGTGAAATCTTTTCCCTGAAGACCTCAGCGACAAGAGAGAGCATAGCAGGATAGACCACCGGAACTTTCCGTTGCGAATCCCTAGAAACAAGGGTAGCTTTGCCGGAGGAGCCCTGTGTGCCCTGTGTGGCTTGGCTTTGAACGCTCATCGTCCGATCGGGCGCAACAGTGGATGCCATAGACATAGTCCGAGATCTTTGCGACGCATCGCTTGGCTGACGAGATGCGACGAACTCGTCGGGACTGGGCTGCATCATTGAGTCGTACCTTACTGGAATCTGCTGGTCGTGACTTGACGGAGGTCTGCGGTATGGGATTGACCTTCCGCTGTTCATGATATGCGGATCCCGATCCGATGACCAAGAAGTCATAGACATAGCTCGCTCGTTCGCATGCTTTTCTGGGACAGGACGTCCGAGCTGCGTGACCTGAGCCCCAGAATGATACTGTTCACGGCGAGAGGCAGTGGCAGAGGTGTGGTTGAAGTTGCTTGGCGGGGTCTGGTAAGGCGGCCCGCTTAGTTTTGCCATTGATCTTGACCGGGTCGAATCGGAATTCAGCGCAGGAGGAGGCATAGGACGACTGAAATCCCTAGGATCTGGGTATTGCGGAGCAGGGCCTGGTCTTGACTCGAGGCGTTGAGGTCGAGGGTAGGCAGCAAAGCGTTGTTGGGTGTTTGGATTGTGTCGAGGAAGCTGATGTGAAGCCATTGTCGCCGATGCTCCTGGATTGTAGGCCTGATACTGTCCAGACGGTGGGGGTGGAGGATATCCATTTGGTGGTGCCGATGGCGGCCCATGTCCATTTGGCATTTGCCGTGTTGGCGGCGGCGGCGGTCTCTGAAATTGGGGGTGTACGACATGCGATGACATGGTATGAGCGCGACCCTGTGAGAACTGCGGAGTCTGCGAATTCATTGTATGAGAGCGTCCTGCGGGTGGTGCGCCTCCGAAGATATCAGAATACGCTGCATCCCGTTGCGTGGACGAGGCGGGTCCGTGAGGCCGGTAATTCCGGCTACGTTGACCCCCCAAATCCGCCATTTTTCACAAATTGTCAGCGATCCAAGACGAGTATCGGTTGGTTTAATCGGATATGCGAGGTATATCTATGCCGGGGTGCGAACAAGGCGAAAGGGGTATCCGGGTTGATCGTGGAGAGCGTTCAGGGCGTCGCGATAGTCTGTTCAAGATCGTAGACAACGGGAGAAACAATAGAGGTGGAGTGAGATAAAAAAAAAGAAAATGCCCCGTAGGCAATGGCCTCGAAAGAAATAATAGATTGTCTCAAAGCACTGATGGGACTCAATATTCCATAACTCCCCTCAGTTATGGGGAATTTAAAGGCAATATCAAAGCGGTATTAATGGAAAAGCGCCAGGAGCCGTGAGCGCAACTAAGTCAAGGCTCCTTTCGATTTCATGCCCTCAGCATCATCCAAGATTTGAGGTGAGTAGTAAAAAGGTATAGTTGTTGAAGGTGGGGGTGGTAGTTGTTGAAAATGCAGTAAACTGGGGGGAGGGACCCAGGAGAACGAGGATGGCGAAGGTGACGGCGAGGCCGGTATAGTAATTTCAATACAAAGCCTCCTAATCTGCCGGTGATATAGCTTTGAGGGTCGAGATCGGGAATACAAGAGGTACGGTATCGTCACCGCCCAGACAATGGCAAGGACTACGGCGGCCGAAGTGGCCATGTGGAACACCCCAAAGCCCCGAATCCCAATCAACAGGAACTTATCCCTGCTCTTGATCTTGTATCAAACAGCTCTCATTTCTATTCTTGTAATTCTTTGCAAGATTAGTCTTGCTTTAACATCACCATGGCAGACAGTGACCTTGCGCCCAAGTTCGCTCCGTTCTTCTCCTTCGTGAGTTCAAGGTCCCGAGAACATTGGGGTTGATAAACTAACAGGCTTCCTATAACTAGGCTGGCATTGCCGCTGCGGTGAGTTGATTATATCTTCATTCCGATTCAACTGTATACTAACAGTTCCCTATAGATGATCTTCGGGTGTACGTGAAATACCTCGCGTGGATGGAGCTAGCTCTCTAGGTTCTAGGTATTCGGACAACAGCTTACAATCTCACAGCGGCAGGAGCAGCTTATGGCACAGCAAAATCTGGCATTGGAATTGCAGGTGTGGGAACTTATAGGGCCGACCTCATCATGAAGGTAAGAAATATTTACACAGGTTCACTCGTTTCGTGGTGGACAGGACGGTAGCTAACTGAGTTCATGACTGCAGTCCCTCATCCCCGTTGTTATGTCCGGTATCATTGCAGTTTACGGTCTCGTTATCGCCGTGCTCATTGCGCAAGCAGTGGGCCCATCAACCAACATGAGTTTGTACACGTACGTTTTAAGAATTCGGTGGATGTGGAGCTTGAAACAAGCTGACACTGCACAGAGGTTTCATGCATCTTGCCGCTGGAATGTCAGTTGGTCTTACGGGTGTGGCTGCTGGTTATACAATCGGAGTTGTGGGTGATGCAGTAAGGACCCTATATGCGCAACGTGAAAGGACTATTGAAGCCCTAACAGCTACTCTAGGGTGTTCGAGCATACATGCAGCAGTCTCGGGTCTATGTGGGAATGATTCTCATCCTGATTTTCGGCGAAGTTCTTGGACTTTATGGGTATGTTTCTGAGTCCAGGTTCTTTAGATTACTCTTACTAACGGTGGTTAGCTTGATTGTCGGTTTGATCCTAAACTCAAAGTCTTGAGCACCGAGCGAATTTCATGCAACAACTCATTGAGCAACACTTTCTCGTCCGCTACCGGCCATCCTAAGCTCGAACTACACCATCTAACGTGTACCAAAAACGTAACTAGGACAGATAATGGCCATGGGACTGGATCGAGATATGGACCTGATTTCTGAATCGAATGCATTCTTAAGTTCCAGTGTATAATTACAAGATCTTATATAGAATCCGGTCGAATCAAAGCTACGAGCTCAAGTCCGGTTTATCATCGTAGTTTCTTCCCGTTCAGCCCCGCCCCCAATAGCAAATACGTCAGAGGCAGAACTTACATTCTTACAACTCTTTGCCCCGCGATTTTTTCTCAAACCCCAGATTCTTTCAAACCCTCGAACCTCAATGTTCTTTATCATCTGAAACGCGGAATCCACCTGTGTTGCCGATTGGTGGCGCGCTAACGGGGTCTCCATACACCTTTTTTTAACCCTTTTACCGCGAGTCGCGCATGATCGTTGACCATTCTAATGGCAACCGGAGCAGTGCAACATTCGCCAAATGAGGCGCCAGGAACCATGGTCTTCCCCAAGGTAAACGGCAACCTGCATCACAGGGAAAAGCAGCTCGTCGAGTCCCTCCGCCATTCTCCGCGATCCTCGAACCCTTTCCTCATCACCGAGCGCCAGGACGAGAAGCAACTGTGCATTTCCTCGAGGAGTTTGCATGTGAACGATTTTGTGCTCGTCAAGACTCTTGGAACCGGTCAGCGCGTGGCCTAAACCATAATTTCTCAAGTGTCGCATCTGACAGTTCATCCTTTTCATCGTATAGGCACTTTCGCTCGGGTGTGGCTCGCAAGGTTAAAAGACCAAAAGGACAAGGACAAAGTCTATGCGTTGAAAATACTTCGAAAGGCGGACGGTAAGCGCCACTTTGTTTAACGTTGCGCGTGGCGAGGGATAACTCGTGCTGATTGCAACTGGAAGTGATCAAACTCAAGCAAGTGGAACATGTGCGCAACGAGCGGAAGGCCCTCGCAGCGGTGGTTGACCACCCTTTCATCACCACATTGATCGCATCATTCTCGGATGAGAAGTGCCTCTACATGCTGGTATGGCAACCTTTCTTTTTGCAACTCGGAATACGGATGATCATAGGGTGCTGACCAATTGTTAGCTGGACTATTGTCCTGGAGGTGAAATATTCACGTATCTACGACGACAACGACGCTTTAGCGAAGAAGTCTCGACATTCTATGCGGCCGAAATAACAATGACAATCGAGTTCCTACATGACGTCCACGGAGTCGCCTACCGAGATCTCAAACCGGAGAATATCCTGTTGGACGCCGACGGTCACCTTAAGCTTGTTGACTTCGGGTTTGCGAAGCAAGTCGATAACCGCGAGACGTACACACTATGCGGCACACCGGAATACCTAGCTCCAGAGGTCATTCAAAACAGCGGCCATGGACTTGCAGTGGACTGGTGGGCTCTTGGAATCTTGATTTACGAGTTCTTGATCGGACAGCCTCCTTTCTGGGATCAGAACCCTATGCGCATCTACGAGCAGATCATCGAAGGCCGTCTACGCTTCCCACCCAATATGCCGGCTGCAGCACAGAACATTGTCTCCTTACTCTGCAAAACAAATCCGACGGAGCGACTGGGCCACATCTCTGGTGGCTCGACTCGAGTCAAGTCCCACCCATTCTTTCAAGATGTCATTTGGGATGATTTGTTTTATCGCCGGGTGAAAGGGCCTATAATTCCCCGCCTATCACACCCGCGGACACGGGTAATTTTGAAGAATACCCGGATCCCCCCCGACGTCAGACACACGAACATTTACACGGAGGATCTGAAGAAGAAGTACGAGCCGTTATTCAGTGACTTCTGAAAGATTTGTTCGCCATTACAGCCCATCAAGCTCTCACCGAACCTTCATTCTTCCGGCATTCTCAGATGACGGCCATCACTCTCTAACCCCACGGGAACCCCCACGGACGCCTCCCCGGTGAGCGAATGCTCCTCCACGCAGGGGCCGCACGCCTGATCATTCGCGATCATTCGCGATTATTCGCGCCGATCTTAACTTTCTGTTTTCAGATGAGATCCCATGACAGCCCTTGGCAGGTATGTCTGTGGTGAATCTGAGGATATCACACACCTCGCCATGCTGTTCAGCCGGTGTTGCCGCCATAATTTGACCTTCCCACACATCCACACACGTGGACAACAGTATGGAGACCATCCCGGGCAGTATTGTTTTTTTTTTACCCCCTTTTTTTTACATACACTCCCCTTTGTACACACACCTTGTGTTGATCATGGTCATGGACATTGACCACCTGGAATCCATACTCTTCCCCGGCCTCAACAACCTCCCAAGGTTTCTAGGCGCAATCTTGTGGACGGGACCGTTTTAATGCCATCTTCTTTTGACTCTCCTTTCGTCGTAAAGTGATAACATTACTTACATAGTCATGTGTAGTGGATCGCGATGTTACATAGGTGGCTGCTTTCTATATTCGGGATTTTCAATATCGTCTACATATAGTATGTAGGTATTTTCATCTTGGACATATGGTCTTATAGTTAGCACAGATTTCGTGTCATATCACAGCCTTATTCAATAGATTGTTCGCAATCATCTCATCCCTTTCACAGGCTGGATGTAAGCCGGCAACAGAAAGCTAGGACTCGATTAGAAGATGCATCCGGGAAGAGAACAGTTCTAGTTAGGGATGTCTAGATAGGATGGTCACACCCACATAATCATCTGATAATCGCAGCGTTTATTGATAGAAGCTAAGAATCACTTTTTTTTTTATTGTCATGGAGAACATCTATTTCCTTGTTCAGGGAAATTTGAGGATAGTAGAAATATATACATAGATTCTTCCGGCGGCAACCTGATGTGGTGAGCCTCGAAGTTTGCTTCAACCTCATCACACCTCACCAGTCTATCTAGCCCAAAAATGATGGGACCTGAAACTTGATACATTATGTACACATTCAACCCAATTGGATTCTTCTTAGATCGCCTTGCACAAGCGGCCATCCTCGCTCTCGGTCCACTCGTCAGACCCGACAGCGGTTCTGGCGTAGAAGATATCGTTAGGATCATACTTGGCCTTGATCTGGCGCAAGGTATCATAGTTGGTACCATAGAAGACCTCCTTGAAGTTGGGCTGTTGGAAGTCACCCTGTCGAAACAGTAAGCATGTGTGCACAACAACGAAAGGGATTAGAGCTCGCAGAGCTAGATATCAGTTTACGTACCTCGTTCATATAAGCACCGGACTGGGGAGAAAGCGCAGTCAGCTTAGGAATGAAATCCTCAGTCATTTGGCGCTGGCGCTCCAACATGAGAGCGTCATTATCCCACTCCCATGGGGTCGTCAGAGTAGTATCAATAAGGGTGTCCCGCCAAGCAGGGAGGACAGCGTTGTGGACGTCTCCGGACACCTTGTGGGAGACGTTCAAGCCAACACCGATGAAGGTGCCGCCAGCCTCGGTGATCTCACGGTAGGCAGTCAGCAGGGCGTGGTTGTTGTTCTCAACGACCGATCTCGGGACTAGCCAGCCTCCATACTGGGCAGTGCCGACCTGGATGACGCCCTGCATATCCTTGAACTGGCTGTAGTAGCTGTTATACTGGTTGGAAACCATGTTGTAGTTGATGCCGAGCGTGTCGAGCTTATCAGTGAAGGGCTTGAGAAGCGCCACCAAGTCTGCGACAGGGATGTTGGGACCGGTGATGGGAGCAATAGAGAAGCTGGTGTTAGTGAAGTACCAGACGCTCATGGCACCTGCGTCGACGATAGCGGGCAGGGTGGCGTGGAAGGTCTCGATGGAATCGTAGAAGGTATCTTGAGAGAGACCCTCATTTGTGTAGGTCAGGTTCAGACCAGAGACAGGAGTTCCGGGGTGTGCCTTCGCGGTCAAGGACCAGACGATACCGTAAGTGCCAGCACCACCTCCGCTAAGAGCCCAGAAAATATCTGAGTACTCATTGTCGCGGGTAGCAGTGATGAAGTTGCCTTGGCCGTCAATGACCTCCCATTTCAGGACTTGGTCGGCGGCCAGACCGTAGCGGGAGGCAAGTGCGGAGTGACCACCTCCTTGGGTGTAGCCACCGGCAAGACCGACGCTGGGACATTCACCGCCAACGACCTGGTAGCCGGTCTGCTCGGCGATCTCGTAGGCGTCGAAGCCCTGGATTCCAGCTCCCATGGTAATGGCCTTTCCGGAGTAGTGCTCATCACTGTAAGAGTCGATAGAGAGATCCTTCAGGTGGTGAGTCCAGATTGCAAGGGCTCCGGCGCCAGTGGATCGGCCATTGTAGTCGTGGCCGGTGTTACGGATGACAAGACGGATGTTGTGCTTCGTTGCGAATTTCACCGTGTTGGAAATCTGAGCCGGGCTGGTGACATCCACGCTGTAGCGCACATAGTTGCCTAGTGTGCAGGGCTTTGAGACAGGGTGGAATGGATCGCAAACACCCTCAGCAAAGAATGGCGCCATAATCGAGGAAGACGATTCATAGCTGTCAAAATATAGAAAGTCAGTATTGACCCTTTCGTGTTATTCTACATGCAAAGCCACATACTGCTCCTCGGGAAGTAGCCACCCGTCCTTCAAGACTGCACAAGCCTCAGCATTGTAGGTTGGATCATGGCAAGGGGTTCCGAGAGGGACGGTTTTCACTAGTCGGCCATCGATCGTCTCGTTAAATTGAGACCATTCAGCATTTGTGGGCCAGCATGTAGCATCATCGGGCAAACATCGGCAAGCCGATGAGGCTGAAGCCTCAGGTAGAACTGCCAACAGCGAAGCAATGAAGGATGCGCGGAAAAACATATCGGATTGGCTTCATGCAAGTGTATCAGGTTTCAGGTTCTCTTAAATGTGTATTCCGAATGAAAAGCTCAGGGGCTATTCGCTTACAACATAGAAGAATCCACAATATGCCCGCAATATAAGTTGCAGCTAACCCACCTTGCTAGCCCTGGAAACCAAGTGAAACCAACCTCGGAATGGAGATAGTTCCGGGAATTATTGGAAGAATCGACCACTCATGGAGTCTTTCCCCACCATTCAGCCTTTCGATGCTGGAATCTCCGAACTTTGTGCAATTTTCAGTAAACTTTAAAATGAGACATTCCATGGTTTTATGATCCGCGCTTGCCCGATCACCTTTGGTCTTTTCCAGTCTGCATATGTGGCTTCCTGCTTTCGACGTTCTACAGTATAAAGGATATTATTCTAAGACATGTTCTAAAGGATGTTATTTATTTATTTATATTTATTATTATTTTTTTCCCTAAATCATACAGGCTATGTAATGGATAATGCACATATTCTAGTGGCTTGCTCATTGCTAGCTAAGCAATGACACAAAAAAGGGAAAAAGCAATTATTGGCAAATCCTATTCCAAATCCATATTGTTTTCCATGGTTTGTGAATCTAGTTTGTTGCAACTTAATTGCGCTATAAGCCCCCACCGACCCACCCGCCTCATGAAATCATGCTCTCGTGTACGGATGATCTGTGGACTCCGTAATTATGAATAAGAATACCACATCCCCTTGCAGAGGCTGCCAAATTCCCTTACTCATGATAATGATCGGATCATGGGCTGGGTATACAACCTCCACGAGACCGATCCGAATAGCGACATTCCGCGAGTGATCGGGGTCTGCTTGGTGTGCTCAATTCTAGCATTTCTGGCCGTATGTCTGCGTTTTCATGTGCGAATAAGCAGCAAACGCTCTCCATGGATTGACGACTATGCTGCACTGGTGGCCTCGCTGTTAACGTTAGCATACGCCGGAATCGCCGTGGCTCGTGAGTCAATTCATTGATCGAAGGTTAACTGCGTAACTGACGGAATGGTTATTTCAGAGACACGATGGGGCCAAGGACTCAGTGCAGCCTACTTTCCAAAGGAGAATGTTATTCCTTTTAGCAAGGTGTGCATCACAAAACCAACATTGTTCGAACTCGAACCTGACTCTAACTTTGCTCTATAGATCCAATACGCCGGCGGCCCGGTCTACTGTCTCGCTGTCCTCGGCTTCAAGGTCGCCTTGTTGACCTCCTACCTGCGCATTGCGGGGATTATCGAGCGATATCGCAAAATCATAATTGTCGCCATCGTCGTGTGTGTCGTTAATCAATTGATCTTCGCCTTTATCATCTCAATCTCCTGCACACCGGTCAGCTCCTCAACAGTGCGCACCAATTGAAGAGATCGGGTTATCTGACATTAAACAGGTCGCAAAGCAATGGGATAGTTCTCTCGAGGGACATTGCATCCATACCATACCATTCTACTTCGCACTTGGAGGCACAAGCATCGCGTTAGACCTGATTATCATAGCACTACCTCTGCCAGTTCTGTGGAAACTCCAGCTCCGCCTCAAACAAAAAGTCCTCCTGGCCTGTCTGTTTGCTCTCGGCTTCTTCGTGACCGTGATTCAGGTCATCCGCATCTTCACCGTCAAAGCCCTGGAAACCTACACCGACAGCAAGAATATTGTGATCTGGTCTTGTGTGGAGACCAGCCTGGGCGTGAGTTAATTCTTGACATCTCTTCAAGTTTAAACGAAACTAACGAAAATATTCAGGTTGTCATCGCCTGCATCCCTACCTACGGGCCTCTGTTCAAGTCCTTCGCTTCCACCGTCACTTCATACCGAAACCGCGACACTTCACGTACTTATGCACTTAGCTCTGTTCGCCAAGGCACGGGGACGGGGTCGGCTATTGCGCGCAAAAAGAGCAATTTCGAGCCTATATATGAGTCCGAGGGGCACCCGGTTACTGATATTCGATCCGGACCGCCGACGAATGATGGGGATAGCGAGGAGCATATATTGTCGGAAGCGGAGAACATGAAGGTATATGTGACTTCGGAATTTACGGTTAAGTCTGGCGTCGCCCATTGATTTGGCGTTGGACTTCGGAGATTGGGGCTTTTGAACAATGAGAAATGTTGTACATATAATATTCGATACCAAACACGTGTACGAGGGTTTTTTATGGACCATCATGACAACCGGCCTAATCGGGATGTCGCCTACACTACCTTACTCCTCTACCTACATGGGTATGTAGTATCAGTTGACACAGTGAGCGGAGCGCCGCATGATCTCTGCACTGTGAGGATGTCCATTTTCTGTGTTGAACGTTCGGCGTCGCGTCGGCGCACCCATCCATCAATAACACCGACGATGACAAATTCAATCTGGTCCGAATGTTTCGAGCGAGAGGCCTAAAGCTTGAGACATTGGTGACTTTATACCCTGTCGTTCTCTTATCTATATACCCTGTCAGTCGGTCCAACCTTTACCCCGACGGCGCAACTACCCTTCCCACTTTGGTATATTAAATTCACATACTGTTTGCTTCTTTGAGCTTCCAAAGAAGGAACACAGAAAAGTTAAAATGGCAGCAATGGTTATGCGCGTATTCACGGCATTCGGCCCTCTGAAAGTCGAAAAGAAGCATGATGCTATCCGCTTTGGTATCCTCGGGGCAGCTCAGATTGCGTGAGCCGCATTCAATGCTTGACCTTAGAACCCACCTGACCTTGATATTCAATAGACCTCTTGCCTTGATTACACCCGTCCTGTCACACCCGGAGGTTATTGTACAAGCAGTCGCTGCTAGAGATCATGCTCGTGCCTCAGCATTCGCCAAAAAGCACAACATCCCGGATGTTCGCACATCCTATGACGAAATCCTCGAAGACCCTAAGATCGACGCAGTCTTGATTCCTTTGCCTAATAATTTGCATTTCGAGTGGGCTGTGCGCGCCATTCGCGCTGGCAAGCACGTTCTTCTGGAGAAGCCATCGACGTCTAACGCTACCGAGGCCGAGATCCTCTTCAATCTACCTGAACTGTTACAGCCAAATGCTCCCGTACTGCTCGAGGCATTCCACAATCGGTTTCATCCTGTAGTGCACAAGTTCCTGTCCTTCATCACCCCGGCCGACGTCGTCCACGTCCACACAGACTCTATGGTCCCGTGGTTGATGCTCGATAAGGATAACATTGGGTTCAATTACGAACTCGCTGGAGGGAGTATAATGATGCTAGGCACATACAACTTTGGCATTATCCGCATGGTATTCGACGATGACCCCGTGGAGTGTCTAACCTGCGAACCTGGCATCTTTGGCGACGGCATCCACGACCAGTGCGATACTAACTTTAAAGCTAAATTCCGCTTTCCGAACGGTGGCATTGCCGAAGCTTCTACCACTATGCGTGGGTCTATCCTGTGGAAACCGTCCGAGGCCCGCGTCACGCACAAGGAAGTCGTTGTCGGTGACGAATCCCTCCCAGAGACACAGGAGAAGCTACGCACGCGGGTGGTGACGCTACATGGATTTATCCACGCTGTTATCTGGCACCGTATCGATGTTAAGGAGACCTTCCTTATTCGGAATAAGGGTGATCGTATGCCTCTTAAGACTTGGACTGAGTCCAAGTCGTATAAGGCTTACAGTTACAAGGAGGCTGGGGGAGAGTTTGCGAACCTCCCCGGTGAGGACTGGTGGATGTCATATCGGTACCAGCTTGAAGAGTTTGTCAATCGTGTTAAGGGGCGTTCCACGCAATATTGGGTTGAGGGTCAAGATTCATGGGATCAGATGAAAATGATAGACATGGCGTATGAGAAGAGTGGGCTGGGATTGCGGCCAACAAGTCTGTTCCGGTGATCGAAGTGCTTTGGAAGAAGGCTAAGTCTTCGTGTCATTATTTTTTTATTGTTTGGCTTGCATATATCTCTTTAGGTATATTTCTTTTATAGATTTTCTTCCCCTTTAATCAGTGCTGTAGCTAGAAGGATAAGAAGAAGTAGCTGTCATAACCTGCATACGTCACATACTTTTGATATCCATAGATGGCAGAGGTCAGTAGGACTAGGTAGTTTTAACTGTGAAATACTCGGATTAGACATGCATTTTCGCAACATAGTCATATGTAATGCGTTCTCTAGGCTCGTATAATGGATATCCAGAAGCTAATAGCAAAACCTCCATGCGTATGCACTGGGAAATTTTCAAAAAAGTCGCTTTTTGGCTATCGAAACAATGAGATTGAAATCTATAAGCAGCTAGTGTACGTAGCTAGTAGCAAACCATTTACCAAGCAGAAAAGGGTAAAAGAACAGTGTATGTAACAATGAAAACAAAGTGGGGGAATCATATGAACAGGTATCATGAAACATGGAGCGGGTTTAAAGCTTGCGCCTGGGTTCAGTCATATTCAAGGCACCGATGATGACAGTTCGTTGCCGGAGATTTTGGGAGTTTGGGAGTCTGTGACGGGAGCCGAAACAGTCGGGAGATCTAGAGGGGAAGAGTGGGTGATGAAATCGGAGCAAATATTGAGATGAACTGCAAGCAAAGGCCTGCAATAGGTCTCTGATATTGTACAGTGTACAGTGTTGGACTCGAATAAAATAAGATTGGGGCATTTTCACAGCGATGGGTCTGTTTTCCATGTGCCTGAAATAGAAAAGTTAGTACTATGTCCACATGAGACTAAACGAACGTGGCATAGATAAAGACATACCTCCGAAATTGTGCTTCACAAAAGCCATGGGATCATCTGGATCCCCTGCACCCATTTGCCCCACGCCGGGGCTGAAGCTGGTAATGGGTAGAACAACCACATCCCCAACCTTGCGGTGTGTGGTCTGGTGGCTGAAGTCCTCGTATGTAATGTTCTTATCACCCGGCTGGATATTGAAGTATGCCGGGTTGTTGAAGTAGCGGAAGACAGAATCTGTCCAGGCCCCAGGCCCAGTGAACTCCATAATAGTCTTATCCATCTTGCCAACCTTGAGAATGCCAGCCCTTTTCATTCGCAGAGCATGCTCGGTGACATAAGCCACCATATCACGAAGAATCGGATGCCCAGGTTTAGACACCAAGGTCCACTGGCAGAACTGAAGACGGCGCGAATACCAGTCATGCCAGTCATCGCGATCAGGATCAGCCTCAATGCCAACAATGAATCCAATAGTTGATCGATCAAGTTCCTCGGGGAGCCACGTGTGCGCGGGCCTGAGTGCCAACGTGTCGATATCGCTGTATATTCCGCCGCGCGCCAGGAGTACCAAGTACCGGAAGAAATCCGCCTTCATGACCGCGAGCGGCAGTGAATCATATGCCTCAAACACTTCCGGAACTGACCCATATAGATACTTGATCAGGTGTTGCTGTGTCTCGTCGGGAATGACTTCATGCGTGAATCCCGGGTGCATCTCTGTCCAGCTGGCCTCCAGGCCGCGGAGGTCTTCGTCAAACCAGAACGACCCTGGTCCGTATTTCCATGTTTGCCAGATGTATGCGGGGAATTTGTTTTCGATTTCATAGGGGAATTGATACCGGAGGCGTTCGCGGAGCGGTGCTGTCGGTGATGCGCCGAGGGGTAATTGAGCTCTACCTTGCGGTGGTGTTTTCCGTGCTGAGTTTGCTGTCACTTCATCCTCCTCTTGTGATATCTTCTTCACTGGTCTGTACCCAGGTGCCCCAGGAACTTCGGGATCTCGGAACGAGCGGAGGATGAGAACAAATGTGACCACGCAGAGCAGGGAAAGCAGCACCTTGCGCGGAGTGATCATGACAGGCGAACGAGCCGGTGCAATCGGAAAATAATTCGCTGGTCATGCGACAGCCGTAGATTGGCTGGAAGGTAGGAATCAAGGTCTCTGTGCTTTTGTGTTCCGTGATCCGCAAACTCGGGGAGTTTGATTAGTTTTGGTATGGGATTCGTTCGGCGAGTGTGAGAGTCGAGCAATTTGCAGATCCTAGACTAAAGAAATTGAGAGGGTGGCATATCGATATGCGGAAATCTTGGATGTGACCTCAATGGCCGAAGATACGTCAACCCAGAATCAGTCAGGATAGGAGGCGTCAAAAACCCAGTGAAAATTGTCGGTCACTAGTACCACAGAACAGGAGAGATTGAGTCAAAAGGCAGACCACGCTGTCTGGCAGCGAGTACTTTATCGCCTTGCTGGCCAGTTTCGCTAGACGTCGACTGGAATAAAAGGATTGCGTATTCCGGAAGCAGCGTGCACGCTAGGCGGAGCCACTCACGTGGTCTTGGGCGAAATGTAACTTAAAAACCACCTACATAACATATGTACATACTGTAGGTATGACCTTCTTTGGTATTGTCCGTTCTTCGTTTGTTCTTTGTTCTGTCTTTTGTGTGTTCGTTTTTACTTTTACGTATATTGACATTGCTAAGCAATGGTCCTGCTAGATTAACCACTTGGTTGCATCAGAGCACCCCACATGAGGTGCTCCTTTCATATCCAGAATGGGTGATGATCATCCCGAGATAAATAATTCCTATAACATAGGTCTGACACTCTCAACAACTCTTAATCTGAATACTAGAATGATAGAGCTATATACCCAAATGAGTTGATTTTGGGTCTAACATTAAGGGTGGCTTACGCCGACTGCAACCTTAGAAGCTCGGACAGTAACATAAGCTTCGCTTGGCTTGGAAATGTAATACATGTATAGAACTAACGTCGTAGCCAAGAGAATTCGGCTCAGGTCATATGTTGCGGTACTTGGGTGCTCACAGCAAGGCCCAAGTGCCGTCTTAATTATTTTTGTGTTTGTCTAATTACAGAGGACAAGTCTTCCTGTGCCTATGGTGACCCTTGTAGTAGCAGAGACAACCTACAACACCATCAACAGGACTTGCTCTGACTTCCAAAGTACCTACTTCTAAGAGGCGTGTAAGTTTATTGCAAGACAACGTGGTTTCTATAATAAATAAAACCGTATACGCGAAAGCAAATCAAAACAAGACCACAACAAGACCACAACAGGACCACAACAAGACCACAACAAGACCACAACAAGACCAAAGCAAAAGGAATATCACTTCCTCGCTCCTCCCCAACGCATCAGGGCACACAAATTGAGAACTACCTGTTTCCTATTGGATGCACTGCTCAGGTCGTACCAGGGGGTGGCCACCACGGTAATGCATGAGCTTGGCGACTCCGAACCCAAATCCTGAATATACTCATCGCTAATTTTGAATTCGAGAAAGCAAATGTAGTTCTGCGTAGCGTGGATGACTATAACTCTCTCACGGGGTTCAGAACTAACTGACCTAGCCACTAGGGCCTCGCAGGTCATCTGGGCTAGACATCGGTCCGAGATGATCGGTTTGCCCTCCTCAAGCGAATCGAAGTCTCTCTTTGCTTCCAAAATCGCCACGCGATCGTCGAGGAGTGTAAAAGAGCCTTCATCCTGGATGCGTAGGCAAAGGCCTCCGTCATCGATGGCATTTATCGATTTGTTTATCGAAGGTAGGTGTGCGCTGGCTTGTAACTTGACGTCCCGAAATTCAACAACCCTCGACATATTCTTCCAGTCTTGAGGTGACCCAAAATAAAGAATATGTCGGATGACGCAGGATAAGAGGCGCAGAGTGTCATCTTCGACTGTCCCTCGGAGATGGTGTTCCGCATTGTCGATGTGACCAGTAGACGATGCATCTTGAGAACTCGCAGCCTGTGGACTGCTAGAACCAACTTGCATTTCCCCAGAATGGACGAATTCTGAATCTCGACTGGGTCTTATTTCACGCGCCGGTCTTCCCATACCCCCAGAGTTGCCGTCACCGTCAGATTCAGTATCCATCAGAGAATCATAATCTGCGTTGGAATCCTCAGAATGGTTGCCATCGTCGGAATTGCTGGGACCAATCGACTGCTGTGTTCTCTGAGAGTCACGGCTGCCCTTGAATGCTGCCAACGCTGCCCATGTTTGAGCGAGCGAAATGCTATAGCCAAAATCTCGTACAAGGCTGTGCTCACTTCTCTCAAAATGCTGAATGTGATCGGGGCCATTCACAAATTTCACAATCTCAACCGGGGACGTTGTGTCGGAAGATTTTGAGTAGGGAGACAAAATTGGAAGAATATTGTGCCTCGCTTGTCGTACTACAACGCGACAGGCAAGCAGATGTTTTCGCCCCCATCCACTTGCGGAAGTCATTGATAGCCGGGAAATATGTTTCACATTCGAGCCAGTGAACTGACTGGCAGATGTGAAACTGTCGAAATAATGGGCAGACATGCCGAAGATCAAATTTGGAAAGAAGAGAAGTTTTTTTGATGATAAGAATGCACCGAGGCAGACATTCCGGCAGTCAGTGCTTTTTTATACCACCTCTTGGGCAAATATTCGCCTTGCCGCCAGGTGACAATGAAACATAGTTGTTGGCGATGTATGCCTACATAACCGCCGGGATCCCTTTTGTGAAACCACTGGCCTTCGAGTACAACAGCTGTGACCCAATACTAGTTTGTTGGGCACTAATGGGCGTTTAATTCATGAGCATGAACCAACCACATATACCCGTGGATATCCTATTGAACCCCCAGACCAAATGGCTTAAGAGACACGAGCGAATCGACACGAGCGAATCCGGGCGTCGCCTAGGAGAGTACACGATACATGATTTATTAGACTTTTTTTTGATGACTATTCTAAGAGTACATATGTATTTGTTTAACACCTTTATCATTTCTCCTAAGCACAGAGTATTATACAGCCTTTTGCTATATCTTCCATTACGTGTGTTGCCATTATGTCCACAGTATGTGGCAACGCTAATGCACCACCTAGGTATACCCACCTGGGTACATATGTATGAATCTCCAGGGCTATAGGTTAGAGGTAGTAAGGAGCCTCAGCTTCGGTGGGCGAGAGTGGTATCGCGCTTTCCCCAAGCGCCGTGCCCCCTCACACCAGACAGCCTTGTGACGGTTGATCACACCGTTCCCAGTCACACCTGAAAATTTAGCGCTCTCACGTTAGTAGACGGTTTCAGGGTCTAATCTAAGTCCGATTTATGGAGTATGCGTGTATCATTGCCATTAATAGATTCCCAAGCTAAAATTGCAAGCTGGGGAAAAACTCGTGAGCGTTTGGGTTCCTACTGGAATCTTTTTGGACACGAGTTATCGGTGCTTGTATTGACATGAAATATCAAATTCACTGAAACGCCTCCGTAAGTCCCTACCTAGGTACCAACATATGTTGTATGTAGGTAGTTCACGAACTTGAGGCTGGAGCTCAGCAGTGTGGCATTATTCGACCAACACCCAAAGGCGGTCAAGGGGCGAGGCCCCTACATACATTTCCTCAACCTGCCCAGTGATACTCGTAACTATCTTCAGTATGCCGTCTACTGGTGCAATTTCGCTTGCTGAGATCATGAGCCACCACCGTGATCTCTTGGTTCATCCAATATGCTGGACTTCTCGACATCTGGAGATGCTGGGATGCCGGTTTGAACATATTGACCACGCGCCTACATACGACATCGAGCCTGAGGCAAATACATGCCAACCTGTCGATAATGGAAAAGTGCTTGAAGAACAGGCGGAGACAAATCTATTTCACGAGGAAGGATTTGCAGAAGGTTCATTTTCGTTGTGCCCGGATCTCGACTTCGGATGCCTCGTACGTCCCTTACTCAACCGAAAATGGTGCGTAATACAAGCTGTTCCTTGCACTGCATTGGTTCATCCAACCATGACTAACCTATTGTTTGCAGTGAAACACCCTATTTCTTTTTTGCAAATAAGAGGATTCATCAACCTCTGTACAGCGTGTACTATCGCTCTCGTAAACGCAGCCAGCCAGCTGACAAAGCACCGCGGCCAATCATCGGATATATGCACTATCGTGGTGTTGAAAATTATCGCCAGAGGATGTTTCCATTTCGTGACCATCCAAAAGGTCTTTCTAACCGCCCGGGGGGGCAAATTCACCTAAAACGAGTAGCCCAAATCACGCCAAAGAATTGGAGCGAGGACCCATATCTTCTGTGTGTTCTGCTTTCCCTTGCACAACTCCAGGAATACCATCGCAAAGAGTGGCACCCGCCCGTTCACATAGTAAGTGCTATGCTCATTCCGCCGCTTTTCTTCTTTGAACGCCTAGCTCATACATCCAAGTCACGTCTGTTTTTAACATACAAACGGGGAGAGGAATTTTTTCATGTTTTTGAAGCTCGCATCACTTCCGAGCTTCTTCGAATGCTTGACAACCCAACTACTGCCACACAGCATATAGAATGGCCGGTCATCAAGCACAAAAGGGTCCCACGTTACCCGATCGAAGGTCTCAGAGAGCGAATCCAAGCTGAGATCACCCTGGATCAACAGCCTGGCACATTTGATATTTCAGATCCAGTCCATCCAGTCTTACTCCCGTCGGGGATAAGAGAATACCCGGAAGACGCGGATACTATCCAAATCCAAAGAAGAAAAGAAGTCAAAAAGAAGACCAAAAAGAAAGTAAAAAAGGAATCGTCCATTGTGCCGAGACAAACTCTAGGCGAAACTGTCTGAACAAGAATCACGACAGTTATGCTCCGGTTGGTCTGGCGTCTGCCATCCGACCATACCAAACCCTAGACGGCTTCACACTTCATCATCGAATGGTGACCCTATGCCCGGGACTCCACTTTCCCTGTTTGCGACCTCTGAGATACACTGCTATGATAGCCATTACATACCATGGGAACGGAACGTCTGGCCGTACTCGAGGCTGGGGGTCAGATGGTGGGTAAGGGGTAAAGGACACAGAATGGATCTGGTATTTCTCAGCTTCCCACGATCGATTCGACCATCCTACGAAGTACAATCCGATTGGGACAACTTCATGGTGGAAAGATTGTGTCCTTGAATATGACATGAAGCAACACACAATAAGCATGAACAGCCAAGCCAGCCAAGTGTTGTGTTCAAATGGGGAAGAAAATGCAGCAGGAATAGCGTGAATACTGTTGAAGCTGGTCGAATTTATTGACTTGAGTATTACTCGACAGCGAAAGTCTTGTTCTAAGAGCCAGACGAGGAAAATGAAGACCGGCCAAAAAAATAAATATGTACACTTAGATCGTGACCATGATATAATGATTAGAGAGGTATTAAACATAGCTAAAACCGAGTACTGGTTGAAGTATAAAGGTTCTATTAGGCAAGTCCCGATCTAGGAGAGGTTTTTCTTGGGCAGAGGTTTACTATGGGCTAGCCATTCGCCCCAAATCCTTTGATATTCGCATCCATGGACAAAAGTGCCAGTCTCTCAATGAATGTATGCCTGATAAAGCAAGCTTATTCTCAGGACAGCTGGAGTGTATAACTAGTCTGGATGCGTCTAGTTTCCAACGATTATTCAAACCACTACTCTTTCGCTATATATAGAGTCCTTAGTTTGTCTGATAAAAGTTGCAAATAACCTTGGAATGTCTGCCATATGTTGTACATTGTATTCAACAGTCCAACGCTCTTGTCTCCGCCAATCACCGATGTCGGTGATGACGCGACTCTTTAGTGCCTGAGGTATCCACATATATTCTCCCCGATACCTTTCAATCAGGGAAGCTTTCTTTCCTGACTCACACAGATTTTAAGCTCTTATAATGCAGTCATTTCGAGGCGCCGCCCGAGCTGCTTCACGCACCATCCGAATCCAGCCATGGCGACAAGGCAACTCTCTCGTGAAGCCCGCGGGGCCACATCGGACTTTATCGGCGCAATGGAAGCCCACACGCCCATTGCATACTGTATCACCGCGAAAGTCAGCGTCGGTCGCCGCGGAGTCAACTGATAGAGACTCGTCCAATCCAGCCATGTCATTCCCCTGTCTTGATGCCCAAGAAGCAAAGTCAGCGCAGCTCTCCGCTCGGTCGCTGCAATCCGGCCCCGAACCTTCATACACCACCGGGCGACACGAATCATACCACTGTGAACAACCACTTCTACTCGACTGGGGTGGTGTACTACCGGAATTCGATATTGCTTACGAAACATGGGGGCAATTGAATAGCGACAAAAGTAATGCCGTCCTCCTGCATACCGGCTTGTCCGCCTCAAGCCACGCCCATAGCACAGCGTCCAACCCAAAGCCCGGGTGGTGGGAGAAGTTCATTGGCCCCGGATTGCCACTGGACACCGATAAATATCACATCATTTGCACCAATGTTCTCGGAGGATGTTACGGCAGTACAGGCCCCTCTTCGCTCGACCCGTCCGACGGAAAACGATACGCAACCCGCTTCCCGATCCTGACTTTAGACGACATGGTGCGCGCTCAGTTCCGGCTTCTCGACGGTCTCAGGAATCAAGAAACTCGCTGCCTCTGTCGGATCCAGCATGGGCGGTATGCAGAGTCTCGCAGCAGGCGTCCTCTTCCCAGAGAGGGTCAACAAGATTGTCAGCATCAGCGGTTGTGCCCGCAGTCACCCTTATAGTATAGCGATGCGACACACGCAGCGACAGGTGCTGATGATGGACCCCAACTGGGCGCGTGGGTTCTATTACGATGGAATCCCGCCACACTCTGGCATGAAGCTAGCTCGCGAAATTGCAACCGTGACGTACCGCAGCGGGCCAGAGTGGGAGATGCGATTTGGTCGCCAGCGTGCAGACCCCAGCAAACAGCCAGCTCTGTGTCCCGACTTCCTTATCGAGACGTATCTCGACCATGCCGGTGAGAAGTTCTGTCTCGAGTATGATGCCAACAGTCTTCTTTATGTCTCCAAGGCCATGGACTTGTTCGATCTCGGCCATGCACACCAGACTGCCACTATGAAACGTCGTGCAGAGTCCGAGGATCGCATTGCGCACGGCGGTGGCGCACCAAATGCTTCCGACCCTGCTTGCAGTCTTACCCTTCCAGACAAGCCCTATGAGGAGCAGCCTGGATCAACTTCTAATGCAATCCCGTTGGATGAGTCCGTTTCTGCTGACTCAGTGGATGGTCCTCCCCGGGACCTTGTAGCCGGCCTTGCTCCTCTCAAGGATCATCCTGTGCTTGTCATGGGTGTTGCAAGTGACATCCTCTTCCCAGCATGGCAGCAGCGGGAGATTGCCGAGACACTCCGTGCTGGTGGCAACAAAAAAGTTGAACATATCGAGCTTGGTGACGACTTGTCGCTGTTCGGCCATGACACTTTCTTGTTAGACCTCAAGAACATTGGTGGCGCATTGGGCAAGTTCCTACGCTAGTCGCGTGGCATGTTGCGTGCCAGACAATGGATATAATATAAATCTGTAAATACGTTGTTAAGCGTGCGACTTTTAGTATTTAGCAGGCGTTTGCATTCACGAATGGAAATGAGATACCTCCTCTCTGTTTTTACTCGCAGTTCTAATGGATCGATGGATACCTCCACACAGTCTATAGGTGCATTTTAGCTATGGTATGGCAAATGAACAGAAATGTCAATTTATTATCCCATTTGACTCTATCAAGTTACAATATACACATGGTGAAGCCCACAAAAATAAAAGGAAACTCGCCCTCAGGTTGCTCTCGGTTTTCATAACCGGCTTCCAGCTGTGTAAACGGTCCACAGGCACGAGGTGCGCTGAATGGTGCCGTCGTCAAGCAGATGCCTGCAGTATTGGCTTATGTTCGTCTCAACGACGAACTCATCACAGGGCGAGAAGGAGAAAAGAACAGAATGGCACACCACAAGCCACAATTCCAGAATGTCATTATCCACAAGACGACAGAAGAGAACAGATTTAAAACCAAGACCCGGAGCACAAGCTGGGAGATTTGATAAAAACACCCCCAAGATTTAGTTCACGAACTAGGAGAACCTAGAACGGTTTGTGGAAAGAGCACGCTCACATAGCCCACACGACAAAACTCGAAAGTAATGACTGGAGGCTAGAGTCTCTGGTGAAAGTTCTTTCAAATATTTATAAGGAAAACGGGAAACCCAGAATATCGTTGATAGTCGAATGGTTATTGTTGGCCAATGCCGCGATCCTTGAGACATCACCTTAATGTATTTCCAGTTAATCTCAGAGCTTGAAAATAGTCAAAAGTGAGGAGGAGAGAAGGAAAGGGAGGAAGTGGGGGGCGAGGCATGTATTTATATGTTGGGGATTGGAGCTGCAGGCACAAAGTCCACAAAGGGAAGGCACATGTATTTGTTTGCAGGTGATGCTGACCTTCGCCCTTAGCTGACATGGACACGCCCTAGCACGTCACAACATGAATGGCTCTCTTCAACATGGATAACAAGGAGAACAGGCAAATGCATCTGACATCTACCATTTGATCACAGATAGGACGATAGGCCGCTAAAAGAATTATCAGAAAGGCAACCTCCTATCACTTGGAAATCGCTAGAGGTTGTTTTATTGACTCTTCGGATTAGCAGGTGTTGTTAGTAGACCTCCAGGGCTATGGGATAACACGTGTTGTTGTTGGCTATTGTTTCCAGGAACTCCACATGAGAGCCATCTTGGGTATAGCATATAGCCATAGCCATAGCCTTGTACCCGACGAATTTGAAAGGGGATCTGGGCTTGGGGGATGCCTCGGGAATATAAAATTGACAGGAACCTGGAAAGCACAGATATTGATTTTATGCCAAGGGGGTTAAACGTTCTTCCGCCCCGGTATGATACTGTTGTCTGCCTGAGGCAGAAACAATTTCAATACCCGGGGCTTTTCTATTCCAACTATACGGAAGATAGCCCAGGAACTCTCCTCCAGAATCAGTTTCTACCAAGTTCTTTGAACATGCATTTCTTCGATCTGGGCGTGCTTGTGCGCTAACGGTTCTTTCAGATATCCGGTCAATCACAGCGATGTCACACAAAGAGCAGACGGCACGGGGTTTTATGAAGAGCAATTTGTTGTCCTACTACTACGATGGAATTATCCTTCAGTAACCCCAAGATCTATGCGCAACGCCTTATATATCAATCAATGTATTACAAAGCAGAGACACTGAGCCGCCGTTCTTGATGATTCCAAATCCCATTGTCAATTTGCCAATACCAGCTTTGCTTATCTGGCATATGCAGCAAAGCAACTTGTTCACCTATCACCTCAGAGGAGCACCGTGGCTGCTGGCTGAACTACCCAATTCAGATATAAACAGCGCCGCTAAAGTGTGGATCCCATCCCCACTATTCCCCACACTCGATGTCATAGTACTAGGATCCACACCCGGGGCCGTGTACAAAAGGCACTGAAATACGCCTGTTTCTCACAATTTTTAGGAATATCTCTTCACATCAGTGCACTTACACCTCCAGAGAGAATGGCGCAGTCAAAGGAATGGCAAAAGATGCTTCGCGGCGACCTATACTGGGCATGGGACGAGGATCTTCAGGCGAACAGAACAAGGTGTAAACAAGCCTGCGATGATTTCAATGCCGCCGGGGCTGCAACAAGGCGCCGAAAAGTAGAGCTATGGAGAAAGTAAGTTTGGGCGACGAGATCTGAATGGTCATCGATTATTGCTCAGTGAAATTTGTGCTGACCATACTTGTGTCCAGCATTGTCTGCGACACGCGTCCAATGCCACCATTGAACCCAGACCCGAAGGAAGACGAGGCACTTTTCGAAGAGACTGATCCCTTTGTAGATGGACCAATTTCCGTGGACCACGGTCTGAATTTCAAAGTCGGCAAAGGCACTTTTCTCAACTTCAATCTTCTCGTGCTCGACACCTGCCTGATCACTATCGGGGAACGGGTACTGTTTGGTCCAAATGTTTGCCTGTATGGTGCAACCCATCCCATGGACCCGGCTATTCGGCAGGGTCTGAAGGGACCGGAGTGTGGAAAAGAAGTGCATATCGAAGACGATGTATGGATTGGTGGTAGTGTGATTGTGCTGGCGGGCGTGCGAATCGGGAAAGGGAGCACAGTTGGAGCTGGCTCAGTAGTGACCAAGGTCAGCATACTGAGATATAATATCTCTAATTCCACGTTGAGAGAGAGCCAGACTGACTTCTGCAGGACGTTCCTCCCTTCCACTTTGTCGCAGGCAATCCCGCCCGAGTCATTCGCCGGATTGAAACGAGCATGAACCCTGAAGAGCAACAATGATGGTGGTGTGAATGGGGGCTAATGAATACTGAGGCTGATCCGAGCATCTTTAAGTAGGCTTTTGCAATACAGTTCACTCTTGAGCGCCGAATGAACCTTCATCTTCACACTGGGGCTCAAGTTAAGATACATGAGCAGGGTAGTACACGGCGGAAGATAAATATTGCTATTGAAGGAGGGGGATAAGGTTGCGAAATTGCCCGCTACTACCTGGGTGTCGAAATGCGCCGCCCCCCCCCCCTTCTTGACGAAAATTGTCAAATTGTCACGCGAGAGCTTGCATTTCATCATCCGAGATGGAACAAGCAAAAAGCCATAGCGAGGTCATAGACCGCGAAGTCGTATATGATAGCAATGCTGGCTCTCGGCCAGAAGCACCAGGCAGCTTCTCAATATCCGATGATGATATTCTGCGGGCCCAGGGCCATAAAGCAGTATTCAAACGATCATTCTCTATCGTTTCATCCCTCGGTTTTGCGTTCAAGTATGTTTCCCGCTTATTATATTTTGCACTTATTATGCTGAACTATCTAGTATCACGAATGCTTGGGCTGGCGCGCTAAGCAACTTCGGACAGAATCTCAGATACGGAGGACCCCAAGTGGCTCTATTTTCTGTTATCGTTGCTTGCTTTGTGCAGTGGATTATTACCTTAGGACTGTCGGAGCTGGCTTCCGCGTTTCCTTCATCTGGAGTAAGTTATCTACGGCATAGTTGTTGCTCGCACGTATAGCTAAATTGCAGGTGCCATCTTATAGGGCCAATACCACTTTGTCTACATAATCGCCCCCAAGAAGCACAAGAGATTTGCCGCTTTTGTGACAGGTTGGATGTCTATACTCGGATGGTGGATGGTGACCTGCTCCGACCTGTCTCTTGTCCCCAAAGCAACCCTGGGTCTCGGTCAATTTCTACATCCGGACTTCGAGATAAAACAATGGCATGCATACTGTGTATATCTTGCTACTATTGCTGCGACAAGTCAGACCCCATTATTGTCAAGTTATTTTACATTTCATTGCTGACTCGGGTTATCCTGTATAGTGACGCCCCTTCTCTTGTGCCCCAAGAAACTACCACTCATCACATCCTGGTCTCTGTACCTCGCATTGTCTGGATTTGCCATTTGGTTCGTAACCGTTCTTGTTATGCGTCAACATACAAATACCAGGTCTTATATCATCAGATCTGGTCTTGGTACAAGTGGATGGAACAATGGCATCGCCTGGCTTCTCGGGATTACCAACTCGATGTATTGTTTCAGTGCCAGCGATGGAGCGATCCATATCGCCGAAGAAATGCGATCACCGGGGCGTCGACTCCCACAGATCATGTCAGCTAAGACCTGCCTCATTCTCCATCTCTAATGCCAATTGGTTACTAGGCCCGCTAACCAAGCACAGGAACGTGACACTAGCCATTGGCCTTTGTACAGCGGTGCCGCTATTAGCAGTATTGATAATTGCCATGAAAGACATGGACGAAGTAATGAACGCCGGAATGCCAGCCGTGGAACTATTGTACCAGGCGACAGGATCAACGAGGGTGACTGTGGCACTTAGCGTACTGTTGACAATCGTATACGCAGCAGGTATTTCTCCACAGTGGGTTACCTGTGGGCGTCTTGCATGGGCTTTCGCCAGAGATCGAGGTACTCCGTTTCCCGATTTCTTCGACAACATAGACGAGCGGTTTCAATTTCCGCTTCGCACGACTATAGCCTCTACGGTTTTTGCTGCCATTTATGGTCTCATATACCTTGCCAGCACCACGGCTTTCAACTCCATCATTACTTCTGCCGTCACGCTATTGAACCTGAGTTACGCCATTCCTCAGGCTATTCTCGTTACGCGAGGTCGTGCGCAGTGTCTGCCAAAGCGGCCGCTGGATCTTGGTCGATGGGGATATATCTGCAATGTTTTTGCACCGCTGTGGATCACAATCGTGGGTGTTATGATCTGTTTCCCTTATAGCCTTCCAGTTACCGTGGGCTCGATGAACTGGAGTGCACCGGTTTTGGTGGGATTGTTTCTTATCATTCTTTTTTTCTGGGTTCTGATAGGCGACGAGTTCAAGGGGCCCGATATTGACTGGGCGATGTTGAACCTTAAGAATGAAGCAAGCGACGCTTCCACATATAGTTGAGCCGGACCTAAACCTGTGATTTGGACAACCACACTGGATTTGTGAGACTTGGCGAAGTTGGTTTTTGGATGACCTCGGGTCAGCTATATGCTTCTCTCAACGTTGGCAAGGCGTGATAACCAAACCGTCCTTGTCTCGCGAAGTTTATACAAGAGCAAGCAAGCGCTAGTTGAATAAATGGAACAATTCGTATTTGATATATCATACGGCCAAGTATCGTTAAATCAGAGCCTGTCCTAGATGGGAAGAAGCTTCCAAGATCCCCAACCACAGATTGGTAATAAAAATGCCCTCAGATTGAAAACTACCATGTTTTGTCACTCGTCACCGGCGTACTTGTCGTTTCCTTGAAAGGCGTACAGACGAAGCACATATACATGCCTCGGAGTATGCAACTGTATTTTCTCATCACCGGGATATTACATGGGGATGGGGATCTGAAAACATCTCATGATGAATAGAGTACTCGGAAGGGAACAGGGCGATTGGCGAAAAGAACCGGACGAGAGATGTGATTTTAGAGATCTAGAATATGTACAGCAGTTCTGAGCGATGTTAGTCGAAAACGTCCAAATATTGATGCGATGCCAAGACAACACATAGCAAGAAATATAAAAGGTCCGAGTCTCTTCAGATCTCTGTTCATTGCTCAATCACACACATATGGGCCGATGTCTTCTTCCACTCCGAAGTATCAGGGGGATGAAGTCCATAGCCCGACGGGTTCATTCAACCGACATGTCATGAGAAGCTCTTGTGAGGTTTATCTTCATCAGGACTTGGCAAAAGATATTCCATTGAATCCGTGTTATAGCCAGAGACCAGAGAACCGGTTTGAATGGAAAAAAGAAACATACCTCTTGTGATGAAGCAATAGCCCCTGAACAGAAGCGTCGACGTTCCGTCGTCTCAAGCGATAAGAGGTAGTTGCTGGCATTGACCGGCAAAGTATCATCGGATTCAATATCAAGCCGTGTCTAGACGCGTCTTTCTCAGACAGGCTCTGCAGTGACATCGAGCCTGATAGCTGTATCGGTCTGTCAACAACAACTTTCTATCGGACGAGATGATGAAAGAGCATATACGACACTGTTAGGGGATAATCGGCTGGGAGCTCGCAATTGTACGGTTTCTGGGGACCGCATGCGTGTTGTCAGGACAATCGGTTTGGCACGGCGATGCCGCGGCGCGTATCGAGCACATTTACCGCCTACCATACCGCCTTACTTAGTCCCCGCACAATTGACTAGGACCGCAGCACGTGATAGCCAGCGTGGTTCCGCTGATGAACGCATTGGCTTGCATATACACCCCGGTATAAGAAGCTCATACCTGCACGGGTCGGCTACTTGTGATGGTCAGTACACACCGCATCTATAATGGCTCCCCCCAGCATCCAAATGGTGGCAAGAGCCCAGCGATGCCGATCTCGACTACGGATTCGATTCTGACGAACTGGATACCAGATATAACAAACCTGATCTAAACACCTCCCACGATAAAAGCAAACAGAGAGACATTCAGAATACGGACGATAAGGGCCTGATTGCAAGCATGTCTTCTTGGCTCCAGCGGCAGGCAGGCTCGTCCCACGGACAGCTTGCGACAGCGGCTGTCGTATCTGGCGCAGCTGTCGCAGGTGCTATCCTTGGGTACCAGTCATACAAGCGCAAGGAAGCTGTCCATGACCTCAAGGCCTCGATCCCAAGTATAGATGATTTACATACTGCGGAAACGGTGAGCTGCACCAGTGAAGCTGCGCATTCACTGCCTAGCAAGCTACAAGATAAAAATGCTGATTCGCCGGACTATAGCTCACCGATTTTGGCGCTGCCTCGAATGGAGTACCACTGAGCAAGGAAGATGAGCGCAGTGCAGCTTTAGCTCGCAGAGCGCAACAGGGAGACTACGATGACGGTATGTGATCTTTCTAGGCCTTCGTTCTGCAAACCTTTCTCATTTGGCCTGTCTCGCTTTGGTAGACTTGATTCTTGAACAGCTCGCCCGCAACCGCGTGTTCCTCGGCGATGAAGGCCTTGCCAAGCTTCGATCGTCATTCGTTGTCGTGGTCGGCTGTGGTGGTGTCGGTTCGCATGCTGCTGCTTCACTGGCTAGATCAGGCGTGTCCAAAATCCGGCTCATCGATTTCGACCAAGTCACACTATCATCGTTGAACCGACACGCCCTTGCGACATTGGCTGATGTTGGCACACCGAAGGTCCATTGCATTCGGAGGCGGTTGGAACAAATCGCACCGTGGGTCACCTTCGATTGCCGGAATGAGCTCTATGGAAAGGCCGCGTCCGATGATCTCCTCGGCCCCTGGTCTCTGACACACGATGGAGAGGGCCGTCGACCAGACTTCGTGTTGGATTGTATCGATAACATTACATCCAAGGTAGAGTTGCTACACTACTGCCACTCGAACTCCTTGCCTGTGATCTCGTCGATGGGTGCGGGATGCAAGTCGGACCCGACTCGGGTTGTGGTTGGCGACATTTCGCTTAGCACTGATGATCCTTTGTCCCGCAGTACACGCCGTAGACTCAAGCTTCTTGGTGTTTCATCTGGTGTTGCGGCCGTGTTCTCGACAGAGAAACCAGGTCCGGGCAAGGCTACTCTACTTCCTCTCCCCGAGGAGGAATTCACCAAGGGTCAAGTTGGTGAGCTTGGTGTTCTTCCTGACTTCCGAGCCCGCATCCTCCCAGTACTGGGTACCATGCCTGCAGTGTTTGGTTACACAGTAGCCAACCACGTTATTTGCACTATTACTGGCTACCCGCTTGACTACAACATGGGCGCCAAGGGCCGCGAGAAACTTTATGATACCATCTTGGCTGCTTTGCTAAGTTTGCACGAAAGAATGATCAGACAAGTCACCGGCCAAGATACCGTGGGGCTTCGCGCCTCGCTCAGCAAGGATGATATTGCATTTGTTGTGGAGGAAGTATACCGGGGGAAGAGTGCGATCAGTGGCTTGTCTAACAGACTGGCTCTCATCCCCTGGCAAACTCCTGCTCACGGGTGGAACATGGATCTGAGCCTTGAGAAAGAGGGACAGAAGACCATCCCGATGGACATCAATCAAATGGTTTGCATGACCAAGGAGGAAGCGCTCCGACACGAAAACGAGGTGCTTAAGGGTGGCAAGAAGGTGGAAGAGGTGTATGATGAGACTGTTCTCCAGCGTGTAAACCTGCGCAGACGGGAAGCGGAGGAGTATGATCAGTACCGAGGATAGTGTAGAATGTACAAATAAACAAAAGCACAAAATCAGATTTGATGAAGAACACACAACAAAAAACGTCAAGCATTTACCCCCTTGCCTATGTTGTACCTAACAGAAGAAAGCGGGTCTGAGGTATACGTCAGAGCCGCGAGGGTTAAATTCTGCCTCTTCTTTACATTCTACTCCCACGCAGTTTCACCAAATGCAGTACATGAAGCATACATTACACCTGGAAATAAGAATATAAATGCCAACTAGGGCGCATGAGCATGACGTCTCGCGACTCCCATTCGACAGATAACGAGTTCCACCCGACCACAACCCACCATCCCTCGTACTCAAATCAATCTCCACATTATTCTCGCCCACTGATTGATTCCGCCAGAAACGGAATCCAACTCGGAGCCCATGAAGGCTCCCAGCGCGGCTCCAGTTCCCCCGCGGATGACATCAAATCCCCCGGGTGGTCCCAAATGGCTCTCTCGGTAGTTTCCGCGCCGCGCTTCCGGCGCTTAGTGCTGATCTACGTCGCGCTGTTTATATTTGCATGGATCGGTTGGCGAACGCTGCTTTCTCCGCGACTACAAGACCAAAATTTGCTGTTGCATTCACTTGATCCGACGTCTAAGACAGAGACAGGTGGGTGGTTCGGGGTAAATTCATCCCCTCAGTTCGACGGTTTGGTTCAGGTCCGCACATTGGACCCAGACCTGGTGCCTGGGGATATAGCGGGAGCGAAGGCAGGAAAATCTAGTCGGAAGCGGTTAATTATTGTGGGTGATGTGCATGGCTGTAAAGAGGAGTGTAAGCAACAACCCCCCCAACTATGGGAATTCTTGGAATTAACGAGTCTGCAACAGTGGTGCAACTTCTTGAGAAAGCCGCCTTCAACCAAGAAGGTGGTGATCACCTTATCTTTGTCGGGGACATGATCAACAAAGGACCGGACAGCACAGGAGTTGTGGACTTGGCTCGGCAGCATTCAGCATCTAGTGTGCGCGGGAACCACGAAGACCGGATTCTGCTTCTTCGACACGAGATGGTGAAGACTAACACTCTTGCAAACTCCGATGATGATAAAGGCTCTGGTTTCTCATCCAAGGAACTTGGCGAGCGTGCACTCGCGCGGTCTTTGAGCGACGAGCAAGCTCAGTGGCTGGAGAACTGTCCAGTGATTCTGGAAGTCGGCCGAGTTCCAGGCATGGGACAGGTTGTTGTCGTTCATGCGGGACTAATACCGGGAATCAAGCTTGAGAAGCAAGACCCTTCCAGTGTGATGACTATGCGGACCATTGATTTGGATACGCATGTACCCAGTCCAAAAAAGAATGGCATGAATTGGGCTAAGGTATGGCTTCTGTTTCTATTTCACTCTTTTAATCTTGCCGTCATATTGATATATTTTCAACCTAGATGTTTGATAAACATCAATCAAAACTATACTCGAGCCTCGAGACTTCGACTGAAGATCCCCTCGCAAACACTACGACTGTTGTCTATGGCCACGATGCTTCAACGTCCCTTTCAATCCGCACATTCACAAAGGGCCTTGACTCGGGTTGCGTGAAGGGAGGGAAGCTCACAGCTTTGGTTATAGAGGACGGCGGAAAGCAAAGTCTTGTACAGGTATCGTGCCGTGACTATCTAAAAGAATGACAGTTCTTCGCTGTTGCTCTGGGTTCAGCTTTGTAGACAAAATGCATTATTATAAAGTGATGGCTATGAATTTTATGCTACACAATGAAGTATGTGATGGAACAGTCAATGATCGTTATGTAGTGCCTATGAAAACTGCTCACGAACCCTTCTGTGTAGAGTGCTTAGCTACATTGTTATGACCGGAAAAGTGTCAAAAATAAAAAATAAAAAGTCATCGCCCGGAGGCGATCCGGCAACTTGAGATCAAACGGCACTCAAGCTGAGGATGGACGGGTTCCAAAGTGGCAGCGCGCCAATATCGCCAAGGACAACCGCTAGCCCAAGTGCCCGTCCATCCACGCATACATACTTGCCAGTGCCATTTCTCATACGAAATAGAAAATACGGACTTGGCCTTCTACCTTCACCTTGGTGGGATCGGCTATCTCTTTCGGCAACCCAAACAATACTGATATCTAATTGCTAGTTGTTCAGTTTTAAACAATTTCTGTGTGCATATGTATGCAGAGGTTGCTAGAATATTGGGAAAAGTTATCCTAGGTTAACTACCTACATGTACGGTAGGTAGTATCTAATGCTCTTTAGCCTTAGAGGAACTGTGGTATCAACAGTTGGAATAGATGGTACGAACCATCCAACCCAGTCCATGTTTATTCCAACCACAACAATAGAGAGTGATGTAATGGTCCAGTGAGATGAGTCTGAGTCTGGTTTACCAACTTCACACGGGGAAGCAGGAAAGAACTGTAGGACTGAGAACTTACTGTAGGAAGGACTAACCCCGGAAGTATAACTATCACCAGAGATGTCAGAGCGCAGAGCCCATGCGTCGGAAATCTGTCAAGAATATCCATGTCTAATTTCAACTAAAGAATGAGGGTATGTACAGATAGAATATACCACAGTTCTCTATTCGGATTCAGGATCCTCAGGAATCTCAGGATCCGGGAAAACAAAATTGCCATCGACGCCCCAGACGGCGGGTGGAGAAAAGTCTTCATACCAAAGACCGCCCAAAGCATTAGTGTGAACGAGTCCAAAACGGAAATACTCCAACTCGTTGGGATAAGTACGAGACCAAGTGAAATCTGGTAAATGCTGGCCATCCTTAGGTCGGAAGACCTGGAAGCGCTCCACGTCGTTGACTAGGACGCTGAGGCCATCGGCATGGGGCTCAAGGTCCGGGAACGAGAAGACGAGATTGTTTGCATCCGTCATGGAAGGAGGATATATCTTAGGTGGAACGGTACCAAGTTTGGCACCATCAAGGAGAGCGCCTGGAGTCTGTAGGATCGAATCGAAGCCCCAGCGGGCGATGCCGTTTATAAAAAGACCAATAAGGATGCCTGAGTATAGGAGACTGGGTCGCGTTTGCATAGTCGTTCCAGGAAGGAAGAGAAGAGAAAGAATATAGTGGTGGATGCGTAGGTTCATGTTCGGAACAGCGACGAGGATGAGAACAACTGCAACCAGGACGCCGTATATGCTTATCGTAGGGAAGAAGCGGCCCTCGCGACGGAAGCAGTGTGCCTGGCCAAAGGCGATTGCGATCAAAGACCCAACTACAATTATAAGAGCTGTGATAGCACCCGGTTGCTGCTGGATATCGTGGGGTGTCAGGCGAGAGATTGGAATGCGATCAAATGTGTCTGTGTTCAGGGCGCCAACCCAGCAGCCGCCCAGCCACAGGACAGTCTTGTCCCAGTGTGCATCCAAATTTTTAAGCGTGTGCCGGACGCAGAAGTAATACAGCACGAATCCCACGAACGCACCAGGCAGAAACCGACCGAGCGCAATTGACACAAGGTCATAATAGCTCCCCATAGAGGGAGGATCGGACGCCATGGCGACTTGGAACCAGACAATGAAATATATCATGGAGTAGAATGCCGGTGCCGATGTCACGACTAATGACAAGATAGTAGTCCAGATCAATGTGAAGGCGAATAGTGACCAGCGCGCATCGGAGCACTTGATTGGTTTAGTCTCGTTCGAGTCTGGGGTTGACGCTTCATCACTGAGTCGGAATGACATCGGGAAGCTCGAGAGAAACTCGATACTTTCAATTCCGTGCTGCGTGCTGGAATGGAAGTTTTTCTGCTCGCCGGTGCGGTGCAGGATGCCACATCCGCCCCTCGCGTCATCAATTAGACCTGCATGCAGTGCCGAAGCACAAATTGAGGAATCGCCGCGGTAAGTGCCGCTGTCATGACCATCCACATTAAATGGCTTACCTCCCACGACTAATGGTCGGTAATTGAGCTCCTGGTCACCAACAACATACGGCTCTAGTAGAATCGCGGCTGCACAGCCAGAGGGACAGCGGAACGCGAAGGATTGGTCCTCGAATGGGCGACAAAGGTCACCATTCAGTCCGCAATTCGTGGAATTGCTCCTAGATAGATATGGTCAGGTTCGCAAGATCGGATCTGCTTGGGGATAAAAATAGAAACACACCATAAACGGTGGTGACACGATAGCTTGACAGGCTGCCCATACCCCGGAACTTCTTGGCCCGCAACGGAAGCTTTTAAAGATGCGAAGAACACAACAATCCAAAAGAATAAACCACCAAAAAGGAGCGCGATCTTTGAACTTCTGTGCGGAAATTTTTGATCAATCAGACGCGCCGGCGCAGCCTGTAAATGAGGGAACCAAGGGTTAATGTGATAGACATGCGGCGGCGTCGGGCCGCGGAGCCATGCACAGAATCCCGAGGGCGTACAAGAAAACGGCGGATCGCGCTCGAATTTCTCCGATTGAGCATCCATGTGTTCTGAAGGCAGAAGAGGCACGTCGCCTACTTCCAAGTCAAAGCTTAGTTCATCGCTGTCGCGGGCTTCATCCTTGTACTGCGACCGGATCTCCTGCAAGGGATACTCGGTCGACTTATCCGATGAAGGCGATCGCGCACTTGCCCCGGAAGACTCCGGTCGCGACTGCATCTTTTATATACAACGTGTTTACCTGAGCTCTGGAGCTCTCAGAGGGAAGGAAGTGGTGGAATTCCTTTTCAATCTTGAACTCGTGGTCAGCCCTGGAGGAATTTCTTGGCTTTTTAGTCATCCGGATTGCTGGCCCCGGGATCCATGGATGGATGTCGTGGATCAGATCTCATCTCGGACAAGTTCGCAAAAGATATTAAAAAATTGAATGTATATTAAGTCCCTTAACCTACAGATATTCTTCATAAACCCGTACTATTCAAAGATGTGACGCTGCTCCGTCATCTAAAAACCAACAAGTCCACCGAATCACCGAAGATGACAATGTTCCAGAACTCGAGTTCCTTGAAAACTATCTCAGGCGGTCATGGCTGGTGGAAAGTTTCCGAGTCCGATCTAGAGCACAAGATGTTCTGCATTAAATATTCCATGGTATTGCTTCAAGCAAGGCTGATGTAGCGGTAGGTTTCATGAACCCATGCCTTGTTGCCCGAAGAGAATAGACTCTTCGTCACAAAGGCATGCTTTACAGCATCAATCGTCCGCTTCACACTCCCGAGATTCCGTGTCTTCTGGATATTGGCCAGCCGATCTAGTACAAAACGTCTTTGGTCTTCATTTTCCAGGCCTGTGTTCCCAAGCACAAACAGAGGCCATAACAACGTAGCCATATCAGGAAGTGTGGAGATCAGTTCAATCATCGACGATATAAGACGGCTTTTGCACCCTTCAGATACCCCGCGCCTCTCCCGGTCGTCGATGTCTAGCTCATTCTCGAGGCGTTCATTAAGGTAAAGAAAGGCAGCTAAATGTTTGACCTGTGCAATCCTCTCGAGGTCTTCTCTGCCCGTGGCATGTTGAGGAAGCGTCTGTTTCAAGCTAAGAAGAGCTGTGCTAATATTTAATGACACTCTGGCATAGTATTGAGTCTCCACGGGGGTTAAACGTCGGTATTTTCGTATCTATAGTTATCTCGTGGTTAGCAATATACTCTGATAGAGCGGAGCAGTCAAGCAGTACTTTTGCCTTTCTGGAAGCATGAATCGAGATATTGTTTATTAAAGTCAACAGGCCACGCGAGCACCCCATCAACATATCGATCTGGAAGATAGGTCAGCATTGATAGAGTGAAGTAATCATAAATGCGTCGTACTTCTTCGAGGTTCTCGCTTTCAGACCACAACTCTGACATGTCATCTTGATGGCAATTTTCAGATGCGGTACGGCTCATGATGTTATGAGCTACAAAGTACATCCTGAAAAACTTCCATAAATCGGATGAGCCGTCAGACGTTGTGTAGTCGATAAGTCGCAAGCCACCATAAAGATGTGTCATCCATGAAGGAGAGCATCCATCTGATATCTATGTTCAGGTCAGAACGTTATGTACTGCACGCATATAGGAAGAGGGAGACGTACGTCATGAAAGCACAGCATCAAGATCGAAGCTACCGTGGCATCTGCATGTACACCAGTGGAAATTTCCCGTCGGAGCCCTTGCAAGGCCATGTGTTTATAGTGACATACTGGCTCGGCAAATTGATACTTTCCAAGAAGGCATAGTTGATTCGCAGAAACTGCCAGAACGGCGTGTCGAAGGGTGATAGAGACAAAGCATAGGGGAACCAGAAGCGAGATGTAAGGATTATACAATTCACTTAGAGAGCAAGATGGGCTGATACCGCTGATAAAATAATCAAGAAGATAGGTCTCCGTGTCCGGAAAAGAATAAAGGGGGTGATAGATGGAAGACGGGATCGAAAGGTCCGTACAGATGTCTATGCTGTTGGGGCAAGCCTGGGCTGAAGAATGTGTTCGAGGCAAGTCATCGGGGTCTTGAAAGTCACCCTCATTCAAATTCAAAAAGAGATAAGCGGCTAGTATACCGGGTTAGAGGAAGTCCTTGGAATATAGATTCCGTTTTCCGGTTATGTGCGGTTGTGCCGGGTCTTTTCGTCCAGACCCCTGATCAAGGACAGTCAGTAGGAGATAGCCAGAAAAAGATGGCGGCAGTAATTACCTTCACGGCCAAAGCTAATGCCCTTTTGGATAGCATCCTCTCGGAACATGATTTTGAGCTCCCGGACGCATTCAAGATCAAGTCTCTCGCAGCGTCTACATCGCGGGTTCTCTTCGGTGCATTTGATGTGTTGCTCTACTCATGTCAGCGATTTAGTTCCTAGCCATGATGAGGGTTGTACCTTTGCATTTGGCGCATCCAGTTCGCCTTCTGGTGTCTTGTTTTCGGCGTGGCATAGCGTGAAGGTGGAACGTGGACAGAGGTTAGATGGAAAGAAGGCGAAGCGGGGGCATGACTCGGACCTTTTGCCGTGACAGGCGATAAGGGCTAGCACCGGTAGACGGGCAGATTGGCACCGCCCTAAGGCTCCGGGGAAGTTGTGCACCTTTATATAAGATCTGTATTTAATTCCCATCCACCCCTGTTACCTTTGCGTTTATGCCTTATCGCTCTTATGTCGAACGGGATTCTTCGAAGGGAGATATCGCTGGGAGATACCAATTTGCACTAGAGGTTTCTGGCCCCAGAACGGGCAGATATCCTAGTCAGCCTCTTTTGGACCGTTATCTTTGCACCGAATAACCATAATAACTTTTGCCAAACGCGGGCAAATCCCACATAAGGGAATGGTTTCTGTGACAAAGGACATATTTCAAGATTTGTCTAACAACTCTCAAACATAGCCGCCTATTACGATGAAGTGTTATTTCAATCCATAAAAGATACTTGTCCGCATATTAAACACGAGAACTCGCCCGCTACGTAGTATACTTGAATGCCTTTTGCTGGAAGTCAGTTTTATCAGCAAATGCATCCATCAAGTCCCCATCGGCTCGATCTTCCTCAGGGCCAACCCCAACTGTAGCTCGGCGATTCAAGTTGTGCGCAATGGCCCAGTAGACTGCCATCAGCAGAACGCAGACGCAATAGCAAGCCAGCATGGCAACAAATCCCCCCTGTGTATTCTGGTGCTTGATTTGCTCGAAATGTCTGCGGGCCGATGAGGTTCCCCACGGCATACCCAATATAGAGAATGGAATACTGTACGGTCTTCTTGGTATTACCCGCCGTATTAGCCTGAGCCATGGATATTCCCACAACGTACGGACCGAAGTATGTGTATAACTTTAGAGAAATGATTAGTCGGTTGTATAGTGCTAAGCTGGAACCTGAACTCACCAGATATATGCCAACCATCTGACCACCCAGGTTCGTTCGCGGTAAGCTGTAGACCAGGATGGCACCAATTATAGGGACACAAGATGCTAACATAGTAACCAGACAGCGACGGTTGGTCCACTTAGCCGCGATCCAAGAGAAGCAGAATGCCGACAGGGTAGACATCACACCAGTCGGCATGTTCAGCAGGGAGGTAATCACGGGAGAGAAGCCTAGGTTGTTGATGATGATGCCGCTGAAGGTTGTGAGACCCCCGTTGGGTATGTTGATGGCGATGTTGAAGAAAAATAGAACCCAAGTCTTCGGATCAATAGCCGCCTCCAGAGCCTGATCCCACTTCCATTGTCGGTTTGTGATCCCGGTTTTGTTCTCGGCCAGGCGCTGGACAGCATGGTACTTCTCTCTATCGTTGAGGAAAAACGCATTCATAGGAGAGTCCGGGAGGAAGATCAAAGCGATGATAGACCACAGTGTCGAAATAGAGCCTATTGACAAAGTCAGAAAGAACAAGTGTAAATTTATCCAGGCTAGACGTACCTGTGATCAGAAAAAGGTATTGCCAAATAGAAAGTGCTGCACTAGAAGGAATGTGACCGACCGCCCACGACAGGAAGCCGTTGACTATAGAACTTGCTGCCGCAAATACCAAGGCATTTCGAGGGGGCTGCTCAGACTTTTTATAGAACCCAGCGACGATCAGAGAAATTGATGGAACAATGATCGCCTCCAAACAACCTAAACACCTTATCAGTGCCATTATCCAAGCCGGATCATCACAACTTACCTACCCATAAAGAATCTCAAAGCCATTAGTCCGCTCCATTTACGAGAGACCGGCATGAGAAGTGCCATGACTGACCAGCCTAACGAGCATGCAGATAGGTATTTGGCAGAGGGCAGTCTGTGGACCAGGTACGTGGATGGCCACATGCCAACAATGGCCTGCCACTAGATTAGAAAAGATGCAACCACCGCTGAGACGTTACGTACTCCGAGAGATAAGATGGATCCAGCCCAAGAATATTGTTGACCCACAAGATGAAGGTCATCCTTGAGGCCATAGATGGCTGCAGTGCTGATAGCGACCTTATCAACAGCACCCAAAGTAGCGGTCATAAAGAGCTAAGAACGGATTAGCTTGCTCGCGTGCCCTAAGAGGGGACAGGCAATATACCATTGGCAGAAGGATCCAATCCATCTTGCGTACCATCTTCTTCTCTTCTTCCGGGGACAAAGGTGCAAAGCCAGTGCTATGAGCAAGGTACTCTGCTGCCTCATCCATTGCCCTGGAGATACCCTGCTTCTCTACTTCCGGTGTCTCGACAGAAACATTGCCTTTCTGCTCTGCCATTGTGAAGGAACTTGAAGAGCGAACGATATAATTAACTGAGGAAGAAAATGGCGACCAGCAACAAACAGACTCAAGACTGCTCTTATAAAGTCCAAGCAAACTTTCCCCGCCAATGTCGTGAACCTTCGATAAAAGGTGGCCAGTGGGGAGGCCCAGTTATAGATATCGGCTCTTGAGGCCATTGGTGAAGCGTCTGGCTGATACCGTGTCGACCTTCCCCCGGAGAAAACTAAGGAACAAAATAGAGTTTGTGGGGAGACCCACTTGAGTACATACTCCGGGGTCTCCAACCTTGGAAGGCGACTGGGCCGTATCGACCTTCCTCGGCACTCGCAGGGCCCGAATAAACTTTCCAACTCAGCTACCGTGACGACCTTACTCTTTCATCAACGAGATGTACCGTCGCAATCCACTTGCAGTTATAAATTTGGTTCAAATCCCAAAGGAACCCAAGATGCAGGGGCAAAACAATTTTCCATTTTCTTCCAATCTTCCAATATGACAGTTACGAAGCCGACGGTCGGAGGCGTCAGGATCGCCATTGGTACGGACTTCAAAGATGCTCGTACAAACAAAATCCTACACAAGCGCTAATTATGCTCCCTTATTCTCTTAGATCGCGGAGGCACATTCACTGATGTGTGGGCGAGTCTGCCGGGAAAGCCTGACGTCGTTCTAAAGCTGTTGTCTGTTGACCCTGGTAATTATGATGATGCGCCAACTGAGGGTAAGAAAATATGGCTCATAACGGAGCGTTCGAGAAATCCAGCTGATAAGCTATTATAAAGGTATCCGACGCGTCCTCTCGCTGTACCAAGGACGGGAAATACCCCGCGGGGTTCCTCTTCCGAAAGATGATCTAGAATTTATCCGAATGGGAACAACAGTAGCGACGAATGCCTTGCTTGAAAGGAAAGGAACCAAACATGCCTTTCTCGTCACGAAGGGCTTTCGCGACTTGTTGAAAATCGGCTATCAATCCCGACCGCGCCTCTTTGATCTAAACATCGTTAAACCCGATGTCTTGTACGCCGATGCCAGGGAAATTGACGAGAGAGTGACAATTGAGGGGTTTGATGAAGACTTGGATGGTTTGTTCAAGTCGGACAACGAGATACCAGGAGTGCTCGTGAGGGGCTCGAGTGGTGACATGATCCGCATCTTGAAGCCTCTCGATGAAGCTGTTGTGAGACAAACACTTCGAGAGCTACGATCTCAAGGCTATGATACTGTTGCAGTGTGCTTGGCACATTCCTATGTTTTCCCAGCCCACGAAAACCGAATCGAAGAATTGGCTCTAGAGGAAGGCTTCACCCATGTGTCGTGTTCGTCTTCCGTGGCAGCCAAGATGATCAAGATGGTGCCCCGTGGAGGCTCTTCGTCAGCTGATGCGTATCTCACCCCTGAGATCAAGAATTATCTTAGCGGATTCTCAAAAGGATTCCAAGATGGAAATTTGGATGGTGTGCGTTGTGACTTCATGCAGTCAGACGGTGGTCTTGTAAGTCACGACCGTTTCAGTGGCCTCCGAGGTATTCTTAGTGGACCTGCAGGTAAGACTAGACCTACAACTATGATTAAAGGAGATTAGACTGATAATAAGCAGGCGGTGTTGTGGGCTATGCTCGCACATCTTACGACGATCACACAAAGACCCCAGTTGTTGGTTTTGACATGGGAGGAACCTCGACTGATGTTTCTCGGTACGGCGGAAATTTCGAACATGTCTTCGAGAGTAATACCGCTGGTGTTACTATCCAGAGTCCGCAGCTTGATATCAACACCGTTGCCGCTGGAGGTGGTTCCATATTGTTCTGGCGAAATGGTCTATTCATAGTAGGCCCTGAAAGTGCTTCATCGCATCCAGGCCCTGCATGTTATCGAAAGGGAGGTCCTTTGACAGTAACGGACGCCAATCTATTCCTAGGAAGACTCATTCCTCATTTCTTTCCTAAGATTTTCGGTGAGAATGAAAATCAGCCACTTGATGTGGAGATAGTGAAGAGGAAATTCATCGAGCTGACCGACGAGATCAACCGTGATACTGGAAAATCACTCTCTCCCGAAGAGGTTGCCTGTGGTTTTCTTGATGTTGCCAACGAAGCCATGTGTCGACCCATTCGGGCGCTGACTGAGGGTAAAGGATATGACATTGGTATGTGCGATTCAAAATCCCTTTGTGGATCTTATTCTAACACATAATAGCGAATCATAATCTTGCTGTTTTCGGAGGTGCAGGTGGTCAGCATGCTTGTGATATTGCCAGAACACTCAAGATATCCACAATAGTCATCCACAAGCTCTCAAGCATCTTGTCCGCATACGGTAAGACGCTTACCGTTAGATGGTTTATGGTGTGTACTAATATTCCAAAGGCATGGCGCTTGCAGACGTAGTTCAAGAAGCACAGGAGCCTGTTAATGAGAGATACAACGAGACGTCTCGTGGTCGGCTGGAAGAACGGCTTTCTAAGCTTGGAACCGTTGTCCAGGAACGACTGATGAGACAAGGCATACGAGAAAAGAGTATAACATGCGAGATGTATCTCAACATGAGATACCAGGGTACAGAAACCTCGATCATGGTCCTCAAACCTGCCGACGGTGACTTCAAGAACGAGTTCAAGAAGATCCATCTGCGAGAGTTCTCCTTCGCCTTTCCCGACGAAAAGGCAATCTATGTCGACGATGTGCGTGTCCGGGGCATAGGTGCAAGTGAGAGAGAAGACTGGGAGGGAGAACAACTTGGAGAACAATTGCGCACTTTGAACTTCCAACCTGCCTCTTCGAAATTGGTGGAGCGTATGGTAAGTACTCCTTGGACTACCCATCATTATACCCATTCCTCATTGTTGTAGGTCCCCGTTTATTTCCAGAAAACCGGGTACAAGCAAACCCCCCGTGCTGGTGCTCGAGAGTTTGGCGCCGGGTCTATCAATTGATGGACCCGCTGTGATCATTGACCAGACCCAAACACTTGTTGTGGTGCCGGGTGCTGTAGCCAAGGTCCTCCGCTCCCATGTTATCATTGACATTACTTCTACTTCCACTGCGACTATTGAGCAACCAACTGTGGTCGATCACATCCAGCTATCTGTTTTTGGGCATCGCTTTATGAGTATCGCGGAGCAGATGGGTCGTGCTCTACAGAAAACAGCAGTTTCTCTAAATATCAAAGAGCGACTTGATTTCTCTTGCGCTCTATTTGGACCTCAAGGTACGCATCTATTACAATTTATGTGTTGAAACCAACTGACATGATAATTCGAAGGTGATCTGGTTGCCAATGCTCCTCATGTGCCTGTTCATTTAGGGTCTATGAGCTACGCAGTCAAGTACCAACATGAACTGCACAAAGGCAAGCTATCACAAGGGGACGTCCTGGTAGCCAACCATCCGGAATCTGGAGGCAGTCACCTTCCAGACATAACCGTCATTACTCCGATCTTTGAAAAGACAGGCTCGACCGTGGCTTTCTACGTTGCCTCAAGGGGCCACCATACGGACATTGGCGGACTGGGTGGTACATCAATGCCACCTAATTCCACCGAGCTCTGGCAAGAGGGAGCAGCTATCCGGTCCTTTAGATTGATCCATGGGGGGAGTTTTCGACGAGAAAGGTATCACTGACATACTCTTGAGCCCAGGCGAGTACCCAGGTTGTACCGGGAGTAGGCACGTCCAAGACAACATCTCAGACCTGAAGGCCCAGGTTGCAGCAAATCATAAAGGCATGGTGCTGGTTCAGGCTCTCATTGAGGAATACACTCTACCTGTGGTGCAAATGTACATGGGGGCCATCCAGTCCAATGCGGAGCTGGCTGTGCGTTCCTATCTTCTTGATACACTCTCCAGATTCGGGCCCCATCTATCAGCCGTCGACCAAATGGACAACGGAACGTTAGTCAAACTCACTGTGGATATATCCAAAGATGGCTCGGCAACCTTCGACTTCACCGGCACAGGGGTCGAAATGCTAAGCAACATCAACGCACCGCCAGCAATCACCCACTCAGCAATAATCTACACTCTTCGTCTCCTTATCGGCACCGACATCCCACTAAACCAAGGCTGCTTATCGCCGATCAATGTGATCATCCCGAAAGGAAGCTTCCTCAACCCGTCAGCTGGGCCCGCCGTCTGTGCTGGTAACACGCAGACCTCGCAGCGCGTGGTCGATGTGATCCTACGCACTTTCCGTGCTGCTGCCGCCTCACACGGGTGCATGAACTGCATTGGGTTCTTCGGGGAGGGCGGCACCACCAGCACCGGTCAGAAGCTTCAAGGCTACGCGTATGCATTTGGCGAGACAATTTGCGGCGGCTCTGGTGCCACGGCGGCGCAAGACGGCGCGTCAGGTGTGCATACCCATATGACAAACACGCGCATCACAGACGTGGAGAGCCTTGAGAAACGGTATCCGGTCATTCTGCGCGAGTTTGCTATCCGTGAAGGGACAGGTGGCAAAGGGTATCATCATGGTGGAAATGGTGTGGTCCGCGATATCGAATGCCGGGCTCCCCTGAGTTTCAGCGTTATAACAGAACGCCGAAGTGTGCCTCCATACGGAATGGAGGGTGGGGATGATGGTGAGCGTGGCGCGAACTACTGGGTGAGGAAGGTGCAGAATGAGCATGGGGCCGATGAGTGGCGCTGGGTTAATATGGGATCGAAGAATATGGTCCGCATGCAGGCGGGAGATCGATGTGTGGTTCATACGCCTGGAGGAGGTGGATGGGGCTTTACTGGGGCAGCTGGGGACTCCACTGGGCATGTCGAGGGCCGGGGCCAGAATACCTTGGTCGGATATCCAAGAGCATCCGGCAGTGTGAGCGCCTATGATACTGCTCAGCAAGCATCAAACTAGATATCCCATTAGATAATCACATTGAGAGAAGTTTATCAAAGTTTGTAATACCAGCTCTCTCTGCAATACCAGCAAGCTGGCCGGCAGGCCGATTTTACATCCTGACAGTATTGGTTGGTGGGATACGACGCATCCCATTTTGAATTCGTGAGTGCGTCCTATTTAGGTTTTACGGACAACTATAAAGACTCTATGAAAGGGTTGTGTGTTCTATAAGCCTATTAGTTGCTCTGGAAGGGTTCAAGGGGGAGTTCGGCTTTGAACCGGATCGTGTGGTGGCTACTATATGCATACGTATGTACATAAAAATCCATAAGTCCTAGCCGAGTATGTAATATTACCTAGCACATGAATCCAGCCCACAGTGGACAGAAGAATAGAGAATGAAAAGGCAGATATGAGATGAAATGAGATCAAGTTGCCAAGAAAGTCCTACGGAATCACATTGAAGTCCATGTTGAAATACGAAATGTGATTGGAAGGTTGGCAAAGTCAGAATCTAGAAACCAAGGAAATTATGGAGGGCACTATTTGCTGAGTGCGTATATAATGATAAAATCAAAACTGGAGACAAAGTACCTAATAATATAAGAACCAGTCACTTCTCGAAGTGGAAGCATCACCGTGAGCATTGCTACATAGAAATAGTCGAATGCTCTTGCTATTGCTACATGGATTAATGAACCTTGTTACTGGGAGTCCTAGAATGTAAGGGAGATAATTTATATTGAGGTATAAAGTGATCACAGAATGAGTGACAACTTTCATAATAAAAGTAAGCGAGACGACGGAATGACTGAAATTCTACAAGTAGATGAGTTTTTTGGCTTGTTTTTCATTTCCTTTCCTGGAAAAGTGGAATGGTTGAAATCAATGTAGAAAAAGACAATAATAGTTTACCGAGGACGAATTCTGGGATTCCTATGAAGTCCCGTAGAGTTAGGTCCTGTTGGCGAAACAGACGAAACAGGTGAAATCGATGAAACAGGTGAACCAGATGAACCAGGGGAAACTGGAGAAACTGGCTCAGAGTCAGGCTCAAACTCAGGCACAGGTCGTGGGGGCAAACCAGGGGGATAAGGACCCGGAACAGGCCGGTTATAAGCCAAATAAGTATCAACAGGAGGAGGAGGGCGACGCCGCACCGGAATCCGCGAGTTCATACGAGCCATACGAGCGGCAGGCGGGATCTGGAGAGCATTGACATAGGGTTCTGGCGCGGAATCCTCAGCGTGGGAAATGGTCACAGGGAATTGGACAACCAAATCCCAAAGGAATGACTGGGCCTCGAGATGGTGGGCAATATCAGTGGGGTTCCTGTAGCGCAAGAATTCAGCAATCAGCATGTTCAAAGTGTCAGCGGTATAAATACAGGCCCAATCAAACTCGGACATCGGGTCCTGTCCGGGGCGATCGAGCAGAACCGTGAAGAATCCATTAGGTACAACACGCACAAGCTCATTTGTCGGACAATCAATAGCCATCATCTGCCCGGCTCGTTTAAGCTGTTCCAATGACAGATGCAGCTGATCTACTCTATCACGGAGTTCGTCCTGGGTCGATAAGCCATTGTTCAGGAGGTCGTCAATGAGCTGCTGGCAGAGCGCTTGGAATCCAGTGCGTGTAGTCTGAAAGAGCCGGGACGAAGTGTTATCTAGCATCACTGGCATAGCTTCTCACCTATACCCGAAGCCGAAGCACGGGATTATTATGATGAGTTGTGGTAACAATGGTCAGGGAAGACGAATTCCTAACTCGAAAGCCAGCTAGGGTGGGTTGTCAAGAACGGCTCAACTTGATGGGACATGTATGATGGCCGGATAAGGCCTATTTATATTATTTCTCGGACGCTCTTTCTAAGATGAGGTTATTATTGTGAATGATAAGTAAAAAGGGAGCCAAAGTCAACAAGGACAACAAAGGCGAGAAAGGAAACACATCGAACAAGGAGATCAGGAAGATAATGGCCTTGTTGAGGTTCTTTGTTACTGAGGCTGGCTATCAGAACATACTAGGCAAGGGTGCAACAAAACGTTGGAGAACTATTAAGGCAGTATATATCTATAGCCGTGGACAAAATTACAACATAAGCCTTTCTAGCCATAGACAACGATGTCCAAATAAATTATGTATTGAGAATAGACTCCAAAAGTAGCGACTTTACAGCAAAATCAACCAAAGTGCAAACAAAGCAACATTATTCCTCCAAGGGTATCAGCGTAAGTCGTAGTTTGTTGACATCCAAATCATGAGGAGAAACGCGACAGGAAAAGAAGACAAGGAAACAAGAAAGCAACGTCATTAGAGACCGACGTCACTGGTACTGTGCTGAGCACGATGCACAAGGGTAGTGCACAGACGTGGTCGTGAACAATGTACAGCTATTGATGTCTGCTTGCGGATCTGGCGCTATTATCTAGACGGCGGAACGACCCCAGCGGCGGCGACTGTGCAGTATGTCAGTATCAATCGATCAAAACATGTTTTAAGGTGCGCATTGGCAACTTACACTCCATCAGAGTTGTTATTGCGGACTCGGAAGGTGAACCAGATGCCCTGAAGACTTGTTAGTACTTAATTATATGTATTGGAGGAACCCATCACATACCACGATAGCAGAAACAAGCCAGACAATAGCGGAAAGGAAGCTGAAGGCCTCAGCAGCCTTCCACCGGCCACACGTCTGGTCTCCTCTAAAGTGCCAGGACCAGATGCTGCCACATGGCAAGTGGCGGATGGTGTCGACGAGGACACCGAACGCAGCGAACCAAGCAAATGAGATAAGGATGTCCACTAGATTCCAGTAAGCATTGCTCTATGTTCACCAGATAGTATGCCAAGCACTTACTAGGCCAGGAGAAGAATCCGGACGAGAATGGGATTAGCCATATAAGGCCCAGTAATATCGACAAGCCGGCGATTACTTCAGTATAGATCCAGCGCGACTGGGGCCACCAGTTAACATCTACGCCGCTGTTGTTAACCTCGGCCAGGTAGTGTCCGATGACACCTGCGACGACCTAAACGAGAGTTAGATGTGGTTTATAGTTGGTGTAGACTGGTTACTCACAGCTGCAAAGGCGATCTCCGCAACGCGGAGGATGATAGACGCAAGGCGCGAAATGACGGGCATTGTTAAGATGTTGTCAAATCAATGAGCTGTTTGATAGACCCGAGGGGTGTGATTGTATAAGGAGATAATATGTGAAGATCGAGAAGGTGTAGCGTGGATGAGAGGTATGGGCTGGGGAACAAGAGAAGCTATATAACTGAGAGGTCGCACAGGCAAGCAAACTGCGAGAGGAAGCGACAGAGTATTTTAAGCAAGGGACGAACGTGAAAACCCAATAAACAGAAAAAAAAATTTTCAATTAAAAAGAACCTAAAAACAAAGCACCTCTTGCATTAGGCACGACCAATAGAGTCAATCTAAGCCTCCTAGTGTCGTCAGATCAGTTCCATATAGAGCAGTTCCTTTCCAACATGCCAAAGGTCACTATTGGTCAAGTGTACCGTGAACAAAACGTGCCCAACCGTTTCCCACTTTTCGTGGCGGATTGACCGCTGATGTTGTGGCTGAATGCTCATCAACAACCCGATCGGAGCAAGGAGTGGGCCTATGGGCTGTGAGGAATAAAGGCGTACAGGTACTGCATAGCCCTGGAAGTATTCGAATAGTACGGAGTACTGCTGCCTCCGTATCATCCCTGCCTTCCCCAGAACCAGCCTCCCATGCTCTAAAAAAATGTCCTTGGCGTTGAGTATGGGCTCTGTGCTGGATGATATACGTGGCTTGCTTTTCGAGTGACTGCCGATCCCATCGACTATTGGCGATAGCTCTGATTTGAACCAGAATTGGGTTGTCTCCACCCAGGGCGATCATTTGTTGCTGTGTGACAGGTGCATGTTGTTTTCTAGGCATACAACATACGAAATGCCGACAGGGGAGATCCGGTTTGAAGCGAAGAGAACTTGACACATCTGACGACACTTGACATCATGTTTAACCTGTCAACTGACTGCTCTTTCTCCAGCCCTGTCTCTCAGCCCTATGACGTGGGGCCACGGAGTGGAACTCGAATTTGTGTAGTTTTGCCCTTATGGTCTCTTATAAGGATTATGTATGATTTATTCTGCATTGTGTTGGTTAAAAAGTTACTTCTAAAATTACCACATGGTAGTATTTCATGTTGACAAGTGGAGAATAGAATAGCAGAACTACCTAGGTAGGCAGCATAGCAAAACCTCGAAATGTTCATGCAGGAAGAGCCTAGAAACATACAGGCGATGCGAAGTTTAACAATCTGAGCTAATAGTGGGCCGTTGATACTATGAATAGCAAGAGGAGCAAGGGAAGAATGAGGCATATCCACTTTGGAAAGGCCAAGAGGGAAGGTCAAATTCGAAATAATGCTGCCTATATTGTACATACAACATCCCCCAAAAAAAAAAAAGAAAATTACATATACACAGTCACCTCCCATCCATAACACCTAAGACAAAATAAAGTATCAACTATTACAATATTTTCGGCAAGACAAGAATACTACGTATTCTTCCGATCCAAGTGCCATGCCATCACATCGCGGAATATCCCCTTGGAACCAGTCTCAATAGTATCGCCATGGCAGGGAATCAAACGATCAAAGTCCCACTGATCAATCCTTCTCATAGACTCATTGAACGCTGTCCGATCCTGTGCCGAGAGAATATACCACGCAAACCGTCTCTGCCATGTAGCCGGCGGCTTGGTGGACATCAACGGCAGAAGAAGCTTTGTGAGGAAATTAGTCCCTGATGCTTCAGGGCTCTTGGAATACTGCTCCTTAGCAGGCAGGTTGAAGAGTAGATCCGCCTCGATGACCGTGCGCGTGGGCTTATGCAGAAACACCAGCTCGCGCGATCCGTGGCCATATACATATTCGCTCTCAAACTCGGTATCGAACTCCTTCGAGATCGACCGCGGCAGTTGATCTTCCTTCTTGAATACGTGTTTGAACGGGGTATCCTGATACTCCGGGTTCGATTGCCGCTTCTCGACAAGACCCTCCGGGCTAAGATCTCTGCTTGCGGGTACGCCTTCTTCCATGGGGTGAGGTTGAGGTGGTGTTCAAGATCTGGCGCCGCGATGTATTTGACGTTCCCGCCGAGAGACTCGACTGTCTCGCGGACTTCGGGCGTTAGGCCGACGGGCGAGAATACTGCGAGGGAGCCAGTGGCAAGCTTGACTGTCGTATGCAAGGAGAGTTAGCACTGAATCTTAAATCAACTGGAGGGTCTCCGTGGGCTTGACAGGACTGCACATCTTGCCTGTCCCCCAGGGTATTATGCGCCTTGTAGGTGGGTTCTGTAAGGGTCGGCACTCACCCAGCGTCCCTCGCCCGCCAAACTGCAAGTGTCCGAACCGTGCGAATGGCAGACTCATGGTCACAATTTCTGGCGTCACATGGCGGATTACCATGGTCGCGGAAGGGTTGGCTGGAAAGAGCTGTGGCATGTTGGCGCCTTTTGCTTTTTTCTTGTGATTTTTGAGTTCGAGAGCTGTAAGGCGTTGGATGTCTCAGTTGATCCGTCTTCGACAGATATATTTTAGAGCTCGCGCATTAACAGGCCAATGAAATGTTTCGATTATAAAATAGTAAATGATTGAAGAGCAGCTCTCGAGGTTTAAGAAGTCTGTTTGGGAAGAAAGTGGCCAGACTTGGGATGACGTATAACATGCTTATCTCTCCAGGGCTCCACTTTGGATCGAGGCTGACCGGATTTATCATCTTGCGACACCTCGGGAACTGTACTTTATACTTACCTAGGTAGGTGTACATGTATACATGTGCATCATATTTATGTATCTGTACATAACCTCGGAAAAGAGACCTCGGTACTATCCACCTAATCCATTGAGGATTTTCCAATTTGTGTCTTTAGGCGTAATACTCTGGCTTGTATGTATAGAATTGACTAGCATATTCACAGCAAAAAGCTAAATTATTAAATTTACCTAGTAACGCAAGCCAAAAAGGTCAAGGGGTATCTTGCAAAGCACACACTCGTGGAATCGTGTCTTCGGAAGAAACTCAGGCATACCAACTTGTGCTAGTCGCTTGCTCTTCCTCTTTGCGGTGGGGGATGATAGACTTTTCAATCTTGAACACCTCGATAAGTTCGGACCACGTTTCATAGTCCAGGCTAAAGACCGCCTGGTGCTTTTGTACGCCCTTTTTCTGGGCTTCACTGGGGGCGAATGGCGCAGCTGCATCTGTCCAATTATTAGTGCTTTATCAACCTGCTATGTTGGAAAATTACTCACGCAGGGTCGGCAAATCCCGACTATCTGTTGATACACCCACCGTGCCGTCTCGCACAAGGAAACTCACGTAGAACAAGTTTTCCACGCTTTGCCCGAAAGATTTCGGATTGATACAGAAGCGAAACAAGGGGATTCCGCCGTTGTCCGCCACTTTGTGCTTAGCCATGATTTCTTGCACCTTCTCTGGAGTAAGATCTGCTCGGCTTTCAAGCTCTTTCGTGGCACTATACTCACCAGCTTCCTGGGTTTCCGCGAGCAGCTTGTTTATCTCAGAACAGATCTGGGTCAAATTTGTGCTGTCCTGTCCGGCAAGATCCTGCTGTGCCATTTCTCGGGGCGCCACGGCTTGCTCGGGATTAATCTGCTCTTGTGCTCTTCGCTGTGTCAATTGCCGCGTACGCTTCTGTACTGACAGCGGCCCCAGCAGCCATCCAGACACGGCAGGGCGAGCATTGCTAGGAAAGCAGGCAGATCGACCAAGCGTGTCCCAGTTCATCGCATCGCCATCGTCTTCGTCACTAGCATCGGGATCTCTTTGGCTTCGACCGAGGCGCCCTCTGCGTCCCTGTGTCCCATTTGTTGAAGCGGTCGCATTGTTTGGTCCGCGGCGCATGAATGATACACACTTGGAGACGAACTCGTCTACATCGATACCGGCAGAGGTGTCACCGAGAGCGAGCTGGGTGGCTTTTTTGTGGGTTAAATCGGCGGTGTTAACGAGGATGCGCGAATCGAGCGTGGCATCTGCGGTCTGCTTCACTTTGGCGTAGAATTGATTGGCTTGTTCGACAATGTTGAGGATACCATTGTTTCCAGGCTGCATGAGCTCGCCTCGTGTATCTTTGTGAAACCTGTTAGAGAACCATCACTCAAGTCTCAGGTCCATACAAAGTAACTTACCATTCAGTTCCCTGCCCAGGTCTCTAAGTCCTCTGCGGACACTTCTCCGTTCTTCTGGATCCTGATCAGGGTCATAGTATCGCGTGTCGCTGCTGGTTCGCTGAGACGATGCTTGCGACTGCGCAGATCGGGCAGACTGAGCAGATCGGGCAGATTGCGTAGATTGGCCCGACTGGACATTCGAAGGGCGGTCGGCTAGCCGCCGTCGTTTACCCTGTGCAGGCGGTGGCATCACAGCAGTAGTTCTTTTATTGATACTTTGGCGACGATTTTCTTTATCGGAAGTAAATGTGTCGGTTGATGATGTTGATGTTGGGCGGGAACCTGGGGTGTTTGCTTCATCCAGGTGTGTGTGAATGAGAGGTGCCATACTCGACGAGCGCTTGTTAGTGCGAGATGAGATATGAGTTGTAACAAAGAAAATTCAACAAAGAAAAAGGAGACGACTAAGCATGTACGACTAGACAGAGTAGGCAAATTTAGACAAAGAGTATACCTCGAGAAACACGCTGTTCCCTTAAAAAAAAAAGATGTGCGACTACATTCAATGATCGCGAACACCCTTGTCGCGTCGCGTAGACTTTGCACGTGACACCCCGCGCCGGTTGCTTATCGGCCATGACGCAGCGACCTGTTGCTCTCTCTAAACGGGGAGCAGAGATGGAAGCCTTCACCTTTGCCGTGACCACTCAAGTGGACATACCTATACGCATCAAGATGTACGTTCTCCGTTTCTAGGAATTGAGTTTCTTCTCACGTTGACTCATCTGCAGTGGCTCGTTAGAGGGGAAACAGAAGCCGATCCCATACACGGTTCTTGATGAGAACGCCGAGCTACGCCATATCGCCTCTGTCCAAGACCCTACCTCCGATCTTTATGTGACCGTTCAGCTATGGTCGGAGTCGAAGCCATTGGGCGTGCCCATGAAGACCAAATACAAGGCATTCAAGACCACCCGAGTATGGAATGAATGGCTGGAGATGCCCATGTCCATCAAGGATGCCGAGCGTAATGCTCAGCTGGCAATTACCATTGTTGATATGTCTCCACTCGCTGCCGACAGGATCACACATATCCCATTCGGTGGAACTACAATCACTTTGTTTGACGAAGACGGAAAATTGAAGATGGGCAGACAAAAGTGCAAGGTTTATTTACACAAGGACGCAGACGGCTCTGCCGCAACCTCCACTCCATCTGTTTTACCACCCAAGCGTCGTAAACCGAATACCCGCGATCCTTCACAGCAGTCACCTGAAGAGGCGGAACTGGAACGGGTCGAAATCTTAATCAAGAAACACGAGATGGGCGAAATCCCACGTGTTGACTGGATGGATCAATTGCTCTTTCGGGAGTTGGAGAAACTGAAGACGAACGCGGATGAAGCAGCTCAAAAGCGTGCCCTTGAGCTTGATGCAGCCCTGCAAAAAGATCCGAAACACCTCAAAGATCAGGATGATAGCTCTGACGAAGAGAACCTCGAAGATGAGTATTTTGACCTTTACGTTGAATTTCCACGCTTTGATCATCCTATTGTGTGGGCTGATCACGAGTATCCTCCTCCGCCCATTTCCTCTTGGTCCCAAAATGCACCTCCCACCCCAACGGTACTCTCAAGCCAGTCCCGGAGGTACAATATGGACCTGGAATCTCACACGCCGACCCCCATAATATCATTCAAATTTACGATCCGGAAGTTGGCCAAATCGGAAACCCGTGTGAAGATAAGCACCGGCGGTTGATCCGAAGCCATCGCACCGGCATCATGGATCGTGACCTGAAGCCCAACCCAAAGATCAGAGATGATCTCAACATGATTATTTCCTACGAACCGACGCAAGACCTCACTGCTGAAGAGAAGGATCTCGTGTGGCGCTTCAGGTATCACCTTACACGGGAGAAGAAGGCATTGACAAAATTTGTCAAATCAGTCAACTGGCGTGATGTCGGAGAGTCGCGGCAAGCTGTTGAAATGTTCCCTAAATGGACCGAGATTGACGTCGATGACGCTCTGGAGATTCTGGGTCCTACTTTCGATAATCCGGCGGTCCGTTCGTATGCTGTGGAAACACTACGAAAGGCAGATGACGAGGAGTTGCTTCTTTATCTTCTGCAATTGGTGCAAGCTCTAAAATATGACGCAACTCCGGATAACCAACCTGATGCGGCTCCGCAGGAGTCCTCGCTTGCACATTTCTTGATTTCCCGTGCGGCTAATAACTTCAAACTGGGCAACTACCTACACTGGTATCTCATGGTCGAATTCGATGACGCTGATGCAATTCAGCGTCGGCTATTTGCGCGGGTTGAATACTACTTCATGCTTGAACTGGAGAAGATTCATCCTGAGCATAGAAAGACACTATTGCATCAAGGTGAAATGGTGGCCGTGCTCTCTAAAATAGCCAAGGATGTACGCTTCGCGCGCGAAAATAGAGTCGGCAAGATTGAGATGCTGAAGAAATACCTCCGTGACCCTGATAACGATCTGATCAACATAGATCCACCGCTGCCCTTACCTTTGAATCCCGATGTTTCAGTCGTTGGGTTATACCCCGAGGAATCCAATGTCTTCAAGTCCACTCTTTCCCCTTTGCTTATCACATTCAAGACTTCTGAAGGTCGTCGTTATCCGATGCTGTTCAAAGTCGGTGATGATCTTCGCCAGGACCAATTGGTTATCCAAATCATCATCTTGATGGATCGCCTTCTGCAGAAGGAGAACCTTGACCTAAAACTGACTCCTTATCGAATTCTTGCCACCAGCGCAACAGCCGGCGCTGTGCAGTTCATCCCCTCGATTTCTCTCTCTGCGGCGTCTGCCAAGTACAAATCGATTCTTGCCTATCTACAGGCCAACAATCCAGACGACAATGAACCTCTCGGCGTCCGAAAAGAAACAATGGATACATACATAAAATCATGTGCAGGATACTGCGTCATCACATATCTCCTCGGCGTTGGCGACCGACATCTTGAAAATCTACTTCTAGCGCCAGATGGCCACTTCTTCCACGCCGACTTCGGCTTCATCCTCGGCCGTGATCCAAAACCTTTCGCACCCATGATGAAACTTTGCAAAGAAATGGTTGAAGGCATGGGCGGCACAACTTCGCCCCACTATCTGCAATTCAAACAGTACTGCTACACTGCTTACACCACGCTACGCAAATCCGCCAATCTGATTCTTAACCTCTTCAGTTTGATGGTGGATGCCAATATCCCTGATATTCGAGTCGAGCCTGACAAAGCCGTCCTGAAAGTGAAGGAGCGCTTCCATCTTGAAATGACCGAGGAAGAAGCCATCCGTCACTTTGAGCAACTTATTGCAGATAGCGTCAATGCTATCTTCGGTGTTGTGATTGACCGCTTGCACGATTTCGTGCAGGGCTGGCGGGCATAACTCTGTTACTTTCAAGCTTTAGTGCTTCTTTGGATGCGTACTCGAAACTCTCAAGGCACCCCCGTGCCGGTGTTGTATGCACTTTGTCCTTTTTTCCGTTCCAGACCGCAGGAACTGAGGCGTTTTGGGAACGAAGTTATGGTAACGGGCATTTGCTTCTGTTTTCACGAACCGCGGCGTAATATGAAGGGCTTATAAAAAGCCAGGATACCCAACCTAGATTATTTTGTCTGGGTAGCAATGATTTGTTAAAACTTTGGCCCACCTTACTGCATGATATAGATCTAGCCAGACCAAGCCTCACAGGGTAATGTCTAGCGCAATCAGAATTTTCCAGCATATTCCTCTATCTTGGATGGCACTACCAGACCAGTCCTGTAGCCTGCACATTCCCTTGCTGGTAAGTCTGGTCTCAAAGGGGGAAGTATGTTAGTCACAAAAATCCCGTTTTACGGGAATCGCCGCATCCCGGTGGAAGTACACTCCTGTAGCAATTCGTAACACCGCAATTTGGGACTTTAGACCTGTCGGTAGCAGGATAATATAGACGAGAGAACTTCGACCGTTTCCTATTGGTTTGGAAGGCCGTGTCAAGTTCATTCGGAATGCATTGGACGTCTTCCGAGTGACCATCCCGGCATCAACGACGGGCATACCTTTAGCGAGTAATAACTACTCTCCGTCTTTCTTCCGAGACATTTGACAGTAGCAGAAATGTAGTAAACTAGGTGATCAGTTAAACAGTAGCGTGCAAAATGCTCCATTGCGGAAACAGTCCTCTAACATCCCATAGATCGAGCCCAACACCGACACCAATGTATGCTTTTCAGAAAACACGATTGAGTTTCTTCTCGCGGGACTACCCGAGCGTAAGTTGGCTTCCATTCGGTTCTAATTATCGGACCCCTCGGCATAGTCGAAGATCAGTGTTGTGCATGGGTCATTGCCGGGAAATCCTTTCACTGACTGGCTCGGAAGCCCGCCAAAAACGCTCATGTGACGGCACTCGCGGACTTCCCCGTATATATTTCCCGAATTTGAGATTTTCAGCGCGCTGCATGTGGCGAGGAAGAGGGACTAGCTTGCTTGGGCTCTAAAGGTAGTGGGCCGAATGCTTTTTCGAAAGGTATGTATCACCCACGCCCAGACTATATATACATACTTCCCATCTGCATTGGCCATTCCCTACCCACAGCCCGTACAATTTCTAGCCTTTGGCTAACCGGCTTCCCACCAACGCAAAACCAGGTTCTGTCTTATCATAACACTATTAATGGAGCACATTATTAACGTGACCGAGGTCCGAAAGGCCGAAGCTGCATCAGGCCATCCAGTCGAGCCAAGGACACAGGACAAGATTGGCTCTCCGGCGGTCTCCCAATTCAGTCAGGACTACTCTCTGCTCCAACCAAGCACCCCGGAGCCATGCCTACATTCCGGACAGGAGCTCCAGTCTTCTCCTGTTGAAATCCGGAAAATCGCCAATCCTGCTCCCCTAGGCCTATGTGCATTTGCACTCACATCATTCCTCTCGAATTGCATCAACCTCAATGTGGGAGGCATACAGGCAGCTGGTGTCAGTGTTTCTCTTGCCTTGAATTATGGCGGCATAGCGCAGGTGTTGGCTGGCATGTGGTATGTTCTATCAACTCAACCATATAGAGATACCCTTGAAACCCTACGTCATTTTGTGTATTACCCAGAGCTAATAGGAGCAGGGAAATGGCCATTGGAAATACCTTTGGAGCGACATCCTTCTGCTCATACGGTGCCTATTGGATTACTTTTTCTCTGATCTCGACTTTCGATACTGCCGATGCTACAAAGAATATAGCAGACTCAGTATGTCAGAATGAGACATTAATGGGCCTGTTCATGCTGGTAAGCCACTCCCATCAAATCCAGGCACGAGCACATCTACCACATGGTGGGGGGTATCTACTAATAGCATTGTATGTAGGCCTGGTTCATTTTCACTACACTGATGCTCGTATGCACGTTGAGATCTAGCCTTGCAATGTTCTCTCTGTTCTTTTTCCTGGACATGAACTACCTCCTACTCGGCATCTCGCACATTCAATGCAGCTCTCATGGTGAGATGCTTATTGCAGTTCAGAAGGCAGGCGGTGTCTTTGGCCTTTTGGCTGCGTTTTCGGCTTGGTATAATGCCTTCGCTGGTATTTGTGATCACAGTAATGGGTTCTTAACGGTTCCCCTTGGGCACTTTCCTTGGTCTCCGGCTGCTCTTCATCGGGCTAAAGCCAAAGAGGTATGAGTTTGGACTAAGAGCGGCAAAAGTTAATATGTGTCTTCTCGTACGATTTGTCCGTTTGTCCGTTTGCCCGTCGTGGATAGATTTGCGACAGAATAAAAAGTGAAGCTTTTTTGAATCTTGACTGCACTTGATTATTTTGCATTGCTCTATATAAGAAGATTGTATTCTAAAAGTACTAAGTACTAAGCTTCTTGACACAGTCCATCTAGTCAGGAGCTTTGGGATGATTGTACTTTGGAAAGGCCTTATAGTTGCCGGGATTATCAAAACTCAAAAAAATAAAGTTTACCCAAACTTGGATCCTTGGAAGACTCCCATCCTTATTCCGACTCTAGTCGACGGTGCTCACAGTCCAACGGCGCTTGATATCTACAATATAGGTTAATAGCGGGACGAATATTAACGGCATTATCTACTATAGTAGTTGTGCGAATAGCTTTATTTGGATAGGTATTTGAATAGTCATTCTTATTATTAAAGCTAAGATATTATCCATGGCAGATATCGTCGAAAGATTCATGAGAGAAAGAACCATAGCTGTGGTACATAGTACAAACTGAAGGTACTGTTGCGGCATATGGTTACGGCCATGCCATCCTAGATGAATGCCTTAGTGTTAGGCCGACTGAGTCTTTTGCTTGCTTGTTTGCTTGGCCTTCTATAAAAAGCCTTTCCTATATAGATAGTTTGGATGCAACAGATTTCTCTTCTTGATTCTCCCCAGTAGTCAGTTGTTCATCCCTCAACACATATCATGGCTTTGGAAAATTGCTCAACAATTTCGTTTTCCCTCACCCTTCTTTCCCTCTTCTTCCAATTTACTTTCACTTTGCTCTTAACTCAATCTCACTTCTATCATACAACGTGGCGTCCCTTCCAACCGAAACATTGGTACAGATATTTTCATTTTTAGGTGGAAATTACCTCGTCTCTTGCGCCTGTTTTTTGTCAGAGATGGCGGCCAGTCGTGGGGAACCAGTCATTCTTTGACATCCGCCTCAACGAGCATCGTCTGACCCAGTTTCGACAATATTAAGTCTCGTCCATGGCCGATGATGGTTTTCCTTCCGGAAAATCAAGTTTGCAGTGTTGCTTCCCGAGTACGACTCGACAGCACGTGCTGTCCACGAAACCGAAGCAACTCAAGCCTGAAACAATGAAACTTTCACGAAGGCTGTCTCATTTCTTTCGCAAATACTGGCTCAGTGGCCAACTACACGTACCGTGTGGTCCTCAGGCTATCTTCTGAATCACTGGGTGACTTCCATACCCAAAGCCAAGATCAATGGCCGGACCGACTGCTTATGAACCAAAAGTTCCCTGACTGAGACTGGCTCGACGGTAAATATGAGCACTCTTTTCCGGATCCGACAAAAAGCCCAGATATTCCCTTGGTCGCTTTCATCACGGATTTCTTTTGGGATAATAGCACGGCGGCACGATGTGTTTCACCAGCGACATTTTCAATTTGATTGTCCCGCTTGTTACGCCTACAGTCTTTAGGAGCCATATTTCGAGATAATTAGGAGGACAATGGAGCAACTCGAATAAATGGTAAGCGTATCCTTCTTGTTGGATTTCTGAGGACGGTGTTAACATAGTCGGCCTAGAATTTGCGATGACTACCTACGTCGAGTGGGAATGGGCATGGTTAGCCAATGTTTCACAGTTTGGACTACCAATCTTGCGATTTCTCCAGAGCTATCCTCCGAGGGGAAGTACGGAGCTGATTGGCCAAAACTGGTATGTATGTCCATTTCATACCCGAAGGCTATTCCTGCTGGCCAATGGATGTTTGAAAGAGAAGCATCTTGCAGTGGGATGTGACCGGTGGGAAAAAGGTCGGTGCTCAGCCATCAAGTCTCTAATGAGGTCGTTGCTCTGGCCAACCTGGAGAAGTTCATGATGGTTGGAAAGAAATCCGGCGACTTGTATCTGCTGGATCAAAATGACTGTGCATCGTATCCGCCTCATGGACCTTGAATCGGGGGCTCCTCAACACCCGGCCTCGCTGGACTAACGTTTGGATGTGTCGAAAGAAATGAGGCCATGGCTGTCCCAAACTTGAAGTTGTTTGAATGGGTAACGCAGCCAAGGAAAGCCGAGATCCATCTCTCCCAAGAAGCCCAAATGGCTTGGGAGGCTGCCGGGGAAAGCCATGGGGCTGAGGCAATTACAATCGAGGTGTGCTTTATTATTACCCTTTGGATGACCATTCCAGTGCGCTAACAATGAGTTATCAGAATTGCAAGTTCTCACGGAATGTTCCAGGCCCGTTTGAAGATTTTTGAATTGATTTACGCACTGGGTTTACTTAGTATTCGATTTCGCACTTTCTAAGTTACAATATCAGGCGAATCCATGAGGGGCGTCAAATTTCGTCATGGGTGGGTAGATCATCCAGTAGACATGACCGATGGGCGTGGAGTCTAGTAGCCGTCACCTTCGGAGTACGGGGTAAAGTTGAATAACTTTTCATTTTTTCAGTCTCTGGGTTTTCCATATTCCTGACTTGACTGGTTGTCCCATACGGAGTATGAGGCATGAAGGCATTGCGTCTATCTACTGATTTGGCGTGCTCTCATTTCACTAACCAGGTGCCATGCATTATCAGCCTAGAGAAGAAGAAAAGGAACTGTCTCGATACTCACATTGTCATACTATCGTCCACTAAGGACCTTCTACGCCCACGACAGCTACACGGTACAAAATGAACTTTGCTGTGCTGAAAAATCCCCGACGCTGTACGGACCGCCCTATAATCATGTTGGGGGGGGGGGGGGGTCTGATCTTACTATTTCTGTTGTCCCAATCTCTATTTTTAGGGAATATGATATGGCGCACTGGCAGTTGGAGACTGCCGTACATCGTAGAAAGAACTCGCGCTCGGCTGCCAAACGTACCAGTCTCGGAGAACATCAGACTTGCGCCAAATTGTTCGGAGCAGGATTGGCAAAGCCTCTAAGATTGGATAATACCTTTAGTTTATATGTGAATTAGACACGAAAGCTGTGCTCGCAGAAGGAGAAAAGAAAAGGTTCGAACCGGAATGGATGTAACTTAGGGCTCATAGAAGCCCTAAGAGATGAACACTATGGCGGCATAGTCTGCCTCATGGCATCATATGTAGGCACCAAGCCAGAGAATTAGCCTTAAGAAGGCATAAGTTATTCATTATGGTTTATAGAATCCAAGCCCATCGTGAGTAATGTACATTGTTGGAATCATATCGACGTCCATGGGTGGTTCGATTCACGTTGGTCTGACGCTCACCGCCCGCCCTTCCGCCCTGGGCATTTTGACCGTTTTTTTTTTGGTTGCCTTCCGCGGACCAGCTATTTTAATTCTTCGATCATTCAGTCCCTCGAGGCCGATCGTCAACCGCTCCGATTAAGATGAATCACATTTTACCCGACTGAACAACACTCTCCCTTCAACGCGCTGCAATGGCCAAGTTTGTTCCGCGCAATGCATTCCCCCATTATGGGGCCATTCCGAGGTCCTATTTCTTAGGACACCACAGGGCTGGTCTGACCAAGATGAAGAGCATGCTCTCAACTATCGACTACGTTGTCGAGTGTCGTGACTACCGAGCTCCCGTGACTTCAATTAACCCCATATTCGAAGAAGCTTTGGGCAAGATGCGACGCCTGGTCGTCTACACTAAGAGAGATCTGGGAAGCATTCCCCAGTCATCTGCACAGAAAGCAGTAAGTATTCTTTTTGTCTGTCCTGGAAATAGATAATAGGCTGTTGTTGGATATCAGCTAACAACAACCGCAGATAGAACGCAAATTGCAAAGTTTCGATCCAAAGAGCGCCGTGTTCTTCACCAGCTCATCCTCCCGCCAGGATGTCAGCCAGATCATCAAACACCTTCGAAACGACGCTGAAGCTCCCGATAAGTTAGTAGGCTGTCGAGTATTAGTTGTCGGAATGCCCAATGTTGGCAAGTCAACACTGATCAACAACCTGCGCAACTCAGGCACAGGCAAAGCAAAGGCTTTGAAAACCGGACAGCAGCCTGGTATCACGCGCAAGGTAGCCACGCAGGTGAAAATTATTGACCGCGAGAACGGGTCACATGTCTACGTTCTGGACACGCCGGGGGTGTTCATGCCGTATGTCCCAGACGCGGAGAATATGCTGAAGCTGGCGCTCTGTGGCTGTGTCAAGGACAATGTCATTTCACCGATCACGCTCGCGGACTACTTGTTATATCGTATAAACCTGAATGATCCGACGGTATATAAACGCTGGTCGGAACCGACGAATGATGTGGTTCCGCTAATTGAAAGTTTTGCACGCCAAGCTGGCCTGCTTGCAAAGGGCGGAGTGCCAATGATGGATGGGGCCGCGCTGCTGTTTATACAAAGGTGGAGGCAAGGCGAGCTGGGGCGATTTTTGGTGGACGACCTAAAAGTAGAGGAACAACGACGGGAGGATCCCACGCAAACACCGCGCATGAGCATGACGCAGGCCTTGAGAGTGGAAAGGACAACTCGAAAGAACAAACCGCATGCAGCTAGCGATCTGTAACATACTGTACATATAAGGGGATATTGGTTGATATTTTGGAAATAATAATCAAGTGATGTCATTACGAACAGAGGATGATGCTTGAAATGTGAAGATTTTGCAGAAGCACCTGTAACGCCCAACCCAAGCAAAGGACATGAATGGAAGCAAGGAACCTTGGACGTAGTGTCTAGATCAAGAGATCTTGTCCAGAAGACGGCGGCGCCGCCTGTCTACAAGCTCTTCCTGGACCTCATCCATTGTCGGAAGTCTCCATTCCACCCCGTCGCCCGCATCACCAGGTAGAGATTGCCAACCATCTTCAGCATCATCCTCTCCTTGATGGCGCAGGTGTTCAATAGACTCCTTCTCCTTCTGCTTCTCATACGCCAATAACGTGCCATCTTCCTCGTCAAGACCATAGCCGAAGTAGTTGGCATCAACCTTCCTCGTCGCAATATCTCCACCACGGCCAGAAACAGCCTCTTCCTCCGCCGGTCCCTTCGCGCGAGTAATTGCAGCCTCGATCATTTCTTTGACACCAGGTAGCTCCCTGGCACGGCCGTAATATTTATAGCCTCTCCCTCCGCCGGGGATCTCACGCCCTTCGTCATCGTAAAGCCGGCTCGATCCACGCATGTAGTTCGGTCCGCCCAGGTTGCGGATTTGCATTTCCCACGCCCATTTCTCGCGCATGAGTTTGTTGATCTCATCGTTGAGATCGCGGATTTGGTAGTCGCTCAGGCTTTGCACGTGGATGCGTGATACTTTGCGAGAAATTTCTTTGACGACTTGGCCGCGCCAGCGCTCGCATACTGGCACGCTGTCGACGGATGTGATCGCCTTGGGGCGTCGTGTGCGTGAAATATCAATGATTCCGAGGTCGGCTGCTTGCTGCGCTCGGAAGCGGAACAGCATCGACTGCGCTTTTTCACTGTTGCGTGCCTGTTACATAGCGGGGGCTTGGGTTAGCAAAATGTGAGTCGACTCGGATATGGGGATTTCCTCGTGGATCGAGCTGAGACAGGTAAGGCTCACCATTGTGAAGAATTGACCAAGTCAGCAACCCGAAGAAGTCGGGTATCGGGGGCGTTGGCTGGGAAGAAATCCGGAGAGAAATCATGAGCTTTGACAGCTTGAAGTGAGGTTGCGCGCTAATTGCCGCTTGCCGCGCGGATATCACGTGCCTTTTTTCCGCATACCATCAATATCAATCAACCATTCAACAGCCTTGTGTCTGGTTTGTTGCCATTTTGGGATATATGATTTGTTTAAATCCAGCTCAAAAATATGACCAAGCTTCTTATAACCCATCACTAGTACTGTGGTCTTATTCGCAACCATCAGGTTACGTCATACCTATGGAACGGCTTGCCTCCAAATCATATACATGCTTTTCTCTTCGGTCTCCCTTGTCCATGTTGTATGTCAGCATAACAAAAATCAATATAATGTCGAGTGTACTGCATGGTCAAGAAATCTGTCATCTAAAGAACATGGGCAATGTCACCGGCATTGCGGTCGATAGAGAAACAAGAGTTTGCTAACAAAGTGTGCCATTCCAATATTTATATATAATGATGTTATACATCGGCTCCACATTCTAGAGGCAAAGTAGCGCTCGAACCGTGATGAGTCCGGGCTCGAGAATGTGAAAGGGAATAAAGAAGACTATGTGGATTATGTAGGGCTATCTCTCCCGAAGATGCACTGCCTACCTTATAATAGTCAGGCAATCCGGAATTTATCGGAAGAATGAAGAATGAAGACAAATGAAATGGAAGGTTTGCTGAGTTGTTACATCCTCGTCATTGTAGATAGCCTAGTCCACCTGTGGAGCATATTTACTCATGAACACAAAACGGAGACATGAATGAACGCCGAAAAAAAGAAACCAAGGGGTAAAAGCTTAGCCTTTCAAACAATATGAACAAGCCCAAGGCCAGCTGAAAAAAAAAAAAGAAAAAAGAAAAAAGACTGGAACATCCCTTTCCCAAATGCAAATAAACCTCATTAACACAGAACATCCATCCATAATTAATGTTACAACTCCAAGCAGGGTTAGCCTGCTAAACATAGCTTAAGCCCTATTCACAAAAAGCCCTTGGTGTTGCTGGGTTGCCGTTGGGGAATGTCATTAGATCCATAAGCAGCACTCCCGCGACGGCTCCCAGCATCACTGAAGGCTACGGGACCACGCCCAATAGTACTGCCTCGCTCAACGCGCAGCGCCTTCCAGCCCTCGAGCTCGCGCTCCAGTCGCAACGCTTTCTCACGCTCCTCGCGGAGATCTCGCTCGGCGCGGCGGGCCAGCAGCTGGGCGTCCGAGTCATTATGCTGGAGCTCTTCTATGTTGCGAAGGAGCCGCTCAATCTTGTCCCGAGCTCTGTTGACATCGTCATTCAACTGGGAGTTCATCTTGTCCCGCCTGTCAATCTGGGCTTGGAGGTCCTTGACGGTGCGGTCAACATTACGAAGAGAGCGCTGCTCAGAGCTGTGCTTGTTCTCCTGGTCTTCCAGGTGGGTTTCAAGCTAATCGGCCAGGTTAGTACGAAGTGACAAAAGTAGGGTGAGTAGCCATTTTAACTTACCTCCTTGATTCGCTTATGCAAGAAGCGAACATCTTGGCTACCCGAGGAGTAGCTCTTGGTTTCAAGATCGACACACCGGAGTTGGGCCTCCTTCAGCTGCTTCTCAAGTGCCGCCTTGTCCTTGAAGAGTTGGGCATTGGCCTCCCGCTCAGCAGTGACCTCTTTCTGCATTTCAGTTGCCA